GTTTAGGGTAAGGGTGTAAGCCTCTTCAAAAATATTTTTAAGAAGATTTTGTCACCTTTTTCACTTAAATAACCACCTGAAGAATTTTGACCAGTTAGATTATTTGAAGCGGTTGGATTAATTTTGATTGGGGTTTAATAACTTTTAGTAGTTGGATGATTATTTTTACCAGTTGAACCACTGTAATATGCTGGATCTTTTTAACTAATGTTACCATCCTTACCTGAATTATTTGAACCAATTTCACTGGTTACACATGCATTATCCAGTTAGACCATTTCAACTGGTTGGATTATTTAAACCAGTTTGTCCATTTTAGATATTGGCATCATTTTATCAAGTTGGATCATGTTAACCAGTCGCACCATTTTACTAAGTGAGATCGTTTCTTCCGATTGGACCATGTCACGTAATTAAAATCTTTTCACCGTTTAAACCATTTTATCTTGTTTTGGCTGTTTGGACCATGTTAACCAGTTGCATCATTTTGACTGGAGTGAAAAGTTCCGTTCTTAACCCGAGCCCTAACCCTAACCCGGGGTTAGGGTTAGGGTTAGGATAGCTCGCAGCTAGAGTTAGGGCTTGGGTAGGGTGGGATTATGATTAGGCTGAGGGTCACAATTTTTTCTGAAAACATCCAATTTTTTTTTGGTATTGTGTTTGGCTCTAAACTTTAACAACTACTTGAAAGTTTGCTTGAAATCAAAATATACCATTTTTTGCCAAAATAACTGCCAAAATGCGCAATTCGGGCCTTTTTATCAATTTACACTTGGTTTAAGCTTGGTTTTTGTGTTTTCCCACAGACTCTTAAACTATTTTGCTGAGAACATTTTTTGCAGCGTTTTTAAAACTGAAATAAGCTTATTTTTGCAAAAAAAACAAACGTGTTTTTCAGTCGAATTTAGTGTTTTTGTCAACTTTAGCGAAAAATTTTGCAAAAATCGTACATTTCTGCCGTATTTTAGAGTTTTTAGACAGATTTCGTCGCGATCTTGTGAAAAACATGTAGTTTCAAGCTAGTTTTCAGTGTTTTGGCAGTTATCTTGTCAAAAAATGGGTAAGTCAGCGCAATTGTTTTTTGTTTGGTTTTTAAGGTTTTGTTTGCCCAAATTTTACTGAGAACACTGTGTTAGCTTGTCTCCATTGTTTTTTCGCAGATTCTATCGCTGTTTTGCTGAAAACATAACGTTTCAGCTTGTTTGCATCGTTTTTGGTCGTGAAATAAGCTAATTTTTGCAAAAGGAAAAAAACCTGTTTTTCAGCCCAAATTGACATAAAGGATACAGAAGAACATTTGCTTATTGCCTTTTTTTTTTTGTCCTTACTCATGAAGTTGATTTTGGCATTTCAAACAAAAACTCTGCTAGAGCATTAATTGAATGACATATCATGCACTTACTTTGAAGCAAGAACACTTTTTTTTTAATTCAGAAAAATACTTTTTTATTTTTTTTTAAGGACTGCTGGATATAACCTGTACAACCAAGATGAATTTACATTCATTATTTGTCATAACTTACACTAAATTAGAAATTCAAGTATGAAATGAGGGTACTAGCCCTTTAATAGTGTTCAAAATTTCCATATGCAGGGGTACTTGTGGCTACTGGAGAAGAATCAGTCTTTAACCCTTCACCCCCCCCAAGGGAGATAATAAGTACAGATATCCTCTTCCCTAGGGGCAACTAGCTCAAAAGTGAGTGATCTCAAAGGCCCTCCAAAAACGTTTTCTACAGCAATAACTAAGCTCTACAGAAGCACACTATGCAGACAAAAGGTGTAAGAGAATCAATGAATTCTTTAATTCTTGGTCCCTCCCAGGCCAACCTATTGTACAAATCTCATGACATCTGTTCCAGTTTCATCAGTCAATTTTTCAAGCTTCAAGCTTTTTCTGCAATTATGTACTTGTTCTTGAAGCTGAAAACTAACAAGGTTCCTGTAAATTAAGTTTACATAACAACCTAACAATTTGTGAAAATCACACAAATCCCAAGCTATATCCAGAATTATGCTCTTAATAAAATAAACTTTTAAAGCAAATTGGGATTTTGCTCTAGTTCTTTTTATTTTTTTGTTACTTTTTAAATACATTTGTATAAATAATGCTCCCCTAACTCTCCCCAAAACTTTTAGAACAGATGCAAACTCTTAAGAATGATCAAGCTTTACCTTATTATTAAAAATTTTTTACATCTTAGACTACCAAGTTATCACAGAGGTTTTTTTCGGTACTTTGACCTGTTTAACACCTAAAAAGAAGAACACATACATAACACACACACAATCAGCCAGGTCAAAATGTGCTGCAGCCAACAATTTGGCCACCTACAATGAAATAGCTGCCAATTTCACACATGTCAGACTTCTATTCAGGACAAGATTTGGCCTCTGCTGCCTATTACTATTGCCAGCTTGCCTGCCACTCAAAATTTCAACTGAGATTGTACATACATACATGTGGGATTAGGTTACACGAGCGAACCTGCACTATTGAAAGAGGTCAATGAATTATAACTCAAAGAAACATTGATAAATAAAATAAATCAATAGAAATGACAAAAATTAAACTAACAGCAGACAGCACTTTTTTGGCCTTCGGGGCCTGATCAGTGCAGTGATCTTCAACTAAGTGCTTAATTTGGACATAAAACCAAAACTTGTTATGGTTAAATATTATTATTTTTCTTTCAATATTCCCATTCCAGCTGATGTATATTATTTGAATAACAAATCTTATTAGCATGTTAAAATCACCTGAGGACAAGGCATACACTTTGTGCCAAAATTGCTTTGCATCAAGTACGTTATCTAGTACATCATTACCATCTTCAGGTATTTCTAATTTACTCTTGAAAATCACACAAATCATAAGCTATATACAGCATACAATTGGCAGCAAATTATTAAAAAGGAATGCAGTAATCTTTAATAATAAGAGTAGCTAAATAACAAATAGCCTAGTCAAAATGTGCCGGTAACCAGGGATTTGGCTTTCCACACAGAACATTTGTTAGGCGTCTAGTCTGGACAAGGTTTGGTCTCTACCTTCTGTTACTATAGCCAGCTTGCCTACTTCTAAAAAACGTTTTGACTAAGCTGAAAAAAATGTTTGAGAGAAAAATGGCCACAACAAGCCCACTTACTGCAAAATAAGAAACATAAAAGTAACACTTCAAATTAATACAGAATATAAGCCTTGCAGGATTTGGCTCTCAATAAAATTAGTTAAAATAGCCGATCTTGAGTTTAACTACTCACTCAAAATGGGCTGACAGCCTGCAATTTGGCCACCTACAATGAAGTATCTTCCACTGACTTCACACCTTTCAGACTGCTTTTCAGGATGAGGTTTGGCCTCTGCTGCCTATAATTACAACAGCCAGCTTGACTACTACTAAAGAACATTTTGACTGGGCTGTGCAAGTGTTACTAGCATATAAAAAGCACCTTCAGGTAGATTACAGCAAAGCAGACTTTGTACCAAAACACTTTGCATTAAGTACATCATTACCCTCTACAGGTATTTCTAGTTTACATGTGAAAATCCCACAAATCACAAGGTATATTACATCATACATGTTGACAAAGCAATCAGGGGTACATTTTTCATAATAGGATGCAATGGTCTTCAGTATCAAGATTATTTGGTACCTAAATAGTAAAATGTTCGAGAGAAGAAATAATCATAAACATTTTTTCTTTCTCATCAGTATCGACTTCCAAAAGTAATGGATAATGACCACCTAAAACAAAGAAGAAATAAATCAAATTTGTGATTTCACAGGGCTTCAATACGAAACAACTATACATATCTTTTATTTCCTACCACTTACAAGTGGCAGGAATGGCTGAAATGGCCTTCACGTGAACACAACAGAATCCTATGCGTGTATAACCATGTAGAACTATTTATTCGGTATCGAAATTACATCCCAAATGTCATGATATTTGACTGAAACTCAGCTTACCCATCTTTCGTTTAGACTTCGAAACTTGCTGCTTTTTACCACCGTTTCAATGTTTTCTTGTTGTTCAAAAGGTGGTAGGGCCATTGCAGACCGTGATTTTTTTTTTACTTGAGAACCAGATCACAACACCCAAGCCTTTTCACGCTAAAATATTAAACTACTGAGATTTCCTTCGCCGCCGTAAGCCGCCATTTTATCTTTCCCTGAATACTAGTTCCCAAGCTTCGAGCCCGAAGGTCTCAGACATGCACTGAAATTATGATATTCGTTATTTCAGGGCCAATTTAGAAATAACGATAATCGTTATCTTGGTGTCGAGATCATGCTGATCACAACTGAACGCACATTTACCCCTTTCCTCCGCCATCTTGAATGTTGTAAGACAGTGGAACCGAGTCCTTCTCTTTATTTAACACGGTAAAGAGCATTGGTAAAGAGTGCCACGAAATTACTATATCCATAAATTTGGTGCCAATTTAGAAATAACGATAATCGTAATTTCGGTCTCGAGATCATGTTGGGAATAAAGAACTACAGTATTAGAAAAATCGACGAACTGATGCTCGATATTATCTCTAAGAAATTCTATTGACAAAGAAAAACTATACTGACAATAAAATGCAAGTTAATGGCTTTTACATCTGTCAGAGCTTCCCTTAGTGTGTTCTGTCCAGAATAGGAGTAACTATTTCCACATCTAGAACAATAAATTCGACGCCTATTCCGCCGATTCAGTTCGCGAGGAAAGCTTCTTTTGGCATTGTAAGGTGCTCCAATCAGCGAAATAACGAAAAAGGAACTTCGATCCCAAAATACAGGATGAAATCTTGTCAAATACTTAAGAAATTTTGTTAATTGTTTAAATTCACCACTAAGAACAATACTTTGATTAATACATAAGACCGCTGACCATCATGCACGAAATTTTCGACCAATCATATCGATTGTTATGACTGCATACTTCATTAGACCAATCACATTCCTTGTTTTAGTTTGTTCGTGAAGGGAAAACTCACAACAATCATCACGTACGACTTGCAAGTCGAGTGAAAGCTGTCTATTTACCTAACTCTTTATCGCGAAATGGCATCTAGCAGAGCCTCAAATGTATCCGAATTTCGCCAAGTCTTGAGCAGACTCAAAGATTTACATGAGAAGCTGGAAAGGTCCGATCAATCTAGTCTTGCAGCTAAATTGTCGGACATAAATGGCTCCTTAAGCGTTATCGAAGGTCACCAGACTGACTTCTCCGATACAGTCCTGCAAACTTTGGAGAGGATCCATTCTACGATGGTAAATGGCTTCAAAACTATGGAAGACAGGATATCCACACTAGAAGCCAAACTAACCAGCCATGAGACTGGAAGCTATGATGCAGCGACGCCGCCGAATTCTTCAAGAAAAAGAAAAATCGCACGACACCCTGATCTTTCGGTAAGATACGAGAATATTTTCCTCTTTGCTATTTCTTTGCGTTGAGAATGTTAACCATAAAACTTTAAAAGATATATCAAAGGATTACCCGGTAAGAACATGGAAAGTGAAGTCAAAAGCCGTTTTCAAATTTCGTGCGCATTTTGTGATTTTTATCACACCTTTTGATTGATCAAAGCCGATCCCCGCCATTTTTGACTTGCTGTCGGTTGCGAATTTCTTTTATCATCTGTCCTCTTTCGGTGACGCTAACGTCCTCTTAGTTCAAAGATGTGTTTATGTGTTTAGAAAGAGAGAAGGAATGACAAACTTAAATTATCTGATGTTTAAAACACTCAGTTAAATACCTCTTGCATTTATTGATGATCATTCACAGCATTACGTCCGCTCCAAGATGGAACAGTTAGGACTGTCGTGGAACACGGTAAGGAAGTAAGTTGATAGCCAAAGGGGAGTAAAGATACTTGTAACATAGTTTGCGATTGAATAGTTTACAACGGAAGTCCATGTGGAAAGAAAGTGGGAGGTGCAAGTGGTTTGAAGAGCTACGCATTAATAAAATCTCAACCACAAAGGAAAAAAGTAGAATCAAAGTGGTGAGAGCAGAAGTAAAAATCATCATTTTAGTCCCACGTTTTCTTGATCACTCATGTTAGTCCACGGAAGTTCACTGTAAGAATACCATACTGAGGAATGCTGTTTCATGGCTCCATTTGGGCTATTTGTACCACTTACACCAAAAGAAGAGGTTTCTCATAAACCTAACCATTTGAATAATGAGTTACAGTTTCTATTTGAGGGCACCAAAGAGGGGGAACCTATGCCGGAAATGACTTTGAGGTTTTGCAATTTACTTTTATCTACACATTATATTCCAACAGGGAGAATGAGCCACCAAACCAAGAAGTTGCCAGAAGACTTCTTAAAGAAGTTCAAGAAGTTGAGCACGTAAAGAATGACTCTCTCTGCACAGAGAGGCGGATATTTGGTATGTTTCCCTTTGGTATTGATTGTTTTAATTGGTCAGGACCTTTAAGTCAACTATTTATCACTTATCAACTCCAAGAAATGGATATCTCACTCAACTTTTGCTTCATTGGGATTGATTTCTTTTAAAGTTAAACCGCAAGAAACCTGCTCTGTTTACATCACCTAAGTTGGCTCACAATGCCTACATGTTGTCTTTTTCAAACAGAGTAAATGATTTTAGCTCTGGTACATTAACTGTATAAAGCTAGTCAAATAATTTCTTGGGTACAGCTTCAGTATTAAACCTTGGTTTCCTGGCCTCACCTCAGAAATATTTAATTTTTCAGATGCTGTCTCTCAAAACTTTGCCTCCAACAAAAGAAAGAGGAGGCAGATGGAAAATGGTACATATGAGCAGTACCAAAGGGAACAGAAGAGGAGGCAAAGAATTAAAAGGGTAAGAGTTAGCTTGCTTCAATGATGTTTCTACACAAAAAGTTAACTGTGGACCATTTCATTCACCTCTTAAACTCTTTATTTTCCTTTATTTCTCTACCCTATGTGATTGTGGAGATTGCCAGTATTGATGTTTTTCTGCTTGAGCTTAGTTTAATATTGAAAATTGAATGTTATGTTAGTTGTGCAATGAGCCAAGCAGTTTTGGAAATGTCTTTAAGTATTATGAGTTAGAGAGAAACATCTATTTCAAATGATGTTATCTCTCCTAACCACAACTATTGTTTATTTAATGAAAGTCTGCTAAGTCTAAAATTTTTCATGTTTTACCCCAGAAACTGGAGAAGAGACTGAGAGTGGTTACTGAGGAAGAAAAGAAGTCAGAATTGTTCGAGGCATTGCATTTGTCAATGATATCCTCAGATGAATCTGATGGCGAGGATGACACCCTGTCCACAAAGCATCCTGTCTGGAGGGCAGAGGAGGTTTCTTCTTTCTTCAAAGAACTGGACTCAGGGCATAGGGCAAATATGTCCACCCAACAAAGGAGGCAGTCTGTAAACAATGAAGTGCCAGAGAAATTGCTCTGGGCCATAAAATTGTAAATATTTTCTATTTTTTTTTTCCATGAATGCTGTTATTGTTTACTAGGCGATTTTGGTTACAGTGGATCCATTAGAGTAAAGCAGTAATTAATGGATGTTCTTGATTTAGATTAAATATGGGATATTTACTTCTAGAAGCCCTGCTATGTTCCTTAAGTTCAACTGCAAAAGTTCTTTTACACTTGAGGATGGTGTTGAGTAGGATTTTTCAAACTCTAATGTTTGAGCCTAGAAAATTTTTGAGTATTTTTGTGATGTTTATCAAAATTAAGGAAACAGCTCGAAATGTTGAACTGGATGATACATGTAAAAGCTTCTTTTACAACTGCCTGTGTGAGTCCCAATATAATCATCCAAATTTCACATATATGCATTTCAACATTTTCCCAATTTTACATAAGATCCACCTTAGGTGGTAAACAGATATTAGGTTTCACTCATTTTTGTGCAAGGTTTGTTTGTGTCATTTAGAAGTCTCGTTTTATTGACCAAAATGAAGCAGATTGTATTTGTTTGCCAAGGGTGAGACATACAATTTTGTTGATATTGTAGTAAGAGTGCATTTTTTTCGCTGATACTTTTAAAATTTTTTTAAAATGTTAGATTTCAAGGTTTTCTGTGTTGTGAATATTTGTAAAAATTGTGTGATTAAGAACTGATGTAACTAGGTGAATACTACTTTGGTTAATTGGTAATAAAAAGGCTTCAAAAAAATTTATGTTAAGGCTCTTATTACTTGCGTCACATACGGGAGGGAATGATTCCAAGTAGTTCAATGGATCATTTGATTTGCGAAGTGGATTCAGCGACTGGTAGAACTTCTTCAAAATCGTTCTAGATCAAGGGAGCCTGGAGCTAAAGAAATTATGAGCGAGAGAAGTAAATGTAAATATAAATTTCCAAATGGTTGACAGTGTAAAACACCGATGAATATAGGAATACATGCCATTTTCCGCACGATAATCGAACGGCAAATACAAGAAAATGCGTGGGAATAACCGCATTCGGGTGGTGAACCGCCGCTAACAACGCGTTTTCTCAACGCAAACAGCTGCAAGCGCTATAAAACATTGTATTTCAATTTGTTAACCAACCCGTGAACGTTGGACGACACTTGGTTTTCAAGCGTTATCTACGCATTTACTGTCCTAGAAAATGGAAGAAAACGCATTGTCTTCAACGGAAAACGTCTGTGAAAACAATGTTTTGTTACTGGGAAAGCACCAGTAAACAATGGAATACAAACTGTTTTCCCGTCTGTTAACCGTACTCTTAACACTAAGAAAACAATCGTTTTCATAGAGTTCACTGTGGAGGAAAACTGCTGGATAATGGAACGAATACTCCAATTTGCCGACTCGAAAACAACGGGAGAACGTTGGATTTTCTTTTCGGAAAATGTCAGAAAATGCGTGAATAATAATGCGTTTTGAAATATTCACAACTTATTTTCCGAACGGGTGAACACCACTTTTTTTGCAGTGCGAAGTTTTAAATATTTTCTCAAATGGTCACGACTAACAACTGTGCTTCGAATTCAGGGAAAAGTTATAATTGTCTGTAACTGCAGGGAAAAAATAAATTTCAACGCGTGCGAGCCGAAATTTTAATGGCATGAAAAAATTAGAGGAAGTTTTTAATCCGATTTTTATGATCTGAAGAGGAAGTGATTCAGAAAACTCTGGAACCGCCAATTAATGCAAAAAAAATGCCGGCATGAGCACGGAAGACTTAGAATCCACTATTATTGTTTGTAAAACGTGCTTACGTAAAACTCTTTGCAAAGCTGGATGACATTGTTCTTCAACTTGAGAGCCCTTACAATCCACTATTATTGTTTGTAAAACGTGCTTACGTAAAACTCTTTGCAAAGCTGGATGACATTGTTCTTCAACTTGAGAGCCCTTACACTATTCAGCCGAGCTTCGTTTTTATAGGTTTTTTTCGTAAATGAATTCTTTTTATTTCATACTCTAGATCCACCGTCTTGGTAATAGACTTTTTTGCAAATCAGTGATGGACTTGAACACCAGGACGGCTTCTCTAAACTTAAAGGTGTTTTCAAGATGTAATCTAGAATTCGAGCATCTGTCAAAGAGCAACTTAGTAGTTGGTTGGAACAAATTAAACAAGGCACAGACTGCTTTACTGAAACAATCTGGTGCCTTGTCTTTGAAAAATCCCAATAAAATTTTTAAACCCTGTCTGACGCAGCTAAACGTTTGAGTTGATGTTTCCGCAGGAGACAAACCTCTTTTCTGAGTGGTACATTACACAGTGTTATGGCAAGAGAACAAAGTCATAAAGAAGTCATTACCACATATAGTATAATTTAAGTGAGATATCGATATTCCAATGGATAGAAACATTAAAAAACAGTTTTGATCATATATCTACTACTGGAAAATTCATATGTTGGATGGAAAGGTTTTTGGCAATTCAATTTGTTTCAGTGTTAATGCTGCAAATTATTTTATTTAAAAGCTTTTTGAGTCAATTCAAACAAGAATTGATGCGGTACCGATTACACGTGGCTCGAGGCTTAATTAATTTTGCTTCTCACGGCCTCATACTCAGAAAACAAGAGCAAATCATATTCAATTTAGCCTGCCACTTGCTGAGGAAATTTAGTGAGTAATACTAACCGGTAAAATAGAGTGAGGCTTCCGAAAAAAGTACTGTTACTAATTGGAAAACTCTCGTTGCCTTGGTTTACAAAGCGAATCATCTCATTCGATCTAAAATTAAGTTCTTTAGCTGAGACCTATAATTCCTGCATATTTGTCAGCTACCCGTGTATCAAGAAATACCCTGAGGTAGCTTGTCGGAGTCTTCAGTTTTTATTCAGAGTCTACATAAACAACATTGTCAGATTTCAGTTATAGAAACAACATATTAAATCCCGTTTTCTCGCCAAGACAGTAAATAGTGCCTAACTGTCGCACCATCGAGTAAATGAGGCGGTTATTTTCTTCCTCTTGGTAATTGACCAAATGTCTAACTAGATTGAAATATTCCATTTTGTACTGACAAATCAATATGGAAAATGCATAAATTTTTTTCGAAATAAATGCAAGATAAACTTTATAGCGTGTTATACAAATGACAAGTTTACAGAGAGCGGGTTCACAATATCTACAGCAGAAACTCAGATCAATTACTTTTTACGGCTAAAGGGGGTAAACAAACACTCAAGAGAATCGTCTTCGGTGGAGCGTTAGAATTAGTGAGTAGATTTTTTTAAGAACATTTTCATCACATTCGAATGAAATTTGGTGTAAATTCTGTTTCTTTTCCTTGGCGAGTACGTAATTTAACATCTTGAAACTTGTCACAAATTTCTATTGTAAAACTAGAATCCGACTTCTATTACCTATTTTATCTCGCTCTTTCGGCGTTAGGAAACTCAAATTAGATGATCCAGTAATAAATTCGTGAAGACGAATGCACGAAATAAAGTGTGATCAAAAACTTAGAAATTAACTATATCAATGGTAAAATGTCTTTCAGTTTCTTCATAGCAACTGGAAACATTTTTTTTTGCTAAAAATCTTTCTCTGTTAAAATGACTCACTAGGTTGTTTAAGCTGTCTAAACTGGATGCGTACAATATGCGAGGACGAATAAACGACAGGTAATGGTTTTTTTTTTCATCTCAGCAATGTAGTAACACGGCTTACAGTTTTCATTATCTATATCAACTTTGACGATATCAACTATCAAGTTGATACTTTTGATCCTCCGCGCGTACGGATACGCGCTAAAACAGTCGCACCATCGATGTAACTATTTTCCCCTCCAGTCGCGGTTCCCAAATTGACTTGCGGAGCAACTCTGTTCCTGCGGGAATAACGACACAGCAAAACATCTCGAAATCCTTTACGAAAGTCAGAGTTAAATATCACATAAATAGCAGGATTGATAGCGCTGTTAGCATGTCCCAAAAAGTAGCCGATGAATGCCAAAGTACTTGGTGGACCGCAAGGAAAATCCTCCTCACCGTAGAACCTAATAAATTGGGTGATGTACACCGGGAGCCAACACAGTGCAAAAAGAATCACTACGGCAAGAAGCATTTTTAAAACTTTCTTTCTGGATTTGTTGGATCGCTGCTGGTTTTCGGCAGTTTGATTTCCTGGAACTTTTCTCACCCAGAGTTTGTAAATGACGAAGCTATATAGAATTGACATGGTCAGTAGAGGAACCACGTAAAAAATCACAAAAAGAACTATTGTAAAGCCTTTGTATGCCCCTTCAGTGAATGCCGGTTCCCACATCTCCGTGCAGGTCCATCTCTGACTGTATTCGAGAAACACAATTTTTTGGGCGTAAAGAGTCGGTGAATTAACAGCAATACCCACAAGCCAGACCAGTGCCATTGCAACGTACGTTTTCTGAAAAGTCATGCATCTCTTCAAAGGGTACATCACTGCTAGGAAACGGTCAACAGCGATAACTGTCAAACTCAAAACAGAGCTTGCGATCGACAAAGTTTGGCTGAATGGGATTATCTTGCACAAAATATCATACAAAACACCATTTGACCAATTGATGCTGCGTCCTGTCACGAGAACTTTTGCAGTGACCGGCATACTGACTATTGTAATCAAGAGATCTGCCACCGCCATATTTACTATCAAATAATTTGTGACAGTTCGCATTTGTCTGTTCAGAATGACGACGCATATGACCAGCACGTTACCGACGAAGGAGCCGAACATGATGATGAAGTACACAATACACTGAAAAACCTTCTCTGTTGACGTATAAGGCTCAAAAGGACATGGATCTCTTTCGGTAAAATTTGTTATGTTTGGGTCAGCTGTGGCCATCATTTGTGGGTGAAACACGTGCCACGCTCCAACTTCAGCTCGTCCTAATTTGTGATGAGAAGGAAATGTACCTTTTTGAACTCGTTTAACAAGTAGCTGCTAAGTGGATTTAAACACCGCACTCCTTACGGTCTATAAACTTTCCTCTTCAATGAAAATTTGGAATTGGTGACACACTGTCCGCCGTTTGCCTGAGTGGTGAAATGCGCTCCGTGATGACCAAACTGAAACAGGGCTTTCTATGTGATTCACTCGAAACCAAACTATTAGTTACAAAAGCCGCGGCTATCAAAACACTATGAGACGCACACCAAAATTAATTTCCATTGTGATAGGTAAACTAACTCCGACAGTTCCGCTCCCTTGTCTTTTAAATTCCTTTGCCTTTTGTCGTAGCCTCTGTCTTCGACCTTAGTATTATGATGTAGGTAATTCAATCCTGTTAGCCAGAGTCTATTATGCAGGTCAACTCATGCAAATCCTAATGTGTTAAAATTTATTCGTGTCTTCACATGACACACTTTTTCACCTCTGCTGCGGTTCAGTCCTAGGGATCCTTTGATAATGAATCTCGACGAAATGCAACAATCCGTCCTTCAGTATAGAGGGATACTGTGTGACTTTTCACGTAACATGTTTATAGTGTACAAAACTACTTCATAACTGATACGTGGTGGTATGCAGGCTAATAACGTGATTAATATTTTGTGGTGGTGACCTTTTAGCCTTTTTGAAAAATAGACCTTCAATGTTTGGGCTGGAAAGTACCCTGTGATCTGTCAAGTTAAGCGCGCTAATGCTAAAGTACTCCTCGATGCACGGAATACTGAACTTCACTGCCAAATAGATTCAATTTAGGCCTGTCCAGTGTTCTTTCTTTGACAACTTAGATTATTATCAAACTACTTAGGCATACCATACTTTGGAACAAAAACTCCAGTACGTTATTCCCGCTGGCTTTCGCCTCTCTCGTTATTAAAGAAACGATGAGATCCGTTTTTTGCCTCTTCCCTGACGATCACTAGGTCAAGGTGTGAAAAAAAAGATATATTCAATATCAGAGCCACTCGAGCGCCATTTGTTTGTCATGAATTGTTTGAACGAGTTGCCGTGAGAAACGAGGTTGTATAAAGTATTTTGTTGACTTCGAGGTGACGAAAGGTGGATTTCGGTAAACAGAAAGCGGAAAACATTTATGAGTTTTTTTGAAAAACCACCCGTATTCCAAAATATTGACAGTCAAAACGTTTTTAGATTGTGTTGGCGGTACTGATTACCCTTTTCTGAGAAAAAAATAGCAGGTAATTATTTGGAGAAATTGTTAAAACCAAAAACTCCATTTGTGTTTAATCGTCTTGGGTTTGTAGAAAAAACAGAAAAAATGCACAGTGTTTCAATATCATCCTTTGAGTCAATTTTATGCTAGTTGGTTGAATGGCTTTTTGTGCTGCCGATTATTACGTCAAAGGCGGCATACTGTATAAAGAATACCTTATTTATTCTACGATTAAAATCTTTTCAAAATTCGACCATTGCTTTCAAAGATGACGGCGTATGAGTGATGACTGGATCAAAATTTAATCAAAGCTTCAACTGATGGCATTGTATAAACACTACCGTTGCTAATCCCCCGCGGTTATGTTTTTAATTTCGCTGAAGTTTATGAAGTCGATTGGCTCGCTAATTGCGAGTGAACAACGTTTAACTTTACGTCGCAGGTGTAAGCTGTGGATAGGATCCGATTACCACTAGTCAACTGATGTTTGATGGTTCAAAAATCCTTTAATGTTCCCTTAAACACAACTATTAACGATTGTCACGAACTTGTCAATCGTGGATTCCATTGACAAAGGAATTGTGAGCGGAGGACACTGCTTTCGACAGATGCCGATTGTTCAGTTGTCATGTTTCACCTGGAGGTCGAATATTTATTGCTTGTAGTACATCGAGAACTGTATTTACCCTTTAACCCCCAGAAGTTATCCAAATGTTACTTCTCCTTGCGATCCCTATGTATTATATTACAAACAACATATGAGAATGAACAGGCTCATCAGCTGGATGGTATTATTGCGATATAAGACAAAAAAATTCTCAGGTGAAATCTCTGAAAGAACACAGGTTTTGGGTCACAATGAGGCCAACCCGAGTGTCTTCACCTAAATATTGTAAAAACAAAAAACAAAAAAAAACAACGGCACCAATTATCAGTGATTATAGGCACCTGCTCAAAATAGTTCTCTCAGTCATCTAAATCTCACCCAACAGTTTTGGTTTAAAAAAGAAAAAAAAAAAAAAATATATATATATATATATATATTTAAAATCGAGCAAGCCATGTTGCCGAGATATTTTTGCGATCGATACCTCAGTAATCCGACAAAATAATTCCCAATTGGAATTGCTCGAAAAAGATTTTTTTTCGTCCAGCTCGGTTGTAATAACCAAGCTGAATCTCGGCTCGGTATTCGGGCTGAAGGTCCTCATTCGAGCTAATGATTAAAGCTAACTGGGCAATAGCAACATAGCTCATCTGTTGGAAAAGAGAGATTCACGGGATATTAAATAAGGTTCAGGAACTGCCGGGTCTTGCTCATAGTTCTCGCGCTAAAACACATGCTGAGACACAATTACTGCAACCAGTTTTAATTAACAAATTTAAGTGATACAAAAAATTACGCAACAGAAATATTGAAAAGTAGGCATACGTTAAAAGTAAAATAGTATTTTTTTTGCTTCTAGTAGAATGAGTTACGTGGTCAACCTTAATTAAAATGAATAAAAAACACAATGAACCTCAGATGAAATAAGCGAGAATTCTACCAGACGCACCATATTCACATATCACGATTTTAGTATCGTACATCCTTCACATAAGTAAAGTAAGTTGACAAAGGTTTTAACATTAAATGAAGTTCATCCCAGAAACTGTACCAGTTAAAAAGCAAACGAGAAACAAACAAACAGTAAATACGAAAAAAATGGAGGCAGAAAGGAAGCTTATGCCCCTTTCCTACTTTTTTTCTCTTATATTGCAATCTAGAGGCAATACCGCATTGTAACTATTCTATTTCTCAGTGTAACCGTGGTAACGCCTTTGGAGCTAAATTGTTTTTTCCTTACACCTGTTCTTCTTATTTCTCGTTTTCCATCCCATTCAAATCTTTCTCAGTTTCAAAGTACTTAACCCTTCAGCTCCCACAAGTGTAACATGTAACTTATCCTTAAAATGTCAATACATAACCATTCAAAAGGTGAATGTGAACAGGAAGATTTAGGGTGTAATTCTCTTAACTACTTCACATGAAAAAGTATAACAGCTAGAATGGAGAATTTCAAAGCAGAACTTGGGAGTTGAAAGGTTAACCGACGAACGCACTATACAATAAATAACTCTTTTGCCTCGACCAAACGCTTGTTTGTCCCACTTACAAAATTACATCTGCACTCGTCGCTAAAAATGGACCAGTGTGAAAAGCACCAAGTTTGAGAAGTCTTCTTTGCAACCTCGGTGAATTCGAGGTTTTAATCCGATCTCGTTAAGGGTAAGGCTATAATTGTACCCTTTAAGGTGTTAAAGGTCTTGTTTCCATTTTCTTGCTCTGTTAGGCATGTAAGCCATTCTTTTAATCGGTCTCGATTCCACATACAATATTAGCCTTCGAAGCACACACTGTATGCAGTGTATGTAGGCTGTCTTGTAAACGTAACTTTGTTCTCATTAGCTTCGTTAATCCGCTCCGAGAGTCCTACAGAGAAAAACGAAGCAACAACACGCCAAAACACCCAACAGTCACACAACTGTCTCCCTTCTCTCTCTCTCTCATTTTCTCATGAACACCCTAGAAAACATTACATAAACACGCTACCCTTTGTGATGAAGGATCGATTGAGTAGTAGAGCAGAATCGGATGGTAAAAGGAAGGGAAATTTACGAGTTAATACAACACGATATAAACAGAGGTCTGTAACGGTGAAGTGAAAAACAAGTAAACTTTGACATGAGTAAGACACCAAATGAGATAAAGAACTAGCGTAATCTTCCTTCTTAAAACTTACAATGACTGAAGAACGCACCAGCAGACTGGCTGACAGACTCATTGACTGCATGACTGACTGATTCACTGACTGATTACCCGTCTGGCTGGCTAATCATCTGACTGACTACTCATCTGGCTGGCTAATCATCTGACTGACTACTCATCTGGCTGGCTAATCATCTGACTGACTACTCATCTGACTATCTGTCTCTCCGACTTACTGCCTAACGGCATGGCTGAACGAAGAGAGGCTAGAAAGTTGGCTGACGAGTGACTGACTGTATGAACGATCCTCTAACTGACGGGCAGACAGACACACCAACTGACCAGCAGATTGACCGACTGACTACCTACCATCGCCTCCTCTAAAGTTTAAAACGCGAAACAAAAACATAGGACCAAAAGAAGAAACAAAACTGAAACATCCGGCGAAGGATGAGAACAAATGATCACGACACTCGAAAACAAAGCAAGTTTCTCAGTAACAAGCCATGGGTGGCCTGCACAACAAACACACGAAAATAAAACACGTATGCATAACATAGACAAAGACGAACGAATCAATACAAAAACGATCTGTTCCTGTTTCTTTTAATAAATTAAAAATATAACTAAGAAATACGGTGATTTGTCAAAAAGATAATCAACTCATTGGCTACCGAAGACAGTTGTATCGCCTGAAATTATCATTCGCGGCAACTAGTAGTAACAGCTGCCAGTGTTCGGGCTTTGTCTGAGAAATACCCTCCCTGCCTGAAATCATATTCGAAAGCTGGTTGTTCTAGAAACCAAAATGCATATAGAAAAGTTTTGAAAAAATGCAAAAAATATATAATTTTCTACTATATAAATAACAATCATCGTGAGTGAACAAATACTTTGCCTTAAATCAAATGATTCCTTTGGTTTTTCAGTCCTGCTGTTGTGGCGGGAAAATCATGTACCTTACCTTTCTGCAGCTTACTGAAATCCAAATTTAACCCAACAATAAAAAACGACAGTCCATTTACATTTTTAACCTTGATGGTGTCCGAAACGGAGCCGGTACAAAACTGTACACCTTGTCACGTTTACCACATTTTCCTTGAACTAAGATTTTTCGTTTCGTTTTCAAACGATCACCTTTATCGAAAAGAACACGAGCACTCATTTACCCAAAAGTGTGTTCAAAAATTCCTCAACTTTGACACCGATTTGTCGGCTCTTGGCTAGAATCTCTTGAACGGCAGATCCATCGCCACCTCGGGCAAGTTCAAACATCAAAAACTGTGAGAGTAAAAGAGGAAAATGAAACCTTGAATTCAAACTCTGAGAAAACTACACACAAACAATCCACAAACAACAAAGAGCAAACAACTTTAAGTCAACTTTACATCTTTCCAGATAGTTGCGGCAAATGGTAAAATTTCTGCGGCCTGATGGTACATCTTGCGCGCCTAAAAAACACAGACGACTGAGGAAAGCAAACTTTCACCCAACAAAAAGTCCACATTTAGGACAGTTTACGTCGCATAAAGCAATGAAGGGTTACGTCTCTACCCGAGCCAAGTGGCCGGCCGGAGCCTATCCAAGTTTTTGTCGTATGCAGCGACTAAGAGTTTTCCTATTCTCCTTGGATGGGAAGCTAGTCCATCGCAGGTTACTCGTAGTCGCTACTTACCATGGCTACGCTCCAGCTGGATGGGCTAGTTGGCTCGAGTGCACACGATTTTAGACCACAGTGCCTTAAAATTTCAGTGAATCTTAGCTGAACGTTGAAATCCCTAAATGCAGTAGGAAGCAAACACGGCGTCTCGTTACTAAACAACGAGTATTCCTAAGGAAAAGAAGATTGCCTGGGAATTCAGGAATTGCAATAGAACAAGGTTTCTGATCAAATACATGTACTCAACTAAATAAAACGACTTACCTCCTTGTTACAATTCCTTTGTAGCTCAAGGGAAATGGCACTGTTGCAATGGAAAAAAAAGAGAAAAAAAACACACACAATGCAAGGAAGAAACAGTCATTTAAATCTGTGTTTATATGATAAATTACCTGGTACAGTCCTTTTAAAGAAAAAAAAAGGGGTAAAAACTATCTACGAAACCCAAACAATGTTCTACATTTGACAGAGAATGCAAAATAATTTTTTCTACCGCGGTTCCTTACAATCCTAACAATAAGCTCATAAAAACTCTCCGTTTTAAAGCAGATTAAACAGATGCGAATGGTACACTTTCCACATGCTTATACTGTAAGGATTGCTTGAGAGGAAAGATGCACTGATCCTTTTTGCTTGGTCGTAATTTTTACTCTCTACCTCATGCTGACAAGCCCTGAAAAAATTAACAAACAACAATATAAAACATAACTCGAACAATCAGGCGAGTAATTCACCCTTCCTGCTGCCACACATGAAATTTTAGACTGCATGTAGTTTATTGTCGGTTGGTCTGGTGCATCTGTGCATCTGTGCATCTGTGCACATGTTTGTTGAATTATGTATCAAAATTGTGAGGAAATTCTGCGCGTTTATTTCTTCTGGAAATAGAACTTTAACGCATTTTTGAACGAAAATCAAACTAACGGCAATGCATTCCGACATGCATAGACATTTACAATATAGTTCCTGGTTTAAACCTCAAGGGCGCTCCCAAGAAAAATTTGGTTCATAAATAGCAAGTTTGTATATTATACATAGATAGACGTACCGTAGGGCTAACATAACATTCCCAGGAAAAATCCTCAAGTAATTTTGAAATAAGGATGACCAGGATGACTGTGGATGGCAGCTCAAAGACAAACTGATTATCTGCAAAATTAGTAGCAACAATAACAACTACCTTTCATACAGCGCGTTATTAAGTTCTGTCTTCTACAACTGACCGACCAACTGACCATTCAAATTTTATGAACGCATTTTAGCAAGATTAAGGAGAACCTTTACTTATACTATTGTTAACATTCCCACCATCACAATTCCGGTAGAGCTTGTACCTAAGGGTTCCCTTAGATATAGAATTCCTACGGAAGACTAGCGGTTAAGTTGTCCAAACGTCGCGGTCATGAAACAAACTATTCGACATTCATTTATCTAAATAGACACGTACATCAAAGACGTATTTCAAAGTATGAACTCACCTGATTGTGAAATCTGTAATCCCGCCAGACAGCGCTTGAAGAATGAGGCAGAGAACTGCTGGTACTCACAGACATTAAACATCTGTTAACCAACTCGTCCATGGAGTGTCTGTCATGTAACGCTTTGGATCTCTGATAGAACAGGTACTCAGTCCACAGTACCTGCACATCGTGTCTGGGTAGAGGGCTATGCACTGCAGTTTCAAATGCTGCCTCGGGAGTTAAGTTACCCCATAAAGTATTTGGTGGAGGAGCAATCTCTAGTAACAAGCTGGCAGTTTGAAAGGGAACATCAAGTCGTAAGCCTTAGGGAGCCAATTATTTACAAAGAGTAAATCTATTTGATGGGCATTAGTGGGGAGAAACACGAGTTAAAAAAGATCACCATTAGTTTTAGTTTTGCTTCTGATTGGCCGAGGAAGTGGTGACAATTTCCTATGCCAGTCATAGAGTAGTAAGTGACGCAATACCTGTGCAGATACACGTAACTTTCAATGATCAATTCAAAAATGCGCTGAGCTCAGATAGCAGTTCTCAATTTGCATGCATTTCAATAACTTACCAATAAGATAACCAGAGAAAGACCTTTTCACTGCCCAGACTTTGTGGGTCAACTCCTGGCAACAGAGGTGGACACTTGTAGTCATAAGGGAGGGGCAGGGATAGGAGTCGACGATACAACGCAACAGGATCACCAGCCTGGTCCTCTGCAGAAACAGCAGCCAAGCTTTGTACCTCGCATCCTTGTGATTCTTTCTTCGCCGCAAACTTGTTACGAACACTCTTGATGAGAACTGATACGGCCTTCTGGACTTCGTTCTGTTGATTTTGTTTTTCAAAACAAGGTGAGAGCCAATATAAATAAAACTACATGTACCGATCGTTCAGCACGCAGGCATGATATTTCATACGTGCTAGGAGAGCACTAAAAACCGCCTTAACACTAAAGAAGCTTTTACATCACTTCGGTCTGGCTCGTTCTCTCCCAAGGTAACGTAACTGGATTTTTATGCAAGTAAAGCAGTAGAAAAAGGGGTCCGTGGTTAATTTTTCTTTAATAGCCAACAAGAATAACACCTTCTTCGTTAAAAACAACAACAAAAACCACAAAAAAACTATCAAAGCTGGTGAAGTTTGTGCTTAAACTTGACCCTGGCAGGTTGACACCGAACCCTTTAATCTAAGCCTTAGCAGCAAGTGAGATCATAGAGAGTGAATGAAATTCAAACTAATATGTTCACATTTGGAATAGAAGGGAAAACCCGCCACACACTGTTACAGATGATAGTGTATTCAGAGAAGGATCTTTGGGGGACCACCCAGTTATGAGTCATTCACAGAGAGAGCTCATCTTGCAGCAATTGTCTAGTTTAATATTTGACACAGGTTATGTAAGCACCAAAAGGTTACAGTACTCTGGACAGTTGACTGACCTGCTGAAGGTAAAAGCGTGCTGCACTGTAAGACAACTCAGCATTGGCTCCACACTTTTCCAGCGCCTCTATGCACACCTGTTCTGCATGTCCACCCTTCTCCGGCGAGTCTTCAAGTGCTGCAAGACACTGCCACAGCATCACTGAAGTTGGATGGTCCTTTAGCAGATGGCGACAGATTTCTCTGGCAGAGTCAACTCTTCCATATGCTCTCTCCAAAGCAATGAGGTTCTTGTAAAGTGGAAGGCAAATGGCAAATTTGTCAACGGGAGGTTTTGCTACTTCACCACAAGCTTTCAATGCATCTGGTAAAGGAAGAGAAAGGAAATTAGCAAGCATTGTTACTCACTGAATCTAACTCCTAGATCAGAACAATTTTACAACTTTTAAAATTGTCGAAAATATTCCTACAATACGTGTTATCTCTCCAACACGGATGACAACTTAACTATTGGCAGGTTCCGGTACAGGAATTATTTCACCGTTCGGGTGAAAATTAATGGCTACCTGATCTGACTACTTCCATACATTTTTAATTACCAACTGGGTTCATTGAAATATCTTTGTAAGTACAGGATAAGTGTATGGCAAGGTGGAGGACTATTGAAACGATGCACAGTTTATCCTCTCACTACAAAGATCTGGATATTCTGAGGCATTTGGCATTTCCGTCTCTCTTCTGAATCGCGCATTTTTAAGGATACGTCGGACAACCACTTAGGCGTAAGGAAACGGTTACAGGATAGAGACACTATTCTACCTTGAAACAACACCCGTAACTTCTTTCCAGGGGCTCTCGATTGCTGCGATGGTTTCCACGGGAAAACAAAGTTTTCCTTTGTCACCATCTTGGAAGGTTCACCACGACTAGGATCAAACCATGGGGAAGGAAGACGGTGGAATTCAACCACATGTATATATCCTAACCAAGCACAACAATAGTCTGAGGCCAACAGAAAGCTGGACAATTCTGGAACATCACCATGATCGTGAGTTTTCTTAGTTAGAGCCGATTTGAACACAAGTACAGCTGACGCGTAATGTCCAGAATAGAGTTCTAGTTGAACGAGGTAAAGCAATGTTTCCAGGATAAAGTGAGAACGAAGCTCCACTGGATCAATGGGATTTAATGTCAGAAAAGAGATAAGACGTATACAAACATTCCTCTTATCAATGTACGTTCGCGAATACTCCAAATACTTCCACCAAACACTGTAGGTGGGAGAAAACTCCACAGCTTGGTCACAGATCTCGTTGAGCTCCTCTCTACTGCTCTGTGAAGAATATAACTCCAAGTACTCTAACCATAACTCCTACAGGAAAAACAAAGACATATGGAGCAAAGTTTTCACTGCTTTCCATAAAACAGATGACAATCCAGTCCGATCAGAAAAGTCGAGAAAAATAACCGAAAGCAATCATTTCCTGTGTAATTGTTGTTTAGGTGGGGTTTTACCCAGGATGCCGAGCTGTGAAGAAAGGCCTCATTGAAGTCTAATTACTGTTGACACATACTCAGTACATGTAGAAAAGCATATTCTAATCTCTGCACACGTGTGAATACTTGTAAACTCCGTGGGCAGAAAGGAACTATGGATGATTGTTTACAAAACACAGTAGTCTAAAATTACAAAATTAAAAAATGAAAGGGCAAAGTTGTAAATTCTATGGTGTCACTAAATAAACGCAGGTACAATTGTAATCACATAAATAATGAAATCAGGAAACTAGAAACACATTAAAAAACAATTCATTTTCGCAGGTCGCATTATTTTGTTGACTGCCTCCGTCTCAGTTTTGTACAATAACTATTAATACCTGTGTTAGGTAACCTCAGAATGTGCACACAGTCCAAACTACAGTGTACTACAAAATATACAGGTTGCTTTGGGTTAGGTGCATATTCTCCAGACTGTTCTCTATAACTTTCCTAAGGCACTGACAAGGATAATTTGTTTAACAAGCAAGGGCCTTTTAAGTTGGTGATCATTTCCTTTACTCTCGATAACGTAATGTTTGATTCAGGGATGATACTGTAAGGAGAAATTAGAAGCTAGTCACTCTTAGGGGTCAGAGGGTTAACAGCAGATCTTAAGTACGTACTAATCATTTACAGCTCATTGTCATACCTCTGACTGATTATTTTCCTCCAATCCTCTGGAAAGTGTACTGAGTGCCTGCATAACATTATTGTTGTAAGTGTCCTCCTCTTCCCCTTCAGCAGTGCTGTTGCTTTGATGAAGTTTCAGCCTTGCTAACTTGAGCCATAGAGCCACATCACCAGGAGAATTTTCTAACGATGTTTCGAGAGATTCAATGTTGTCGTACTCCTCCGAAAAGTAGCGTATTTCTTGACTACAAAAGGGAAGATGATGGTTAATCAAAATTTCCTAGACAGACCAAGCTACATTTACTTAAAGAACCCAAAGAAAACGTCCCTGTCTAAAAGAGCTTACCGCTGTCATAACCCCAAAAGGGGTAAACACCTTTTTCCAGCCAAAGCTAGAAATGTTGGCTGGCCTTTTTGCATGAAATACATGGTGTAAAAGTGTATATGCTTAACACAAATACATTTTGGGTAAAGATGCTCTCTTTCCTTAGGCACTAAAATTTGATGGCATGGAATACAGAAAAAAAAAACAGTTCAAACAACAGTAGTTAACAGGTGTTTTACCAGAATTAATTGAAACCTACAGCATGCTCATACCTGTAATGACTAAAGTGTACCTGTTTGTCCTTACAACAAAATACAGTACATCTATCTGTTACTCACCTTTCCTCGCCAGAAACCCTCAATTGATGTCCTACAGACTTGCTGTTTTTGGATGCTACACCGTGAACTTTATCTCTGTTGGTAAAATTTATTCCCTTCCCTATATCAGAAACTACTGCTTCATCCTCATATTCAATCTTTTTCTTATCAGTCTTTTGAAGCTTCCAAGTGCGTGGTTGAAGGCAGATGTTAAAAGGTCCATTTTCTTTCCTACTCTTCCTCACATCATTAACCAATAAAATACAAATTTCGTCCCACGACATTTTGTCTTGATATTGCTTTGCGAAAGCCTTTGTAAAAGATTCAACATTCTCTTGCATCTCCTTCACATCTTTAAAATCTGCAGTGAGGTTTGGATTGTAAGCCGCCAAATCCTGAAGTATTTCTTCTTGTGACATCTTGCATTTGACAAAGTGTTGGAATTTACAGTCATCGTCATTACATTTGCCTTGCAAGTCAAAGTTGCAAAGAGGCCATGTAGGATCCAATTTATTGGAGAATGTTAAAGAAGTAAGGGAAAGTTCATCTTTGAGTCTGAAATACGGGCTCAACCTGAAAAAACAAAACCTCGGTTTGACCGCTGGTAGTTAATGTCCCTTTGGTGGCCCTTACAAATATCGTATCAAAACGTACAAGACGCTTCAGTAAAACTCAGTCAATTTTTCGTCAGCGGCTCGACAGAACAAGCCCCAACACATAATTATTCCTCTTTAATTAAATGTGTGTATGCTCTCGAAACCAACTTTTTTCATCTCCACCATTAAAAAGTACAGGAGACAAAATTTACCGCTTATCAAGTTTTAACATTCCAAAGGGTACCTAAACCATTCAAACGTACTTCTATTTTAAGGGTCAAGAAATAAGCAACTTTGTGATTGTCACCACAATTAACAATATTCCCGAAATAGTTTTCCAAACAACGCAACGTATACCTGTAAATAGAAATTCACTGGTGTTTTACAACAAATTTACAATAGGTATATGAACCCCTCGTGATATTTTTTTCAGTTTCTTCCCACAAGTGCAGGTAAGTGTCTAATCACGAAATAGATTTAAAAATTTCGGTTTGTAGATAACCATACCACGTATCTAATGAGGGAGAAAAATTCCAGCCGTTAGAAAATTTGAGACTTTTTACCTTGGCTTTGCCTATCTTAATCTGTTTGTTTATTTGGGAAATAATTGCGATGTTTGAGGTTTCACCTGTATGACTTGAAGTGCAACAATTTACTGCGGTATTTTCCAAAGGGCAGAGGAGCCACTTCATAATCATTTCTTCTTCTGATCTCTCCAGCTGCTAATTCAGTGCTTCTTTCCTCCCCCTTTGTCAAGTTGTCCTGCTCGCTAACTAAACTTTTAAGCTCATAGCCAAAGGGTAAGCAAACACAGTGGCTGGAACGCTTATCCGCTGTCAGTGGGATATTAAGAGTGCAAGCAGGAAACTGAGGACCTATCTTTTCCTTTTCAGCCTGATTAAAAAAAACAAGAAACATCAGTGTATTAGCGTTTTTCTAGGTAGCATTTGTGATGCGGGTAACTGAATATGAATTACATAAGTCTAGTCTTAATGAGGCAACTAGATAAGCATAAGCATGAAGGACTGTGGTACCTAAGTAGTAGAACACAATGTCTGAGGAAGACTAGCATTACATAGTCAAAATGACAAGATCCACATAAGAAGTGATCAAATTGAGAGACAAATGTACCGTACAACAATACTATATGAGCAAATCATCTTCCCGTGCCACTGTACGGAACCATGGAACTCATAATACTATGTGAATGAACTTAGATCATTATTCCAATGTAACAAGTAAAAAATAATGATACATGGGCAAGAAATACCTTACACTATCTAGGGCTGATACATACTGAAATCCCTTTCTTGAAACAAATAGGTAACCTTTGATCACAGGTAATGTACCAATTGTGTGTTCATTTACAGTTCTTGAGGCACTTTACCAATATGTGACTCCACCTAAATTAATCAGAACAGACATTTAAAACTAAATCATTTACCTGCAATTTTCTCACGTGTTCCAATTGCTGGTTAGTTATGTCCAACGCAAATATTGTTGGTGTTTTGCCATCTTTAAAAGGTGTGGCCTCTGGGAGAAACTGACCACTTGCTCCCCTTGAATCAAAACCTTGTCCCTGTGACTCATGATGACTTGTATTATCGCAACTTGTGCCAGCTTTAGGTTTCTTCTCCTTTATCTCAATTGCCTTGGCATCAGAACTGTCTGTGATATTCTGAAGTACTTCTCCTGATGCCTTTAAAGCAGAGTCTCTGTCTCCTTCGCGTTCTCTTCCAAACTGTTTGAGTTTTTCAGAAAGCTCGTGCTCAAGTTTTCTCAACCTGGCTTTTTCCTGAGCAATACGTTCTGCCACAGGTGATTTTTTTGGAGTATTGGTTGCTGAATTTGCTGGACTTCCCTGAGGTGTTTTGAGTACTTGCTTTGCTTTCTTGGCCAACTAAACGGAGGGAGAAAGAAAGCATGATGAATAACAATACACCAAGACAGATAAACAGAATTACCCCTCTATGATGTAAAATGTGGACTTCTACTGTACGTCTATAGACTCATACAGTATACAGACTATGACAAATTACTCATAACTACCTACAAATGAGGTAGACTAATTTCCATTAAGTGGTTGATTTTTTGTTATTTTTATGCCTTTTTTTAATTTGGTACATGAAGATGAATAACTTGTACTAGGTAGTTTTCAATTTGATTAATTCAACCTTTTAGGGAAAAGGAAATTAGTGAAGCTATTGAATAAGTATCTGTATAAAATAATAGATGCCTTATCTAAAAATAAAGGGTGTTCAATAACTTGAAGCAGTATCACATGTCAGTTCCAACGAGGCAAATACAAAAACTTCAATACCTCCACATCTGAAGCAAACATTACTTCACTAACAATAAACACAATAATTATTGTTGCAACACAAATTCAAAATAACAATATCAGGAACTCACAATTCCTTCTGAGGATGATTCACTGACATCAAGTTTTCTCTTCACTGTTATTTCCTGTTTTGTGAAGGTGGACAGTTTTTCAAGTTTAGCCTCTAGTGAGTTTTTGATCTCCCAAGCAGCAGCTGGACTAATTGTGAATTTCTGGTTTTCATTGCTGACATTGCCCAGCAATTCCACTTGAGGGCTATTTCGCCCAGACCCTGCTTCCCCTGCCATGGGCATTTTCCTTTTCACTGCTGAAATAATACTTTTGGCTCTGAGGAGTTCCTCTTCAAAGCTACTTGAAGCAATTTGTCTCTTGCCAAGTCTATCTTTGACCAGCTTTGTCCTTGATCTGAGCTTATTCATAAAAATCTTATTGGCAAGACTAACTTTCTGAGCAGCCTCAAGTTCCTTTTGAAGTTTTCGCACATTTTCCTCTTGAGCCGCAAGAGAATGCTTTCTCTGAAGAAGCTCACTCAACAGTTTATTCAGAGTGACCTTTTCTTTCTGGATAACCTTCCTATGAAAAAAAAGATAATGTATATTCTTGTAAGAATCTGCCCTTGGCTCAAGCTTGCTTGACAGGGCTTTAAAAGGGTATTTTTTACAGTGCCTTTAATCCTTTCAGGCTCAGAGCTGATCAGTAGATTTTTTCCTACTAAATTAGTAATAATAAAATCATCAACAACGGGTCATTGGCTTGTTACAACACCAAATTCTCAGCTCTCATATCTTGGGACTGAAAGGGTTAAAGGAATAAATCATTACAAATTCATGTGTACAAACTACCCCCATGTATCAGCACCACAACTGATTTTGAGATAACAACTTACTTATGTTTAGCAAGATTCTCTTCACAACCAGTGACATAACTGTGTAGTTCTTTCAAATGACTGTCATCCTCTTTTATTTCATTTCTTTCTTCATTTTCAGGTGTTACAGGTAGTGACATGGCTTCTATGAAGAAGAGATAGGCAGGCTCTTAAAACAAAATGTGGCTTTTATGTTCTGCATTAATGTTGAAGAAAAGATAAGCAGGTTTAGTTATCAGCCTCTTAAAACAAAATGTGGTTTTTATGTTCTGCATTAATGTTACAAGCAAGCCTCTCTATCAAATTTGTTTACAATTACCTTTACTCAATGGGGCTAGTCTGCATTTTTGGAAAATATTGATTCAGTTCAGATATCAAAACTCAAATTCAAGCCAGTCAAGTTATAGTCACCTCAAACTCTGTACATGTGATTAGCAGAAAGTTACATACATAAAAATATAGTGCACATAACAACCCAACAACCAAAATCTTCTTTGCATGGGGATACTATCACAGGTTTGCTTAGTCTTTGTTATTTGCTTGAAACCCTTTCAACTTGTTGTAATTTAACTATTAATAAAACTAGGCAAACACCTACCTCCTTTTACTTTAGCTTACTTTTGATTCCTTGAATATTATATGAAGTTGAAGTGGGTTTCACATTATTACAGTTACCTTTTTCCTGATTAACAGTAGTAAGTGGCTGTCTTGTTTTACTCTCATGCAAGGCTAGTTGTTCCTTCAGTCTTTTGTACTCTGTCTTCATTTGCTCTGGCATGTGAGCCATTGCATCTGGAGTGGTTGGTTCTGGTGACACATGGTCTGTTTTTCCTTTCTGTGTTCCTTCACCAGCATGTGATTTTTCTGTTGCTTTCACTTTAGAGGCCTTGAAATGGAAAAGTGACAGTTAAAAAAAGTATCCTGAGCCAGGTGCAAACCAAAGGGCAGACCACTAAAGTTGCCCCATAATTTTATATGCCATCAAATTGGTGAAGTGAGTTTTTTCATACAAGACTGACTCACATAGCTGCAAGAACTCAGTCATGTCTCTAATGCAAGAAGAGACAATTACAAAGGCTATTCACTAAGATGGGATAAACTTCACTGCAGGTCACATTCTTGTATTTTGCTAGTGCCCATTTGCAGCTGGGAGAAGGAAATACTGCTTGTGATACATTGACTTACACTCAACATAGTTGAATGTGCAAACCAAATCACTGTTATTGTGCCAACCCAAACCCATAGAAACAAAGAACAAAAGCTTAAGGTGCTAATAAAAATCAATAGAGTTTTTTACCTCAGCAGACTTCCTGGCTTCCTTAATCATCATTTCCAGTCCTCCAAATAAGCCTCCACCGACAGATTTTTTCTTGTTTGGGGCAGATTTTTTGACAGATTCTGTATCAGATGCATCAGACTCATCACTGTCAGAATCCTCTCCTAGCTTAATTACCACAGGGTCATGTTTAGGAGGAGCAACAAATGCCACCTACATCCACATAGAAGAAGAGAAACATAAAAATGATACACATTTTCAACATTAGTTCTCATTTTCTTTAATTGTTCACCTGTAACACAAAGCCTTACGGTTACATGTAAGTATGGAGTATAAGTTATAGAAGACAACATTTTTATCATTATTTGACATTTATGAGGGTTCAAAGCCTCTTACTACAGCCCTGCTATGTTTGAGTGGATCATGATTAATGTCTTTGTAAGCATGCATAAAATATGTTTCACTTTAAAAACATAGGCAGAAGTATTGATGGGTAGGTGCCATAAAGGTAGGAACAAAACAAGGCAGCAATCTCCTTAATGGCTACAAAGTCACCATGGCAATTAAGCTCAGACAAACCTGCATGCACACTACAATTACAAAAGAAAAGAAACTAGTGTATGAAAAGTATAGTTCCCAAAATGTGAGATGAAGGGAGGGATGAAAACAAAAAAAAATTGGCAAAAATTAAGCAAAATTTCATGGCAATGCCCTTGCATTGCAAAAGCACTGCCAATGTTGTAACATTGAATAGACACAATAAGAACAAATTAGGAAAACACAAATTCATCCATTAAGAGATATGATCATAATACCTGTCTGGAATCCTGTTGCTGTTTTACTTGTTTTACAGTGTTTGTTGTTATTTTTGATGCCTTTGGGCTTTGACTCTTAGAACCTGACCCATTCTTGACAGATTCTTCCCCCTTCTACAAAAACATGAAGAAAATGCCTCTTTTAAGGAAAACTTAACCTGCTGACATTGGTAATATTCCTAAACTTACTGGGTCATTGGTATAAATACATCCTTTTAAAGGTAAATGTATAACACCCAAAAAGAGTACACTGTATACAATATTTGTTGTATATTGGAAAGCTTCTTCACGGTACTTAATATGAAAAAGTACATAGTACACAATGTGGTAGCATAGCATGGTTACAGTGCTCAAGTGTAAAAATTCATGTACGACAAGTCTCTACTAGGAGCAGCATGAGACTGCTATCAAGATCTTTGTTGCATTTTAACACAACTTTTGCCCCAGGGAGCAGGAATTTAGGCAAACCAATCCTCAAAAGTTCAAGTCAGGGGTTGCCTTTATCAATTCAAATTGATAGATGCATAAATTAATGAAATATGTTTTACCCCAGCATCAATTTTAGCCTTCCTTTTTACTGCTAAAGATTTTAGCAGCTGTTCCCTGAGGGCAACTTCATCATCCTCATCTGAATTGTCTTGACTTGAAACATCCCTACTATCAACCTGTGGCAGCTCCTTGGTGCTTTCGACCTCTAATGGATGTGACTCCTTGCCCAAAAATTCTACAAGAAAGTTTATTACACACTTTACTTCAAACCTTCTGCATGAGAAGTACACTCATGCTTTGAAAATCATTTCAATTTAGGTTTTTTTTGGGTCTATTATTGTCAACACAGACTATAAGAGGTTAAAAACAAACTCTTAACAAAAAACTGACGCCTGACAAAGTGGAAAAAAAGGACTGTACGCTACCGTTTTAACAGAGGTTGAAACTTGGAATTTATGGCCAAACAAGGAAGATTGTTCCCAAAACTGCAAAGTAGCTCAAGTTCAAAGAGTTTCAAAATAGAGTATGGATCATAACCAACCCAAAAGTCAAGATAGGTTACTCACTGGAGAGAGGTGCCTGATGGACAACAGGATTTGCAAGAATATTTACAGACCTTGATATTGAAAGTGTTGGTCCTCGTGGCCTGCTGCCATTAATGGAGCTGAACCAGCAAACCAGTCAGCATAGTTCTGTTGGGAAAGAAGTCATTTGTAGAAAATGAATTCCCAGAATTCCTCAAGTTTCTTTTTTTTAACAGAGGGGGTATAAATGTGACATATAGTATAACAATTTTGCAAGTTTTAATTTTCACTTATTTGAAGGGTTTAGTTGATCTGAAAATCAAAATAAGTCCCTGGAGAAAGAAAAGCCCACTAAATAACAAACTGCAATAATAATTACCCCAAGTTCAGTACAAAAAAAAATTCCTGGGGATTAAGTTAAGTGCAGGGATAAAATATACTGTTTCTGTCCTTTTAGACAGTATGCTCTTCATATTCAAGATTTACATTCTCTATGTTTTGTGTCAGTCAAGAAAAAACCAAGAACTTACCTGGAAATATCCTGTTGGGTACATCTGTAAACAGGAGTAATAAAATTTAAGAATGTGAGGACAGAAGAATTTGAAAAGAGGGCAATTGACTTAACATAAGCTGGCTCAACAACAAATGAACAAACAAAACACTAATAATGGACATGCAAGATTAACATGATACATACTCATAATCTTACAATTCCACACTCAGTGTAGAAAAACTCACCATAAGTGATGACTGCCCAGGATCCACATAAAGACAAGCTGTTGTCATGAGATCAGAACAAGAAAATTCCCTTTTAACAACTTCAAAAAAAATCTTAAAATTAACTCTTCACATGATATATGAAATCAACACATGTTAAGTAATAAACTGTCTCTATTAAAGTAAAGATATCCTGTGGTACAAAGTACTGCTGTCAGCTCACACATACACACACATCAGCAGTTTCCTTCTTTGTATTTCATGATCATCTAAAGAATCAGTTATGCCCAGTTGAAGATTTAAAACCTAAAGCACAATCACATATCATACATAATGTCAGCTTTAAATTGAGCAACTACCTGATTCTCCACCAGCTAAGGGTGGGGGTGGTGGGGGAAAATCTTCTGCTGGTTCATCTATTAATGGAAGAGCTGGGCCATCTGTAGAGGGTTGAATGGAAATTTATTCACAAAAATGAATTAAATTTTTTAATATGAGAAGCTGAACAGATGGAAAAGTACATATATAATGTCATCATCAACAACATTTTGCATTTTAATCAAATCAATAAAATAGATTGCATGCTGCAGTGTCTGTACTGTAATCAGTCCGAGAAGAAGTCAAAATGTGACAGGAACATCAGAGACATAATCTGCTGCACCTTGTGTGCCCCTTTTTTGTTATCATCACAATTAGACATCATCTGTGATCTATTACTCCTCAAATTTAAAGTTAAAGGGTTTAAAAAGTCAGTGGTACATCATTCAGAATGAAGCACTTCCCCTAAGATTGCCATGGCAGTGCTTTTAACCTACTTGTTCACTAATTCACATCTGTGTGGTACTTTTGTCAAGATTCGCATTTTTCTTTGACTAAAAATTTTGTAAACTGGTTTCCTTTGTTTTAGATTACAAAAATCAATACAAAAACAGAGGAAAGAAGAAGTCAAACTGGTTGCAGTTCTGAAGGAATTAAATCAGTAACACATACACATTTGTGGGATGTCAATGTTGAAGAGAAGGTAGCCTTAAAAAGACCTTTCCTGGTTGAAGAAGATAACAAATTGGCTCCCTAAGCAGAAAATGTACTTTAATTCTGATGGTGACTTCTGCTCATGTTGCCGATACATTAACTTCAAACTAGAGTCTTACAGTTACCTTACCGAGACAGTCACACCATTAATCTGAGATTCACACCTTTACTATGAATCATCCAAGGTATATGTACCTGTTGAGTCACTCTCCAAATCCATAGGTATCTCAAAGTAATCATCGTTTTCAAACAAAGCAGGATCACCTTCTTTTGAGGGTGAATCTCTGTCCCCTTCCATCTCAGTTCCAGCCAACTTTACACTAGAGCTTCTTCTCCTGCCTTTAACAGATTTGGTCAATTTCTTTTTACTGCGCCCTTTGTTTCCCTGTTGATTCCTTTGGTCAGAAAACCTGTCAGTGTTCATCTTTTCCTGCCACTGCCTAAGTCTTTCCCGTCGCTCCTGTTTCTTGTTGATGTCCTCCCTGGAAGAAACATAAAAAAGAGACAGCTAGAATCTGTTTCAAAGTCATTGAATACACATTCTCCAAATCCCCATATAAACAGTTGAATCTGACTCATATGATACTTCTACCATAGAGAAATTTGAGGAGTCAATTTGTATAAACAGGCTCTCAAAATCAAACTTAAAATGCAAACCTAGATTGTTGTCAAGTTTTGTTTCATGAGGTTTGAAAAAACCTTTACATTATCATCACAGGTTTTGTACTTGGACTGCATGTACTAAGTAAAATAACCTCTGCATACTATGCAACAATTTTAGCCTAACTTCTGCAAAAAAAAAAAAGCAAAACAAAAAAGCAAGTCTTAAAAAAAAACACCACACCTGTTAGACTCCACTGGAACAGAGCTTCCTGCGAGGGACATAAGTCTTGCCTCCAGTTCATTATGAGGGTCAACATGTGGGCCTTGATTAGAACCAGCAGCTCTAGGCTTTTGACTGTTTACATTATTTTGCACTGATCCTTGAAATACCTTTCTCTTTCTTTTCCTGCGATTTTTCCTTATCTTAGACATTGGTACACTCTCTCTAGTTCTTGACATAGTTTCCAGGTCATCGGCTCTACTATTCTCCTCTACAATTGAATCTTCCACCTTAACCTTCCTTTGTTCCAGATCTTTCTGGCTTAATTCTTTGATTGAAGGCACACTGGTGTAAAGAGGTTTTATTCTAAAAGGGAGAAATGGTTTTGGTTGTGCTGGTTCAGCAGTTGGTTCACTATCTAATATCTCACTGGCTCCCTCCATATCATCCATTTCGTTACCACTTCCCATGTGTAGCAAATTCATATCAGCAGGTAAATATAAAGTATTCTGTCCCCTACTCTCAAAATTTTCATGGCCATTTTCATTTTCTATTGGCAAATCAGATTTTGTATCCTCCACAGGGATATCTATGAAAGTGTCATCAATGATATTGTCTTCACCCGCAGATGAGTTTTCCTGATTCTCGAGGGCAGCAAGCTGTTGTTGAATCAGGCGATGACGTTGTAGTAGAATCCTATAATCATCAAATTCCTCATCAAAAGGGGATGGCACTCTTCTAGGTTGTTCTTCATGGGCATCAGGAGCTGATGAACTCATCTCTCTCTGAAATGGTTGTGATTTCTCGTCTAGCTCCATTAGAGGCAGTCTTTGTACATGTCTCTCTGTAGGTGACGGACGAGGCAGCCTCGGCCTATCAGTATCCAAATAAATTTGCCTCCTTTCCTCGAGTTGTGATCGTGGTCTGGTCTCAAGTGGAGTTATGATTCTTGCTCCTTCACTCTCTGCATATGAAGGTAATCTTTCATCAGGGTATGCAGGTCTTGCTCTCTCAATGGACAAGGGATAAGGTAAATTGGGTCTTTGAAGAAAAGCTATATAAGGTGGTGTTGTTAAGAAAAACCTAGATATGTTGTTGAGAAAGACCCTGTTATATTGGAAACAAAAGAACAATCCTTTCAAAGGCCGAGGAACAGTACAACAGCAATAGCACACATACACAATCACAGACAGGAACTAATGTAAATTACACAAGAAACATACACAACACTACATGTACACGTAAATCTCAATTAAGCACATCATGCATGTGTAGCAAATTAAAATGAATTTACAAGTGAAGTGGTTTCAAACTAGTTTGATTCATAGTTGTTCTACAATCTAGATTAATAGATATTAGTACAATCCCAGACAACAAATAACATCACTCAATCAAGCTGAAATTTGAATTGGAAAATAATTTTTTTTTCTGATAAAAATGATTAATTTGCCATACATACTGTACCTAAAGAACTAACTTCAAGAAGAGACAAGCCAACTGTTCCTTGTATTATTTTGAGCAAATGTTTACGCAGTTTTTAAGAAATATTTATAAGATTATGGATCACCATCATCTGTTGTCTTTCAGTTTTCATAGTGTTAGTCTTCAGTTGTCGTATTTTCAGTTTAAGTCAAATTTATCCTATAATGTTTCAGTTTCCAAAAAGCAACTGACATCTTCTCACTTTACTTTCCCCCAAGGCACAAATACTTGCAGGGCGTGAAATTAATTTTTTTTCTGATAGCCACTAGGCTCCTAAATTTTTTAAAGTGGTAGCCAATTCAAAAAAAGGAACAATTTGTCTTTTATTTTTCAAATATTGCTAAGTTATCATGTGCACTTTGTAATAGGCCAATTTAGAAATAAGGAAAGTTTTGCCCATCCACTATATACATTACAGTTTAGGGAGAGCAACATAATTTGGCTTTATAAAATAAGTTGATTATGTAAGTTTACTGCTGTAAAGAATTTCTTTAGCTGTTGTTTTGAGTGTAAGCCATTCATTTTTCTCACTGATGAAGGGCTAATACCCAAAATGTTGCCTTTAGAAATTCTTAATTGTGGTCAATTACATTATCAACTCAGTTGATAAAACCAAATTTTTTTTTTCATTTTCCTCCACTGGTGCAGCATCACAATGTCTTTAAAAAGATACCCCCTTCATTCATTTTCCATTTAATGAGAAATCAAGCATTTGTGGTAACAAGTCAAGCATTCGCTAAGGGGTCTACCAGTCTCCATATCTGTTGAAAAAAATTTGTGAAAGCAAAAGCTTCCTATTGATGATTGATACAACTGATAACTAATCAGAAAGTAATCAATGGATTGGCACAATTTCTGATAATGATAGTGATCAGTATTTATCAAGTAACAAAAATATTAAACGTTTTCTGGTTTGTATTTGTGTAATATTTGTTCTGTTTTGTTTTGTTCAAGGACTCCAACACTCTCTATTCTCAGTTTCAATTCCTTTTTGTAATCGATCTCCACCAAAAACAGCAATCTCACGAGCAAGGAACCCAGCATCCCAAAATCACATAATGAGGAACTGACCTAATTGATTGATACGTCATTGCACAGTCAGGTGATGTAGCTTTAAATCGTAATAAATTCGAGTACCCACCTTTTACGACAAAAAGGAACAAACACACTCACACACATAAAGAAAAAATTCAATGATTAAAAGGATACGTCTGCGCATATTTCCTCTTCTCGTAGGATAAGTCTTTTCTCGTCCATTTCCGCGAAATACTTTCCCTCTTCCCCGGCCTCTTTGTCGAGAAAATCTTCCGCGAAAAGAGCCGAAAGATCCACCTCGCGTTTCCCACCGATCAGGTGGAGGATTAAATTGTTGAAATCCAAAATCACGAATCTTCGTTTCAAATGGGTTATCGCTCGAGTACTGCTCGCGTGTCGAGTACTGATCATGACGATGTGTTAGGAGGTACAAATCGTTGTTATTTGATTCCCTTGCCGAAGGTACATCTTCGTCTATTTCACCATCTTCGAGATCGTTTATTTCCCCGTCCTCCAGTTCTAATTCTCTATCCTCTGATGCCATAATTTTGTAAAAGAACTACAGTCACAGTTATTTTTGTTCTCAACTTTGACCATGCATGAATTCCTTCACCGCCATTTTGCACACCCCGCAACTTAATCCCAGAACCCCCCGCAAACCAAGTTTGGTTCCAGTCTCCTACATTGTTTAGTAAGAGAAAAACCTCTTCATATTTTTAATGAAATTGTAAACAGTGGCGAACCTGCCTAGCTTTATTAGAAGTAAATTCTCTAACACTCGTTGTTTGTTTGGTTGATTCTTCTTTAATCTCTTTTCTTCTCAAGTTGTTACAACGGGAACTAACTCCTATCCGATGAGAAAAGCGAGGGTCACCGTTTATAAGGTGACACTACAGATGACATTACTAAGCTGTCAATCATCTTGTATCGTCAGCGTTCTATCTTAGCCAGCGAATCACGTTAGATTGCGTATTAGTAACTCGGATAGGTGATACCCTTGATGACAAAGACGGGCATTTTATTCGCCATAAGCCTTGCGTCAGGAAACAGTTTCACCATGAATTTTCCTTTTTCGAACTGAAAAGAACCAAGAAAAAGGGACACCACAGTTAACAATTATGGTGGCATTTGAACAGCTTAGGATCACAGTGGAGGGCTCTTGTATGTACTTTAAGTCCTTCAGCGCACCAAAGATGATATCCAGGCCAAAGGACAATCTTTTTGCAGACGTTTCAACAACTTGACTTTTCCTTTTGACCCTCTTAGATAAATTGCTCAGAAAACAAAAACAAAAACAAATCTGAGTTACCGGCATTGTTTGTATCGATCTTATCCGTTTATAAGGTTAATAAAGCTATAATGAAGCTCGTCCAGGTGCTAGTTTTGTGCTATTTCTCATCAACGAGTTTAAATTTAATACGCAGTCAAGACTGAATAGAATTCCTCTTTGGGTTATTGGATTCACTGAGGGAACTACATTCCATCCAGCTGAGAACGTGCCCAGACATCTGAGGCGTTTGCACTCTGACCGGATCGAATTTTCCATGTTAAGTTCTCTGGGCTGAAGACCAATTTTAAAATAGTCCAAAGCTAATTAGTTGAAATAATCTCGTATTTTGTCAACAAGCTTAATTTCTCACAGCCTGTTCTCCGGTGGGGTCGGAAATTATTTATCCGTTTACTCGTGTTCCTCTTATTGAGCGTGTGTCCACGCCCGATTGAGTGCAATTAGTTTGAGAATATCCGACATCTACATAAAGAATTCCTCTTTTATTTACCGTCTGGCCTCATTTTAGTGTTTTAAATTAAATTTGTTAACTTTAAACGTCAGGTCTATATCATTTTCTATGAAGTACTCAGTTCAAGCGAAGCAAGAATGGCGTTCGGTTTTCTCAGAGTGGGCTGAAAGCCTCTTTTGTCTTGTGGGAAAATACTTTGAAAAAGGGAGGATAGTGTATCATGACGACTTTCCCAAAGACCTCCCCCACCTTTCGAGAAGTGCCGGTGTCAGATGGAAAGAGCATAAGGATACGATACAATGCCAAATACCAGTAAGTGTTTCCTTTTCAAAACAAACCATGGCGATGGACGCCTGTTATGTTCAAAACTTTCGTGCCCAAACGACAATTTACGTCAAAGAATGTCTGTCGAGTTTTACATATCGGGAAATTCTTGCTTCTAAACAAAATTCTCCACATGATTTTCATAAAGTTACAAGTTCGTGCTTTCCGTAAATTAGAAAGCTGAGAAACCCGAAGTGAAGTTTGACGTTAACTGGATAACTATTGGCTTGAGAGCACAGTCTGTTTTCTCGAAATAACCGTGATTCACATCAGATCAGTTCGAATGAAAAGGAATTTTAGAGAATCATACTCTTTTGATGAAGCTTTCTACACCACTGAAAAAGGCTACAAACTTCTCGATTTACTTATTACCTATGTCAATGATATATAGAAACGCTCCATATGAATTTTTTGTTGCAAGGGTTAAGGATTCTCTGCAAATCTCTGTATGATGATACGTACTCGATCAATTTGCCATTCCTTAGTTTGGCCATGTTACTCGCAGAGTTTACATTAACATTTATTATATTATTTGTTTACCACTTTTTAACACATAACAATACATTTTATTATCTAACTCGGTATATACTATACTCGAACAGCTGATATCGAAACCGCGGACTCACGCTCTCCCGAGTGGTGAGCATTTTCTTATATCATGTTGTTGTTATGTTAGTCTTGTTTATCAGGCGAACCGCACGACTAAGGCGGAAACATCATGAAATTTACATTGGAAATAACACTTAAAACAGTCATAAATTGATATTCTTGAGGGTAAACTGAATGGGCGAAGCTCAAAGTTCATTCTAGACCACTTCGATAGTACTTAAACACTCATAAACATCTCTTTACTGACCAGCATTAAATAAAGATTCGGCCCACGCAAAATTAGAACCAACTAGTCAGTCAGTATTAAAGAAAGTTCTACAATCTGATCGTGTCACTCCCTTTATTAATTCAAAAAATGTGAGAGAACGCACATCCTTCAACAAAATTACCTTTGCATGTTGCCCTTGAGTGAGATTTATACATTATGTGCAAGAGCTTACTCACAATCAATAGAAGAATCTTATGAAATTAAACTTTGAATTTTAAGGTTTGTCATTCGCAACACAAATCTCATTGATCACCATCTTTCCGCTTCAGCTCCCTATAATTTTCTCATGAAAACTTTGTTGATTTTTGTCTACTCCAGTAAACTATTATTTGGAGCTTTCCTTTCTCATTTTTAACCAGATAACATTGATGTTCCGAAGTTATCAACGACCACAAAAAGAATCAGCTACAAATCAAACATAGCTTTAGGACCTGAACACGCAAATGTGATTTTTAAGATTCCTTGTGTGTGCCGCTGGCACCCATAGGAAGAAGAAAATTATTGTCGGATATTCAAATTTAAGCGAGAGTTCGATCTTCAGGTTTTTCAAGAGTTAATAAATGGAACTGTTGTCTTCGAGTTTCTGCAATGTCTCTTACTGAGTCATTGCAACAGAAATCTTTCGACAGTGTCATGGATATAAGCAAGATACAGAGAAGGGAATGTGCCTTTAACTTTCTCTTTCTGTTCCTTGATTAAATAATTAGCTTTCATGGCGGCGGCAAAACATTTTTGACCGCAGAAGTAATGCATTTTATTTACGGCAGATTCTATTTAGTCGCCAACCTACTACTGCGCCGCCCAGGGTATTCGAAGATGGACGAGTTGCAGGTTCATAAGTGTTCTTATTTTCCATGAATAACGCTTGATTGATAGTTAAGGAACTCTAATGACCAAAATTAGATTTCCTGTCTATACTTTTAAAAGACCCAAAAATATCTCCAGTACATGCTCTACAGATGTGGGGTAGAGCATTCTGGAAATTGTGACATACCTTCATTAAGCGATCGATTTTTATCTCAGTAAACCCTATTCGGGTGCGATTAAAATTTTCTGAAATTTGAAAATAACATTTTGTTACATATCTTCTCACTTATGAAAGCAAAATTAAAGATAATTGAAACGAGGGATTTAATTTGACTTTCAAAATAAATAAGCTTCATCTCGGTGCGTGCTTTGCCAAAAAGTATTCTTGAATTTTTTTCAATTTGATCCGATTCAGTTTGCTTCCCTACCTCGTTCCGGCCTTTGGATTTCATCGAGTCCATTTGTGTGTCTCTCTGTCTTTTCAAATCAATATTCCGTGGTTTCCCTCACAACTAGACTAAATCGATCGATTAATTTAAATTGGATATCAACCTCTTCGAAAGAAACCCAACGGTGGTGCAAATTGGTATCTTAAAACATGAAAACAAACTTCTTGAACCCTTGGCTTGCCTTCAGGAGACTGAAGAGGTTTATTCTTTTTTCTCCCCTGTTTGTAATTGTTCTTCCGCCCATTCCGGACTTGGTCAAAAATGAAGCAGACATTTAAGTTAGATAGAATGCGAAGAACTCTTGTCTGACCCCCGGCTTAGAAAGCCGTGCCCAAAATATGGCTTGTAAAATGTTTAACTGCTTCTCACAATCAATGCATTGTTGACCAATGTTCAATCAGTTAATGCCTCTCTTTCATGACCACATAGGCCACTTTGAAGGTCGCATCAGCTCATTACTTAACCACACAAAATTTTCGTAAGAAAAAATAACAACTTTATTAACATCAAATTGCGAGTTAATTGGCTTTCAATAAGTAACATGTGTTAGCTGTGCAGTTTCACTGAGGTAATTACGTTCTTGTCACAACGATTCGTCGGTGGAGCAGTTGAGGCAGTTGAGCGTTACCTTCGGACTACTTTGTATTGCATTTCAGTTCTAACAAAACCCTCTGGAGATGAGAGGTTTGGGACCCGATGTATCATTCCAGAAGCTCCAGCCTAGTGCACAACAGCACGCCAAAGTGAGTCCGCTGGAATAAATCAGTGCTTTTGATAATTTGATTTACTAATTTTAATTGTGGATAACTGAGTGTTACAGATCGTGAGAAGAATTAAGATTGAAACAATGTTGGGTTCATTCCTAATCTCATTGGATTAGTACAAATCGGTTTTACATCACAATCAGGATAGGTATGTGTTTTGCAGTGTTGTGGTGCAGAGCACGCCTCCCCTAATCTACGGTTAATCCAACAAGCTACTTACTGAGATTAATGTTGTAGCCCATAAAGATCTTACGTCACTGACAAACAAACTCAACAGAAAACATTTCCAGAACAGAAAACTTTTCTTTGTAAATGTTCCTTATAAACAAAGGCTTGGTTGTTGAGGCTAAACATTACCACAGACCTGGCTGTGTCACCTGAATCTGGTGTGAACAAACGCTTATTCGACATAAATATAAATCGCATTGTTATACGGGTAAAGAGTACATTTTTCGCGCGTCAGTTGAACTAGCAAAGTTTTCCGTGATAGCATTTATGCTTTCAAGAGCCTGTCGTTGTTCATCACAAATAAGACGGAAATTTCTTGCCGCAGTTGATAACCGCCTCTACGTTTCCCCTCTGTTGATCCCTCTTCACTTTATCACGGAATTGAGGCGGATCGGACACGACAAGGAACGGCGCAGCAGGACAAAAGAGTACTTCTGATCTATGAAGAAGGCAAATATTGTTAGGTCAAGTGATTTAACAGCCTCACATCATGAGGATGAGTCCGTGGGGTCGCTATAGCTAGCTATGAATTGCTGCGCAATTTCCAGTTTCCCAAACGAGAAAACTATAAACACGTCTAGGATCCAATACTGTTTCCCTGCCACACGATATGCTGTGACTAATTTTTATCGCAGTAAAATTGTGAAGAGACACACAAAGGTACACACACACACACTCATATGATACATTCTTTGCCACATAATATCGCTGAGAAATGAGTGAGACTTTATCTGATCAGTAATTCAAAGGCTCTGAAAACGTTACTTAAATTGTTGAACGAGCCATTTTCACGTCCGGGCCCGATAACTTATTATTTTTTCCTCCAGAGTATTGAGGAAAAATAGTAGACGCCTTTACAGGCTGATTATCATTCCTCTGGAGAATGGGAAATTTCCTAAGCTATACAAATACGTTATATCTTCTAAGTGCATTCATCGAGCTTATCGCACGAATTTTCAGTGAAATAAATGCTAACACAAGCCCATATGCTAATGATTTTAAAAGCCGATCAGTTTGAGTCATTTAGCTATGAAAATCTTTAAATGCATGGTGAAATTACGGGTTAGGCAACTATTCCATGCAGTCAATATCCTCTAAAGGAATTTTAGGAACTCTAACCTTCCAACTCATTTTGCGTCAGATTAAAAAAAAAAACCGCCCACTTTCACCTTTACTCTTGCATTAAACAAACTTACTCGAAACGATGGAATCTAAGTTTTTTTGCGGTTGAAAATGTTTCCCGATTTTAGACGCTTTTCACGCCAGCAAAACCTTTTCTCTTACCACTTACTATAAAATCAGTTAAGTCATTTCCTGTGCTAATTAGCGCAACGTTTAATTAGGCCGAGACGAAAATGGCCCCCCAGAGGATAACTTATACCCCATCCTATTTCCGGATTTGTGGTAACTTTGTACTGACCAGCGATCGCCAATTACACCCGATTGTGTTTTCTTAACCAGGGCATCGGTCGCAATAATCTGCCACATAAGAAGGAAATAAAATTTAAAATATGCCTCTGTGTTGTTGTTGAACATGACTGAAGTTTGTTGTACACTTTTCGAATGAGTACCTTCATCCGTGGTTTTGTACGCGACTTGTTAATTAAATAGGGTATTAGTCCTTCGAGACCACTCTATGTATTCATGCTAGCGATCAGTGCGACTGAACTTGGAACAGTAATGGAAAATAAGGCTTAATGTGCATAGATTTAGCCCGATTTAAAACAATGAGGTTAAAAAAAGATTTTTGAGCACTTGATGTGACGTTACACCAGACTTGCAGACAAACCACACTTTAAAATGCAATTTGATCACAAACCGCAAGACAAAATTTTACTTCCCAGACGGTTCTCCGAGATGCTTCATTCTTCCGTATACATAAAATATGTTTTGATTTGCAAGAAATTCTCTGAACACAATTTTTTTTATTAAGGAATGTTCTGAGCAGCACTTCACACCAAATAAATTGTCAGTCAAACGACTGTTTGGTAGCGTATGTCTTCCGATTAGCTGTAGTTATTATACCATCTTTCATCAGATCTTTAGCGAGGGTTTAAAAGCTTGGTTATCTATCGAAAAATGGGTTTATCTTGCCGTAACTGATAAAGCGTAAATATTCGCTTTTCTTGCCTTTCCACTGCGCTTAGGCGAGATCATATTTATAAAGAATTCTTGGCTGGGATTGCTAGAATACCATCGCCTTTACCACCCGACTCGAAAAAAATTTACAGATACAAAAATTCGAGCTATTTTTAATCTCACTATTTTTTTATCATACGCTAAGATATACGTGCGTGTACTGCATATTCTACTGCTAGTAAAAATATTTACGCAGAGCAACTGTTAGTGCTCGAAATTTACAAAAGAGTAACTCCCTACTGTTAATCAGAAGAGCGTAACTTCACTTCCGGTGAGGTGTTTCATGTGTTGAAATTACATTAGGAGCCTTTTGGTAATTTATGGCTTGGTGATTTTATTCTTTTTCAAGTTCGCCGGTCTTTCAATACTGGCTCGCAAATTGACGCCGCGCTTAGTAAAATGGAATGCTGAAGCCAAAGTGTGTATTGGGTATAAATAGCGTCTTCCGGTATGTACGTACCCAAGCAATTACTCAAATTTCCGTCAATGCCTTATAAAAACAGTTACGCTTGGTCAATAAGAAGGTCATATCTGTATGCAGATAACTTAAGGGCAACACTAAACCTCGCAACGGCTCAAGTACAGTGTAAATCATCAACAGCATCGAACAGTTCAAAGTCAATATCACTGTATCACTTCCCCTGGGACTTGCTAGTCTTCTGCAGCGATGAGACTGTGCGCGATTGTTGTTCTGTGCATTGAAATCTTCGCGGGTCTTCGCGTCGCAGGGAATAGATGTAACGATGGAAAGTGTCCTTCAGTTTCGCAAAACGGTTCTGGTAAGTTGTGTGGCATTTTTTTATTCTCTGGTTGTTATCATCAAACTGCATTACGAATCGGAACAATTCACTGTTGATTTCGCGTAACTAGAAATCGGATTTTGAGCTGCGCGCACTTACTCTCAACCCGATGTTACAAGAAATTATTCGCCAATGTTCACCGAGTAAATCACTCACAAGTAATCATTTCACTCAGTCCTTGTTACTTTAGAGAGCCTATTTAGAGTGCCCAAAGACTGCAGTGCATCCGAAGTCACACAAGATAAATACCATTTGAATACTGACCTTCACGGGACTGTTTGGGATCACCATTCTTCACAGTCCTCTTAAGCTGAACTTTAAAACACCAAAGAAACAGCGGACAATAAATTTTCTAAATATCACTATCTAGCCATAGCAAAAACGTTTTTTTTAGAAATATGAATGATGTGCGGAAGCTGTGCCTGTAAATTGGTTTCTGTATGGCTTTTGGAGGCGCAAAACAGTTATAAAATGGCTCATGTCATATATTCATCCCCACGGCTTCCTTGATAAGAAGGTCATTTTAAAACAGAATATCATGAATGTCAGTGAAGTTTATTTAACCCAGCCCTGGAAGAAGAGCCTAAGATAAAAATTGATTTCACGGGAAATTTCGAAGTGAGTGGAAAAAAAACCATACACCATGCTGTTATCTGTCATCGGCTGTTGTTTTTACTGTGATATATTAAGCTCCATCGATGGTTCTTCCTTCTATAAGCAAGCGTGTGGTTGAAGGTGGTTAGCCGTGATGAGCTTTAAATGATCGCTCGTTTGCAAAGTCTTTGTAAAGTGCTTTAAAGAAATCTTTTCTCTATCTCGTGTGAAAGGAGCGTGCCCTCTGCAAATCGTGCAATAGCGAAACTCGCTACCGTTGCAATGCGCGCATTTTTAACTCAGCGTAGACACCATATCCTCGTCCATCAATCAGTACATCTTCTTCAGCCAGGCAATTTTTAGGACAGATCACACAAAGAAAACTCACATCACTTTAACTTTGCTTTAGGTAGATCAAAGCAATAACATTGCGCTTAACATGCACTCGCGTATATTTTTCAATTTGCTAAAACACACTCTGAGATGCATCTATGACAGTTTTACCATACCCATATGGTTTCGGTGGGGTAATTCGCCCTCAGGCAGATTTCGGCACGAAACAATCAAAGTGATTTTTTTACAACGCGACCGAGAAGATGTTCGCGTGCAGAGTTGCCCACAATTTTTTTTTATAACCTAGATGCCGTGACCTTGCAAAAGCGAAACTATTTTGAACCCAACCTCGTGTATTGCGCTTATTTCGGGGTTTCACAGCTATTAAAGTTTACAAAAGAACAAGAGCGTAGTATTTTTACAAGGGGTTGCTAATTTTCTGAAAAATATATATCTTTTGAATTGATTTTTAAGTCCCAACATTTAACACTTGAATACCACCCCGATTATCCCAGATTAGAAGACGTATAGTTTACGAGGCATGCAACAAAGTGACTGCTTCCGTCCTTCGATGCCTGGAACCTAGCCCGTCACTGGACATAAATTTTAGCCAGACATTAAGAAAGCAGAATCATCGCGTTCTGAAGAGGTATTCCGTCACGTCATGAGAAAAAAGGCTAACGTCAACAGGCGCACGTGTGCCCACATTTCACCTCCACAGCTAAGCGTGAAAACGGAATACGATACAAGTCGGCATTTTAGCATCGGCGGGCAAGCTTTGAAACGGTATAAAATTTCTTCGTCCAATTTTCCGACTTGCGGATCTCTTTGACTATCGGATACACCTACCGCAGCCAGAATCGCCTGACAATTTTGGAACAGCACACTAACTTTTTATCTCTTGTTGCAAGCGTAGTTGTGCATCTAAAAGAAGTGTAAAATGGAAGATTACTTTCTAGGCGCGGTGCGGCAAAAACTCTGCATGGTTGCATAGTGTCTGGAAGTTGTTCTTGTTTTGCTTCAGAAAAAGCTTTGTTTGTTTCTTTTGCGGGGGTCTTTTGTACCAGCTGTAGTTTTATCAATTGTTTGGTCTTTGTCTTGCGCAAGAACTTCAGTGCCAATGGGTTTTCTAGGTCATCTTTTAGAAGAAACATAAACAGATTAACACATTTTTCGGTCACACTTGGATTGGCAGCGTCATAAAAACATGAATTAATTTTGCATCGAAAATAAGATTGTCAACAATTGCTTTAACGTAATCAGCTGGAAACAGGGTGCATAAGGTTTTGTTTTCCACACTTTAGGAAATCGTCACACGGACAGTATTTCCGTGTTATTACAATTTGCGTTCTTGATAGGGCGTCTCTGGTTTAGAGGTACAATAATTGTAACGATTCCCGTGTCAAGCTGCACGTTACTGTAGTTTGTATGATAATCACTACTCAATTTTCCTTTTACATACGCATATCATTTACAGAAAAAAAAAAAAAACAAGTTTCCTTCAGGTAATCGTGTCAACCTGCACGGAACTTTATGTTCATGAGGAATCAACCAACATGAGCAATATGGACAAAAGTCTAAAAAAAAAAAAAACACTTATTTCCATTTACCAACGCATCTTGTTTACAAAAAGCAGTTTCACAGGGAAAGAGGATAAATTCACATTCCTAAGATTCTTAAGTTGCCACTATCACTTTTGCACAAGAAAAGGCTTGGGGTTGAGTTATAGGAATAAGTTCCTCGTTTTATTTCGGTTGTCATTTTCAAGAAACTTTATTTGTTACTGTCATTATCAATGTGTGGCTTCGCGTGCCAGAATTACACAGACCAGCAAATAAATGTTGTAAACTACGTTCATTGCCAATATCTCAAGATGATTAAAAACACTTCATAATTATTTTGAATTCGGCTTGTTTGCGGAAACTAATTTTTTTTACTTCGCGTGTGTTCTTAAGACTATTCACTGTGGGAGTACCTCATTGACGCGATTGTCGAACTTGGGTCATTTAAAACCTAAAGATGTTAACTTGCCCCTATTCTTTTCATAGCGAGGCGGGCTATTTTGGCTCGTTTTAGGTTAAATATATTGACAATTTTAACCTTGACTTTATAAGGGCATTATTCATATCCCAGAGTAGTTGCCCTTAAGAGAGGGGCTTTTAAATGACTTCGGTATTGATCGACTAAGCAATCGCGATGAAGAATTTACGACATATTTGTGGTCACCGATTAAATGTTCGAACAAATTGTAAACTATTTTAAATGACTGCGGTGGATTAAAACCTCCAAACCTAAAGGATTAGCCGTTCAAAAACATCAATAACTAACTTCGATCAAAGATATCTCTCCTTCTCGTAATGGTTGTTTTGGAGAAAGAGACGCAGAAATTTTATGCAGTAGACTTCGAGACTCAAAATATGACTAAGTTATGGGCTTGTTTAGGAGTCTTACGCACTGAATCGTTGGACAGAAAATGTGGCCGAAAAATGTCCCTTCAATGTTAAGATACAGAAAAAAAAAAAAGATAACTAATTTTGGACTGCACTCGTTCAAAATGCACTCTGGCATGACATATTTTAAGAATTTCTATTGTTACCCTGTGTACGCACTTGAAACCAGGAATAATTCATGACCTTCTATATTCTATTGTTAATCGCGTTAGGTCAAAAGACCAACCCCGGTGAGATATTGCTGAGCTCACAGAACAATTCTTCTCGCATGTCTTTGACATTGGAAGCAATATCTGCGCAAATGACGAAGCATGATCTTGAACAACTAAGACGTAAGGGTTAATTAAGAGTTTCAGGATCTCATCAGCATTTTGATGATCGTCATCTGATAAGGCATAGAAACCCCACGAATAATATCGAGATAGAGTAAGTTTATCGCCCTGTCTATATCGACATGTTCTTGATGCACACGGGTAAACATATAGTATTTTATAGTACAGAGGGCACAATAAAGTCCAAACACTCCACATTGTCAAGTCAAGCATATTTATTATTCCTAGATACTTTAGATTTCATCTGAAGACCATCTATGGCTGCTTGCGTCTAGAACCCAAGGTAGTCTGTTGCGTTCATGTGCAGCTCTTGTTTACCCCATCAACTAAATCATACCATTATCTCTCTTTCAATATTTTTCCAGTACTTAAGTGGTAATGTCGCGACATAGTGAGACATTTTTCAGTGGCATCGAGTACGGGCTTTCAAAGATATGGGGAATCAAACCTACAGACTGCCAGTTTTCTAGTAGATAGAGTGCTTTTCGATTGATGGTCGTGAAACCAACACTAAAACCAAAAACAAAATAATCACAACGGCCTATCCGAAGAAAGGCAAATACTTTTAATAGCTATTAGAACTCAATGTAAAACCGACCAAAATGCCCAAAGCGCGGGAAAACGCGAGCGACCAAGTCATAATTGGTTTTGGTTTCTGATTGGTCGAGAGGGTGGTACCTGTTTTCTTCACCAATTGAAAGACGAAATAAAGCAATTATTTACGATACTCGATCAAAAATGCTCTAAACATCAAAAGGGTTTGGATAAGCCAAAAAGGAACCAAAATGGCGAAGACTTGTATGGATTGCAAATGACAAACTTGAAAAATATAATCCAAATTTTTGAAGGTACTCAAATCGTAGCCAATGTTTTTATTATTTTTCACAGTGTAGAATGCAAAAAAGCTGTACCTTCTTCGATTTGCCTATAGCTTTGATTTGTTGCGACTGTCTTAGGAATACGGGCTAATCGATGATGTACAACACACTAGTCAAACGTCTGCGCATGCGCGAAAGTTATAATAAGTAAGGCAATTAGAATCAAGTTGTCTCACACGAGTTACAAATAACCATACAAGCTAGTAAGTCAAGGTGTTTAAACAGTGTATAACGTTTTACACATTTCTGTAAACGTTTTGATTTTCTTTCGCTTATTTTGCGAGACAGCGATTGTTTCTTATGTCTCCGCGAAAAAAAATTCGACAGAAGACATAAGAAACAATCGCTGTCGAATTTTTTTTCGCGGGAAATTGGCCAGAACTGATCCTCTTGCTCATGCACGAAGTTTGAGCACCAAGATGTGCAGCCGTAGTAAGATGTGAGTCACGGAGTTTAGGCCACCAAATATGATTCTGAACCCATTTATGTGCTTTGAATCTTGTGACAGTCTCTCAAACCGAAATCTTCAACTTCATTAATAGGATGTGTAAATCCTTTTTACGAATTTAGGGGCTCTCTTACAACAGATAAAGTAATCTCCCAAAATAAACAATTTTATTTTGTATTTTCGAATCTTTTTTATGTCCTTCATGGCTCGAACTCAGACAGTAGTTGCCTGAAAGACTTGAACCTTTTTTCCAGCTCCAAACATTTATCACCCTCTAAAAATGAACCCTCTTAACCGCTGCCCATTTCCAACGTGTGGCTTCGTAGTTCGGTTAGTGGTAAACTGGTGAAGCCCAACTAGTATCCAGAGGCCTGGGTTCGAATCTAGTCAAAGCTTCAAATCTTTTTTTTGGTCTTCTTAATTGCAATTTTAAATTGCAGCTCACCTGCGAGAATCGTTGCTTTACTTGATTCTTTATCCGCAGGTCAAACGAAATTTATTTTATTAAAAATTATGACATTCTGTTTACAGAGAAAGACGGAAAGGAAAGCGATGACAGATTTACCTGCTGTGCCTGTGGAGGAGCAACCTACGACATCACATTTACTGGTAATGTAAAGAAATGTAGAGGATCAATGTCAGTATCTGAGCACCTGTGCACCCACCCTTCCCCTAACCCAGCATAAACCGTACGTTGTTATCAGTTGATTATTGTTGGGTTAGGGGAGGGGTAGGTGCGCAGTTGCAAAGATACCGACATTGATAATGTTTCTCTAAGGTTACTCGCGAAGAATCTTTGGTTTGTTCCTACAGGATGCGGCTCTATCCTTTTCTGTTTTTAATGGCTCGCGTTGTGCCCATCATTTAGAATATTTCTGTTGCGGCTTCATATTTCCAAGGTCCTGTAAAGGGCTTTTCAGAATAAATCCATTTTAAGTTGAGATTTGAGAGAAAAACAGGACCACTTCGATTGTGGTGGTTTCGCTCCACTGCTCTCTCTGATTGGTCTTAAAAAAAATTCACGTGGCCATTGCAGCCAATCAGGTGCAAAACAAACAAACTAAAAAAAAACAATCGTTTGCTTAGTTTTCACTTCGAGTTCTAACTGGTTCCTTGTACTGTTTTCCTCTGTCCCTTTTGGCCTTTGTGACTACTTTGGTTTTGGTTGAACGCTTCAAGCCACCGATTCGAGGCGACACGTGAGAGTACTATGAAGGACCGTGCGAGTGTCCCTCTTAAAACTCGCGTATATTTTCAACAGAGCGTCTGCTGTGAAGTTGCTCTTTCCTCACTAAATGACGAAGATCTCTGATCATATCTCATTTGCCTTCAGTTGTGACTCTTCCTGTTTAATTTCCCCATCTGAAAAAAGAGTGATTATGTCTGAAGGAATCCACCGTCCCATGAACACACATCATCGTTAGTTACAGAGTTTTTTTACAGGACAATCGCGTCAATCTTACTTTCACGCTTACTGTATTTAGATCTGTTTCCTTCATGGTTTTCAGTCTTTATAGTACTATCTATAACAATGGATAGCGTTGAAGGAGCGCTCTGATTGGCTGCTCAAACCCCAAATATCCTTTGCTATTCACCTCTTGGCAACTCGAATGGGATTTGCGCCCGAAAATAATAAAATTATTGCAGAAATGAGTGAGTTAGAATCATCTTTTTGTGCTTTAACATCTCGCTGTTTTCGTGTTTACTAAAACAACTGTTTTCCTCAGTGTCGAATGTTAACGGTGGATATTTAACAAGCTGCCAATGAGGCATGGCTCGTAGAGTTATTCTGTCATGATCTCAAACGGTTTTTAAACGCACTGGCGAAGATGTGTTCACATCGAAATACATTTTGTAGAGTAAAATCACCGGGATCGTGTCGCTCTTTCGGCTATTTGATGGAGATATGACAAGCATATATAATTAATGCTTATTTGCTAAGTTTGTTTAGTTCAGTCCTAGATATGAGGGTCTCAATGGGGTGGTGGCTTTTACGGCTAACAGTTAACACCTTTCCATTATTCCCACCAAACAAGTTTTTTACGGTTAACTTTTTTTACGATTAACGGTTAAAATTTGTCAATTTTTACGCCTAACGGCCAAATTTTTTGGCCGTTTTACGGCTCTCGGTTAACCCCATTGAGAACCTCATGTACAGACTGGGTTGTATAAAGAAAAAGATGTCCAATGCCTTACAGATGATTTCCCTCTAAGGTAAATGGACAGAATCTACATATCCCCGGCATTTTCCCGGGCGAATGGCACGCTGGTCACCTTTAATTGGTTCCTCACACAGTAAGGATTATATTGTATGGCAATTCGGAGGAATGGCCTCCCCTGGGGTCACAAAGGTCAGCGAGTGGGGAGCCGTCGAGATGCTGGAGAAGGAGATGAAAAATCAAGGAGAGAAGGTGCTCAGGTTAGCCTTAAAAGATGAAGTTTGCACAAAATGTTACCGTAGAACGGTAAATATTTTGCTTTCTGTACTGTATTTCCTCTCGCCTTCAGTTTCAACTGTTAGAAGTAGCCAATATCACAGAATCATTTTCCTTGAGCCAATAAAGAACCGAGATTGCTTTAGACACTGTGTTAACGCTTCTGGAAGCCAGCTTCAAGTCCTCTTCTCAGAAGTTCTGTCTTCTTTTTCTTGTGCATGCACATCCCAAGCCATTGGGATCATTCAAGGCCTATTCTTCTGTAACTTTTTTCAAAATGTTGTGAAAGATTTTCTTTTTCTTCTCAACAATTTCTTTTTCCCTTCGCTTTCTTTTTACCTTTCAATTGATTGTGGTGCACAAGTTTCTCTCTTATTATCGTCGTCTTTCTAATACCAAAGCGAAAATAAATGGTTTTTGTTCTAAACTGCTGGAATGCATGGCACTCGCATCATACTTCTAAACGAATTTTCACGTTTTTGTTCGCCTGTATCTTGGGTGACAAGCCGTGATCGTCTAGTGGTTAGAAAACTCCGTTGTGGCCGTAGTAACCCAGGTTCGAATCCTAGTCTCGGCAATTTTTTGCTAACGAAATTTTTCCAATAAATTCAGCTTCCTCCTTTTAAGTGAACTTGAACTTTTGAGAAATTAAATCACAGAGAGGAAAAGCGTGGAAAATGAATCTTGTGAAAAATTCTGAAAGCCTTTCGTGCAACTTGCCTGTCTGAACACATATCATTTTTGTTTGAATCTTCAGCATAATCAAGACGCACACGTTATATAGAAGTGCCGGCAAGGTTTCCACCACATTTAAAGCGGACAGCAAACGTAACCTTGTCTCAGCCTTGGCCAAGATCTTCCCAAGCCCTGATTGGAATGTTGGCGTTGACCGGATAAACCTGTGTGACGGGAATTGTACGTGGAAAAAAGCTGTTATCAGGAAACTTTATCCATGGGATGCTGGTTAGTTAGAAAAAAATTCAAAGATTTCCAAAAAAATTAAAAAGTCTCCGCTAATTTGTTATGCTCATAGTGTCGATTCAGAAATTTGCCTAAGATACAGACAGACTCGCGTATGAGAAGAACATTTGTCAGTTGTTTTTAGGGCGAGAAAATCTCGTTCAACATCGTGTAAACGACAATGGACGCACGAAACAAGTGCCTAGAGGCATGGGTTGAAATAGTAGCCTTCATAATGATATCAATCATGATAATTAATAATAATAATAATAAGTATAATAATAATAATGATATTAATAATAACAACAATAATATTTTGTTGACTTACATTGCACAAATACTAATGAAACATTTTAAAAATTTTAATTGTCTCGAGAAAGCACTATTGTTTTCTCACAGACGAGCGAGGGGGAGCGCGAGCTGAGTATTGGGGGCCAGACAAGCGCGAGAAGGGAAGGTTGTTCGCCCCTGCTCTAGGCTCGTGTTTTTGCCTCCGCTCGCCTGAAAACAGCAAAAAGACAAAGGAGGACCATTTACAACTGACTTTGAAGCCCCTTCGGTGCATAATGATGTAGACTACATAGATTACTAACGTACATTGAGGCTCTTTTCATTGGCTTTGATGTTGGCCCGAAAATGCCTTTAAGTGGCGCGAGGAAAGGCCCGCGAACTCTGGGTATATGGGTATATTGCATTTCTAGTGTTCTGATTGGTTCACTCAACTCCGGTTATAAGATTATATATTCCGAGTCACCTTGTATGGAAAAGCATTGCACTAACTGTAATGGAGCTGAAAAAAAATGCGATTATTCAAATCATCAGGATTTAATGAAATTTAATAAAACAATAATTCCATTTGCACTTGTTGGATACGAGATTGGTTAGAGCCAATTCAGCGCTATGTGCCTTGTTGCCTACTTACCTTCTCATATCCAACGTGCGCTCATGGAATAATTGTGACGGTGCCACTAAACCCAAATATGTTTTTTCGACAAAATAAATATCCTTTTCCTACTGATGACAAAGTCGAACAAGTTAATGTCGCATCTATTTTGGTTAATTATTTCATGAATTTTCAACGATCCAAAAATTTCCCTCCTTCATGTTCACGTAATGCGAACAGTTTTCCGAGAGCGAAGCCCAGGGAAAACTGTGAGCTTCAAAGAACAGTAGATGATGTCCAAATATGCGCGAGCAAAAATTTTTGATGGGTTATTAGATTGAGGTATTACATTTAACAAAGTTTAATTACCCAGGTACCGATGACGGGAAAACCTTCAAGTCACCGAACATTAAATCTGTCCCCCAGCAGCCAATAAGAAACATAACAACAAACACTCATAAACTGGGATCATTCCCTGGTCAGGGAGATCGCGGAGTCACGCAACCGTTTGGTCAGATTGAAATACAGCTCATGCAGACTTCCGGAGAATGCAACGGAAAGCCTGGACGTCATCCTTTCCCAGAGAAATGTAAGTAAATGATTTCTTTTCCTTACCTTAAGCCGTGATTTTTATTCGTCTTGATACAGTAGATCGTTTTATAGTTGAGGGTCCTAAAAGCATGACCAATAAACACAGACATTCAAATACCCTGTGCGAGTGGGATAATGAACAGCTATCATAATTCATTGACCATTTGCCACAGCTTGATTATCTTGCAAAATGGTAGCCTGCCTGGCAGGGAACTAGATACAAAACTCTGACTCACGACCAGTCGTCTCTCTACTTTTGAATCTTAACGTGGGAAGTGCTCTAGAGGTGCGCGCGGGGAAGATGGGAAGGGAGCAAACGATAAATGTCTCCCTCTCTTTTATTCCTTCCCGTTGTCCCCTTCGTCGTGTTAGTCCTCATCTCTCTCGACTCCGTGGGAGGATGGAGATAGGTCTGTACGAATCGTCATTATGGTAGGTTAGGCTATAAATTCGTTATTTTCTCTTTTGCATAAACAGCTCCAAAAGTTCATTGCAAAGTTTCTCGCTGGTCGGAATGGAGACCCTGCTCGGTCACCTGTGGTACTGGAGTCCAGCGCAGGGGCCGCGCGGTAATCCAGAAGCCAAAGAATGATGGGATTCCTTGTCCTCAACTGATAGAGTCAAGGGCTTGTATTCAGCCCACCTGTATTGGTAGGTATTGAGGTCGATTTAAAATGTTAAAAACTAGAACATTGCGATTGAAGGATTAAATGAAAATAGTTTAAGACTTCTCTTTCAAATGAAATGCTGTAACCACACGTTTTAGCCACAGTTATTTGAACTGCAACAAACTTCATTCACAGTGTTCAGAGCCACATACAGCAGAATACACTCGTCAATTACAAAGGAAAGTGCAAACGTTTTACAGTCGATTCTCAGCCCAAACCAAACACTACTACATTGAGATAGACTATTTTCTCCTCCAAATCATGCTTAATCCTTCAACTCCTAAGATCAAATTGTTGATTCTCCCCTCTAGCTGCTACACATTTCTTAGCATATTAGTAAGAAGCATTTGGTGTTAGATCAAGATAACAACTTCTACATGTACGAGATAAGTTTGAGTATTCTCATTACCTGTTAGCTGGATAATGTATGGATATTATAAGGAGAAATTACTTGTTAATCACTAGAAGTGTCTTTCCTTACAGAAATCATTCATATGTGAAGAATTCAATGGTGGTGAACAGATCAACTACTTTTTCTTATGTAGGTAAACCAGTCAATTGCAAACTCTCCCCTTGGTCCTCCTGGAGTGAATGTCGTGGTTCATGTAACAGGGGTGGACAATTTCGCTCGCGCAAAATTCTACAAAAAGCAGAACATGGCGGAAGTCCATGCCCAGAATTCAAATCACTTATCAAATGGAGGCGGTGTAAGCTGACAAAATGCCCGCCAGAGAAACATAACGGTGAGATTATGTTATGGCAAATAAATCAATAAAAACGAAAAGCAATCAGGTATTAAACACCGAGAGTATTCCCATCAAGGCGTATTCCTGCGCTTCACCGAATAAGTGTGTCTATTTTTTGTTCTCATTAGCTTTTACCTCTGACCTACCATTGTGATTACTTCAGTTTTGACGTTACGGCGACCAATAGCTTTTTTTAAAGCTAGGAACGCATTCGTTCTTAGAACTTTTAGAAAAAATTTTAAAAAATCTGTAGGAAAAAGCTGTGATGTCACGTTGACTTCACTGACTTTAACCTGTGATGAGGCGTCTCTCTTTTGAAGGGGAGCACTATAGTGTAGAAGTGCAAAAGTTTGTGCGCTTATTAGTAACCTTCAACTCAAATCCTACACTTTTACGCTCATCCAAAACAAAGAACGCCTGATCGAAAGTAACGCAGACCTTTCATTTCTTCATTATTGTCAGACTGCATAGTAACAGGATGGTCACCTTGGTCAGAATGTACTAAAAAGTGCAACAGAGGAAAAAAATTACGAGTAAGGAAGATCATCAGAAGCGAAAAGAATGGTGGAGCAAGTTGTCCGAAAAAACTCAGAGAAAGGAAAAAGTGCGTTCCCGTCAAGTGTCCTGGTGAGTTCCTTGTTGTCAGCGGTCTGGGAAACTTATTTCCGTAAACGCTTATTATTTGTGGGATGAACTAGTAAACCTTTTCAGTTACTGGAGAAGACTTTTTCTTTTACAGCATAACCATCAACTTTTGAAAGTTATTGTCGTATAAGGAGGAAAAAAATCCATATCACTGTTTTTAATATAAAAAAATGGTTCAGGTTTCATGGTTGAACACAACCCAACGAAAAAAACTATGTATATATTTCAAAGAAGAATGCTGAGATCAGGATTTGAGCTTGGGTTCCTGTGTCCTAACCACTAGACGATGGGAGCAGTGAGTGTTGATTTGTTAAAAAACAATCAGGAAGAAGATCCTTAGGCTACGAGAGGAAATTGGCAAATTTAAACTTCTGTAAAGGCCAATCTCTTTGATATAGTCCACTTTTTAATTCCCTGCTTCCGCGCCCCCCTTCCCCCCTCCCCCCCCCCCCCACCCTCTTTTTCCTAGTCATTTCGTTCATGATCGTCTCCTTACGGTTTCCCTTTTTTTTTAGTGTGAGAGTGATCGCTGACTTGAAAAGCTAAGAAAATAAATTTGGTCGAACTCGCAAGAAGTCCAGTGGTCTTGTATGAAGAAAGGATCCGCATAAACTACTATGAATGGTTCAAGAGCTGCTCAAGACAAGCTTGTATAAAGTTATTTATTAAGACTTTCAACCGATGATAGGTTGACTGTCCTCATAAAAGTGTTTATTTGTGTTTTCGACCACAATCTAAGTTTACCACTCACCACTTCAAGCGTGAGAGCGAAGTCCAGGAGCTGATGGGGAAAGTTAAGGAATCATGCAATTTCTGCACTAACCAGACGAAAGTAATACTGTTACGGAATCCACCAAGGTCATTGTGGAATTTGAGCAATGCAAGGAGATACGCCTAAAGATGGAAAATTGGCAATTCTCGCGGTTACATAATTTTTGCTGTTTTTGGGTATAATATCGCGAGCTAGGTTTGCTTAAATTGTATACGTGTGACCGTACCCTCCCCCACTAAAGAGTAACGGAACACCTTCCTTTCTCCCTGGGGGGGAGAGAGGGTGCGGCTACACGTAGGTTACTCAAATCTGTTGAGTGAACTGGAAAGGTACATCTCAGATTTCTTTGGCATCATTTCAGTGTAAGCTTTTTTTGATGTTACAAGTCTAGCATGAGGTGCAATCAACGAAGTTCAGTGAATTATTCAAAGCTAAGCGATCAACATATTGATTTGAAAAAATATGTACTTATATCTAGGCGGTACACAACAGTTTACAACACTATTTATTCGACCAAAAAAATTATAACCAGCACCAATTAATAGTAAAATATATTGTTATCCGTGAAGTAGCCAAACATTAATTAACACTCCAGACAGGATCACTGCAAAATTTAGGGTGCCTGTTCCGAATGGTATTTTTTTGGACTAATTTTGCATGAAGTTTTATCAATATGGTCTGATTCTAATTCTTTGATAAAAATGGCGTTCTAACAGCTAAATCTTGAGCTATAAGCACAAACAGCTGAAAATTAATGTGTTTAAGATGAATCCAATCATGCAGGCATACTTCAAAAATAAAAGTTGTAGAAAATACTAGTTCAGGGATATTGAAATTTTAATTAATGACCTTCCAACAATTGTGTACTCTTCTACAACTTGATTGCCTCATTTCTCTCATGGTGATATATGAGAGAGAAGTAAAGGACATTTTCTATTGTATTTTCCTAATAAAGAGCTCCAGCCAGACTTATTCTGAGGTCGTTTCTTGCAGAATCTCAAAAATTCTTGTGAATAGTTTTAAATTCTTGGAAAATATAAAATAGTCGGTTATACTATTGATTAGATCATATGTGAGCGAGGATCAATAACAGCATGGAAAACCTGCTCGTCTCTGAAGCTTTCTCCAACTCTTATTGGCTTGAACTTAATTATCATATTATGTGTTCATTATCGAATACTTTGGTAGAAGACGCCAACGAGAAAATGCCCGAATGAAATGTATCCCGGTCAGCCAAAGTGGACCTCATCCCTTACACCGGCGTTTCCCAATGCGCATGGTGTGAGCTACCACAAATAAGGGGAGCTAAGCAAGAATAGGTCTGGGCTCTAAAATCCTTGTCCGATCCTTTTGTCGATCTCAGAACTATCGTTTAAAATCTGATGCGGTGAAAATTGGAGGTAAAATCATACGCATTAAAGAACATTAATTAAGTACCAACATTGAGCAAGGCGAGAGATGTAATTAGATTCCTTCATACTCTGTGTTGTGGATCGCGACAAGTGTGTGCTAGTCGATGCTGGTTGATGTTTGCCTTGAAAAGGATAATTGTTATGAACATAATTGCTATAAACCAATTCTTCAATTCTTCTGGCTTTCATTTCTTTTCTTCCTTTTTTTTTCTGTTATCCATATTATCGGGGCATTGATATTCGAAATTTTTAACAGTAAGTGTCAAGTGACAACACACGCGTGTCGGAATCGTCTTCTATCAAACAAATCATACCCCTGCTAAGAGGTCGTCTCAGTCAGCTTTTTCATCACTTGCCTTCGTTGAACGCGTCATATTCTCAGAACAACAACATCAAACTGAGGCTTCGAAAATTCCGTATCCCCTTCCACCCCTACGCTAAATTGTCTCCAGTCATAGATATTACGCAATATATTGCACACAAGAGGTAAAAGGAGCAGCTGTGACTAGGGAAAAAAAAAAGAAAAAAGGAATGACAGAATGGCTCCCGCTGAGTATAAGCATTTGTAAATCGCCCATCAGACGCTTGTCGCGTGCCCGTTGCTTCATGGAAGAAGAAATATTTGGCCTCGGAGCTGAACAACATCAGAGTTTTGTCGTAGTTGTTATTTTAATCTCATTCCGTCCTTTAGTAATGACTTCTAGCACACCTAGAGTTGATTCTTCTGCTTCTGTGAGTATGATTTGACTGTGACAGGCTAACTGCGGCTTTTCGTAGACTCAGGCCGGTTGGTCTGCGATAGTTATCAAATATAACCTGGTGATTTGAAGCAAGGAGGTCAAGGCCATGAACTGACTGACGCCGATATTCATGGATATGTTCTACTCAGTTATCCAGTCAATCCACCATACCAAAGATCTAGTCAAGCAAATTTTTTTTATTTTAGCTAACAGTACCGTGGCATAGGATATATTAAAAAATAACTCAATATTTAGCTTTCTTTCACTGAAGTCTGTTGGCTGTCAAGCCGTGTTTGTTCTCATAACAAAGTGTATACACATGGAGGGTTGTTAAATAACACACATTCCTTCGCGAGAGACCTGATTGTTTGATTAGATGAAGCGACCGCTGTCCTAAACGTGACAAACATGTTGGGAATGTTTAAAATGTACCTCATTCACTGTCAATAACTACAGCGAACTAAGCTTCTTTTATGCTAACGATTTCAAACATTCTTAAGAAGGAAGAAAAGCGACTCACACACGAATATTTGCAATGTTCTAACAAAGAATTATACGCCGAATATTTTTTCCTTGAGGAACGCGAGCTTCCATATTCCGGACGGTCGGCAAGTATCCCGGATTAGGCCATGTTCAGTGCTTGAAAATGACAAATTCACCTGGGCTTTCGTTCTGCGAAACCGTCTTCAATCGTAAATAAATTGTTTGCAGCGATGCACCCGGTTTTGGTATCCGCGGAATGTAAACTCCGAAGTAGGGGTATTTTTCTAATTAAAGTTTGATGCCGGCACCCTCGTAATTGAAGGACAGCAACAGAAGCTCCATCCAATTCACGCTAAACTTCTGTTATCCACACTTAATAGGCCCCTTGAGCGCATTCCTAATATGGAAAGTGATCAACTTGACCCATTGACTCAGTTGTACAATGGATACTGGCAAATTCCCGCTGAAATGTGCAGTGGAAATGAGTCGAGAGGGAGGAAGGAATTCCATTCAGTTTTTCCGGTTGGAATTTTCTTGAAATGCTCGCCATGTCGATGTTATGTCAATTTAAGCGAAGAGGGCAGATAAATACATGCATACTGAAAAAAGGCAAGGACTCTACACAATACTTGTCGTATGAATAATAATTTTAAATCACACTATTTAACCATAGAGACTGGTGAAATACAACTTTCAGGGTTCTTGTAACATATATATATAGATATGAGAGCTTTTGTTTTCTTTTCCAGAAAATTGAAGGGGGAGACTGAAAAAAATTGTGTGGACCTGTTAATACTAATTTACTCCGCTAAAACGTTTAAAGATAGTTTGGAAAAATTTATTATAAATGGATTCTAGAATATATTTCAATTTTGCTTTGTTATCATTTGAAGATAAGAAAATCTGTGACTTTCAAGTTGACGCTTGCTCTTAAGTGACGTCACGGTTGCTAGGTAGCGTTATTGACAATTCTTAAGAGTCGTCATTGGTTCTCATCTCACCTACGATCTGGTCACGTGGCCTCATGCTCGGTCCTCGGGCTGGTCGGTGTGTAACGTCATGGGAAGATGGCGGACCCTTTTACGGGTGGCCAAAGCTCTAGGGCAAGTAATGCTTTACAGAAGCGTCAAGAATCCTTAAAAAGATGGAATAAAAGCGAGACAGCCTTAGAATCTGCGGACAGGTCTAGAAAGAAGACCAAAATTCAATTTTCGCTCGGAACTGTGTTCCTTTCGGCGGTATCGAGCGGTGACGTGGAGGAGGTGAAGAAACTTCTGGCCAAAGGCGCAGATATAAATCACCAAAATGTCGATGGACTTACTGCGTTACATCAGGTAAGGTATCTGACATTCCTGCCAGAGATAGAAAAATTATATTTGAAGCAAGAGTAGCTTGTGCGAGAAGGTTTTGTAGACCAGGTCCGGGGTCCTAGGCAGAACCCAAAACAATAGCCTAATTAAGGAATCACTCGCTCCTTAAAACATCGAGTGATTACAGAGCTTGCTTCGGGAAAGCTAAACTTCTCGGTGCTGATTCCTTTGAATTCTTACTTGACCAAAGTTAGGCATTAAATCAGTTATAACCCTGGCAGTTATTTTTTGGCCAGGCAATTCTCAAAATGCTTGTTAACGCCTCGAACTATTAAGACCAAGTCCAAATGGTTACAAGGAAATTTATGTCGATTTCTAAGCTCTAAATCACAACCAATCTCTGTATATTCCTCTCAACAATTTCAGTGTTTTTTATTCTTGTGATATAAACTCTTCCAGCCGAAACATTCCTTATCATTTCTTGTCTCATATGCCTTCAAGTGAGCAGCTTAAAGCCGAAGGCAACCTAGTATTTCGGGGTATTCAAGTGATTTTCAAACTAATCACTTTCCGTCGTGTATATTTACATCTGTTCGTAGTAATGTAGGCTTTTAACTGTTGTTTGTGTTCTTCAGGCTTGCATCGACGAAAGTTGTGATCTCGTTGAATTTTTGGTCGATCATGGAGCCCGATTGGACGTACGAGACAACGAAGGCTGGTCGGCCTTACACGCTGCAGCCAGTTGTGGGAGCGTTGAAATAGCACAGTGAGTTTGTGTTTGCTTTATACATTTCATTGTAATCTTCTCTAAAACCGGCCTGGCATTAGGTTTGAACTGGGCTTGTTGAGAAGCTTTTATTGTTAGCGGCATTTCATTCACATTTAACACAACTAGCCTAAATCTGTGGTCTGTGTCAGTTCCAAATTTGTATCGCGTTTCAAAACATGCAAGGAACTCGGTGCAAATTTTAGAGGCTTCTTCTTCAATGTGTGAGGTTTGTGAGGTCTGAATCGCTGAGGTATATTTGTGATTTTGCTTTGAGGCTTTTCCAAGCTGAAAGAAGGCGATAAACCTTTCTCCTACCAAAGAAGAGAGGTCATAATAAAATTACTCTTCAATCGATTAGAATCTCTTGTCAGTCGGAAAATTTATATCGAATGGCCGAGGTTGTATGAAATACCTTTGAAGTGCTGTATCCCTGGCGTTCGTTTTTTGACCTTGTCTGTAGTTTTTCCTTTAATCTTTTGTTGTCTTTTCCGTGGTGCGGTACGGAAATGTTCTAAGCAATGTTTTTCTTAAGAAGGATACTAGATCAGTCGTTTATATCTTCAGAAGTATGTATGTGTGTGTAAGTCGCTGTGGCTTAAATTCATTAAAACTTGCTTTGATGTAGTCGTTTTATTTTTCATTTATAATTTTAGAGATTTAGACTTTGACGCTCTTGAAATTTATATTCAAGTGGCCTTTACGTTTCACTTTAACCAAGTGTTGTAACAATTTTTGAGTGGTTGCGAGATGGTCAAATTAAAAGCGTGACTTGCATAGTACGAAACCATGTACACTCACTTGTGGAGACTTGTAGTTTCAAGATCTACCAACCGACCATGCAAATCCGTGTGAATTTTAAGTCATTCTTATTCTCAGTTACAACTGGAAAATCGACCAGACTATTTTCGGAATCATGCACTGTGGAAATTTAAAACACAGCTTGTGCACTCCTATCGTGGCTCATTTATCTTGGGTCAAATCTTCTGTTATGTATAATTTCATGAGTGAGTTAGACACAAGTTTCGAGCTGTTCGCTTCCGAAAATCATACAGTTTTTGTTCAAGGCTGGTTTTGCAGAGTTTGTTGATAAGAAACTTTCAATTGTAACTTCGGCGGTGAAATATTTTTATAGAGAAATCCAATTATTCCGGAAACAGCGTGCCTACTACGAGTGAAACTTTGTGGGATAGAGCATATTGTCTTAGATCATAAACCTTGATACCTCGTGGTTCATGGTGTTTACTCTTACTCTATAACTAACATCCAAGTTACAAGAAACAAATATTTGTAATGGACAAAAATAACTGTTGGTTTCCTGGCACACCGAATCAACCTCAGCAAATTAGTTTGTTTCTACGGAAGACCTTTTTAAATCAATTGCTTTCCCGTTATTGTTCATGTTTGAAACTATTTGCACTTTTATTACTGAACCTTTAGTAGTGGTATTTATTTTCGTCAAAACACACATGCACAATACGTCATTTTCTTTTCTCAGTGTTTACCAGTGTTACTTTGAACTGAGTACTATTCATCCTTTGGTGCACTTGATCTCATGTCTACATAATCAGCTCAAACATAATCATAACACCTTTTATGAAATTTCAAGTAAGTTTTATTTATTTAAAAGTTTTCCAGTTCGATGTAACAGGGTCAAGCAGTATATATTATTCATTTTAACATCATTTTTGTATTTAATAGTTGTATTTAATTTTGGATATCCAGGTTTTGATTATTGATACTTAAATTTGGTTGTAAATATCTCCCTATGTTGCAATGAATAATTTTTTAAACAAATTTTCATCATTTTGATTTTGAAAATATGTGGTTTTCCTCACAGTCTGGATTGACTGAAATGAAAATTATCACACAATGATTTTCTCAAAAAAGTTTCATTTTGAAAGGAGTTATGTAGCAATTGTGTTTCAAGGTTGTAACATTTCTGAAATCTTGTACTTTTGCTGCATGGACTTAAATTTTTGGCTTAGAGCAACAGATTTCAAGCAGACCAAGTAGATCAATAGAGAAAATAATTAAAATAAGTCATGTTATCAATTGAATGCAGTAAGTAAAGTCATTAAGTTGGAAGTGTTTTAATTGTTTACTTCCAGTTCAATATTTAAACTGAGAATCTATTTATAACAATAGCTTTGTTTAGGGAGATAAAGTTGTCCTGATCTATCAACTTTGAGGTAGATTTTTTCATTTTGCACATGAAAAAACCACATATAAAAACCACATGTATAATTAAAATTAGGAGAAGTTAACTTTAAAAAAAGGATGGTATCTGTATATTGGATCACCATTCATGGTTACCAGGCCTGTAGATAATGTTGAATGTTAAAAGAAATATATATATGTGTTTCACTAAATTGAAGTTCATCCATGAATTAATACAAGTGGTAATCCATGCATACAGGTTCTTTTTTTCTTTAAGTTCTGGAGTAGAGAGGCATTGCCAAGAGGTAGACAGATCTGTGCTTTAACATTTAGAGTTGATATATATCATCATCTCGGTAATGTATTCTACATTGAATTATGTGAGGTTCACCGTCTTAAAGATACTTTCTTTCAGTTCCAAGTATTTCCATAACCAGCTAATGCAGTATAGCTATTTTAAAAATCAAGTTTTTCACACTAATCATTCTAAGCAGTTGTGTACAATGGGTGCTATCACATTGGCTTTTTCCACCTGGGGTCTTAACCGTTTTTCTGAAAATTTTAAGATGAAGTTCAGTTCCTAAAAACCCTTTATTAAAATGTATATTGTGTAAAAGGTAGTATTTGATGGCTGATTATTTGAAGATGTCCTCAAAATGAAGTAAATATGATCACAGTTTGCTCATAAGTGTTGCAGATATTCTTACCAAATTTTTAAGTCTTCTTTCTTCTACATAGGATAACTGACCTGAAAAATTACAAAAGGGATTCTTTTTATTTTACGTTACCAAGAGATAATTAAACTACAAACTAGTATCCTTATGCTCAACTGTTTGAGGATTTTTTCCTCTGAAGTGTTTTACAGTTTGGTAAGAACACTACATGTATCCTCCTGGTTTTTCATACCAGTGAACAGCTCCTGCGATTTTTTTTATTCTTTTGAGGCCTAATCAGCTTATTAGGAATTTTGTATCTGAAGTACACAGTTTCAGATTTTATATGCTGGCATGTAATTAATGATTTAAATGACTTTTTGTGTCAGTGGTTGCCAAAGATGGATTAGGCAGTATTTAGAATGCCAGTATCTGCCATTTGTAAAAATCTGTGGATAAAACTGAGGTTTAATCTAGAATTAAAGTTGTAGGGAATGGACAGAGGTAGTGTGCAGCAGTACCTTGGAATTTTCTTGAATAGCTCTAATTAAAGAAAAAAAAAGTGATATTGATATTTTGAGCCAATATATACATGCACTCAGAAGCTATGTTAAGTTATATAATACTTAATGGTTATCTGTTGGAAAATAAACAATTGTTTTTGCCAGGGATATAAAAACAAAGGGAAATAAAATTATGAGGAGTTTATTCTTTGATTGGAAGAAATTTAAACTAAAATCACTTTTAACAGACACCAACATTTAGAACAGGGTAAAAATTCCAGGTAAATGGTGAAAAAATGAATAATTTTCTTGAATAATGTCACTCCACAAAGGTTGCATTATATGTAAATGTATGGTATCTGTGATAATTTTTATGATAACAGTTGCGCTGAAAAAGTGTTTCAACAATTTTTTTCAGGATTTGGCTTTTGTTTCATTTTGAGTGTTAACTTCATATGATATTATACGTATGTGTTGTTCTTTTTCTAACTACAATAACAAAAGCACTCAAAGTTAACTCCTTTCACTTTAATTGATTCATCACTCTCAGAGAACCTTTTGAATTCACACAGGTTTGGAAAGTGTTTGGAAATACATGTACCTTTTCCTTAGTTGCTGGAATTCTTATTTTTAGGGTATCACACTTTCAAACTCCCAGAATTGTTCATAGAGGATTTTACAGTCTCAAAAATGTTTCCTGGCAACAAAGTAAAAAATTTAAGATTAGTATAACTTTGGCTTGACTTAGTGTACACTCATTAACCTGTATTGTTTTTAATCGCCTAACTTTTGATCTGATTACAGAGACAGACATGATCATTGTATGTGCATATGTTTCTATAAATCAGAGGGAACAAATTGCAATTGTAGCATAGCTCAGAGACCCTCTTTCGAGGGATTATTGACTGGTATAGGAAGGATGTTCCACTCTTGTGCTGAGAGCACTTTGTTGGCAGAGTTTTCATTTGGTAATTAGTCACTGAGGAAAAGTGTTAAATGACACAGGAATAACGACATCTCACCCCTTGACTTCTGTTAAAAAATCAGGCAATTTAAATATAGGTGGATGATTATGCAGGAAAGTCAAAGAATTTACTGATCTCCAGAGCTTGATAAACACTCTGATTCTTCCGGAGGGATAGTCCTACTTTTGTGTCTCAAAACATGAAAGGATGGTGGAGAGGCCAGTGTGAGGGTTTCATAAATATCACAGAAATGTTTCTTATGCCTTAAAGTCAAGTCACAGAAAGACATTCCAAAATAACACGGTGTAGATATTCTTATATTTCATATTATGATTAAATTAGGGAAAAGCGATCTAAGGTTTTAATAAGAAAGTTGATTTTCTTTATCAAGTTTTCCAGGCAAGGCAAGCCTAAGTATCCATACATATTGATAACAAATCAATTTTTTTTCTCTATTCTGTTTTCTTTTCCCATATGCTCCTCTCTGGAACATTGAGGGAAAAACTCTGCTGGTTGGCTGCCAAGAGTATTTTACAAGGAGAGTGAAGGCCTTAAGACTAAATTTCAGGCATTATTTTTCTTCAGGTTTTGATTATTTTATAGAATTATAAGTTGCAAACTTAGTACTGAAAGTGTTTCTCCTTCATGTACACTCAAAACATGATTCTGTTTTGTTGATTTGTAGATGTTTACTTGATCATGGAGCAGATGTGGCAGCTGTTAATAATGAAGGGGAATTACCACTGGATCTTGCAGAGGAAGATGACATGGAGGATCTTTTAACAGAAGAAATTGAAAGATTAGGTATGTAGTTAAGAAAGAAAGTATTTCTTCCATCTCAAAGTTGAGACTCTTTGGTGCAATGGCATATTGTCATAGCATGAAACCTAATGGTCTGGGGCTCTATTCTTTCTTTGGGGGAAGGGGGCTCAGTTATTTCCTTGGTCCCATGCTGATGATAGAATCAAGCTCTATTTTCTTAATCTATTCAAGTACACTGTGTTTGACTAGACTGGGTTCTACTGTAATGATTAGTTAACCTGCCATTAGTAAGATTGTCTGCTCAGTCTTTTCAATGGAAAAATAATAAAACAAATTTTGAAAACTCTTTTGTAATTTTACAAAGTTTCATTTTTATTAATCTCTGGAATTTAAGAATTGGCCTATTAATTCTCTAAACTGGACTACCTGTAGCCTGCCAGTTCTTTTTAATGATTAGTGTCCCAAGATTCCATGTCTCTTTCAAAGCCCCAATTTGTTTTTTTGGCTTTAAATTTTTGCTCGCATTTTGCATGATTGATAGTATGTTCTCTACTTTGATAACTTTTCCCTTTGTCACCAGCCTGTGTCAAAGCAAAATTACTTCGGAGAAGGAGGGAATTTACCTTAGTTCGCTCTTTTTGAAAGTAAAAGCAAATTTTGGTATTGAGATTTATTGATTGAGGTATTCAAGACAAGTTTAAATGTTTAGTGCTCTGAGTAGGTTGCCATGGTGGGAATCAAATTTTTTGGACAACTTTATCATGGAGGTATTTGTTTTTGTGAAAATATTACTCAAGAGATAACACGAGGTAGAATTGTTGGTTGAGATTTTGAATAAATGTAGATCTCAAAGAGCACCCTTGTGGTGCAATACTGATCTCCTCTTTCACTTTTTAGCACATCAGGGTATCAATGTAGGTACATAAATCAGAGCTCAATTTTGTTCCTGTTTTGAGTTTTATTTTCCCTTGTTACTGCATGTCATAATATTTGGTGATGGGTTTGAAATAAACAAAAGATGTAGTCGGCATCATGGCTGAAGTAAATCAGACAAAAATTATATGCTGTCCTAATTTACTATCAAATTACACATTCTGCCAAAAAGCTTGACCTTCCTTGTCTCATACAGTCATGCGTCTGGATTCTTTTCTTTTATCTTCTTGTATATATCAGTTAAGTCCTTGGATTTGTTCTATTATTGCAAGTCATAAGTTTTCAGAGTTTTTATTTCCTGGCTCAACTTTTGGAGCCTAAAAAATGTGTCGTGCATTTTCATTCTCCACCAAATGTTTTGTTAATTTGGAGATATTTCCTAAAGGGATCTTTGAAAATGTATTTGATGAGATTTACTATTAGGGTAGGGCAGGGCAGGGGAGGGGCTGACATCTTCGACCTTTTGATTTTGCGGTGTAGTGATTAGCAATATTCAGGAACCCCTGTACATGGTTGATTGCATTACCTTGCTAGTTCTTAACCCCTGTCTTGTTAAAATGATTCATATTCCCTTAAACAATCCTTCAATTGCTGTTTAGCAAAACTTCCAGTCAGCTTTTTGCAGTTATCCCTTATCATATCGCCATTGCGTGAGCAAAATGGAAAATTATATTTTTGGAGTTTGGCCAGTTGGCTGTTGAAGCTAATAGAACACTCCACTAGATTTGGTGCTGCCATGTTTCACTCTAAAAAGTGTAGGAGTGTAGGAAATGCCTTTTTACCATCTATGATTACATTCTCACAGAACCACCAAAATACTCAACAGTGCAACAACAGTATGTGGGCTCAAACTGTGTCAAACTTTCACTTTGCACTAACTTGAACATGTGGCCATTTCTTTAACAGTGAAGTTTCAATATTTGCTCTCTGCTCTCACAAACTCCAAGGTATCTTAAACTGATTTTCTCTTTCCATGGCATAAGTCAATAACTGTTCATGTTGACTGCAAAAATTAAGATTTTTTCTGGAGGAGGGGAGGTACAGTCAGTAATACAAGTACAGTACAGTCAATAACAGTTAGAGACTCACCTGATACAACTTGTATATTTTACAACAACAAAAAGTATGTACAGTATACAACCATTAAAAAAATTGATGTGGCATAAGTGTACATGTAGATACATGTAGAGTTTTTTGGCCCCACATGAGGTATTTCTCTTATTTTCCAGCTTTGTCATGTGGTTAATACATATATAAAGTCTGTTTATTAAGCTGTAAGATGTTAATGATGGAAAGCTAACCTTGTAGCTCAGTGGTATTGGTAACTAGTGAATTAAACTAATGAATTAAAATTTGAGGTCCAAGTCTTTACTCATATGGCTTTATTACCTTAAAACTTTTGATTATTTTAGCCCTTTAACTCCCAAGATCTGATTGGTAATTCTCTCCTCTAGCTGCTTTTACATTTCCTTGTAAATTAGTTGCAAGAATTTGGTGTTAGATCAAGAAAAACAACTTCTTCCTGATAAGTCTGAGTATTCTTACCTTTTTGATGATGATGCATGGATATTAAAAGGGAGAAGTTTCATGTGAATTACTTATTGGAGTTGAAGGGTTAACTACTGTACCAGCAGCCTGATGGTTCTGAAGTTGTTGTGATCAGCCAATAAGTGACAGATTAGGAAGACTACAAGCACCTCCACCACAGCACAACTGATTGACTGCCCAACTATGACATGAAGGAAGTCCCACAGAGGGCAGCATTTTAAATATCTATTGTAAAGATTGTGGGAGTCTGATGTTAGTTTTGTTTTGGCCTGTAAATTTTTTTTTTATTGTGATGAAAATAAATGTTCATCTTATGCCTTCAGGAATTGATGTTGAAGAAGCAAGAAGTAAAGAGGAGAGAATAATGTTAGAAGATGCTCAGAGTTGGATGAATGGTAGAACAATAAATGAAATTAAAGATAGATCAGGTGAAGTTATGGCACAACGTTTTTACTTCTAAGTGAAAAGGTAATCCAAACCCCTTAGGCTTTATTCATCAAACAATACAGTTGTCCTTAAGGAAGAAAGGGAGGGGGGGGGGGTTCATCAGATTAAGGTGACGAAAAGTTCCCAACCATGTCAGGTAAAACTGATGGTCAAGATTTCCTTGTCATTTGAAGACTTTTTGAAGTTATTGTTGTCCATTAGAGGACTATCTGTGGTTTTGATCAATTTGCATTAGCTAGTTCTTTTATATGCCCTTTACATGTATGTTTTATAAACTGTTATAAAAAAACATTTGCCTGTTGTTTGGGGTCTTTGCCTTTGTGGAATGCATTCCTTTTTGCTGAGTTGATCAGGGCACATCTATGCATTTTATTAATATATATCTGAGCGGTATTGAAGTAGTACATAAGAGTTGCAGTTTAAGCATGCTAAGACTAATGTTTTTCTCTTTAGGTGCTTCAGCATTACATGTTGCTGCATCGAAAGGTTATATACAAGTTATTAGGTAGGTTGGCTGGCCACTTAGGCAGGAGTTTCAATAACTTTTTGCATAAGCTGCTAAAGGTATAATAGGCAGTTGCGTAGAGGTGAATTGTACAAAAACCACACTAAAAACACACCATTCACTTTCATGGTACATAATAATGTTAATTAGCAAATTCATGACATTCTGTCAGTGACATACTTGTACACAGTACTTTTAATTAATTAGTTTTCCTTTCACTCTTGCCTGTCCTATAACGAATGATCTGTGTTTTTCCTCAGTCTTTTACTTCAACTTGGTGTTGACATCAATGCTAAGGACAATGATGGCTGGACGCCATTACATGCAGCAGTTCACTGGGGGCAAAGTGATGCATGCGAAGTACTCGCTGATCATGGAGCCAACTTTAGTGCTAGGAGTAATGCGGTAAGATGTTCAAGAGATGTACATGTATACATGTGTTCTAGTAACCATTAAATCAATACCAAAATATCCTCACCTTTTACAGTCTTCAGTGTCTGCTCTTAATTAAGCATGATCAGTATACATTTCTCTTTGATTGCCATCTTTTAATTGTAAAGATGATGTTGCTTTGAAATTCAGAAAACCGTGATTGTGAGAAATGTGTATGGAATATTATAGGGTTTCAAAGAAAAAGCCAATTAGACCTCAGAAAACTAAATTACAAACAGAAAAGGCAGTTACTCTGTGGTTTTGAGGTTTTCTCGTTGGTCTTTAACCTTTTTTGTGACTGGTGAGTACTCAATTGACCTGTAAGAATTGAATCACATTCCTTACTGTTTCCACTATCGTGTAGCATGTAATATGCATGGTTAACATTTTTAGACTCAGCAAGTCAGACAGTCAATGAACTCTGTCTGGCTTTATGCTTGTCTGTTTGGGATTGAGTCAATCTGTCAGGCAGTCTTTGAGTTGTCCAGACAGTTAGTAAATCAGTCTCTCTTTTTGTCTGTCCATATGTAAGATGGGTAGGCAAGCAAGTTGAAAGTTTTGTAGCTCTTACTGATGCATCCGTAGGGTTCAACACCTATCGACCTGGCAGAACCGGACATGGTTAAAATGCTGGAAGAGCTTAAGAAAAGGCAAAAGGATAAGCCAAAGATCAATGCGGTAAGTAGGGTGACTTGTTTATGTATTTGTGCTCATTATGGAAGCTGTGATGTGCTTTGATAAGCGTATAGCATGTAAGGAAACATTTAACAAATTAAAGAGTAATTGAGTGGTTGCTCTGATTACCTCCAAGAAATTGTCAGTGTAGGTCAAGTTGTACGATTAAGAATTGACTAGACAGGGTGAGTTAAAGGTCAGACAGCAATAGATTTGGTTTGAGTATATCCACTCTCCTGACTTATTTTTGTTGGCATAGCATTCCTCATACAGTAAGTGTTACTGTTTCCCTTCAACAGTCAACAACACCAGTCATTAAAAGCAATATGGAATCTGGACCAGCTCCCTTAAAAAGACGGTTAGTGTTAGTGTTTGCAGATGTCATGTCTTGTGTTAAAATTGTTTAGCTCACCTTATTCAGCTATTTTATGGAATAGGGGTTGTTATTAATATTTATGTTATTTCGGACAATGTATTTTTTTTACTAGAGAATTTTCACAGAATGACAAATAGAACCCAGTGTGTTTTTGCTATTAAATCTATACACTAATCAAGGAAGAACATGTAATAACCACATTTAGCTAATTTCTCCTTTGATCTCTTCAATCAATGAGCTCCCACTAAGGTATCATTCATCATCACTGAAAATTTCTTTGTGACAAACAGACCTTTTTTAACTGTTTGTTGTGATCTACTCTGTAACTGCATGTTGACAGTGAATTGTTTGATACTTTCTTTTATTATTCCTTTTTGGTGCCAACCTTGAGCAGTGCGGTTGCAAGTAACTTTTGCCTAATATATGCATGTTCTGTTTTTAGTGCTTTCTTCCAGCCAAGGGACGTAACGATAAATAACCTCTGTTCACAGCAAAACTTAATCTTTGCTTGCAAATGATTTATTGGATTACTGGTGCAGAGCAAGCTTTAAGCCAAACACTTGTCCAGCTGTTCTTAAATCCTGTTCTGTCAAGAAGGCTTTCTTCCTTTGTAGTTAGCTGACATTGCTCGGCAAACAGCCCTAATATTACATTGATGTTTTGTAACAAATGTTGTATTCCTCACCCCTGCCCTCCCCCCACACCAGGGTTGTCTATTTCTCAGCGGATAGGTACAATTGTGAGCCTAACATTAATATCAACAGTATTGTTCCCTCTCTTTGTCAACAGTTACTGTACATTGTAGAAAACTCTGGTCAGTTACAATGTTAAGCTGTTTCTGAAGAACGACCTAACTCGCTCGTTCGTTTTGAATTTGAAAATTAACGGGTCTAACATTACCTTAGCCCTGTAATAGTTACTGAATTTTTAAATAATTTATTTTTCCTTCCTTTTCAGTCTATCTGAAACATCTCTAGCTAGACTGCGGCGTAATGTACCCCCTGCTAACAACCCTGGACTACTGTATGTAAAAGTTGATACTAACACTGTACTAACACTCTCTTGAGCTGCACTGCTTCTTTCTCTAGACCGAGTAAGCTTGCTGTTGTACGTGAAACTGCTCTTTGGGCTCATCTTCTTTGCTGCGTCTTTCACTTATCTCATCTACTTGATGCGTAACTCTTTGCATGTGGGTCTCTCTTGGTGTTCTTGACTTCCTTTCTTTGCGGACTGGCACTAAATAAAACAATTATTCAAATTCCTGAAACTCGGAATGACAATGCATGAATTTGATTGAAAATGAAACGCAGTGTATCCGTCGTAATTGTTCCGAAAGAATCGGTTTCTTGGACACCAAGCACAGATTGATCCTCGAGAAGCAGAGAGATCAATTCCAGTGCGTGGTGTTTGTGGTGCCAGTCCTGCAAGACTTCTATTCATGCAACTTCTGTGGCTTCTTCATTTCATAGGAGCTCCATAACAAGAATAAAGGACCAAAACCTTTTTCTCAGGGACATCAATCAGGAGAGGGCACAGATGGAAGCTAGCAAGGAGCAGTTGTCCACCTCCCCTAAGAGCCGCACCTCCAGACCGCCGAGTTTCGACGACTCGCCCAAAGAGGACAAGGAAAACGAGAAGGAGAAATCAGACGGTTTCAACAAAGATGACAGTGGTTCCGAATCCGATACGGAGGACAGCTCTGAAGAGTCCAGTGAAGAGGATTCAGAGGAAGAGGGGAGGGGTGGGAAGCCAGCTGTGAACTCGGTTACTTCCAGGACCAGACCGACGGTCAATTCTCTCCCAGCTAATTCTGCGGTTAATTCGCTTAAAAAACCAGCGGATGAGTCCGACTCAGAGGAAGAAACCGGCAGTGAAACTGAAGAGTCCTCTGAAGAGGAGGAGGAAGAAGAGCCGGTCAAACCTGATACGCGAACAAGTATAACCAGTTCTACGTCGCGACCGTCCGCGTCGTCGCGTTTTCCGAGCGCGCCTGTTAGTGCGCCATCTAAAGTAGCGGTGGGAGGCACCTCAAAGCTTCTGAAATCCCCTTTCCTAGACAATGATAAGAAGGCAAACAATCCTTCTTCACTTGTTTCAAAAACTGAACCCTCTAGGACTCCAAGGTTCGGTGATAGGGGTGATGGTAAAGAAGACACTAAAACACGGGTTGCGAGCAACGTAACTCGTACTACGGCGGATACTACGAGTAATGCGACCATAACTACAACTAGTGCGGCTCGGAGCGTAATTAGCTCCACACCTAGCGAGGACGCTCTTCCAAAAACAAAACGGCAGATCAGGAAGGTCACTGAGAGGGCGAGTACCTCTTATGTAGTAAATAGCGGAAGGGGAAATGAGGAAGGTGATGAAATGAACGGAGAAGATGGCAAGAGTAATGATGTGACCCACAGGAAGGGAGCAGAGGAACACAAGGTAATACTTCGTGCATGCAGCATTATTTTTGATGAACAAGAGGGCGCGCATTGCTTTAGCGCTGTAATTGTCGTTTTTTCTGTTCTATTGTCATTAATACTGTTATTATTATCGTCATTATATTATTAAAGGACAAGTATGCAACGATATTGCTGGTGAACAACAGGGCTCGCAACAGGGCTTGTCGTCTTTGTAAACCTTATTTTTTTTAAATTTTTTATTATTATTATTATTATTATTATTATTATCATTTTTATTATTAATATTATTTTGTGTATCATGTTTCTGCCTTTCAGCCTTTCAGCCTCGGGCGGTTTGTTTGACCTCGCTAAGCAATGTACTATTATACTTATTTTTCATTCAGAATGTTTTTTGATTCAGGTAACAACCTGTAAAATATATATTTCTTTCCTTTCTCTCTTTTTTTGTTCCCTCTCCTTCTTTTTTCCTTTCTAATTTTATTGTTTGTTGTCTAAATATTTGTTCTGTTGGCTAAATACGAATGAAAATTTGAAGGAATAAAAAACCATTATGACAAAAGGTGTAAGAATAGACGGGGATTAGAAACAGACTAATTTGCAAGGTGTTGAATTGCCTGCACCCTCACCGAATGGCGTGCCAACTTAATCAAGCAGTATTGTCATAAATTCCACACCAGAGTAAACATGCCGACGCGCTGAATTACTGTAGATCATGCAGGTATGCATCGTTGCAACGACTTAAGATAACATAGGGATTTACTTGTTGATTGTGTTGACAGAATGCCACGAAGAGGCTCGTTATATGCTGGTTGTCAAAGGGTTCTTTGCCAAATGCGTGGGGGAGGTTTGCTCTTTTAATTAGTCCGGCTAGCTATTAATTATTCATAGGAGCCTCTCTGGTCGAGCTTAAAACAATTGAAATAAAAATGGCGAAACTGAAATTTGAGCCAGACTTCTAGTTGTTCAGCGTAGTGTACTGTGGAGACTAGTGGCTCCACAGCCTGAGCTGGAAGTTGTCCCGCTAGAGTGTTGTTTGTGCGATCCAGGGGTGATCACGAAGTTCCGCTCATGTCGTACCTAACTCGTCGGTTCGATCAACCAAGCTATGGGAGTCAAAAGAATTATACGTCAAGAACTCAGGTAACGCATTCTCCAAGGTTCAAAGCGGTCGTATTTTAGTTGGGATTATGAAGTGAAATTATTGTTTGGTTGGTTCTTAGGCTGTTAATCCGACCTGAGCGACCATCGCTCGATCGGAAAAAATTGCGTTCATTGTACTTGTTTGTCAACAGTCGATATTTTGCATTCCGAATTTGCTATCGATCTGGTTAGGCCTAGTTTAATCATCTGTTCACCATCCTGTGGTGAAAAGCACTCTTTTTCTTGCGGACGGAATGAAGTGTTCAGGAGCAATCTTTGCAGAATGGGAAGAGTAATTTCATCAACGTGTTCATTGCGATAGAGTCAAGCTGAATTAATTTCTATTGACCGACATATTTCATGTTCGCCGCGGCGCTGACTACAAAAGTTCTTTTCTCTATTATCAACAACACATTGTATTTATTCGCCGGTGGCACTAGCGTGGATAAAGTGTATAGCCTATAGAGAAACAGAAAGTTTAATATCCTGCGGGTTCTTTATTTTAATTCTAGCAAATATCTTAACATCTGTACCTCTCGGTGAGGCGTTAATAGTCTAAGATTGCGTTCTGTTGCATTTCCTAAGCTCTTGCGTGCATTATTATTCAAGATGATTGAAATTAGCTCTAAATGAAATTGCTATTTTGTTAATATCTTCAGATACGAGCCGCCAGCATTTTTTGTTACAGGTCAGAAATTATTTATCCAGATAGGGCCTCTGATAGGGGTAAATAATCGGCTCTAAAGTGGTTAATTAGCTTTGTGTTAAGTTATCTCTAGCATTTCATTCACACCCATTTTGCATACAATGAACCTCTCCCGTCTGTCAGAGCTTAACAAACATATTCGGTGTTTTGAGCGAGAGCCCAATCGCGGTTTTTAAAGTCAGGTCTTCGAATGATGACTGCAGGGCCGTAGAAATTCATTGATTTGCGGTGGGTAATTCTTTTTAAGACCAGATGTTGGACGTAACTATTGTGAGGGCGAATATCTGACGTTCTTGTCAGCAGGGCAAATATGTCAAGTCGCGTAGGGAATGTAAACTTCATACTGGTATTATTTACTTCTGTTTTTGGAAAGCAGAAGTTACAATAAGTCAGATGCGATTCGGTGGTAAACAATCGATGAAGCGTACCTCCTTTTACAGTTAGCGTATTTTAATGTGAGTGAACAAGTTTAATTTGCTGGCCATTTCAGAACAGCTGAATTACCTTCTACATTCTACCCTCGCTGTCCTACTGATTTTCATCAGCATGTTCAGGTAATTTAACGCTAGCTCAGAGCTGGACGTCCGGGGGCGTTTTAACCTCTGAAATATGTACATTAGGGGCAAAGCTCTAGTCCCAAAGCCTGTTTTTTGGAGTTGTCGTTATTTACCTACTGGTGGTATATTCAATTAGTGGTCAACTGAATGTTGCTAATTGGTCCAGACGCCACTTGATTTTGTTACGCTTTGACCTTCAGTGAAACTTACTCCCTCTAACTTAGTTTTGTTGAAGGTTCATGATATCTTACAGAATTAAGGCTAGAGTAAACATTCTTCATGTAACAGTTTTACTCCACTGCTCCAACCATCGCTATGATTAATGTTAATTATATACAAACCCTTGTTGCAAGACTTTCCTTGTTTTTTCTTTTATCATATTTGTTTGGTACGATGTTTTCTTCATATGTCTCTAGAGTAAGAATAGCCATGTTGGTCCAAATTTTGCGTTAAATGTGCCGTACATGTTAACGAACAGTGTCGTGCTTTTTCATTAAGTATCTACAAGTGTCAGCATACTTTTTTAGCACGGTGAGGGCATTAGTCTTTACCTTGAACTTATTGTAGTATTTTACACGCGCGCGAAAATGTTTTTAACTTTTTTTTCCAGACGGGGAAGGGAGAGGCAAGGATATATAGACTTTGTTTAAAGAGAAGTAAGGGGTAGTAACTCACAACTGCGTTCTTAAATAGCAACTATTTTGAACCACCAGGTGAATAGCAAACTTCGGTTAGAAGGGTTTTGTTGCTGCTCTAATAACAGTCGTAGTCAAGAAATCTTCATGTGTTTGACCCATACTCTTCCTTATCTGTTCAGGCGAGCATTGGGCCTGAGTTCTGGTTTCTGACCACCTGCCTTTGTATTTGTAACTTCATCGAGATATCAAGATTCTTTCGGTTTTTTTTTTCCAAACTTTTTACCAGAGAGCATTGTCATTGTTAGTTTTTGCATGTCGTAGGACACGTCTGTGCGGCGGAACTCTAAGGAAGAGACGAAGTCGACGAGACTAGCCTCAACTGCTGACACGTACCTGAGCCGGCGGAGCAGACCCAGTGAAACAGTTGAGGACAAGAACGAAGAAGCTAAGATACCGGATTGGAAGAGACGACAAAAGGAACGAGAGAGGGAACGAGAAAAGGAGAAGGAGAAAGAACAAGAGAGGGAGAGAGAACGACAAAAGGAAAGGGAACGACAAAAGGAGAAGGAGAACGAGACTGAGATGCCAAGTTATCGCCGCCCCAGGCAAGACAGGGAAAAAGATAAAGAAAAAGAGAAGGAAGAGAAGGAAAAGGAAGACGATGACTCCTCTGCATCGGCTGCGGCGCAAAAAAGAAGGGCCAGGAGGCAAAGAGATAAACGAATAAAGGGGGTAAGTTTCTAAAGAGACTGTGGTGCTGCGTCGGTGGGAGAGTAAAGCAGGTTATTTAGTGTTAACAACTGAGAAAACGTTGAAAACGTAAATTGGCCACCGTAAAGAGTAAAAAAAGCTGACTTTTCAAGTGTTAGCCCTTTGTCAGAGCGAAGGGATAACTGGAGATAAACGCCGCGTAGGGGTGGGTATTTTTAGCGTACTTTGGAATAGGACGCCACCTTAGCTAACCACTGTCTTCTTTTGCCCAACCCGTAAGATCTATTGGAAAAGCATCATAGTCAAATTATTTTAGCTTTATTTCAACTATTTCAACGAGGTTTTTGCTTCCTATCAGTAATTCTCAGATCGAGTTAGAGGAATCGTATAGCACGTGGGTAAATGGAAGGTGTCCAGCTTTTATTCGAAACGATTACGTTTCTTTAGACTTAGCAGCCTTCTTGTAAACTGTAACTCCTAACCATTTCGCTCGGTCGTTTTTCCAGAGTGACGAGGAAGAAACTGAAGAGGCCAAAGACCCAAAAAAGAACACAAAGCTAAATGAGGAAAATGACGAGAAAGCCTCCTTGGCCAGCAGGAGACGATCACAAGAAACCAGACACGACGAGTATAAGGTATGTGTTGGGCGTGGCACAGAAGTATACAGCTGGCACAGGGTAAAGTTTAACCACGCTTCCTAACCGTTATTAGCGGAAGCAGGACTTGATGACAAAATTGCCACGGCCGATTGGCTCTTCATAAAAATAACAATTCTCATCTCGTGTTTCCTCCTTTCACAGAGCACCACGGATAGAATAAGAGTTGGCAGGTACGATTCTAGTTTGTCTTTTATTGGGTAGTAGTTCGTGTGCAGCGCTGTCTGAAAGGTTGAATCGTTGTTTTCATGCAATTACAGGCGTATCCGAAGCCTGCTGCTTGTAAACTGCTTTCACTCATTACACTTCTCATCTTTTCCTTTTTGTAGAACCATTGATTCGAAAGGACCCTTTGGGACCTCCAAGGTTAGAACCTTTCAGTTATTTTTGTGCCGACTTCAAAACGAAATACCTATTACCAGTGCCATAGCTGTAAAAGAATCAATTACTAAGAAATATCTATACAATTTTTGGTATTTTTCTCCATCAGGCTAACACCATCATAGCAGAAACAGATCCTCAGAAGCTAAAGGAAAGATTACAAGTAGCACAGTTGGAAATTCAAGAATACAAAGTTAAACTAGAAAAGGCTTTACAAGTAGGTTATAGTATTGAATTGTTTTGAGTTTGAACCATGTAACAGGAAAGTGTACAAGCAAACCATGTCTAATCGTTGGCATTTTTTTGCAGGCAAAAGAGGAACTTGAAAGAAAATACTCAAACGTAGAGGACGACTTAAAGGTAAGTGTGTCTTGTAGTATCTTCATGTTAGCTTGTTGTTATCTTTCTGTATCGTGGTAGCTTTCATTTTAGTTGTTGCTTTTTGTCTGAAAAATCGGTGTGACATGTCCAACATTATCCAACAGTGTGGTGTATGTATGCAGAGAAGGCGTGAAAAGATAATAATGTTGTAAAAGCTTCCACCGTGTCGCGACTTAACCAGAAGATTTTTTAGACCTGAGGTAGTGTTACCGTGAGCGAATGCCATGACCACATCCAGGTGTTAAAAAATTCCTCATGGCTGACCACACAATTTACTGAGGTGTCTTCCATTAACCTCTCCCCTCTCTTCCCCTACCCCTTCATGCGCAGTCAATTTACTTTTGTCCGCTGCAGTGGCAGATTTTTGACAGCTTTCGTGGCTAATCACTTGACCTTATTTCCGATAGCAACTAGCGGACCTGAAAGCGGACAACCAAAGGCTGAAAGACGAGAACGGTGCCTTAATCCGTGTTATAAGCAAGTTATCACGACCTCCCACTTGACCGGCAACCATGGTGTTAGTAAGGCAAACTAGAGACATTTAGAACTTGATAATGCCGATATGTGATAACCCCTCTTTCCTGGTCTTAAACTGTACCTATTTATTCAGTACGAGACCACAACTTAGATGTTCTTTAATTATGCTAGGAAGGAGGGGTGGCAGGGGAAGGTCGGATTTTGATAAAAGCCTTCCCTTCCCCGCCAGCCTATAGTACAATAATGAGGACTTGGTTGGGTTCGTTTTTTCCCTTGTTGTAATGTAGGTATGTGTATGTTTTGTAATTGGACGTGAGTCAGTAAGAGAGATAACGGAGATCAGTTGCAACGTTGTACACAAAAGTAAGCAAAGGAAGATTAAATACGATTTTACAATTGAATAATTTGTGAACTTCCCTCAAAAAGCCCATGTTCTGCTTATTTCTAATGCAGTTTTCTATAAGTGTATATTCTAGTTAAACGGCCGAAGTGCTTTTCATTAGTTACGCAGAACTTTTTGTCTGCTAGAAGCTTTTCTATTTTGTTACACTCTTGAGGGTTCAGTGATATTAATAAGAATAACAAATTAATGATAATCAATCCGATTGCTAAAGGTTCAACTACTGTAGTAAAGTTTAGTTTTGTACGACTTTTTGCATAGACGATTCAATAAAACCAAACAGTGCTTGCTTCTGGTAGGAAGAAAGAAAGAAAAAAAAAATACAAATACGAGCCTTTTCGACTATGTCGCGCGATTCTGTGTTTGATTTAGAGCAAATACAGATTAGTCAAGAGACAAGAAGAAGAAAAGACGAATTTAATAGCAGTCAAAAGGAACCTGTTATCTCAAAAAGAAAATGTTTGGCGCCGTCGCAAATATAATTGTATTGAAATTAACATTTATTATATTGTATCGTTGTTATTGTGCGTATAAATTCCAGTGATCTCAATTAGTTAGGGTTAAGCGTAATTAGAGCTGCTTCAGTTGCGCAATCGTAGATTTTTGACTCGTCACGCAGCCCGCTTTTCATTTGGATGGGTTGACTGCATGACAGCCAAAGGGGCGGCTGCACAGGAGGGTAGGGTAGTGTGCTAGTCTGTGATTGGTTTTAGGGCAGTCAGGGAAATAAGAGCAAGTTCGGGCGGAATCCCGTAGCCATAAATTCTTTGTTGCCTGACTTGTAGCTAGAGTACTAGTTTAATGATCTAGCAACAAGATCCGTGAAGGTTTGTCCGTCCATTTTTTTGGATAAGGCAAGAACGAGTGTTATTTGTCCGACTGAATGTATGAAATTTAACTTAATGCGCTTGCTGGAACGAGGTAGAGCCATGATTGTGAATCCACAGGCAACTTCAGGTGTTATTCCTGGAAACTTGTTTCGGCATAAGTACTCCGCAATATCAAAGTTTTATCTTTACTTTTCAGATCGGAATGTTGCGCTAAGTTACGGCGGTCAACTCGTTTCGGTAAATCAGGCTTCAAATTAATGACTGAGGCGATCCTTCCTTATATGAGTGGAATCCACTTTGTTTCAATTAAGGGTCAGAACTTGGCTTTACCTCCTCAGAGCCTCGAGGGCCTGTACGTCTGAACAGGTCACAGTCTCTGTACTTTAGCGCGGCAAGCTTTGTACGACAGTGCTGTACGAGTAGCTCTCTGTCTTTTATTTTACATGATTATGGACAAAATAATTAATCTTATTTGATTAGTTGTCCCTTCTTTGTTGGTTCTGTGTTGAATACGAACCCTAACTGCTATAAATATACCAGTCTCTTATAAATCTTGTTTTGTGTGGCGTGTTAGTTCTGCGTACGTTTGCTCAACTGTGGTGCGTTGGACTATTGCTTCTCCTAGGATTTTGTCCTTAACCACTTTTTCTTTGAATATTTTTGGTTGAAATGTAAGGGGTGAGTTTTTGCACCCAGGGATAAAACGACTTCATTGGTGAGTTTGCCATGTGTCGTTAAAATTGGGTGGTGTCGAATGAAAGAAACCTTGAAATTAAAAGGGAGTAAGGCAACAGGACCATCTCTACTTAATTTAAGGCATATTCACATTATCGATAACGTGAGGGGGGTCAGCGAGATCTGAAGCGGTTAGAGCACGAGGGTGCTAAGCATCAGGAATGATTTGCACAGTGATTTATGTGCGAATGCCCTCGTGCATGTTTTCCTTTCATGGTTGAGTTACTGGTACCGCCAGCGTGTCCAAGTACTTTGATGTCATCAAAGAAAGAAGTTCTTAGACAATTGTCTCGCTTAATCAATCATTCTTTTAACCCTTTAACCCCCGCGAGTTACCAAGAAATAATTTTTGCCCACAATATCCACACAATTTCAAGAAGACAAGTGATGAGAATAAAGATAAATATCAACTAGGGGACAACAAGTTGACCTAATACCAAATTCTCCAAACTAACATCACAAGAACTCTATGGGAGACAGTAAAGAGAATTACTAATGAGACCTTGGGAGTTGAAGGGTTAACCAATTTATTGATCCAGCAATTAATCTATGGATCGATCGCCTGGGGATAATTGCACCTGACTGATTAAATGACATACCGGTGTCCTACTCACATCACCCAGGTTGGTGTGCTTGAGTCAGAATCCGGAGAAGTCAAGACTCGAGAACCACGCGTGGACGGAACTATTCCGCTGTGTTTTTGTGTCTGCTGCATTTATAATGCATGCAGACACTTAGATAAGCTGTAAAACGCGCGACCAGCTACTTCATATACGACAAGATCTCGGATTTACTCTTGACGTTTCACTGCGGATTCCATTTGGTGACACGATACATGAAGTATGCACAGAGGGGTAATACTTTCGGCCTGTAATACTTTCGGCCTGTAATACTTTCGGGTGCAAACTTCGTTCCTCAGGGGAATAATCTATCCAATCGGATACGAGAAAAGGACAAAGGAAAGAGGTCGTGGCAAACTACCGATTTCCGGGAAGACTCGGAACCAATCAAATCTGAGAAAAGGACAAAGTCAAATCCGTCAAACCATGTGCTTTCGAAAAACGTTTGGGTTGCGTCGTATCGTCCTGATTTCGTTCGTCAAGCCAGGGTGTATTATTGCTTGCAAGGTGAGTGATCTTTTCGCTTTTCATATTTGTAATGGATTTCTTAAAAGGTGTTTTCTCATTTTGCCACAGCATTCGCACTGGGTGTCATTCCGGCCGAGTGAAAGGTTTTGAAAGATGCTTTGAATTTGTAAATCGACTGAAGCTTTCTCGGCGCCAACACGATCACCGCCCGGCCATTTTGCAAGTGCTCAGGACGCAAAATAAGCTTCATGAGCCCCATTTGGGGAATGCAAAGTCCCTTCGGGGAACAATTGAGTCCCATTTGGGGAATGAAAAGCCCGTTAAGGGAATTATTAAGCCTCATTTGGGGATTACAAAGCCCAATGCGGGATATAATATGCCCTGTTTACGAAATGTATTTGGCAGAAGATACATGTATTTCACTACACACGTGAAAACATCTATCACTAGACAAACATGTGCGAAAGCTGTGGCGATTTTATACAGAGGAGAGAAACCTAGAACTAGTATTTTTCATGATAATTACTATCTAAGCATCGCTATGAACAGATCTTTGCATACAGTTGTAAGGTATCAATGCTTTCAAAAATTGGAATCCTTCATCAAGATGAATCAAGCGCTCAATTGCTCCTTCACATTTCAACTGTCCAGCATTTGAAGATTTGCTATTTCCTTTGCACTTCCTAAGTGCAACTTGCGATTTTCCTAAGAGAATTTTCATTTGAAGCTTTTTTGTTTTGAAGAATATATTTTCAACACACATAGCAGCTCTCCTATCTGATCGTCTTAGTTCAGATTTACAAATGTCGCTATAATGAACATTAGCTAGTCTATCTTTATTTTCTGGTCGACTTTGACCAAGGAATATACCAGGATATGCTAACTCTTCAGAATATTGATCTCTGAATATACTTAAGGGTTTGTTTCCCTCTCCTGGTGCAACATTTAAAATACGTTGAGGCTGACTGTCTTCAAAATAATGTGTGTTGGTCAACATGGTGTCAGTAACACCAGCAGCTGTTTCTGCTTCATCTTCAGTCCACTGATCATCACAATCATTACTGTCATTTCCATCTTGCTTATTGGAACCACTGCTCTTTTCTATTTCTTGTAATTGTTCACTTTGATTTTCAGTACATTAGTATCATCTAATAAACAGTTTGCAGTATACTGCACTCCCCAACCTTCATTTAGTGTTATTCCTTCCTGTCTGTAGAGGCTGCTGTTGTTGATTGATTTATAATGAATAAGTAAACAAATAAAAAATTATAATTCACCTAGGTAAGTTTTTTTTGGCATTTTGTTGTTATAGTTAAATTTGTTGTAGTCGTCGTCGTCTTTTGATGCAGTGCTCCCTATGTTATTAGAAATTTTGAAATACATTATATTGCTATGAAACAAACTCAAAAGGTTCTTTTTCACTTGCAGGCAATGGAAGAACAAAAAGAAGAGATTGTTGGTTTCTTACACAATGTGTCTCCAACTAAAAAAGTAGAAAGACATCTTACTTTGACATGTTCATACAAACCACGGATGGCTTAGTAAGAGGAGTCTGCTTCTCCGGAAGTAAACAGGAACACTTTGATCAAATGAGCAAAAAGAAATCTCCAATAAAACTTCGAAATTTTAGAATTGAAAGAGCAGGAGATGCAACCACAGTGCTGATGAATAACAATGTACTGTTAGAGCCTACAAAAGAAATGCCTTTTTCAAGAATTGAGTTGCCAAGTGCCAACAATATCCAATCAATTTCAGCTGCAAACACAAATCAAAGTATCACCATCAAAGCCAAACTTATTCAGAAGTCATCAACAAAAAAAGTGAAGACAGAGTATGGTGAAAAAAAAAGTTGTTTGCCTATCTTGTGGACCCACATGGAGCCATTAAGGTGACACTTTGGGAACAATTCTGTGGATTAGAAGAAGGAAAAACTTATAACTTTCAAAATCTCCAAGTAAAGAAGGAGTACAACTCAAATGGCGTATATTTGAGTACCCCCAAAACAGGGTGCACAATTACAGAAGTTGAGCCATTTTCACAACCTCTCATTAATCCTGCTGAGCTACCTCAGAACTTTACCAATACAACAGCAGCAGCAGAAATACTTGGAGTGCGAAGTGTCACTGCATATCAAGCCTGCTGCAACTGTAACAAAAAGCTGGTAATAGAGACGTCTCCCATACTAACCTGTTCAACTTGTGGGCTCAAGCAGAATATGAAGTCCACCATTCAACAATGTTATGTACAACTACTGTTACAAATTAAAGAATCGAAGATCACAGTGACCCTGTTCAACAACATCCTGCATGATATGCTAGCATCACAAGGAAAGAGCACTCTTCCGATCACTGAAGAAACCATAACTGCCTTTCTTCTAGAGTTACCAACTATAACCAGCATAACATTCAACAACAAAACAAAAATAGTGGAGTCAGTGCAAATCTGAATAAAATGAACAATTTCCTGTCACACATCAGTGGAAATTACTACTGAATACCAAACGTTAATAATACCTGTTTTGTTACAGTTTGCAACAAACATTTTGTAGACACTGGTTTTAAGTGAAATGATTGTTTCTCTGACTGATAAACATTATTTACAAGTACACGCGCTGCTTTTTTTGGGATAATATTTCTGTTGCTTTACATTTCTGATACATTTCATTTTAATTAAAAGACAAACACTTCAAAATACTTTTAAAAGTATATTCACCTATTAGTTACTTGAACACAACAATGTAAATATACTAACTTTGTTTTACCTATGTTTTGTTCCAAATTGATTGCATATTACCATTAAATGAAAAACATAATGATTTCCTAGGAATTATTACAACCAGAGACTTTTTCTTGCTTTGCAAAACTGCTACTGCGTTTGCATTACAGTAGTCTTGTGTTACAAAGACTTCAGATACTATTCAATTTTGTTAAAAACTATAGGCTGTTCTATTTCAATTCTTTGATTTAAATATTCTGCTACAAAATAAAAGAAACGTTCACTTTAATGTTAGATTCTTTGCAGTACCATAACACAATAAAAGTTATTTAAACAGTGATGAAGATGTAATCACAATCATGATATTGATGATTGATATTGATGATCCCTTACCTCCAACTGGAGCATTGGACATTCACCACTTCAGTTCCCCATCTTTGTGATGCCTTGAGCATTCCATAACACTGCCTTTCGGGAGATGTTTCTAGCCAGTTTAACAGTATTCAAAAAAATAGGCGCCTACAGCAGATTCCATTCCACTGCAGCAGACACAAGTACCCATTGGGTACCTATTTTTTACCAAGAGACTCTACTATCGATGCACATGTATGACAATGTATCACAACGGAGCAGTTGAAGGGTCTGATCCTATTTCTCTGCCAACTTGATATATCAACGGGGCTAGGAAAGCTAAATAATTTCAAGACAATCAAAGTAGACAGGGTAGGTGGGTCAAAGGAAATTTGAAATGAAAATATAGGGTTTTAAGCAATACAAACCTATGACCTCGTAAAGCCTTTTCATCACAGGGACCGGTAGAGGAGCGTGCGGGAAAGAGTGTTATGGGTTTCTTATTGGACTTCCCAGTTTTGAGTCATTTTTAACTTACTTCCAAAAGCAATAAAGTATTGATTTTGTTTACTTCGGCTTGCATGTACCTGGGTGGATACCACATCTAACTCAGTCATGCCATGTCAGGAAGACTTATGGGAAGTTGTGACGTCACGAATTCATGAGTTGACCCTTTCTCTTGTAATTATGGTGTTACCCTACGTGCGCTGCGACCCTTGTTTTCGAGGTATTATTTTCCATCATTATGATTGTTATTAATTCTACCGGTTAGAGAATCGAACTTGAGCCGAAATACTACGTCACTGCCTGTCTTCCCTACGTTGTTGACGCAGGCGGATCGAGGATTAAATGTCCGAATAAGAAAAGGGGGGAGGAGGTTTTCTTAACATTCAACAGGGGTGTAAAAACTGTTATTGTGGCATATAATAAAATAATATCGAAAATACATATCTATTTCGACATTTTGTAAGCGCTTCTATAACTTATTTATCGATGATGGGTAGCCACTTACTGAGAACATAGATTAAAATCTGCGGAACAGATTAGAATCAAAGGGGGAAATATAAAACGCAGTTTGTGGTCAGTAAAGTGGGAATTATTGCAGTGGTTAAGCAACCTGGAATGTTAGATCTAGAGGACTTGGTCATGCGCATGTTCCGATAAGGTTTGGCAAAGAAAGTCAACGCAAAAGGGAGTTATTTTGCATATTTTGATTGACCAATTTCCCAATAATTTAGGAACCTTCATCAATTTAGATAGAAAGCTTTCCTTTCAGCAGTAAAGTATTCGAGTAGAAACTGAAATAAGTGAAAGAAAAGGAGAGAGCTGTTTACAAGTCTTTCTAATCCATGCCAATTAAACATTTTTCTTCTGGCTTAGTGTGAACTCTTATCTTTCATTTAGAATTTTCATCGTTAGTTGATATTTCCCCTTTGAAAAGACGAAAATAGACTTCCTATTTTCGTTCTTCAACCTGAAATTCCGGAACTACCAAGTTTAAGAGGCTTATGTCGACTCAACCAAAAACAGAACATTTCATCATTGATATCCCCTTGCGGTTGAGCTAACACTTGGCCAACAGAACCACATATGTAACAGTGACTGAAAGGGAAAAAAAAGGGAAAAATTTTTTTAAGCTGAACCAGAGGATTTTAAACTGTGGCACCTTTAGAGCGAATGATGGCAGTCATTGGAAGGTTAGTAGAAGGGTCAATTATTAATCTCGGTAACATCACTAACCTTGATGCGTCATTATGGGAAGGTTCGATACAGGCAAGGCCGACAAAAGGTAGAGGATGACGGAGTTTACATGACGTGTAGTTCCGTTTCAAGTTAAACACTTGGAGGAAAATGCGCAAATTAACGTAGGTTGCATTTGTTGGTGTTTTCAGACGCATATCTTCTCAACAGTATTTGTTGATCTAGTTATCACCTTCCACGAGGGCGTCCGTCGAAGGTGATAACGTCCGTCTTTCTGTTTTTCCATGGTTATATTTCTGTGATCAGCGAACATTATTTTTTGCGCCCGAAAGTAACTCCACAAATTTACTCTCGTGGCTATTGACCGTATCTGAGTGTGTTCCTGTCCTAAGAACACAATCGTAGAGTGCACAATATTCTGGAACCAAATTAATGTTGGAACAGAACGTCCAAGGGTAACCATATCCTTTATGCCACATAATTTACGTGGATGCATATTTGTCAATTGTTTTAAGGGTTCTCTTGTACAAATTAAAAAAAAAATGGATTCAAATAATAATAATAATAAAAAGGGTTATGGTTACTTTCATATGTTTTTCAGGAGATAACCATTTGGTATAGAAAGATAGTCAAATGAATTTTAGTTTTTATTTAAAATTACAGTATAGGAGAAATACGGAATATTTTTACCATTTTAGTGTACGACACCCCTTTTGGACAGGTGTTAATTTCAGAATAGAAACTTTTGCAACGAACAACAATTACCTTTTTGTAATTGATGTGATGTCGCAGGGGAAATCGTACTTTCATCCCCAGCCAGTAGCTTGTAAAGGGAGGGGTATAAGTGGAGAGGGTGGGGGGGGGGGCGATTCTTAAAGACAAAGAAGACGTCTCAGATATGTTTATGAGTAAATTAAAAGGATGAATGTATAAAATTCTCATAGAGGGAGATGCAGGGTACGAATCGACTGAATTTGTGTACGAAACGACTAGGTACCAGATGCAGTGCCCTAGTGGTTCGCAGGGGCGCACTCCTCCCTCTCTTTCTCTCTAAGGTTTAGCTTCGGCCAATGGATAGGACTTGGTCTGAGTCCTCCCTAGTGTCATTGCGCATGCGTTGTTTTTTCCCAAAAGTATCAATGGGTACCAACAAATTTTCAGAGAAGCTGGACAAAATTCCTGAGGATAACCCGCCCGTCATGGACTTTCACAGCATCCTCATCTTTTTATGCTAAAGAAATCAGTATGAGCGCTGTCAGTGTATGGGAAGTACGTAGCACGAGCGCAAGACGTACTTTGCTTCTCTGTGAACACGCCTACCAAGCCGAGTACGTACCCTAATGTCCGCTTCTTAAACACAGAACGGGGCTGTTCAAGTAAAAAAGTCCCTATTTGAATAATTTCGCTAACACGACCCTGATGAAGAGATTTGAAAAAATCACAAGACTAAATATTTTGCCAAAGTTATATTATTCTGCGCTTTTAATATCGTCGGCACTGATATGTAGTGGACCCCGGCAAATTTTCGCTGGGAAAGGCGGAGCCACCCTCCCTCTCTCACCCCCCCTGTTCCCCCTGCTCCACCGCCCATGTCATACGGTTATTCTGGAGAAAGAAGAATATCTGAAATAGATTCTACCCAATAGCAAGCAAAAATAGAACCAGGGGATACCTTTGAAAGGGAGGGGGGGGGGCGCTTGCATTGTGACTTTTAATTTTTCTCTCACTGTCGTGATAGGTCTTCTAATCCAGTACCTCAAAAATGTGGGTTGTCGAGTGATTTAACGATCTCTTAAAGGCGATAGCTTTTATTTCTTGCCATTTGACTGGCATTATCGTCTAGGTTTCAAGTCCTATTTGCCTGTTGTTTGTCTTCATCTCACCATCCCTGCATCCCACCTTTCACTACGTAGGAGGTGTAAAAACACCCTCCTACAAAGTACTTCCTCAGCTTAGATCTCTTGGTATCAGTGCGGTTGAGCTAGCCCACGTAAGATCTGCTTAAAACGTTCTCAATGAAGGTCTTTTACTTGAAAGATGATTTTTTCAAGTGTAAATGGAAGATGCACAAAAACAATGCAAGCAAGACAATGTCAGTTTAATTTTATGTGCTAAGTAAACAAAGAGGACGAAATTCAATTATGACCATCCCAGCTCACTCGACATGCTTCGTTGACTTCGGATGAGGGCACAAACCATGAAAACTTTGCTTGAAATGACTTGGAAAGTTGTCTGATTGCCCTTGTCGACTCACTTTCCCTCTCTGTAGTCACGCTACGTGCAGAATGCATAAACGTTTTGAGAATCTCTGGAAGGCATGCATTTTGATTGACGCACATACCGATTTAATGTGTTTAATGGTGGGATTTTATTTCAATTCGGTGTCCAATTACATGTTTGGTGTGTCAGTTGGTTAGGTTATATTGTCTCCGCGATCAGCCAATCACCGCCTGCGGGAGGAATTTGGCTCCGATCGTTGTGCGCATGTCCTGTAGCCCGACTCACAAATTCTGGGTAATGTTCATGCACGTTGGCTGCCTGGTTGGGTTGTTTTCAAGAATTTCTTGCCCCATTGTAACCCAAATTCCTCCACACAACTTCGCTAAGTTGAACTCGGAAAGTCTGCAGCGTATACTTGAGGTATTTTTGCGGTGACTAATGACATAACTGGCATCTAGAAGCTGTTTCTTCGCCAAACAACTATCGCAGGAAGTTGAGCTATCGCTTGCAACGCTTCCCTTGTCATAGTAATGGCGGACGTGTCGGACGAAAGTTATGCCGCTGAAACACACAGGTCTAAATACAAAAAGGATAGAACTGATCGACGAGAACGAAGGGGTAATCGTTATGGTGATGTCATAGATGGAAGTACATCACCTTCGAAGGAAAACAAGAGTCCAGGTTTAGAAGACAACGGGGTTGCCAATGACCTTGCTAATAGTAGTGCCGATCGAGATACGGGGAGACGAGATAGGGAGAGACGAGAAAGGCGGAAACCCAGAGATGAAGAAGCTAATGTCAGTGTGAACGACGAGGCGTCTGTTGAAGGTGCAACAGCAGCCAGTGAGGAAACAACGCCGAAGAAGAGCCTCAAAAAAGACAGAAAGAGCGAAAGTGCAGGGCATAAGAGACAAGCCAAGAGACATTTGAGGGAAAAAAGAAGGTCAACCGGAGTTGTTATGATGCCTGGTGGAGCCGATGCAGATGTAAGTATCAAGCGAGTTTCACGTTTCTTTCACTCTTGATACATATTTCAGGCTTTTAAAGTCCAAAAGAATACTTAAATCGAACCGTCGGAGCTGTTTATCGAGTAGTTCTCGTGGTGTGGGGTTTTGGCATCGCGAACAATAAACCTTAGAGCTAGGTGTTCATTTATTTCGAATTTTGCTGGCTTCCTTTCACAGTTATATTTCTTCTGTCGATGGTAAAATCATGTACGATAAGAAGCGCTTTAGTCTGTCTGGATATCCGAAGTTCGTCATGATGATAAAAGCGTAAAAATCTCTCGTACTTTGGAGTTCATGGCTACTGCAAATTGGCATTCTTGTACTGCGAATGTGATAAAAAATGTATAATTGTATTTGCGATTCGCCATCGGCAAATCTAAACAATAAATTAAAATCAATCCAGCTCTAGTGCTTTTTCAAGAAAAGTGGAAATTAATAAGCGCAAGGCAATATAACAGATGTTTACGCAAATTTCGCCTTCATTTCGTTTATTACCATCGTGACAGAGAAGAACTCTAGTGATAAAGTTTTACACAGGGTGCATCGATGGACGTTTGTAAACAGTATTTTTTGGGAACTGTAGACTTGAAGCTAATTTCGTAATTTTTCCTTGTCATTTCAGTCAAGGTAGAGCCTTTTAAAAAATTTCAAGCTTTAAGTATGACAAGTTAATCTTCCAATGCGAAAGCGTAGTTGAATGTTGTAAATGATATTACTTAATTTTAGCGAACGGATCTCTATGTGTTTTGCATAAGAAATGCCACTTACATCAGGCTTTGATTAAAATGTAATTGCCATAAAAAAGTCAGTGATTATAACTGGACTTTAGTCGTTTCATAGCAATGATGAGTGTCTCATGGTGTCTCACCCTGTCTGAGCACGATTTTCGTTTGTGAACACATGTCGAATTTTAGTCTGTTTAATTCATGTACGTTTCCGAGAATAACGCGAACGTTTCATCACAATTATATTTTTTAATGTAGCCGATTACTATGGACAAATTATAGTATGTCAGAAACTTTGTCTCGCTTCCTCTCTCTTTATTTAACTCAATGAGATTAGTACATTGATCTTATAGATGTCCAGTTTCGATACAACTTACTAAGCGTTCAAATGTAATACTGTTTATGGACTTCCTTCGTATGTATTTCGTTGCGTCTCTAGCCAGGTAACTTGCTGTAGTCTGGATATATTTTATTTGCACTTTCAGAGCGAAGGCGACGATGATACGAAGCAAGTAAAAGCAAATACGCAACAGAACGAGCAGGCCAACGATGATGAAGCAATAGAGGTAAGCTTACGTGTATGTTCGTTTGTGCTGTTCGAACGTTGTGGCGAAAATCCGTTTGTGTTTTTATGCAGTGTTTCAGACATGGTGGCATATACTGTCATGTGTATCTTTGAGGTTTTCAAGTACTTGCCTTGTTTATACAGAAAAGTTGGTTAAAAAGCTAGGAATGTTACTTTAAATCCTCCTGTCAAATCTGTGTAAACTTCACGGGGATCAAATTTTGAAATGTCTGCAGTGAAATGCTTAGTATACCTAAATCTGGACATTTTAAAAGCCCTTGAAACTCTCTTTAAATGATAAGGCTGCTTTTCACAAGAGTTATTTAAGACAACAAAGGCTTGTTTTACAGTAATTTAAAATGCTCGCATTCGAGGATATTGGTTTAAATAAATTATTCGCAACCACTAACACAGAGCTCTTTGCTTGTAAAATGATTCTAATGGTTGATTACATAGTATGCAGAGGTTGAATTGCATCTGCTGGAAACTTGATAGCAACCAAGTGAGAGTGAAAGATAACAAGGTTATTTTGCTGTTGCTTTTGAGAATTTAAAGAGACAGTCAAAGTAAAATATCAAATATCTCTTACTAATGAGAGCTGTCAGTTGGTTCTTGGCCCTTAAGCATGAATGGTGAGGTTTTGGTGTTGTCTGTGTTACATATTCCTGACTTCAGTGGACTGTAGGCTTTCTTTGAGTTGAAGAAGTCTTTTTGTTTTTTAGCAGAAGTGAAATGGTAATCTAATGATTTTGTTCAGTGTTGATCATCCATTTTCTGTATTATGAAGTTTATCTGTTGTTCCTTTGATGTTGTTGAAAGAGTGGTAGTAGATTTGTGTGTATGCTTAAACATGTATGCAAAGCTGAACTGTTACTCGCTATGTTTGCTAACTTGTTATTACTGAAAGTGCTACTTTCTCTTGAAGATGTTTCTTGCTTACGCTAGTTTGCTTTGTGATAAATTTGGTCCAATTTCCTTGAACTGCAAATCTGTTATTTCAATCATCTTGTTGATTTCTTACCAACTCCAAAATTTTCAAAAACTTTACTCTTCTTTTCTCAGAGGAGATCTCCAAGGTAATTTATGTCCTTATTTGGAAAACTGTAACAATAATCATATGATTATATGTGTAATATTTGTTCCAGTTTATGCAGTATCAGGGCAGTGGATGCATTGATTACATATTTTAGAAGCACTTCTATTCTTAGATAAAAAGATTACGTACACAGAATTATGTCTCATAGTATTTTGTCAAGAGAAATTCCATTATACTTGAGTGGGTGCATCAAAAGAAAGCATAAAATTGAAGTCAGTAATAGATTTAAGATTATTTAAGCAGATCAAGGTACTGCTAAAGGAGCTAAATGATATTAAGTCACAAAAATGAACATCTAAGACCAAAAACTAACAAAGTAAAAGCTGCTAGACTGAATAAATGAAAAATCTTTGGGCTCTTTCTACTGTTCTGTTGTTATGTCATTAATTTTTCAAGCCATTAGATCATTCTTGTAAATGCAGTAGTTTGTATCTTTCCTTGGCATAAGAGAGTTTGTTGTTATTTTTTTTTCTTGCTAGAAAGGTACTTAAGTACCTACTCTTCTTGCCAGAATTTCAGCTTAAAATGGTTTTCTACCATCTAAATTTTTTATTAGTGTATTGCACAGAGAAAGGGAGGATTCAATCAGGCTGTGTTATTTATCATCCAATATTAGGCAGTTCCTTATAAATCATAGACAAGGGAAGTTTTGCCTGTAGTAAAACAGTGGCTTTTACTTCTGTGCTATATTTAGAAAGCTAAGCAAAACAAATAAGAGTTTTTTGTAAAACAATATTGCAGAAGATTTTCAGTAGACAGGTCTGTTCTAACTTAAGAATTAGGTGCAGTGCACGAGTGATATTTAAATCAGTTTGTTGAGGCACGCAGTTGTTCAGTTTGGTTGGTACATGTGATATATTGTGATGAGAGTTGTTGCGTTGCTCAGTGATGGAATGCATTTCTTTACTTTTTAAAAAATGTGTTGAATATCCATGTTGGTTTTCAGGAGTTCTACTTTGGGTTACTGAACTCAGTTGAATGTAAAAAGTCTGGTTAGGTTTGAACAATATCCTAATAATTTAGCTTATCTGTAAATGTTGAATATATTGTATTATTCACCAAATTTACTAACAAGTCCTCTCTTTTCCCACTGTAGGATTCTCCCAAAAGTAAAGGGTAAGCTAAATTTTTTTACCATTTTGCATCTCTCAAATTTGGCATCAGTTTTTTAAAATGGTGTGTATCTGAAGCTGGTCATTTTATTTTTAAAGGATTAGTGTATTTTAGCTTTCTGCTTTTGTAGATTCTAGTGCTATATTAGATACATATTTACATACAGTGTGAGGCATTTAATGGCACAATAATTACTGATGATTTGATCAGAATGCTGGGTGATGCTTTGGCAGAGTAGCAGAGACAGTCTAAGTCAACAGTATTTTTACTGTGCTTGATATTGGATGACATGATTTGATTTGGGTTCCGTGTAGTTAACACCCCAAGTAAAATTAACAATTTAACCCAACTTCAATGTTTAAAACTTTTTTTCATCAAATTACACTAATGGAAAAAAAAATAATGTTTACTTACAAGGATAACAAATTATAACTAGAACTATTTCTTTTGTAGATCAAACAAAAGAATAGAGCAAAAAGTTGTAAGTATAAATTTATTCATGTCTGTGTGAAAGCCTAAAATTATAATCATGATTACAATTCTAGGTTGGCTATCATGATGGTAAGATTTAGCACCCCTTACCCCTCCTGCAAATTTGTCTTCATTAGAAAGTGCCCCTATTCTGATGTAACAGGTAGTGAGTTAGCCCCCTCAGTGGTCTTTGTCTCAGTCTCTCAACTATTATGTCTGCATGAGTGCACATTTCCTTTCAAATGATGATGCACTCATGTTAAACTTTTGCAACAATTCCTTGGCAGTTGTTCTCGTCAGGAAGGATAGACAGACAACAAGTCTGTTTCCCAGTCTTCATGATCCTATTTAAATAACATCAAAACTTTTTTTTGCATATTTTGCTGTTTCTCAAAAAAGAAATAATCACCCTGTGTTGATTAAGTGGCCTGTTTCCTGCAAATGTTTAAACCTTTCAGCAAATGATTGTAGATATGTAAATGTGGTTGTACAGTGCTTATTAATCCAGATATTATTCAGGTTGTGTAATATTTGGTCAAATACCATCTTGTAAGTGATTCAGGAATTATTTTATTTGTAGCAAAAGGATAGTGAAACCATCCAAACGCAAAAACTGCTTGAAAAGATAGAGGATTATGAAAGTCAGTTAGAAGACTACAAATCTGAGCTTGATAAAGCAAAGCAGGTGAGAAGTTCTTATGACATTACATTATGAGAACCACAATAGAAATGTAGAGGGGTTGCCTTTCATCTTTCAAGCTTTATGGAAAACAGTGGGCAGTACATCTCTTTTCTTGCAGAAGTATGATTTTTGAAGAATTAACTTATGTTTGTCTCTTTGTTATGTCACTGTTCTGTTAAGTTTTGAGGCAATTAAGAGGACATGTCTTGTAACAGATGCAGTTATATGGTGCACTTAGCTTCTCTAGCAAGCAACTCTGTCTTTGGAATAAGCATACTTTGCTCTTCTGCCCACTGAACTAACAAGTCCCTATTGTACAAACAAATTTGAAAAAACAGAAATGTGCAGCAAATCGATCTTGCTAACTTGACAAGAAAAGTTACTTACTCTAAGGCCAATATCTAGGTACTATGTGCAGGAAATTTAAAATTGTTCTTATTTCTATTTCATATCAGGAACTGGAAACACTACGGACAGAGAACGCTCGCTTGAAGGATGAAAACAGCTCTTTATTACGAGTTATAAGTCAAATATCAGCAATGAAACCAGTGAAGTAGGCTTCAAACTGCTGAAATCTTCATTTATTTGGCTGCAGTAGAATTATTTTTGTTAAACTGATTTTGTCAAATGGATGGCAGCCATTCCACATTAACACATTTTCCACATGGAGGAATGGAATTCTTCTTGGAGTAAAGCATAATGCCATAGTTGAATTGTCACTCTTGATGATTGCTTACACAAAAGGATGCACAAGTTTGACTAAATGGATAATGTCATTCTTTGGTTTGTATAGCTTGAAAAGTTATAGGCTGTTTTTATGAAGTATTTAGCAAAAATTAGTTTGGCTTGGAACTTTCCATTGTAGTGCAATGTTGAATAGGACAGGTAACTGGCTAAGGAAAGAGACTTGACATTTTTATGCTTTGTTGCTGAAAAGCTGTTCTTTTTTGTAGATAGTAAGAATGTGCTTAGTATTGCAGTGGATATGCTTGGGAAAAAAATACCTTACCAAGATCAGGTGATCTTACTAAGTTTTTTGGGGCATTTTTGTCATATAGTAACATGCCTATGAGAGTATTGAATTTTTACTTGTTGTGTAAGGGGTTGTGTAGTAAGCCATACTCTCTTTTGAAATATAGTTATTATTTGTTTTCAAGTCTATCCACTGTGAATATTTCTGTCAAAGGTGATGTTTTAATGGAGTTTCAACAATTACACAAACAGAGAAAAAAATTGAAATCCAGATCTCCTCAATCTTCAGGGCAACAAGTGCTAAACAAATTCTGGTGTTGTGTCACTGGTGTTTTCATGCAATTTTTATCTTACTTACAATTTTTACTCAAAGAGTGACTGCAAGCCAGCTTAGAATCTTGCAATTATGATGCATTGGTGTGTTACAGTGGTCATTCTATACTTCTTACAATCAACTATTTGATGGATAACGAGTTAACCACACTATTGGAGCTCCTAACAAGAGAGAAGGGTTTGAACGTTTGATGAAAAAAAAAACCCCACCCCCCCCCCCCCAAAAAAAAAATGTCATTATGTGTAGAGCTGTCAATCCATAACAGATCTGTTATAGCATATGTACTTGTTACGTGTCAAGCGCAGTGGCTATCTTGGTAGTGTGGAGTACTTGTTATGTGACAGGAAGTTATTTGATTGGCTTTTTTTAATCAGAAGGAAACAGGATTTTGCAAACTTGATAAGGTAAATTAGTGAGCTTGTGATATCTAAAAGAAAAGTAACTCAAGTCGCTATCCAGGGAGAAAGTAAAGAAGGACAATTCTGTGAAAGTAGGATACATGTACCGTATCAAGAGGGTCATTCCTTTGAATGCTTCCTCATCTTTGAAGGATTTGATTTTAAACAACTTATTTCCTTTTCCAATTTGCAAAATTTCCTAAATGAGAGTTAAAACGGTCGGTGACCTTGTTCTGAATGAAGACGCTGTTTTTTCTGTTCAACAATTGACACCTAAAATAGTGTTATCGGTTGGTGTAAGTTTTTTTTTTTAATTTGTGGAGGCAAATCTTTTTGTAGAAGCCATACTGATTGTGTACTCTTGTAAGACTGATAATTACTACTGTGATTGTTGTCAGCTTTTGAGACGTTCCTGACATTTCAACCTTAGAGAATGAGGCTCTGTGACCGTTTCAAGAGGGTCATTCCTCGAGCTCGATTCAAGAATATACGAAAGAAAATTTGAAAAAAAAAAAGCTGTTGAATAGTCGTGGCTAAAGGAAGTGCTGGCATTATTTTCTAAACAGTTTCTGTCAATATTACTTGTTGAAAAATATTCATAGCTATTTGCAAAGCGTATTTCGTGAAGGAGAATGTTCACTCCTCTATTGAAAGGTAGGTGGAGTCAATGGCACGCCTTCTTAACGGCTGCTTAGGATTTCTGGGTAGCATTTTGCTAATGGCTTCAGACAATTCATTGGTCGACTGGAAAGTCTAAATTATGAGGAATGTGTCGAAATCGTGTAAATTTTATGAGATTTTTTTTAACAATTTCTTTGAGAAGGTTTCTATCACAAGTTATCATGGTGTAGACCGTGCTTAACAGCCGGTGCAATTGTGTCTTACGGGAAACAGCGTTGTATGTTGAAATAGCGCATGCACGTAGAATAACAATGTTGCCTCACCCAGTGTTTTCTCTGGCCAGGTGTATTGTTTGGAACACTTTCCTAGTCAGTTTGCCTAAGTTACAGTCTGTTGGATCAAACACTTAAATGTGTTACTCTAATGTTATATTTTTGTATTATTTTAGTAAATATATTTTCAGTGATTAGTAAACAAAGAAACCAGACTCTGTGACTCGTTATTTCAGTATTAAGCGGTAAACTTGAGTTGTAAGGATGCGAAGGTGCATGCCATGAAAGTGTAGTGAAGCGGGGACCGGGGGGGTGGGGTGGATATGGAAGGGGTGAGGCATTGGGAAAATGGTTTGTTGATTACTCTTTGTTTTGTTTTGTTTTTTTTTTACGGTTGAACACTTCAGATTAAGGTCAGCGTAAGGACGGAAGAGAATATGCGTGTATTGGAAATTACTGAAGCATTCACTGCCGTTAAGTCAAAAGTCTGTCGAGGTGGCGGTGATCTTGTTGGTTTAAGGGAGATAATCTCGGCCATTTTTATTAATGCGCAATAAGTGATCTTTTACTAGTTAGAAGCTCGTCTACGGAGGGGAAAGGATCTTGTGTAGTTTTCATTTGGCGTTCAGAAGAAACTATGCCCACTATGTAGTACACATTCCAAGTAATTAGCGAATCTTTTAGCGTCATACGTGTAAAAATTGCAATTATTTTTCTATTAATATCATTGGCTTTTTATAGCCCGTTCGTTCATGGCAGATGTTAGTTATTTTAAGTTGTGCTAAATTGACTACAAAGAACTTTATTTGGAATTTATGAATACACGTAGTTCTGTCGCGTAGTATTCAAACTGTTCTAACCCAGAGCGCTGCACAAGAAGTGCACTCTTGCATCGCTCGGGATATCTGTATGTCATGAGATGATCATACGCCTACGGCTTTCCAAAGCCAGTTCTTACCATTTCCCTTTCCGCTATCAGTCGACCACATTTTTATTTTATCCTCCTAACATTTTTGATGTCGCATATGCATGCTGCGTATGAAATCAATAATAAGGGCGTAATACACCCCACTAAGGTCAGCGGGTTTGTTTTACAAGACAAATGGCTAGCTTCACGAAGCCTTTCTTATGATTTGTCAGGGATTTTTGGCAAAAGAGCTCTCAGAACGTGAATTTAGGCCTTAATTGTGGTAAAGTGGGGTAATCAACGTTTGATAAGTGTTTTTGACCAGTAAATTTCGTTTCTTATAAAAGTGAATAGGGAAATAAAAACCTATCATCGCTGCTTACCCTTCTGTATTGTACTTAGGGTTTTGCGTTTGGACAACAACACTGATTCAGAGAGAGTCCTATAGTCACTTTTCGGGTATTTTAATCTTGTAGGGAACTTATTTTTATCGCAGTCAAGAAGAAAGGCACGAGAAGACCTCATCAAACTGTTACTAGCCCAGCTTGATAACTCGTAGGAAAATTTAGGTCGTCGAAGATCAGTCTAGTCAACAGAACACTAATTTTAAAATTAAAGTGTGTCTGCTCGTCTTGGACTTCTCTTTTTCTCGTTTTTCCAGTTGAAAAGAGAATTTCCAAATTTCTGTTTCTTTTTCTCTATCTGTGGATTAGTGTTTTTTCGCTTTTCCTTCTCCTGTCGCAAGTATTTCTTGTGAAGCGCCACCCTTCGGAAGACAACATTCAACGCCTCCTGAACATTATCGTAATTTTCTGCAGCGGAAACTTCGAAAAACATGCATCCGAGCTGTTCAGCAGCCGATTGGCCCTCCTTTGTGGTTACTGAAAAGCATAAACTAAGGATGAGCGGCTTGTCAATGTTTGGGTCAGTAGTATTTTGGAATGGTCTTTTTCAGGCATAAAGGGTCAGAATTTCAAAAATTCATTTCCGGATGTTCAGAAAACCCACCAAGGGTTAATGATCGATGGTTTCATTTTTTTTTGCAACCACGTTCCGTGGTGTATTCTGTATCATAATATTTATTGAATACCTTTGACATTTGTCTTCCGTTTCCTCTCTCAAGGTCATATCAAAATTATCGTGACTTTTAAAGTTTCACTGATCATCACGAAGTAGTTTGGGTCATGGTTGACGGATTTCAGTCTTTGAACCCGACGGGCTGTTTGTCTGAGGCGTTTTTTTTAAGACATCTGCTTTCTTACCTTTTCTGAAATGCTCCAGATCTATCTTGTTTCCCACCAGAGCGACATGCAATTCATCTGTGCCTTTGCCGTCGTAGATTGCTTCAACCAGATGTATGGCATTATTAAAGCTGTTTTTGTCCGTGATGGAATACACCACGAGAAAAGCGTCGGCCCATTTGATGTCTTTATCAACTTGAGACGTATCGCTCTGGAAACAAGGGAACAAGATATCAGAGCAAGAAAAGAAAAAATTCCATAGAGGCCTATACAAGAATGAACCAAATGGACCACATCGTCTGAGGCTTTTGTTGACTGCTTCACCCCCTGGATAGGGTGCTCTCCCTCACAAGTAACTTCCACGTGCTTTGGAAACTCATCTGGTTCCATGGCACGTGAAAGTAAAACCCTGTTATTATAGAACCCCAATTTTTTAGCGACTTCTTATTCTAAAAATAGCTGTCTCTTCTATTTTGACCCAAATGTTCGTGCAGAATTGATCGCAGTTGATTGATTGCAGACGGAATTCACGCACAACTGTCGCATATATAAATTATCAACAGAACTTGGTATCATTTGAATTTGAAAAAGTTTGTCAGCAATTAAAGGATATTTGAATTGGTTAATACAAAACATACATGCGTTTGTCCTGAATCCACTCAAATTTTCACAGAGTTTGGGGTCTTCATATTGAATTAAGCCTACTTGTAGAAATAAGATTCAATTTCGTGAGTGGTTCTCAGTTTCCATTGAAGAAATACTTTTCTTGAAATTTTTGCAAGGAAAGTCGAGTTGAACGAAGCGGCTTGCAGAGACTGAATTTCAGAAATTTTTTTGCTCGTGTTTTCTACCTTTGCTCTTCCTCTTCTAAACGCAACATTGATATTAAGTGGATAATACGGTTTTTCAGAGCAACACGCTTTTCTGACCTTTATGTTAAAAATTGTAATAATCGTCTCGAGGTCAAGTAAAACAGTTTTGCTTTAGGGTATCTTTCTTTAGTAAGGTTAAATCAGTGGCTTCCCAGCACTTTTGTGGAATAAATGTCAAGTACAGTCAATGATTTTTTAATGTCATGCATGAAAATAAATCCTCCTTTCCTTTTTTTTTTTTCTCAAAGTCGTTCTGAATTATAAAAACTACTGTTTGAAAATAAATTTCGGCTTGCAATAAGGAAGCATATTTTTGAGTCGATGTTATTTGAATCATTCCGGTTGCGAAAGTCTAAATGTGTGTCGAAAATCAAATTCGTGTCAATGATTATTCACTTTCTTACAAATTATTTGCATATCTCAAAACGCAAAATCGCCGCGGCTGACGTATTCGTAATTGTCATGTTTCGTTCTCGTGACTTCCGTTGGCAGAACATCTTCATCCTTTTACCGAGACCTCTCGTTAATTTTTTTTTTTGACTTATGAGCTAAACGGACGCTTTTATGATTTCTATTAAGCAGAGAGCCATCTGAAAGCAATGTTCATATCCATATAAGGATAACAACACCTGCCACGTGTCTCGGGGAAGGCAATGATGTTTTTAAATGGATTTCTCGACTCAGCGTGATATTTATTTTTAAAAAAAATCGGATGCGCTTGTTGGCATTTGGATAACGGGAAAAATTCATCTCAGCGACGAAAGCGAAGATCGTCGAAGGACTCTACTGTATAATTTTTTTTTTCTGAATTTCACGTGTTTCATTCAAATTGATTACCAGAATCGAAAGTGAGTGTTCCTCAGACATAAAAACCATCAGACAAAGTAATGGATTTGAAAGAAACAGATAGATATCTCCGCCAGCCACGAATAAACTACGAAGAAAATCTTTACAAGCGAATGGATGATTTTCGTCGGCAGGAGATATTGTGCGACACAATTCTTCAAGTGGACGGGCAAGAATTTCCAGCCCACAAAAACGTCTTAGCGGCATGTAGCGAGTATTTCCTTGGTTTGTTTACATCCGACATGAAAGAAAAACATCAACTTGAAGTCAAACTCGAAGGATTTCGAGCCTTTGTGATGAATGATCTGCTCCATTACATATATACGGGAGAAGTTGAAATAACCGATGAGAATGTCAAAGAACTGGTTTTCGCTGCTGATTACCTGTTAATAACAAGCTTAAAGGATAAAGGGAGTGAGTACTTAGAAGGAATTTTAAATCCTTCAAATTGTCTGTCAATGAGAGCGTTTTCAGAGAAATTTGACTGTGAAGAACTCATGGACAAGTCTGAGAGCTTTATTCTTGAGAACTTCGTGGCGGTTTCGAAATCGGAGGAATTCCTGCATCTTTGCCTCTCTGAGATTGAGAAGCTTATCACTTTAGACGACGTTATTGTGGAGACGGAGGAACAGGTGTACGAAGCGGTCGTTTCGTGGGTCAAACATGACGTGAATAACAGGAGAGAGAATTTCCCGCGGTTGCTCTCTCAGGTTCGCTTGGGTTGCATGTCAAAATATTACATAGCAGAATATGTTGAAAAGGAAGAACTGGTAACCAATAACCTTGAGTGCACCAAGCTTCTTTACGAAGCCATGAAGTCATATGCATTACATGGACCTCAGCGACAGCCAATCAGGGATATCTGCAAGACGCGGAAATGTTTGGATTCCAATGTAGATGCCATCATTACGATCTGGGGACCTGGAGACGAATTGCGTTCCTCAACTCAGTGTTACGTGCCTTCTGTCAATCAGTGGTACAATTTGGCGCCAATGTTAATCCCGCGCTTCAGTCACGGCGCTGTGGCATGCGAGGGGTTTATTTTCACAGTGGGAGGAGTCTCCCTGAATGGGCATCTGTCAAGCATGGAGAGATATGACTACAGGTAGGTTATTGTCAGGTATTAATCGTTATTTACCCACAGTGGGAGTGACGCAGTGGCCCGTTGTTTAACGGAAATGAATCCAGGAGGTCTGAATGTGAGCCATGGCCGGTTCAATCCAGTGCACTGTTTTAAAAACCCGAGAAGATGTCGGGGGGTGGGGGGCTGGGGTAAGTTTTAGTCACTTTGAGAAGCTAAGCTACTCGTTGTAAAGATAATTTTGATGCTTCTTTATATGTGATTTTCACAGAACTAACACATGGGCAGGAGTAGCACCGATGGCTAAGGAAATCTCTGCTCTTGGTGTGGCTGAACTAAATGGTTCTTTATACGCAGTAGGTGGCTGGCACAGAGGAAGACCGCTTAACACCGTTTTGAGGTAATCGAAAATGTTGTGTTTTGTAATCAGGATATTGATTATTGTTGGCCAGGTCATGTGTAAAGAATGTTGTGCTCCTATGAAAGACTGAGGTAAAAAGAGATCATTTCTTTTTTGAAGGTACTATCCGAACTCGAACATCTGGGAAGCGGTCGCCCCCATGACATCAAACAGAGGTGGTCCATGTGTAGTATCTGATAAATACCTTTACGCCATCGGTGGAAAAACAGAAAACGATAATGCCAATGACCCGTTCAAGTACCTGAGCACGGTTGAAAAATATGATCCCAGAACAAACACCTGGACCATGACCACACCCATGCAGGTCCGTAGAGCATACGCATGCGGAGTAGCTGTTGGAGGAAACCTTTACGTAGTAGGGGGAACCCAAGATGATTTGTACTCGTCGCACAGCTCTTGTGAGGCTTTTGACATAGAGAATAACACCTGGACATACATAGCTAATCTGTGCATATCAAGAGCGCTGGCAGGGATAGCTTTCGTAGGAAATCATATCTACGTTCTCGGAGGAAAGAAAAATTCCCGCGAAAGAACAGACAAAGTAGAATTTTACGATATCGATCTTGACGTGTGGAAGGTTGTAGGGTCGGTACCTAACTGTATGGGTGGGATACAGTGCTCAGCTGTTTCTCTTTCCACCCAATTTCTCAACTCTCTGACAAAGATTACTTAAAATTTTTTTTTTCCTTATCAGTACATGTAAGATTGACAGGCTTTCGTTTGAACGCCACAATGTCCCAATTCATCTCTAATTTTCGAACTTCTTTTTGAGATTAACCCTTTTTTTTAAACGCGCAGTGCATACGAAGGCGTGGGCATAACGTTGGATTCAATTTCTATGAGCTGTTGATTTTGAGGACTGAACGACTTAGCAGTTTGTACTTGTCGTCGTTTTGAACTTGGAGCCTTAGTCCTTCTCGTGAAAAATTCGAACATTTTGGCAAAAGTTTTTTCGAAACTTTAAAAACATAGCAGAATGATTTCCCTTTATGTATGGGCCTCAAATATAATTAGCACAGGATGATTGTAATTACCGTAATTAAAGAAGAAGTTAGATATTATTGTTAAGCTGAGAAATCTGTATATAAGAGCATATATGTACATAAGCATGGAGTGTGTCCAAACATCAAGTCACCGAGTAAAATTCGATAGTTGACTTTTTATGGCAAGGCATATAGTAAGATAAAAACGGATGAGATGTATGTAAAAAACGACAGAGGAACAACTATCTTTTAAAATATCTACAAAATAAATAGGGCGATGTGAACATTATCTAATAAAAAATGAATTAGATTCAGTCTTTTGTCGGAGGTAAGCCAAATCCAAACGTCACCTACGCTTAATTGATGTTTAGTAAACAAAAGAAGCTTTTAAAAAACTTGGCGAAGCCGTCAGATAGACCTTCAGAATACATTAATTCGTACCTTTTCAATGGTATCACGAAACTCAAATGTCAGAAATTCATCGTCCAGCTTGATTTTGTGACTGTAGGTTAATTCTGAAATCAAGAATTAGAGAACAAGAGTTTATCGTAGGTATTTGAAAAGAATGCGAACAATGATTAAAGGTTAAAATATTCAAAATATGAAATTATCATAACCTGACGTACAAAATCTGTTGATGTTTATCTAAGAATAACTTTATATGTTCATTGAACTGAGAGCTTGTGCTCATAATTTAGGGCTGAGGCTTAAGACAATTATTTATTTCAGTGTGAAAGAAGTTCTGCTTGGTTTTGATCAATTCCCACAGGCAGACGAATACAGGTAAGGGAGTAGTGGAGTCCAATGCTACATTGCCATAGAAACGTCTGTCTTGAAGCGGCTTTAAGTTCGAACTAAGATCTTATCATTGTGTGGTTTAATCCACTTTAGCAGAGCATTAAATGTTCATTACACAACTTAACACCAGGAAATGAGCAATTATTGAGATGAACATGTGGCATTGCTGATTGCTTAAAAACAAAATTACATTTCAGCAATGCGGGAAAGTTCAATTCATTGTTCGATTCTCTTTTTCGGTTTCCATTGCGCACCAAGGATTGTTCTAATCAGTGACCCTCAATAGAATATTAAAAGTTGCGTGTATTGTGTTGTTAAGTAAATACAGAGAGCCTGAATCACTTCACTAATTTCTCAACGGTTGAATGTTCACTGCTTGAATTCAAGCACGTGGCCGAATGACCCCGCAAGCTCCATCTCTGCGTCAGCTTGTAGCATGCTTCATTCCGTGAATTTTGGCCAAAATAGGCAAAGAATGGAGAGCATGAATCGAATGTACTAATGTGCGTGTTAGTTGTCTAGTAAATTAAGAAAGAGTAACCGACATGGTTCAGAGAACATAAACATTAACGCACAAGAGAGTCGGTGATTAACACAATGTTTAACGGTCGGTTGGCCAGGACTATGCGACCGAAACAATTTGTCGCTCCAATTAGTTTGGCTAAAAACTGTCTACTAACGGTTTTGGATGAGTCTTTTATATACCATGGGGAAGAATGATATGTGATGTCGGTCGAAAATGAACCCTCAGAGGCAGGAATACTAACCTATTTTAAGGGTTCAGTCGGTAAACGAGACATGATGTAGGTGTAGAGCACAGACGGAGGGACAAGTTAAGGAGTTTAAAAAGAAACTTTTTTCGAGGCGCTCAGACACATCGCGCTTCTTTTGATGCTAAGTGTGGCCATAAAATTTGTAATTGAATTGGTTTGCGTGCGACGTTGTGGATAAAACAAATCATGGAGCTCAAGTTAGTTGATCACTTTAGGGGTGCATGCGTGGGTTGGGAGAAAAAATCTTGCTACCATTTCCAAACAGTTCAATTCAAACAATAACAGAAAATGTTCAGTTTTGGTGTCGCAGAGAAACAACGCATATTGATAAATTCTTATTATTAAATTCTCTACTTACGCATAAGTGACTGATATTCGCCAATAAATCTCTTCGTCAGAAAACGAACAGTTAAGGCTGGTGATAAAAATGATGTAAAATGTTAAGACTATTATAACAGAAATCTTAAAGTAAATTAAAATTACAGCATCTCCCTTACCCATTTTGTCCAGGAAGAACTTCTTTTGCTTGAGAGTCATAAAAACCCAAAACCAAAATAATCACAATGTATCCAGGGGTTTCGGTTCGCCCCCGCCTTAACAAGCCTGCCCCTGGCTTGCTTAGGGGCATTGTTTCCGTAAGGCAGAACGTGTTCCTTTTCTGACGAGTCGAACATATTAGAATCTTTTTTAAGACCGTCATTATTCCCCTCTTCTTATGAAGGAACACATTCTGCCGTAAGGAAACGAGTTGAAGAAAAAATGGGGACGGACTTGTCAAGGTTGATGACGCGAGCTTTTCGTAATGGGGGCGAACGGGTATGGGGTGAACCTGCCAAGGGGCGAAACCTATTGAGCGTTATGAAGACCGTTCATAGCGTTCAATACGGCAAAACCATTGCTGGATTACTTTCAACACTCCATCATTTTCTAGTGCCCAGGTTGTTATCTAACACGCGTTGTTTGCTCATTTTTGTAAAACCTCGATCTCTACTTTCTAGTCGGCTCCAACTCATCACTCACTTAGCTAATATTCATTGTTGTGCATTGTTATTGTTCATTGTTGTTATTATTGCAAGGATTCTATGATTTATCAATAACGCGTATTTGACGCTTGTTTTTGTTCTCTTTTACATTATTTCCCTAGAATCCATCGGCCTGATGAAAAGAGAAAAAAAACATGCACGAAGGTGTCAATTATCTCATTTGTTTTCAGGCGAACAACATATGGCAAACGTATCTATTTCCAGTGCGTGACACATTTTGTTTATTTTCTGGTCTGGAAACTAAAGTTGATTTCTTTCAGGTTCCGCTTTTCTGGCACGGAAACCACGTACCCTAAGAATGATTTGAGTCAGTACACGTAATAGAAAGTGTTACACGAACTTTGCACATGTCCTCAACTGGACAAGAAGAGGAGAAAGGAAGACGCACTACTTCGAAGTATAAAGAAAAGCTGAAGCAAACATTTGCAGTTGGAATGAGGAGCTGATGTCGCTAAGTGCTGAGAGGGGCTGGCTGGGTGGGTGGGTGGTAAAAAGAGAGAGGATTTAGGACATTTGTACAGTTTGGATATGCTCCCCCATGTATCTTTTCACGCTACTAGTACATTAATAAAGAAAGGTGGAAAATTCACGAATTGAAATGTAGAAAATGGCTCAGAACATTTGATAAATTACACTTGTTATTATTGCACAATTTATCAATTAAAACCTGCATTAGCTTCTTTTGTCTTCTGTTTAACGGACACCCTCTATTGAACGGACACTAGCCAGATTCCCGTGGTTTTCCGCCTAAATCAAGTTTCATTGTAGTACATTCCCCGATTGCAGCCCATTAAAAAAAAACATATGTAAATGAGATAATATTATAAAACCGGATAAAATTTGGTAATTGCATTTTGCTTCCGAAAAAAAGATCTTTGATAACGAATCTCTCTATAGCGAATCACTTTCAACAAAGAACGGTGTAACGTCTAATAAATGGATGAATTTGTTCACGACAATATTATCACGTTTCGTCGGTCAACATGATTGGGATGGGGTAGTGGGGTGGGGGGATGTTTGGGGGTCCTCTGACAGGAAACATCAAAAAAGCAGAATTATTATTAGAAGAACACTTGATCACTGGCAGAACAGCTATGAAATGTGTGTCATCAGCAATAACCAGGGCACAGGGTTTAAAAATTATTCGCAAAATGTACGTCTGATTGATTTCTAGCACATGACCATCGGCAAACTGAATTCAATAAGTTTCTATCATGTTATTGTCCTAAGGTTATAAACACAAACAGATAAAATCAATACAAACTCGTTAACCGTTTCGTGACTGTTTTGTTAATGAATACTTTCAACAAAGAGTCCTAGAGTACTGTTTTGAGTGGTCATCTTTTAGATAGCAAGTGATTCTATATATGGATAAAAGAAACATATCTTCCTTTTTTTCCTTATTCTGCATAAATACCACATTTTTTTTTTGTCCACGTTGATTTAATTTGCGCTTGATAATGGATCACTTTCAAATGCCGCTTAGAGAAAGATATTGAGTGTGAATTGGCTTTAAACGCTATCTGCAAACTTTTTCGGAAAATAAAAAGTCATATAGCTAAAATCTGCACAGTGCAGCTACAGAACTTTTTTTCAGTTTGTTTTTGAAAAGTGAATGCACGTAACATAAGAAATTGACACGATTTAAATTTTGCTTGACCGACTTCTTTCCTTGCGGAGTGGTACGGTTGTGTTTAGTCGATTGCGGTTTGATCAATTAACATTGAAACCACTCGCTGCACTTTCGTGGGAAATGAATCTTTTATGTTCTCTAAAGCTCAGAACTGTCTAACATGAAACTCCAGATCGTTCAAACAACCCTGTATCGTTGCGTCTCTCTAACGGATTCAAAGATAATACGTTTCCCCTACCTGATTTGCCGACTCCTTTGCTTCCTAAAGTCAAGAATCTCGCCTCAGCGGGTATCAGGGAATTCATCTGTGATTCTCTTACATGTCCGCAAAGGATCTAAAAAGTTTCTTTCGATGCTTGTTTTGGTGAAAGGAATCTTTCACATTCCTCTCCAAGCTCACACTATGTTTCATGCCCGCCAGCAACACATTGAAAGCTTTTTTGACAAGCTTATTGTCAGAAATAATACATCTTTGTCAATACTGATACCTTTAGGGCCATTCTTGATGGCAGGGGGCCGATGAAAACGCGTTATTTTTTTCTTCTACTGACAGTTTCTAAGGGTAGTAAATTCCTCGTATAGCGTAATTTTTTGGCATAAAAAGTCAATATTCGTCAAGTCTCTGTGTTGAAAAAGTTACTTTTTATTTCACGCACCTGAATAATTCAGCATTTTCTTTAATAATAGCTTTTGGGTGTATTTAAATTTTTGGGCGATAACATCTTAATTGCTGATGATCACCGGTGATTGAATGGTATAAACATTACCAGAAACATAAAATATCACAAGCCGGTTACTGGTAAAATGAGCTACAAATGAAACCTCCCTTATGTTGATTCAGTAGATGTAATTAGCCATATGTTTTAAAAACGTTCTAACTACACAAGAAAATTACAAAACGTCGAATATTTTGTTAACAAGTTGTCTGTTGACTTTCGATTTCTTAAATAGGTTTCTATAAAGCATAATATTCCTTCTTTGCGTGGACCATATGGTCGAATCAAGAGAGAGCGTGAGAGGGTCGTGGTCTACTTTTTTTTCTGACTTTTTTTTTCTTGTATTTTAATTTTGTTCTTTGACGTTAATGTTAATGTACTGTTTTTATGGAGTCAAGTAAAAGAGTTTGCCTGCCCTTAGGCAAATAGTAACTATGACCGGCTTCACGAGCGGGTAAGACAGTGCGCAGCCTGTGATCTGATTGGCTATTCGAGGGCGAGACACGCCCTTCTCCATTCCCCGCGATTTCCCTCGTTGTCCCTCGTCCTCACAATTTTGAGTGTATTTCATTAGTGAGATCTTAAGCCATAAAGTAAATCCATCATTTTCTTAACCTCGTAAAGACGGCTGAATTCTTTTCTGCTGCATATAGAGATTTACTTAAAATTAAATTTACCACTGTAGTGAAATTTCCTTGGCATCCCGAAGAGGATTTCTGTGCGCCAGAAGTCAGTTATTACTGGTAACGCAGGAGTTTTCAAATGGAATTTCCATTTACTTATAAACTGATGTATTTTTAAAATGTTATTCTAATATACCATGAATTATCGTTCAGATTATCCAGCTCCCGTAGCACAGTCGGTTAGAGCGTCGTACTTATAAGCAGTGCCGGCGCAATACCCCAGCTGGTGCTGAAGTAATGCGAAGGTCGGGGGTTCGAGCCCCCCCGGGAGCAAATATTTTGTTAATGGGCCTTTCCAGGCAACTTGAGAATTCCTTCATTTTCCACCAAGTTTAGAAAATTATGATCTATTGAAGGAAAACATATAGATGACGTAAACATCCTTTTGCTTCTTTATTTATGAAGTAATCAGGTAACAGATTCGATGTTGCCGTGTATCTGTTCACCTCGTTTAATCTTGTTTCAAAGCAAGTTTCTGGGCGCCTTCTGCGTGTTCGGCCAACATCTTTTAGGATCAGCAATGTCGATAGCGTCATGTTTTGTAAATAGAATAAAAAAGATGATGATTTTTTAGCTCGGTTAAGAAATAAAGAAAGATGTTTTTTCGTCTTGTCTCGAGCTTGGGACATGATCCTAGCATTATGCAGGACGCATATCATATGTGAACTTCGTAATGGGCCTTGCGCACCATAGAGTTTCTGCGGCTCAGCGGTAGAAAAAACATCTTTGTCTATTTTAGTGGCTCATTATTCATCAATTTTTTCTCAGCGAAGGCCTTTCGTCTCTTCTATTAGCGCTTTGCCACCTATTTTGGGCTCCAGAGTACAACTTGAAAATTAAATCTTTCAGTTTCTCACCAAAGCCACCTCTTCAAGTCTTCCACATCTTAATACCAGCATGGTCTACTGAAATCAAAAGTCGCGTCGACACAAAAATGAACATAGTGTAGAACTGAATAGCAGTCCTGAGGATGATGTTGGAAACACAACCAGTAATACTTTGTATATTTCGCACAGTGCCATCAGCATGGGCGGTAAGAACGTTGTACACCTCTAAGTACTATCGGCTCAATCTGCCGCTAACGAGAGCGGTGAGGCAATATGAAGGTCAGGGGTTTGGGTTTTCGAGGTGTTTAGGCTGAAAAAGTTCCCTACAACTTGACGCCGAATGTTGCTGATCTCGCAACAACGAAATGAAAAAGAACTAAGCTAGCGCTGTCAGGATTATTTAGACCAAATACATACGAAAAGAACTTCCATAAATGTTCATTGTTTTAATTAAAAAGTAAATAAGGAGCGGGGTGACACTGATCTCCACTCACTATGGCTAAAAATTTCCCTGATTCATCAATCATCTAAAGTAACAAAGTGCAAATTAAACAGGGTACGGCATCGAAACATGGTTCCGTTATTTCATTGCTAAAAAGTTTACTTGTCTCTATTAAATGATGGACAAACTTTGAATGGGAGTTATCTGAGTGTCCTGTATTTGCGACATTTACTGTTTGTGTGCCTTATTTTTCAATTTTTTTTTCCAATTCTTTATGAGTTGTGCGTTGAGCAGGTGTTTCATTTATTTACATCGAGGTACAATTAAATTATCTTCAGTCTTTATGCTCAGTGTCTTTGTGACCTCAAGTAACGGACCACGGTCCACACGGAAACTTTCCAGGTCCATTTAAAGTCTCCTAGAGGAATATCCTTGAATACACTATTGTATCTGTGAAGCATTCTATCAGGGCTTCTTTTTCCGTGTCCAATAATGTCTTTGTTGTTTAAGAAACATGAGTTCTAAGCCTGACTTAAGTTCGGAGTCTGACGGAAGATATTGGTCTTCAACCAACTCATCTTCAAAGTCAGCTTCAGTGAGTTCCACTTCATCTTCTGAGGTGGTGAAGCTACTTCTCCGTGAGGACGCCGTGTAAATTTGTTCATCCAGTGAATCTACATTGACCCCATCTCTGTTTGACCTGATATGTTTTATGACAACTATACCGACCACTGCCCCCAACACCACGATACCCAAGACGATCCCAGCTGTTGTTACAACTATTGAGGTCGTGTTCTCGCGTTCGGGGATCTGAAAATGAAAACATGATATGTCACATATGGTTCAGTTGTTAACGGGTGGTGGAATTAATTGATGAATCAGTTAGTCGTGATCAGTCAGTCATTAAATCAGTCGGTCATTAAATCAGTCAGTCATTTAGTTAATCAATCAGTCAGTCAGTTAGTACGTCAGCCATTCCGTTAGTCAGTCCGTCAGCTGGTCCGTCAGTCAGTCAGTCGGTCATTCAGTCAGTCAGTCGGTCATTCAGTCAGTCAGTCAGTCAGTCAGTCGGTCATTCAGTCAGTAAGTCAGTCAGTTAGTCATCAGTCAGTCATTCAGTTAGTCATCAGTCAGTCAGTCAGTCAGTCAGCCAGTCAGTTAATCAGGCAGCCAGTCAGTCAATCAGCCAGTAGGTCAGTATGTCAGTCAGTCAGTCGGTCGGTCAATCAGTCAATCGGCAGGTCAGTATGTCAGTAAGTCAGTCAGTCAGTCAGTAGGTAGGTGAATATGTCAGTCAGTCAGTCGGTCGGTCAATCAGTCAATCGGCAGGTCAGTATGTCAGTAAGTCAGTCAGTCAGTCAGTAGGTAGGTGAATATGTCAGTCAGTTAGTCACTGTTATCAGCTAAGTTAGTCTAAGCAGTTATGCTATCAGTAGCTAAGTTGATTTTGACTAATACAGTCAATAACTTTAAAGATGGCTCAAATCATGGCGTGACTGTAAATTAGCATATGGGTCCCCTCTAAATAGGGGATTGGTTTCACATTAAAAGGTGGCGATAATCAGTTTTTTCGATGGCGACAAATACGTAAGGATCTAGAAAAAAGTTTCCATTAAGGTGTAGGATCCCGGAATGCACTAGTCAAATGCCCCATTGTGTCCCGGCCGGGTCTACACCCACTGGTGCATAATAAAAGTATGAAAATAGATTGTATGACATACCCTTATAGTTTTAATGATCGTCTTTGTCCTCTCATTTTTGTTTGTTTCTTTGTTATGCGGAGCAGTACTGGCAAGGAATGCGTCCATCATTTTCTCGGAGTTTCGCAATTTTTCCAGTTCCTCCAGTTTATCGACTTGTTTGTTTTCCGATTTCGACTTGTGCTTTTTGAGTCCATCTTTTAGAATGAAATTCTTGGAAGAAGATGAGCTCTTACTTTTATTATCTGCAGAGACTAAGGAGACAAGACAAAGCGTTAGCGTAACAGAACAACACGTAAACGAAGGTTGGAGTGCTTTAGCCGTGAAAGATTGCAACTTGACAAAAATTGCTTGTCAATAAGTCTCAAACGCACAAGCATTGTGTGTTGAGTCTGTAAGATGCACTATCAAATTGCTACAGTGGGACCTCGATTAAACGAAGTGCCAAGGGATTGGGGAAATTGATTCGTTCTATGGAGGGTTCGTTATATCGAAAACCTCGATTTCACGAATTTGCAGAAAAACAACCAAAATGTTCGTTATATCGATGGCTGGTTGACAGTTGCTGTTTTGTTTTATTTCTTTTTTTCTGTTTTGTTGTAGTTGTTTTTGTTTTATTTGTGATGCGACGTCGTGCTACCCAGCATCTCGGGATCGGAACGATTCCTTTAAATGATATTTGTGTTTTAATGTCTACGTAAAGCTACACTACACTGTACAGGTCTGTACATAGCTACAGCAACTTTAGCCGGGCTGAAGAGTATCGTTCGTTATACCGAGAACTTCGTCATATAGAAGTTCGTCAAATCGAGGTTCTTCTGTAATTCTTATCCTAGGTTTGGTTGCGTAGCCTCGACTAAAAAAATGTGTTTGGTTCATAAATTGCGCTTACGGACTGAAAACCACTAAACAAGAAGTTATCCTACTAATATCGATTTCTCTGCTCAGCTCAGTGGCAGTTTATTGTTTACATGGGATACATCTTGGCGACGGACTCCCAGATAACGAGCTGTAAAACTTCCCTGCACTCCTAGCAGCTAGTAACACCGTATAACCAACCCTCGAACGATCAAGCAAGTCCGCGATCGCAGGTTACAAATTGATTCAAGGTTATATTTTTCCAGCATCTATATTCCGATGGGAGGGAAGACTCAGACAACGTTTCTTTACCTGGCATCAAAGTGCTGTTTTGTCCCTCCGGTGTGTAGTAACATAGAAAAAACATGTGGTCTTTGTCTGCTCGGTGTATTCCGAACGGAAATTCGCCACCTTCGTAATCGATATTGCCTCGGTCTTCGTCATCGAATTTGACGAACTCTGTCTCCACTCTCATACCTTTAACCTGAAGATAATAATGAATACACAAACAACTTAAAAATTAATTTTTTCCTTAAATTAGTAGTTTTAAAGGTTTACGCGAACGTTGATAAAATTATTGTTTTCTTTATGACAACTTACCTTCTGGCAAAGATAAGACTCGTAGGCAAATAGTAAGAATGGAGCTTTGTTGGGCAGAGTGATCTCTTTGCTGGCACTACCAGTTGTGCTGCAGCAAAAGAAAATCTTGGAGTCTTCGTTGAAAAGACCTTCGGGTAAGTCTCCGTATTTAGAATTTTTATTGTCTTTGTTTTCATCATCCCATATAACAAATCCCTCGTCGAGGCCAGTGGGGCAGCGGGATCCCTTTTTGTAAATGCAGTATTTTCCATCTGGCCATCTGAGAAAGGTTAATGCGGTGATTAGGAGCTTTTAAACAGAAAAAGAGTTAACATGACAAAAAGCAGCATGACGTACAGTACGTAGCCCTTTACACCCTAACATCAGCATGTATATTCTCCGTACTCTACTCTATACACTTCCTAAGGTGCTGTATTAGAATTTAGTCAACAATCCTGCAAGAGCTTCTCTATTCGGTGATCATTTCCTTTGTTCTCGTGATCTTAATATGTGATTCAGGGGTGATATTGTAAGGAGAAATGAGATGTAATAAAATATGTGTTTATTGTTAATCGTGGTGTAAGATAGGAGTTGAACTTTATTCGCCTTTGTCTCGCGATAGAGTCACTTTTGATGCTGATCGCGACGTTTCAACTGCAACACTACTAGTCTTCATCAGGCGATGAGGTCGATTGTTTACGTGTCGTTATTTGGGGCACGTTGGTTCGCTGCTATTGGTGCATTTCGATCCTCATTATTATTCCGGTTGTAAGATGATGTTCCCTCATAGCTCCTCATCGATCGGCTGTTGTGTTGTTTGATCGTGGGTATCCAAGCTTCAGGAATTTCGATTCCAATATAGCAGATGAGTTGCATAGAATATTAGTTATTCAAGAGTAAACTAATATGTACTTCAGTTTACATACCTTCCTCCGCCTGTATCATCGGTTTTAATACAAAATTCATGTTTTATTCCTTCATCGCTGAATTCACCCGCCAAATGAAAACTGTCAGAATGTTGATTCTCCGTCCCATCATCCTCAGTGTCGTGGAATCGGTACCCAGTCTTCCACTCAAAGCCATCTGCTTTCGGACACCCATCAACCGGCTTGGGAAGTCCATAAGTCCCGGATGGCCATCTAAGTTCTATTTGAATAGAAAAAAAAAGGAAACCGATGTGATCAATCAGAAACCTGCATCGTTTAAAATTTAAGTGAGTACACAAGAGGAAAAACTGGGACATTATTTCCTCTTGGTGTACAGCAATTGGATTAATCTTCTCTTTGTAGCACTTAGAAACAGCGACCTGTCATCGCTCTTTGCCTGATGGACTTATTTAAAGAGAATTCAACTTTGCTTTTCATAAATGTTTGGTTAATGTTTTAAGAATTAAGGATCCATGGGTAAGAACGCGTACTATCTTCCCTAGGAATGTACAGGTAAGATGATGCAATGAGATCAAAAGTACTTAAAATAAGGGTGTTCTGCTACCAAAAGCATTATGACTCTAATTGGGAGAGGTCTCCATGGAAGGCTGACAAAAGACTTTCTTTACAACTCGTGACAACAATGACTATCTATACTATTGGCTACCGCAATTTAATTTGAACAAGATTCACAACGACACTCGCCCTGGCCCAGCTAAAGTTTCTTAAGCTTTGTGATTTTAAAAATTCTTGAGATTAGGGGCCGCCCAATCCTCGTTACTCTTGTGATTTTATGGTGCACAAAAGTAGTTAAGATTTTTGTTTTATTTTTGTTTTGTCTTCGGGAGCTGAGAATCTCTCTTTCCCAAGTCAATATTTTCTCCTCGAATCAAGAGTTTTCCTCTTATAATCGAGAGTATGAAGGTCGAGAACTTTCGGTAGCACACAAAAAATCGACAGTACACAAAAGAAAGTACTTGACTCGAGGAAATAAAATTTCCCGAACAGAAAGAAATTCTCCATCTTCTTATTCCCATCATGATTACTTTGGTTTTACATACAGTCGTCCCCTTAGAAATACATGGCCAGAGAATTTCAGGCTTGATGACATCACCTTCCTTCAGTACACTGTTGTACAGTTAGTCACAAATATAATGAGAAAGTAACCTTGTAATTGAACGCCTGCCGTTAGCAACGCAACTCATGTTCTCGAGTCACCTACTTCAAGGAAAGTTATACTACAACGATTTGCTTAGGCACGGCTCTTTGACGAGTCACAAAAAGCGTGCTTTGGTAGAAAGTGCATCAGTTTTACGTGCTAGAATTTGATTTCATTTATCATAAGTGCTATCATCGGTGCAATAAGCAAAGTTGGCAATTGCCTGCTAGCTTACCCAGAGTCGATGTCGGCGAAGAGTTGACTGAATTTTTATTCGCTCTTGCGGGTTTTTGTATTTGAGTCTCTCCTTCAACGCTCTTTTTATCCTTGTCAATTCTTTTTTCTCTTTTCCGACTGTCATCTGTTAACAGTTCTTCAAGACTCACATCTCTTTTTGTTTCCTCCACATTTTTGTCATGGTTGTCCTTAGTTTCGATGACGCTTTTTGCCAGCACAGGCGCATTAGTGACGGATGAGCTTCTTTCTTGCCGCACGCTGCTGACCGTGCCTAGAATTTGGATCTCTGTCTCTGGAATTCGCTTTACGTAAAACAAAGGTGCTGCAAGTAAAATATTTGAAGTGGCACTGTCATTCAAATCTGAAAACCATAGCATGTATGTTAAACGTCAAAGATCTCATATTTCGCAGTTCGTTGCCAGGAAAGAAAATAATTTAGTGCTACCAGTCTCTACAGCTTCTAATTATAATGCATACTACTACGCGGGGAAGAACTAACCAAAGCGACATTTGTAAGGTAATTTTTTCGTTTGCTTATCATGGAATCTTTTGATTTGCTTGTCACCTTGAAAGTAGCACCTACTTCTTCATCTATCTCTAGCTGAGTAAGTGATTTTCTTGGCAGCAACTTAAACACAAGTTTGCTTATCATAGAATCTCACATTCAATGTGGCCTTTACTTCGTCCTTCAATTCTAGTCGAGTGAATGGTATTTCGCCAACGTTAATCCTTTCACTTCATAACAAACTCAGTTGGCTGTCTTCTAAGACAAAACATGCTTCGATATAGATGAATGGGCTGTGATGTGATGCAGACACTTATCTTAGCTTCATCATTTTAAATTTCGTGCATGCCATTGAATTTAAACTTTGTTATTATACAATGTCAGTTACCTAGGTCATATTCCACGAAAAGACAAAGTTCCAACAGTGCGAGGAAAAGAACTTTGAAAGCAAAAGTCATCTTTCAGGAATCACAGGAATGATATTCATTTCTGTTGCAGTTTAGCTAAAAAAAAAAAGAAGAGGAAATAATTAATGATATAAATTCGAACTTGTCTGTTTAAATTTGTCGAGAGTTGCAGTCTTGAAAGCAACAGATATCCAACTGACCTGACTTATATTTTGTCGACACAAACCTAACCAAACATTACCTCATGTCTCCCTCTAAACGCGTCTGGACTTATTCATTGTATGAAAAAATAGAGTTAAGTGCGTTGCAGTGGGCGTTAACGTTAAGTCTAAACACGTAGCAGTCCTACGGGTTTTCTTCTATATTCGATTAAAACGTTTGACCTTTGTTAATTCTAATTCAAGTAAAATGTGGTTATTTATGGTTGCTTCGGTAAACCTTTCTCTAATTTAGATTCTTTTAAGTTTTTGAGTGTCTGCAAAGTAACAGGTTTATAATATATTTACCCTATTGGTGCACTACTACCGGACGAGTGCCCTGTGAAGGCTGCACTCCTTCCCATTTTCACAAACCTTGCATCGGCGAGCCACTAATAAGTAGAATGATGCTTTATAATGGCATTTTTACTGTTCGGACTGATTCCAACTGGTTTCTCAGCACGGTAATGCGAAACTCATCCATCACGTAACTTGAACACGTAATTATCCAAACAATTTAATTTTAGGCGTGTTTATTGAGTAGCTATAGAGTGGATTTTTGATAGATGTTCTAACGAAAGCGGAGACAGCTTCTGTCAAATTTCTGCCAACTTGAAACTCTAAGACTCCAATGGTTCAATGAAAATCAAAGCTTAAACAATAGCTTTGTCATTCAGACGCCTTTTTCCTTGTTTTGATTTCCTGAATCACTCGCTTGGAAGGATTTTAGTCTCTCGTAATTTTAAAGTTATTTCGCGTTCACGTTTTGCTGACTTCGATTTTGCCCGATCTGCGTTTCAAATCAGAACGCCACCCAACTAAAAGAGAAATTCAATCAGTTATTTGGAAAGAAAAAAAACCCCTCCGAGCAACGCTAAATCGATGGAATTTCGAGACGAAGATCGATCACTAAACGACCAATAACATATTTTTTTATTAAGGAAAAATAAGATTAGATCTAAATGTCTTTTTGTGTTCAGAGACTTTCGCTTATTTTTACATCCATATGTTTTCAGGAAAAAGATTGAAAAAGACTGAAAAGATTGATCAGTATTTTGCAGTACTCACAACTTGCGGTGCGGTCGGGGTTTGTGAATTCAAACAAAGCAACCATAAAACCAAAAACGTGATTGTAAGCTAAACTGACCTTACACCCTTGCGTTCGATGCTCTCTCGAACAAAGTCGACTGAACATTAAAACACACCCGAAACAAAATCGATGGGGTTCAATAAAAAGTATTTGAAACCAACTTAAAATACGTCCTAGTCTACCATACCTTTTTGGCTTCAAGTGTCCGCCATGTTTCTTTTCACAACCTTTTTCTATCAATATATTAACGCAACCTCTCGAGTGAGATAATAACCCGCTCATCCGCAACAACAAACAGGTTTCTAGTGACGTCACATGTCTCTGGCCTTCTGGTAAGTCCTTCCGTTTTTCAAGTTGAAGGATTCTATGAAGAGTCAATCAGGCGGTTTTGTGTGTTCCCCTCCGCTGAATCTGACAGGAAATGCTATTCGTTGCGTTTTAGCGATAGCTTAGGTGTCGTTTGTATTTCAAGGGAAGGAATATAACAGGTGGAGAGGGGTGGCCTATTGTCATGAAAAGTAAGATGTATATGGGGGGATGGAAGGGTATTTTGCGTTTAGACAAGATGTCGCCATTGCAACACGCGGTACCAAGTAGACTTTAAACAAGTGAATACACTCAGATATACCTAAAAGGTATCAAGGACTGATCGGGAGTTTTTATTTCTTGCTATTTATGGATTTATTTGCTCCTGGCTAACAAAGCGCTTGATTCGGGTAGAACCAATTATGCCCTCTTGCACCTTATAGTCGAACGTTATATTAAAAATAACCTATGGCTAGCAAGAAAACGGTACTCCACGCAGGCATATTCCTGGGTTACAAATGCTAGCAGGATACAAATTATATTCTCGTCAAATAGCATTTTTTGCGTGTTTTCGAGATTAAGTAGTCGCTAACCTCAGCGGCAGTCTTGTGAAAGCTTGTTAGGTAACCCCTCCCCCCCCCGTCCCCGCCCAAAAAAAGAAAAAGAAGTTAAATCAATAAAAACTAGTTCATTAAAAATTATTAAATCAGTTGTGACATAAAAAAACCCACTAATCATTTGGCTCACGACGTGATGAAACCCATGCAAGCATTCATGTTACATGACGTATCCAGTGAGTTCCTGTTTGACACTGGGGCGAGTGTGTCAGTCAAAGTTGAAAGTCGCTCCTAAGGTAGGATCCCCCCATTTTAACATGTATTTGAAAACAACTCTACTACTTTAGAACCAAAATCTGACTCTGAATACGATTCCGGTAACAATTAACACTTCTGTTAATTTTATCGTCCCAGAGCATTCTTTCCTAGATAGGCGATGATGTGGTATTAATTCAAAATTATGGGTGGAAAAGGGTACTTTGAGGGTTAACCGTTTTGCCCGAGAACATGACAAAATTTCCCAGTGAGAGGTCTACCGCGCTTGTTAATTATTGCGTCGCTACGTCTCTGATTACCGCCTTGAAGAGCAGTTAATTTCACGTGCATAAAGAAACGCTTTCCATTTTAGATACATAAATATTACCTATATGGTTTATAACCACTTATTCTTAAATAAGTCTCTCTGCCATCTCTGCGCTCGTCTTATCAACCGTTTCATTTGCTTGTTGAACCGTATCGCATTTATTTGTTTTGTCATCTCGCGCCACGAGCAAGGAACAATTGACAACAGGTTTGACCAAATCCGAAAACTGCGTAGGCAGAGCAAGTTAACGGTCCCATGACTTTTTGCAAGAAATCCTTTTGGAATTAGGTTCATTTTTCATGGTAATACACTAGACGGCAGAAAACTGTAAACACAGAACAAATTCCCTCTCTCGTTCTTACAGAAATATGAGGGAGTATTTCTAAGAACAAAGGATTCAAAGGCGCTCGCAAGGTAAGCCCGGGGAAACAATTTTATGATGGCTGACGTTTTGTTTTATGAGCATAACTGTGACGGATTGAAATTTCAGCCAATTTATTTTAGCATTTTTTTCCTATTGTGTTACAATTGTTCTCTATATTTTCAAAGCGATCGTGTTTCGTCTGAAGGTTTCATGAAACATCGTATTCAGAGTGATGAGACATTCAAACAAGATACCAAGTTTGTCGGGCAAAACTTGCAAGATTAGGGAAGAATTTTTGGGATACTTTTAATTTTGAAGATACTTCGAATAATGTTAAAAATTGCACCAAATGAATATGAATAAATGATTCCTAAAAACATTGGAGGAACAAAGGGGCTATAAGGAAGAACGAAGCAACGGCTTAAATTTTCGCGCGAGATTTATGTATAAGAAGACATTACCTAATCGACAGGTACAATTCACGGTTAAATGCGGTCATAAGAAAGAAAAGGTGTTTCTAGTTTGGAATCTCTGAATCCTTCCTGTTTAAAGGCTGAACGACGCCGTTTTTTTGTGCAAAGTTTCGTGCCTCCAATTCTACTTTTAAACCTCAAGTGGTTGACTGAAACTGGCGTAAAAGCTGAAATGACTGTGCAACTAGAAATTATTTCGTAATGTTGGTGAGGAATTAGCTTCGAGAGCATCTTTTACAGTAATAATTTTCACCAGGCTAGAACCGAATATTTTGTTTCATTGATGTTGTTACATTGATGTTAAACAGAAAATGACGCATTAAACAGCATAGTGTTGACTGGACTCTCAAGACAGAGACATATCAAGCTACCTAATGTTTTGGTTAACTTTATCACTGGTGGTTTTCTGGTGTCACTCGACCAAAGGTAAACTATTTTAAGCTAATAGTGTTGATGAAATCCCGCTTGAGCTTTCCTTAAAAAAAAAAAAAAGATTCAAAGCGAATCACATGTTCCAAGTATTATTTTTGGAGCATAACCAAGTCTTCTCTTACCGCTGGAAAAAAGATAAGAGACGAACGTTTAATAAGCTAAATGATGAATCGTTTGCAGTAGCTCAAAGATTTTGTCAAGTCTATAAGGAAGATTATTTTTCTCAGATGACGATAAATAGTCGCCTTTGCTCGAAACAGTTGAGCAAAGGTAGGTTTGCATTTTAAAGCTGAGAAATCATGGCTGCCCTACATGTATGCTATGTATCATGGGAGACTCAATTTATATACACTGAAGATAAGATTAAATACGGCTAACTAAGAATACAGTTCCGAGTTTTAAATTTGATGTCGCGTGCAAACACAATGCGCTTCTCTGCAGCGTTGTATGCTGTTCAGTCCGAGAAAAAAACGATTGAATCTAGGGCAACGCAAAAATATACAGCCTTGCATTTTCTGCAGCTGAGTAACCTTCCCTTTTTTATTCTATTACCTTATAACCTTTTATTGTTGTTTTTAGGAAAAGTTTCATGGCCAACCGGTAAATATGGCCTTCCTATGCCCAAAGCGGGATGCCCGAATAACTGGTTCGAAGGTCGAAGATTTCACGATGATAAAACTGGTAACCTGGTCGACCGTGAAGCCTATAATAACCTACACTTGGCTGGCTGGATTACTAAAGAAGGTATGCGTAGGTTAAATTAATTTCTCACTGGCACTGCTCAACATTTTAGATCGGTTCCTGCAGCCACAAGCTGGTAAGACAAAAACACGCAGTAGCTGCCGATCATGGAATAGGAAGATGTGAAAACGATAGATGCCGTACGTAGAGCGGTAAGACGGCGGTAAGGGGATGCCCACTCAGAAGATATGTTTCATACTGTCAAGAACCATTCCGCAAGCTTGGATCATATTTTTTTTTTAGTATTTTTATTGCTTTGCTATAGGTATTGAACAAGACTTTTGTATCAAGACAAGTACGGACAAGACACAGGATTGGCCAGCAGGAAGATACTGTATTTTAAAACACGATTCTTGTCCAGTTGGATTCGCGGATGGGTAAATAACCATTATGTCATCTTTGATATCATTGGGGCACTAGATATATTTTAAAAGCTACAATTCTGTAAAGAGAGTTCCTATTAGGCTTCCAAATGAAAGCAATTGCAGATTTTTGCTGGTTAATTGGACGGTAATTCATAATTGTTTTTTATCAATTTAATTTATTTATTTTTGTTCGGCGTGTTGTTATTTAAATTAACAGCTCCGTCCTTTGGCGTCCAAAATCTTCCAGCTTCCAAGACGCAACTGTCAATGGGAAAAAGTTAAAAGAAAGAACAGTTAGCTACTGTTGTAGTACCAGAGGTGAAAGTTATTTTACCCTTTTTAAAATTAAAATCTTAACCAAACGTGGAGGTGGATATAGTTTAAAATAAGCAACATTATTTCGCGAACTTTCTTTACGCGTGGACTTTCCATTCGGCTATCATCTAAATTTACACCAAAACATTTTAGTAACACGTTTCAACACTAACTCAAGAAGGGTTTCAGTCCACGACAAACTTTTTTGACAACTAACATCCACGTGCCCACGTTCCCAGTTAGATTGAAGTTTATGGTGAACTGCAGTTTGCTACAATACTAGTGGGTCCCTTCCCCCATTCTATGGTTGCACAATCACAGAAAACAAAATACCACATCGTACACGAGTAAATAGATGAAACAAAAGGTGTTAGGGATGAAGCTGGTATGCTATTCCCAAATATTGCGATCTCAGTGGTGATGTGTCGACCGTTTTGTCGCTGATTGTAGCGTAGGAAAGACCATGCAGGAGACTAAGGTTGACTCTCGCTATTCTCTATCAACTGTAACAAAGTTTTGGTGGATCCGGCTCAAGTTACGATCCCTTGATGTTTCAGCCTTGCAGTAAACACTGTACGTCTTCACATACCTCGTTAGATCTCCTTAATTTCAAGCCTTTGTAACTTTCTCTCCTACAGGTGAAATTAACAGTTCTATTTCGCTTCCCCTCGACAAGCCTTTCTACTTGTACTCCCTGAGTGGCGAAAATTGTCAGCAAGTCAAAGGTGCAACACTAAAAGAGGAAAGTGTTAATTTCGATAAGAACGTTGGCAGATATGAAGTAAGCATCGAGGGTAAAAATCCATTCCAAGTGGACACGCATGGATCACAGATGAAACTAACATATTGCTATTATACTCCAGGTGAGCATATCTGCCTATGTCCACCTTTTTAAATAAATTACGTTAGATATTTACATTCGTGGTTACAGCGGTAGGAATCGGATTTCTGTTTCCGAAGTACAAACCCGGTCGGCAAAAATATAGCAGAGTTGACTTCCCTCTAATCCGATCGATCGGTTACCAGAAGTTCATCGGGAGAATTCTTCGAGGAAAGAAATTTCGGCCATGTTTTTAATTCTACCAATTGCTGGTCAGGAAAACGTTTTGTGTCTCCCCATTTACTTAATTTCACACGTTCTAAATAATTTCAGATCTGCATGTTAAAGAAAGCACACAAAAACCGAAATACCACGGATGATAAACATAATACATATATCTTATTAGTCGTTTTGGTGTGTAGTATCACTAAGTATTTTTGCGAGTCGTGCCGTATTTTGACGAGCCCGTAATGCGAGTCAAAATACAAACTACAAGTAAAAATACTCAGCGATACAACACACCAAAACGTCTAATGAGTTATTTATTATCCAAATTTTTTTTCTGCTAATTTCTCATAAGGCAGGAAAGGCAAAGCAGAAAGAGAAGCGTAGCGCGCGCAGCTGACTGGTCAAACTGGTCTTCTTACAGCACAAAATAATCAACTGTCCAAATAACCGTACACTGAATGTCGTAGGATATTCGTACTCTATGCGTGCGTTATTTGAACTCTACTTTGTGCAACTGGATAATAAAATCCAAATAATAAACACCTTTTACTCATTCAATAGATTACTTATCCCTTCCCCCACGAGGGTCTGCAAACTCAGTAATTCTCATCACCCCGGCCTCTCTGAAATTTATTTTGACGATTAAGCTCTAATTTGTAATTAATAATAAAATTCTTATTGGCATGAGCTTAGGTTTTACCTCGGCATTGCGCGCTACTCATTTTTGGAACTTTTGCAACTCTCGACCTCTCTTCTTCTTTTAAGGTGGAGCTATAGCAATCCCAGAGAACCAAGAGGTCGAGAAAACGCTTTTCACTGGCGTAAGTATTTTTTTTAATGCTCTTCGGGGTCATTTCTGCTTTACCTTTATCGCAAGTTGAATACAATTCAGTTTTATATTCATTTCAGTCTGCATTGGACAATAGCACCCAGTCCTCGGGCCTCGCTGTTGCTATAGGTATTGGGATTGCATGCGCAATGGTGGGTACAGCGTCCATTGCGTTGGTAACGAAAAAACTGTTCAGGAAAAAGACAGATGGTGATGATGACGATGACGAGCCAAGACCTGACGATCCATGAACGCAGTGATCAACTCTTACCTAAAATGGCTATGCCATAAGTATTTAGTAGTTTTTTTGGAAACATTTGTAATAGCCATTGGTGACAATCGCCAAAAATGTATGAAGCCTGGAGCAAGAGCTTATTGTGAGAGTAATGAAATGAAAAAGACTTTGTAAGTGATGGACGCCTGGACAACCAAAGAGAAAATCAGGAGGTGTTTTTTTTCTTCTGTTTCCTCTGTTCTTTATTTGTCACAATACAAAAGAAAACTTTCATCGGAGAACTGCTTTTCCCATTCATTTTGTTCCTTCATTTTTTTTTAAATTCAAACACTTTCTTAAGAAACCTTAGTACACAAGTGTCACAGTTCAGAATTACCTTGAGAGTGGAGATGTGTTTGACATCGTCTCTGCTTATAAGAAGCGAAATGCGTGATTTCACCAATTTTTTTTCTTAAAGAAAAATAATTAAATATGGTATAAAAGTCAGAAAAAGCTTCAATGATTAATTAGCTGGAAATTAAAACTTCCTCTAAAAATGAAGCTGACGCCACAAGTTGGATGATTAAAATTTAAATTGAAAACCAACAGTGACATTGGCAAACTGTGATATTTTAAATGCGATCATGATTTACAATTCTTGTTATTTAAAAGTGTTCACATCATAAACTTAGTATTATGTTCGCGAGAAAGGGTGAGCAAAAATACAATTATGCCGTTGGTTTTTACATTTCTTTATCTGCGCATGAGAGAAATGCTGTTGATTGCAAAAAATGATTGGTTGTGTAAACCACTGTTTTAGAACTCTGTCAACGGCAGTCAAATCACTTCTTCGTTTATCACTACTGAAACATTTACATACACGAAAAATTTGTCCTTTGGCGGCCCGCTTTAGTTCTTTTATCCTCCAAAAGTAGATCACAGAATGAATGCAGGAGCTCCCTCCCAATAAAAATTATTAACGTCATGGCGCGGCCTCTCTTGTTGTTAGATGTTCTTATTGAAAGGCTGAAAGGCAAATAGCAAAGTACAAAAGCTGCTACAATAAAGAGAACTTTGAAAAATTTATTTTTCAAGCGAGCTGCATCGTATGTTGCATTCCCAGTGGCTTGTAGCTGGATATTGATTTGAGAAAGGTGCTGTCGCACGACCAGGAACTCTTTCAGATAGCACAAGCATGTTATGGAGATTCCAATGAAGATAGCGATTCCATGTGCCAAAAGGAAACTCCTTGCACGTGTTCCTGTAACAGTCACCAGTAACAGTCACCAGAGAGGATTATCCAAGCAGTCAGTGAAACCTTAGCTTCGGAAGGTGCGTGCGTGTAACATAAAAACACTTCACTCCCATGGTATTCAAGAGTCTGCACATTTGGTTTTCTTTACTTGATCGCTTCTACATTTAATAAGCAACCGATTTTCAGATAATTTTTTTACAATCGTAAATGCACTCATCATTCTCGCTTTCTTGATTGAGGCGGCCGCGGCGCACAGGCTCTTGATCCTCTTCTGACTCTCGCGCTCTATTTTAGGTTACGTTTCAAATTGCCAGGGCTTGATTTCATAAACCCTTTCATTATGTTCACCTTCCATGCATCGAAACCTCAAAATCCCAATAATCAGACCCCGAAATAGCACTGCTTTCACTCGAAGTACTATCCGCCATATTTACTTTGCTTAATGTACACACGTGTGACGTGTAAGGTCACATGATCAAAATCGAAGCGTTTACGGCGGATGACTCGCGAAGCAGCATTTACAACAGTTTTCCCGGCGAAAAAAGGCACAGAGAGGCATACGAAACATCTTGTATCTGTTTCAATGTGTTACCCGAGGGATTCAGACGGTATTCCGAAAAAGTGATCTGTTAGCCGTCAGTTACCCTTTAAGATGAGTGATACTTGCAACAATCAGTACTAAAACGATCAGTAATGTGTTTTCCCAAGTAAGCAAAGTGACGAAAGAGGCGCAGTTCTTTTATGATTTATTGCAAAAAGCGAATGGTGTCAGACGTTCATCTTGTTTGATGCTTTTAAGGATCTTTAAGCAATTATGGCTTCTACAAGTGATCTCACATGTAACTTAAGTGACTTTTAAATTTTCTTTTTTTCAATCATGACGCCCTCAGCTATATAAGCAGTTTATTCACTGAGGCTACCTTCGACGCCGCTTAATTTATATCATGCTTAACGGTAACCTTATCAAAATGACGCCACGGGTTTATGCGGAGAACCTTCCCCGGAATTGATCAGGAGGGTAAAATCGACTTTGCTGAATATCAAAATTGCTAAGAAATGTATTGCATCACCCGAATAAGCTCTTTTATACGGTAACTTCTCAAAGTTTTACTGATTTCTTCGGGTGCAACATCTGCATCGGAATATGTTATACTCCTAGATTAATTTGCAAATTAAGACTGTCGTTTCTCAAATGAATAAGTTGCCTTTAATTTAAATGAAAAAAAAAACAGCATTTGTCTCTTAAATCATTGTCTTGCTTGCTATGAATATTCTTTCTCTTAATAATGAAAGTAAATCTGAGGTGCTCCCCTGAAGGAGATTTTATTAGATATACAACCTTCTCTTCTCTTCAAAAAACCAATTACACAAAGCTGCACTCACGGGAATCTTTGAAACTCCAGACCCTTGTTATCAAAAAGGCTAGATTCAGATTCAGAAGGTCCGGAGCATCTTCCTTCAAATGGAATAAAAATGTTCTTTTTATATGTGATATTTGCGTGCTTGAGGAAGGACAGTTAATGAATATCTCACAGCCAGAGGTAAATTTTTAGAAGTAACTTTTAATTCCTTTACTCTTTAAATACGTTTAGCGACTGTAATCTGAACAGCTTTATTAATAAGTTCAAGCTCAGTCAATAATCAATAAAGTTTTTCTATACTATTATTGTTTTTGATTATGTGGTTCGGAACAGCAAAATGTAACAATTACACAATCTAACAGCTAAGAAACTTTTCTCGATATTTGCACATTTATTGCTTGTTCATACAAAGCTGAATTCAGAATTGAGTAAATTCAATTCAACTCCCCTCTTTTTTAAATTGATATTACCACCCGAGGAGAATAAAATAAATTTAATAATTTAAACTGATTGCATGTCAAACCATTATTTGATTTAAGCAAAATAATTTTCTTGTTTATCACAGCGGTAGAACCCGTAGGTCAGAAGTAATTTCTCTGAGAACACATTTCGGTAACATGATTAGTTGTACAATAACAATCAAAAGATGAAAAAATAAATCTAACAATTTGCAATGTAAGCCGAATTTCAGAGTCTGCAACTGTGCTTCTCTAAAGTAAAATGTCACCTTAAAGTCTACCATAAAAATGCATCAAAAAATCTAATCTTATCAATTTTTAAGATGAGGATATGATGATTGCTGTAAGAAGCCTTTTAAGTGCACCGAAGGGCATAAAAAAGAAACTCTTATGAAGTTTAGATATCAAACATTACTGTTTCTCCCGTTAAAGTTTACTACTCTGAGATTGTTTCCGTGATAGAAAGATTCTGTTTGGTTCGTTTTTGCGACAGAAGGGAAATCTTTTGACCCGTGGTAGAGTAGCCAACTGTGGTGTTCGTGCCATTATCGCTTTCATCAAGACAGCAAACAATTGCCTTTAAATAGGAAATAAATCCCCGACGAAATTGTGTATTAAAAACGTAATAAACAAAGGAATTCACTGCACAGTTTGACTGCGCCAACAACTTGGCAACTATTCGGAATACTTCGATATTGCATTGACTTTTACTGCCGGTAGTTCTGAGAATAGCCAGAACAAGTAAGGGAGAAAAACATAAGAAAAAGATGACGACAATAGTAACTGACAGTTTTAAAATGTTTTTGTTTTGCTTCGCGCGGCGGTTTCGCTGAGTTTGGGTCATGGAATTGCCGGCACCGAGGGGAAATTTTCGGCGGAACAACTTATAAACAATAAATACATACAAAATTATGATCGTTATTAACGGAACACCAAACACCAACAAGAGAATTAAATAAAAATAGATATATTTGCTGTGGAGTGATGTAGTCTTTGGCCACCTTTGACAGCAGTATAGCTTGTCTTCTACCACGCACAATTTGAAGACTTGAAGATATGGCGCATGAAGACCAAATGCTGTGAGCCAGATAGCCGGAATCACAAACCTGATATAAGACTTCATTGCATTTGCTTTCAAAGGGAACATCACCGCGTAAAATCTGTCTGCTGTTATAGCGATGAGGCTTTGAACAGAGACAGCATTGGACACATCTTGGAAGAAATACGCGAGTTTACATAGGATCAGTCCGGCTGTGCCGTCAATAAGCCATCGTTCTCTGCCCACCAGCACCTCCACGATCATTCTTGGAACGGCAAAGAAGGGAACAAGAAGGTCTGATGCAGCCATGTTAACGATAAGGAAATTGGAGGCTGTCCACATGCGAGGGTTCCGGTAGACGATCAGAATGATAAGAGTATTTCCCACCAAAGAGAGGATTAAGATAATGCAATACGCTGTTGTCAGCACGGCTTTTGACACCGTTCCATCGCCAGTAACTGGGCAGACAATTTGAGCATTGGTCATGTTCTCCAAAGAGGAATTTCTTAAAGATGCGTTTATCGCATTCATTTTTGTATCCAGTTTTCTTCAGAAGCGGAATTATGAATTTATGTTTCTCCCTATGTTTTTAGTAGAAATTGAGTGTTTCTTGTCACGCCCAAGAGAGAAGCTCCGTTAAGTTCTGCCGCGAAGCGCCAACTGCAACTCCTCTTTCTTAAATTTAATAAAAAAAACATAGAAACGGCCAGCACTATTTGCATTTCGATTAATCCGCCATGAGCACACCCTGTGGGACATCAATTAGTCATCGTGGAAAAGGCTTTTCAATTCTTAACCAAATGGATCTTGTTGTGTTTGGACCTTTGCCTCTAAATAGACCCGATGAGAATTCCACAGTCAATTGCAATTACAATATGTGATCTCAATTGGCTGATTCCTGTAATGCAACAGGAAACCACTAAATCGGTACTTATCTAAAATTCCACGTCTGTGATGCTCGTTCGATTTTTAACCGTTAATATAGCCTGCGGCTCGTATTTAAAGAATTTCCGTTTGATTTTAACCCCCTTGTTCGACGATGGCATCCGAATGTTTTTGCAATTATGTTTTGCAAAGCAATTACATAATTTATATCTTGGTTGATAAAAAATTCAAATACACTTACTCACACAATAGTCTGGCAATAGCACTTAGATGATATTTAAGAAACGACAGGTTTTCTTCTATTTTGCTTTCCTGGCTTTTTTTCCCTAGGAAGGTGTTTTCAGTGGGAAGTTTTCAAGCTATTAACTCCCGCACTCATTGTGCACTGAAATACTACAAGTTTATTTTCAATTGACAAAGTAAACAATATCACTTTTATATAAATTTTTTATTTTATTTTGAAGTAAAGGAGGAAATTGACTTTTGTAAACCAGATTTACATTAAAATGTTTTTCCAGAAGCCGTATTTCAATCAGCATTTTATCACTCTTACAAGGGAAACATTGCACGGAAAAGTTATGTATTAAAAGGTAACCAGGATGTATTTACATTCAAGGCATTTCGTATAACACTTCTTGTTGTAAATATTAGCAAATATGTAGGGAGTGTTGCCTATTTATTGTTTCTTAAACAACATTCGATCTTGAACGAAACTATTTACCTATTTTTGAATCAACAAGATTATCATTGTTTTGATCAAAGAGTGTGAATGAACTTAACAGACACTAAGCTCTCGGGTGTGAACTGAAAATGCGCTTTGCTACTACACTGAGTCATTATAGTTTGTACCGTTTCTATTTGGTACAATTTAATCAACCTAAAACCTTGGTTTGTTTTATCGCTGTCAAAAACAAAGTATATCATCGCTTGCCCTACTCAAAAATTACAACGTAATAGCATGATTTGATAAAATAATGTCATTATTTATTCATATACCATTAGTTTTATTTACAATTTACGCTCGCACATCAAAATAGAAAAGGCCTTTAAATTAAGGCAGATTCGTATCCAAACGTTGGGAATTCAACGGAGTCCGAAAGTATACAACGATAAAAAGCTAATTCTTCATGAGTAAGAGGATGGCCCGAATTAAATTTAAAAAAAAAACGATTTATAAACTTCTGGCTAACTTTTACAATTCTACCATCTCTCATCTAAGCTATTTTATTCTATTTTTTGTGAATTCTGTAAGTCACAGCAAAATAAATGTGTTCGAAAATTATAATCTAGCATTTTGATATATATTGTTAAATTTCCAAAAATTATATAAATAAAAAAATAGCAACCACGAAAACGCCTGATTCTAGTTTGCTGACTCAAGGCAAAAAATTTACTTTTGTCTCCGCTCAGATCTTATTTCAAAAGAGTGGATGCTTCTGTCATCTGGTGGAGCAATTCATGAAAAATTCGTGCGTGCTTTGCATGTGTATACATATAACGCCTTCATATGTAATATCTAATTTCATGTTTAAACTTCTGGGTAATTCACACTTGGCTTTTTAATTTTTTTTCGATGAAAAAGATTTTACAGTGAAATGTAAATACACTTCACCAGTCACTTTTTATGCAGAGAAAGCCAGAAAAAAACTTATCGCAGACAATTTTGATCAAACTAAGGTATCAGAAATGTTCATTGAGTGGGCATCTTCCTCTTAACTTTGGTTGCCCCAAACTGAAAGCGTTTCTGAATTCCAGGCTCCCGCCTTCAAGAAGAAGAAACTCTTTATCTTGTGTCTGTTATCGTATCGACCTCCATCCATCCGGGTCCTCTGCACAACCAAAAGTACACATGTTGAGAAACATCTAGTATTCGCCAGATAATCATGCATTGGTCGCACATTCATCGCGCACAATCCTCGACTACGGTTAGATTTGCATGCTTAAGTCTACATTTGATAAATTTATGAAAATTAAAAAAAAAAGAGATACAGATTGTTTAAGTTGTTCAATTTTCTTTACGAAAATGATGACTCATGATCCAGCACTTTTTATCGAACACTGGCTTCCTTATTATGATTTGAAAATGTGGTTAGATTTGAAGCTCCATTTTGCACCAGGGATCGGAGAGAAAGGAGCAGTGATCAGTATTGTGAACTCTATGCTATATTTGTATTATTAATATATGGTCAGGTAGTCTTGGGGTAAATCTGAGCGATCCTTTTGGTTCTTACTTGATCGAGATTTTTCAATGCGGACCATTTACACGAAAACGATCATAAGCCGTGTATTCGTGTTCGCCAGCGAAAGCCGACAAATTTAAAAATAAACAAATTTGGTCCGAGTGACCTATAATACACTGTTTACTAGACTCTCTTTCTTGAGCAGTACTGGGGAACATTGGCCCTCTATCGTTTTTGTACGGACATTAGCACGCTCGGTTCGCACTACCACAACCTCGGGCTACTCAAGCTTACTCAGTACGGCCATCGTGCTCGGTTGGTAAGAAATAAAGTTATGATTCAGGCCATTTCCCAAGTTTTCGTCCTCGAAAACTGATAGCTTCAACGGTTGAAGCCAGGCAACTGTAGAGACGAGGTCATGCATATTTTGCGAAAAGCCGTAGTTACCTACGTGAACTGCCTGCTTGAATTTCAGTTTTCTGAGGGTTTTTGGTTGTCATGGAAACTATAAGCTATCAACTAAAATTTCAAACCTTAAAGGAAGGCAGAATTTTGGTTAATTTCTCTTTTATTTAATAAATATTTTGTACAACTTACAGATATTCCTCTTTATTTACACAGTAATACTCCAAGTGGAATTTTATCCTACTTTTCTCGTTATGAGTTTTATCAAATATCTACATAGTTTCTTGAATGAATTTAAATGTTTTGCTTATCTCTTATTCTTTATTGCTGCGATCATAATTGTTGAATGGTTAACCGTATCTATCAAGATAAACCAGTGTAACTGAATATCATGGATGTTTTTTGTTGTCATTAGAATATTCTTTGTTCAAAGGTACAATCGATGTAAACCAACTGAACCTTCCACAAGATTAAGGCCGAATTTAAGACATTTTTAATCATTTTACTGAATACCTTTTTTGAAATGTCCTTATTACCTAGACATGCCAATCCTTGAGTCAGCCGTTTCCATGACAACCATCACAGTATCCCGCAAAAAGTTTTAGTTTTGGTTTTGAAAAATGAGAAAAAATTATTCAAGATAAAGGTTTTCTACGACAGTTACACTAGTTTATTTTTGTGTCAGAAATAAATAAGAAAGAAGTCTAAATAGATTCCTCTAAAATTTGTAATCATCATAAGAAAGCATTTATTCAAAATAACTGGGGGATAAAATCTTCTCTGAGCCAAGTCTGCTTATCTAGAAGCTCTAATAATTACACTTATCAGTATTATAGTGTGTCTTATCAAAAAGTTATAATTGTGCTCCATTTAGAAAAACGAAGGTTGTAAAAGACATGTTGACTTTGGAATTAGGCGACTTCCCACCTTTGTCAGACACTAATGTAATGATAACTTTAGAGCTGCATCATATTGAAACTGTACCACAAACGTCAGTCATGGGCACGTTCAAGATAATTCCTGTCTGCGAAATACAGGTCTCTGACATATACATATTTTATGCTTTTCGTTCACTGTATCTTTCAAAAAAAGTAGCGAAGTGAAATCCTTCTGGTGATAAAAGAACCTAAATTGATTTCTTATAAGGCATAAAATGAACCATAGTTGATGTATGGGCGAAACTGATAATTTTGGCTGTTCTTTCTAAATGTTTTACTTTTGAAGCTAAACAATAATTCACTAAACAGGAGTGAAAAACGTACTCTTAGAGCTCTCCTTTGAATCAGCATATTAGATTGAATTGAACTACAGCTCACAGCTTGGAGTGCCACATATTTTGTTTTCTGTTGTGGTGAATCCTTCACTTTTGTCAATGATTTCTGAACTTAACGATATATTGATGTTTACACAAGACACCTCTAAAAAGGCCTAAGATTCCCGTTACGTCTTGTGTCTGATAGGCGATCTAAGTAGTTCATAATTTGTAGATTTTTTACCCAATATTTTGCGTGCGATAAAGGCCACTGTGGCTGTTCCAACAATTGCCGCTGCCACTCCGCAACCAATGGCAACAGCGAGGGCCGAGATGGATTCAGCACCTTTGGAAGGAATCTGGTGAATCTAAAACAACATCAAAATCAAGTGGCTTTTAGGAACGTGTCGTAAAGCTGAGAAGCCAACTTAATGCATTCTAACTTCGTTTAGCAGCATCATAACAATTATTAAAATGATTTCACTAGACATGAATAGGTGTAATGAAAACTCGCAGGAGTGGTAACATTTGTTTTAAATAGAATGGATATATAAAGAAGCATAGCGGAAGCAACGAATTTCAATTACATGGACGTGTGATAAAGATTTTTCCAAGATGAAGATGAAAAATCGATAGAGAGACATAATACCTTGATATCCATTTCTGCCTCTTGGTCCATTTTTGTAAACAATACTTCTCCTCCTGAAGTTGAATAAATTTTCCTATCTAAGAATGCCAACGAGAAAATTATCACACAGCTATTACTTTGATGTTGCATAGTCTTTTTAGTTACTTAGATGAATGACTCGTTACAGCCTACACTTGTTGCCAGATTCTTCACATATACAGGACAATTATCTCAGTTTAACAAAGGAAAAAAGTGAGAAACTTAACAACTATGCTGTTCCCTATTTAGGGCCCACGATCAAAACAGGACCGGGAGCATTCAGTTGGACTTGAGTTGTCTTTTGCTCACCTCCATTCGTTTTGTTGCAAAAGCGCCCTTCCCATCCAATCTCACAATAACATTTCGTTGAATTGGTTGAATTATCAAGGCATCTTCCATTTTGACATGGTGGGTCACACGTAACTGTAAAATATAGGTTAGGAATGTATTATCACCTAGATGCTTTGGAATTTTAAACCTGATGTGACCTTTTGCTTGTCTTGGAACCACTGGTGTGATGATATTTCTGGATTTCGACTGTTCATCTTTGTTCTCTGTGGCGTTCCCAGTAAATTCCTGACTCTCATACAAGACAAACTACCGTCGAGAAATTTATGATGGGCCATTAATTGTGATAAGTTCCAGTCGCTGATAACATCTTTAAAGAAAAAAAAGGAAAAAAAAGAAAGCATGATGTACTTACGTGTTTTATCGCAGAGGTGCCCAAAATATCCAGGCTCACAGACGCATGTGTCGTTGAAGGAACATTTACCATATTCTCCACAGCCGGGTAAACCACAGAAACCTGATATAAAATTTTGAGGTCTGCATATTAGCCATTCATAAAAGGGTCACGTTAAAGGAAGTTCACATCAAAACAAAGACTATATGATAGTTGGTAATTTGGTATTAGTACTATCAACTAAGTTGATAACATAAATTGGCCACCGTTAAGACTTTCCAAGCTGACGTTGATGATACCAAATTACCTTGTTATACTCTCCCACCAACGCAGCACCACCTTTTCTTTTGAAACTTACCCCCTTTATTTATACGGTAGTTGATTTGTTAAGTCAAGCACTTTGCGAGTCATCTAACAAACGCATGGGAAACCAAGCACAGAGCTGCCATCCTAAGCGCCTAATTTACTTTTAAAACTCTTATGCCGAGCTTGTTAAAAACTGGGTCTTTGCTCTTGTCTTTTTTGACTGTGTCCGTTGTTTTATCTCTTTGTCAATTCGTTATTTAGTTAAGGGGTTCCTTGGCTTTTGTAATGTGCCATGTGTACGTTCTGTCAAGTTTTCCCGACAATTAATGAGGTATCGGGTACTCTGGAACTCTAGGAGCTATTTCTGTAAGAGTATAATTGGCACCCTTGGTATCTGAAGCACCAAGGGGAAAGGACGTCGCATCTTTTTTCTCGCTCATTTTTCTTTTGGCCATTACTTTACTTATACTATCAGTTCACCTGTGATAGCAGTATCATTGCAGTTTGTTCCATCAAATCCTCGGTCACAGGTGCACTTGTCTTTAGCTGTACAAACTCCCGATACGCACGGAGAATCACAAGTGCCTGAGAAACGAAACAAATGAGACTCAAAGAAACTGAGGTAAAGCTTCAATAATCGAAAAAGGTTTGTCCAAAATTTATCCTCCAACAATCTTAGGATATAACTCAGTTAAACGATTTTATTTTTAAAAAATACCTTTATCCTTAGATCTCTTGCCATTTCTCGTGTTCATGTAGATAATAGTTGGAGAGATATGTTCATCTTCCATGGGGACACTCTGACAAAGTTCATCGCCATAACACTCTACAGAGTGACATGTGTCATTCACCAGGAAAGCAACTTCGCAATTTTTTTCTGCACAACATTTATCGATACAGTCCTCGGCACTTTCAACAATTCCAAGTTCTTTTACTTCTCCAGCTGTCCTTCCTCCCTTTAAGGTGTGTTTGGCCATAATTCTGCTAGGTATGCACATGTCTTTTAAGTTGTGGGCTGTTATATCAAAAGAAAAGTACGAAGGTTGCTTCGTTCTTCAACGAACAAATATGACCACATTATAAGAAAATTAACTCTTCTAAACAATAACTTATTCAACGCATAATTTCGATTCAAACTGTACCAACAACAAGAATACTTTACTTGAGCATGCCACCCCGACGAGCGCTAGGCTCGTTAGAATGCGTGCGTGCTTTTATTTGGATTTGATTTTGCTTCGCCTCCAGGACTTTAATGACGCACTTAACAATACTTGCGAAACAAAAGAGCATACATACTGTATTTTGCCATCCCTTGTGTTTTCTTAAACTGTTCCAAATCATCCCCTTTGCCCCCGCCTCGAACCACGTGAGATATCCTTACGCTCTTATTGGCTGCAGTGGATGGCACGGCAGGAATACTTTCGCAAAGTTTTTCACTAAAACAGCTCACTGAATAGCACACGTGACCCGGCATGAAAGCCACGTCACACTTTTGGTCCTGACAACAAGCATCAATACATGTCTGCATGTCCCTTAGGTAACCAAGTTTGGTAAAGTTCCCGGATTTTATTCCACCTCGTAAAGTGACGTCATGTTTTATGTCCAAATGAGTACACGTAGGCAACTTGACGGTGTCCAGAACTTGCGCGTTTTCACCTTTTTGGTCCATGAGGAACATTTGGAAAACTGCGGCGTTGTAAATAAAATCGTTAAACTGAATACCTCCTGCCCTCAAAAGCTTATTCTTAATGAAAAACAATTGCTTGAATGACATAGATTACGTTCTTTCCCTGGGACTGAACTAAGTTTTTAATATAACTCAGCAAGAAAGGGGAAAATAGTTTGATACCCGCCTCTAAAAACATTTGTCAACAAAATTTGTTACTCTAGACATCAAAGCCAGAATAGAAGTCAGATCTGTAGCATGTTAAGAAAAAGGTTTTTTCTGTTGGATTTATGCCACGAGTGGGAACCTGAGAGCCTGCCTGATATTTCGCAAAGAAGCAGGAATTTTCGTACAAAATTCATGCGGGGATTTGAAAACAATGTAAATAACTGACCAACAAAATAATATCCTTCAAAGTTTTCTATCAGAAAAAATAAATTTTTTTCACCTCAAAGCCCCGAAATGAGCGTTGTTTGCAGAAATTCGTTTGGACAGTATTGACGGTGTCAGACTACCTAGAGCGTGTTAACTAAGTGGTTACAAAGGCACATACCTTGACCTCTAGTTAAAGACTTGAGTAACATCAGATAGAGCGGGCACAAAATATAATGAAGCATTTCGAATCCTCGAATCTGGCAGGTATTGCCCTTGATCCTTCGTTTTTAAATTTCTTGAAACCCTACAAAGCACAAAAGAAAAGAGAGAAGAATAGATTAGTCCGTTAAGACACACTGAAAATCCTGAGGACTTTAGCACCAGTAGCGGTAAGGTTATGAAGAGCCTGTTTCTGAGGTTAATCGACCCCCGGCAGCGTTTCAAGAGATTGTATTTTGAATTTAGGACCTTGAACGAGCTAAGTTTGTGTCTCTTAAAAGCTTTCAAGAGAGTTAATTGTCGTCTTATTGATATATTCTTCACGCTAGATGGACTGTCACATTCAAGTGCTACAAGTTGAATAGATGGGTACATTGTAAGGAGGTGATATATGACAGTGTGCAACTGCGTGCTTGCCGGCACGACAGGAGCTATTTGTTACAAAAAATGTTTTTCTTGTCGTATTCATATAAATAATTTAACCACTTCATCTATGAAAATACCATAAAGCTGAAGAACAGTAATACTGTTTCAAAGTTTTTAAGCTTGTCATGGCTTATTGAACTTTGTATCTCTATTCTTCCGGATTTGTAGTCTATTTGTGATTTAAACATACGACAACTCTTTGCGTGTCAAATACCGTGACATCAAGTCAATTCATCAAATTGCAAATATAAACAAATTGAAGCGCAGTTAAGGATATAGTCACGCTATGTGATACAAAGCTCTATGTAAGAATTTTCCATGTCTCGAGAGTAATTCGAGCCCTTTTAAATCGAAGGTTACTCCCTATTGCTCTACACATGCACCTAAGCAAAGAAACAAACAAACACTTATTTTGCACAAATGAATACTTGACCCCGTTGATAACCTAGAAAAAGTCAAGGCCATAACCCGTGCAATGATATAACAACAGTTGTATACCTTATAAAATCTAGTTGCAAGTTATTTACGTGGACTAGTACTTATTGACTTCCGATGTCTTGAAAGAACGACCGAACGTCAAAATGATATTATGAAATTGTTGTTGGTTATTTCGTTTCGTCTTCGTGAACCAGACTAATGACGTGATGATAAATACCTACATCTCTATGAACAGAACAAAGTGAAAGCGAATCTAAATTAAGCTTGCTCTCTACCGATCCTTTTGGTTGTCTAAATATATTTTCGGGTATAATTTATTTTGCAACCATTTACGTAGCTCAAAGTAAACACAAACCTAATGCTAGCAATCATTTTGTTGAAGAGGAAGGAATATACACTTAGGGAGTTACAAATATCACATACGTTATTTTCTATTATTTGCTACTTCTTACTTTGAGTGTTTCATCCGAGGCTGATACTAAGAGGACAATCGTTCTGGTTTAGGGCTGACAACAATCAAGACCACAAGACAAGAAGAACCAGTGGTGAAAAGATCGATGACAATTTTTAAACATCATTTTGATCAATAAACGCTGGTTGAGACATATGATAACTCACCTAAAGTCTATGGCAGAAAATCTGTTTCCTCCATCGTCTGTCTGATACAAAATGAAGTTAAAACCTGAACGTTCCAAGAATCATAATTACGTCAACTTGAAATCGAGAAAGGAAGCTATTTCACTCTCATGAATTTTTTATCATAATCCTCTGATTTTACTCGCTAATTACAGAAAAGCCTCACTTTCGAAAACGTTTACCACCGCGAAAAGGGCGGGAAAATCGGATTCATCAGAAGCAACTTGATTTTCATCCCACAGGTCGAAGCGATGACGATTCTAGCTTCGAGGACCAAACTCTCGGTCAGTTTGTACCGGCAGCAGAAAACATATCATATTCAAACAGGTTGGCTTAGTGTTATCCATATAAATCTTACGCTCAGTAAACACAAAACATAAACAAATGATCAACGGAAAAGCTTTGTAATAAGTTACAATTGGTTTAATTTCAACTGCACTCAAAATGACCTGTCTCCTGTGCTAGACTAACTCCCATGAGGGAATCTGTTTGATGTGTGGACACATTCTCCCTTCCTTGTAAAATTTGTCTGTTTGTGTTATCACGTGGGCGGTATTCGTTTGAATCACTGAAAAGCAGGCAGTCATAGCATAACAGGTGATCTACTTTTCCCAGCAAAGTCTTGTTCATCACCGTGTCCTCCATAAGGACGGAATATTTCACGCACTGTTACACCTAACATGTGGTCCAAAGCGGTGGGGTGTTATCTCAGGGGGTAATATGCCATGAGTAGTCGAAAAAAAATTTAAATTCTCCATAGATATTAAATGACTTTTCAGAAAACTCTTTTGGCTTCGGCCAACTTCAAAATATGTTTCAGAGTTTATGCTAGAGACTTAAAAGTTCGAAATCTTCTCCTGGGTAATCTCCAGTTAAGATTGATCACGGAAAATCTGATCAGCTACTTGTAAAAGTTATTAACGCAGGCATTACGATATGAATAACTCCCATGTTGAAACCCAGAAAACTGGCACTCGATTTTTTTCTCAATAGTTGGACACACAAAAACAATCATGTTTCAGTGGGATAGTACTATGAATGGCTGCCTGTTCTCTACACGATTATTTTCAGGCTTCTGATGTGACTCTAATTAAGTCAGCAGGTTCTCTAACCAAGACTAGGTCTGGGTAACAAAGGTGGCAAACAATGGCAGAATACATGAAGCTTGTTTCTTTGCAAACCGCTGACTTCACTGAACTCTGAGAAATTTTACTTGCGCGCTTGCTCCACTTTTTGACCGTCTTAGAAAGGAATAAAAAAATCAGGTTTAGGTTATTGAAAACCTGATTAATATCAATCCAAGGTCAGCTTTAATCAATACCGATTCGTCACGTTGCATCTTCAACCTAAGTCGGGTACTTAATTAGTACAAATCTGGTTAGGTCTGATTTAACGTACTTTTGTGCTTCCAGAGTATTTTCTTTTACATCTTCACCTCAAACTACGGTTTTCTCCAAGTTTCTGGACAATGTTTCCAGAAGAGATTCTTAATTTTATGAGAACCTCCTCAAATGAAGGAGCCATTCCCCTGCATTCATGAGAATTTTCTTTTCGATTAGTGTTAAAAAGAAGAGGGATGCTCCTCCAGGAATCGTTTATTTTTCTACAGCAATAAAAGTGTATACTACTGAAAAAAAGCTATTGACTTTGGATTATGATTCCAAAGGGAAACTAACTCTCCGAAAATTGCTTCAAATATACTTGAAACCCGATTATGATTGCGGCCGCCTTGAATCTGATTCAGCAGGCTTGCCGCCACACTTGACATCCCACGACTCGAAGCACTTTGCAGCAGCGAGAGCGAAACAAAGAAGTGAAATAAAAAAGCCAACGAAGGTGCAGAGTCGGGAGATGAAGGTTGGAAAAGACTGAAGAATAGTGTATGGTCCCCCATTACCGATAACTTATTGTGATGCACGCAGCTCAGACCGTCAGAGGTGGTTTATCTTTACAAGTAGTTTTCATTGGTTGAGAAAAATGTACAATTTCTGGATTAAATTTCCGTAAGGAAACTATTCGGTATTAACTTTTTGTGCGCAAAAACGCGCTTGACAAACAAAGGGAAAAGAAATTGGCGCAATCTTTTCAACGACACATTAACGAACGATTAGAATGAAAGAAGATTATCATGCCTCTTTATGGTAGTGTTTGCTATTTTTCCGTAGACTTCGTTCTTTGTCGTTTAATACACGACATAAAGCATGGAAGATCGAAGTAAGATCGAAGTTCACTTTCTGTTGTTAGAGCCCTCTAATTCTCCGATTATGCCCATCTCGTTATTTCATTTCATTCACCGTTCACTTGGATCAGTCACAGGCGGCCCAAGCTCCAGCTGTGAGACGATCATCTTTCGTCACTTGGCACCCGTTACTTGGCACCCGTGATTCTTGAACAATTTGTTCATGTCGCGTGACGGTGTGGTCCCCGAGGAGGCTCAATTTGCAAAGGAGTCAGGGTTACCAGCTGGATTTCAACGGCTGTGTGTCGTGGCGAATGTGAACGGGGGTCGTTAGAAACGTCTAAACTGGAAATTTTGGAAGCAAACTTCGGCTTAGCGTAAGTTTCACGGGGAGGATTGAGTTGGTAATGAATTGAAATGAAACTGCGAGATATGTGCTTGGATTCTGCGTTGGATTTGTGGCCGCCTGGTCATTTTGAGCTTGGATGTTTCGCTTCTCGGATCGGGCGTTCACAAATAGAGTGTGCAGCCTTAGGCTTCCCATATGGTTAGTAAACCTAGAATTAGATAACTCGCTAAAATGGCTTCAGATAACAAGCGACGCACTGTGGAAGTAAGGTAAGGTATTTTTATTGAGAATTTGACTGCATTTTTTTTAATCCCTTAGAGAGGTCGTAAATATTCATACAAACGCCATGACTTGTATTTCGCAAGATGATCATTTCACAGCTGGAGCTTAGGCCGCCTGTGGATCAGTAAGCTTCGATCATACCATTTTTATCATGATTTATTCTCCACCTATAAAAATAGCTTCGTTTGACATCTGCTTGTACATTTTTTCGTTAATAAAGGAGCGATTAGGAATATATTAAGCCACACAACAGCCTTGAGAAGCCGAAAATATCGTTCAAGATACATAGATTTAAAATACTTCAAATGGAGTCGTAGCACGTGGTCTTCTTGTTGCAAGAATTTTGGGGTTAAACAAATACCAAAAAACCCCACAGGTTTCACTAACGGGAAGGGGGATCCAGACTCCTCAGAGAGTTGGTGGATAACGAGATTTGTCCCATGACCAAAAGCCGGTTTCAGTCCGGTATAAAACAGGAAATCCTTGTTGGAAAACCTTGTCTGCTCTCTCTTCAAATTTAAAATTTGACCATTACTGGAATAATCTATTCATAAAAAGTCGCTGTATCTACGTTGTTGTGTCGTAGAATTACAAAGAGAAAAAGAGATGCGATTTATCTTTCACATTAACTGTTAAAGCTTCTACGAATCTCGATTTGTATCCCAAAATAATTCTTGCCATAAATGTAAAGTCAGCTGAATGTTTGTTTGGCCAGTAAAAATTACGCGCAGTAAATAAATGTTGAGAGTTGCGCGCTATTTCTAGAATGAAACTAACTTATTGAGGAGTTTATACAAATCAATATATTTTAAATACGCTTTACAAAAATATATTTGTTGCGAAAAACAATTCTTTTCCCAATTTGACACTAACGTCTCTTTACAGGAGCACAATCAAGGCCCGCAAATTTCATTACCTGAGAGCAAAATGACTAGATATTCCAGCCAAGAATATGGCTCAAAAGTAAATGCTCTTTCCCGTGGTGCGCAGTATAGATTTACCGTTTTTAACAAAACTTTTCGTATTGAATACATCAGGTCAAAGCGATAGATGGTTTTCTTTTTGCGCCTTCCGGTAACCATTTGTGTTTGGAGAAGGTCCGTGCTAAAGCTCCTGTTAGGCCCTAATAATCCCTTTAAAAGCCGTTCTGACCAGACTGGGACCATGTGGTCCCACAAAAAACATTGATGAAAGCTGGTTTACGGTAAAATCGTCCAAATAAATGTCACCTGACAGCAGGTCAGTCTTCCTGGAAATCATGGATTTTCCATTTTCTTTCTTATAGCACCTGTGGCCAGCTTTGCAAATGAAATCTACTCAGGATTGCGTTTCCTACCGGCCAGAAATTGCAGTAAACTAGGTAAAGATTCTGATGACTGTAGTCCTTTGAGCTCGAGAAAAAAGTCAGTATTTTTTCTCCCTCAGCTTGAAGTTTCCGCTTTGTTGTTGTCAATCAAACGTCTTGTCATCACAATTACGCCAGCCACACCTACTGCAACAGCCACCGTCCCGCAACCAATTGCTACCACCATGTCGATTATATCAGAAGAACGCTTAGTTCGTTTGGTTTTGCCAGTCTAAAAATACATACAGAAACTTTAGTTTTTGTATTCACGTAAATAGAATCACAATGTGTATTGAACGAAGACTGAACAAAAATTTCGCTTTTTTATGACGCATTACAATGCAGGTTTTGTGAAGATACATAAAAGCTATGGACGAAATGGGTGCTCTAAAAAACGTTCTCTTGGATTTTCTCTGTTTGAGCCTTTCGCTAAGCGTCGAAAATGCGAGATTTTCATTAACCATAAGCAATAAAGCCAGTTAAAATTAGCCTACAAGTCCCATAGGTACTCCTTAATATGAACAAACAATGTAGGCAAGGTGCACCTTATATCGCTTGGAACTGGTTCGGCCTCTAGTGATTTGCGGTTCACTGAGCCTTCGATGCTTGCAGGAAATTTTGAATTATATTTGTGGTTTTTGTAATTTGTTGATATTGTTGGTGATTTAAAGCTGGACTCTGGAGTAGGATAATATTTATGGTGGTTACATGTATATTCAGGTAAATTTTGCGATCAACATAATTCCTTGTTTCAAAAATTTTTATTCCGAAGACCAACAATGAAATATCCAAACATTTTACCGATTACAGTCTAAACCGCTTGTTTACAAGAAGCCTTTTAAGCACTGCTGTCAATGACCCCACCCCATTGAGACCCTCGTATAACAACAATTTATGTAGACACAATCATGTAACCTACCCCAAAAGCTGTCACTGTGGTCATGTCGTCATCTGGGTTTTCAACAATGAAAGGTTCCGTGGTTTCAATCCCAGAAGCTTTTTCTTGAAGGTTTTCTTCAAGGGCAGGTTCCCCCTTACCCTCTCCTGTGTTTAACAACAAATTTGGTGTCATTTGTTGTGAAGTATTCAGTTACTAAGTCATGATTTTAGTGATTTTTTTATATTTAGCATTTAGTTAAGATTAAAATTCACAGTCCGAAGTCACTTGAATCTAATTATCATGATGACATTTCTAAGTTTGACTGTCTTGTTCAACTACAATTAGTTTGTCTCCCCACCTTGCCTTAGATTCGCACTTAGGTTGTCCTCTTTGCCTTTACATTCAACGAGTGGTTGTGTGATTAAGCATTAAGTTCGTTAGTTTTCATACGTAAGATTGCCGTGAAAATGTTTGGGCTATTTTTCTGACATCAAATATTTAATCTTCCATGCTTACCGATGGTGAATATGAAAGCAAGTATCACAGAGCTCAGAATCAGAGATTAAGAGTCAATCAGTTATTTAGAAAAAGAGTAAGAGTCATAGTCAGCCAGAGAATATCAAAGAGAAAATCCGCTGTTAGTAGATGAACAGCTATTAGAGACTGAGAGACTGAAAAGGTCAGGTCTAGATCTCGGTGCTATGCGTGGTGCTGGCGCCCTGCAGTTTGTTTCTCCCTAACCATAGTGTAACACATTTTTAAACAGTTTTGATTAGATATTTTGGACCAAGTCTGGTCGGTCAATTGGCCAGGTATGGGTTTGTTTAACGCATTAACGCATACTATACTTATAACGGTGATGCTATCCTCGGCATTACTATCATCATTATAATATCGTCATCATCATCATCGCTACTTTATCGTGTTACTTGTAAAGCTAATTCATCTTTTTTTGGAAAGTGTTTGAATTGATGAAAACCTTCTTACCTTTAGCCTCTTTTAGTTTTGTTTGTGAGACCATTGAAAGCATCGTGTCAAATTTGGGATTATCAGACTTCTTGAGGTCACATGAGTCAGAATTGTGACACTTGACTAAATAACAATTTTTGTTGACCATAAAAGCAACGTCGCATCTCTTCGATCCACAACAGTGTTTTACGCATCCGTCCATCTCTTTAATTCCAACCATCTTGTAGTACTTCCCAGCCTTGGCGCCCTTACTGAGGGTCACATTGTAATTCACTGAACTTTTCCTACATGGTGTCTTGTCAGATGAGATCAATTCGAGTTTTGCGTCTAAAACTAACATGGAAAATCAATGCAGCTATGTGTGGGTCAACATACATAACCTAATACCATAACCGCACTTTCTAACAGATATGTGATGAAAAGAATGATCGATTGATGGATTAAAACTTGATTAAAAAAAACTGAAATTCAAGAAACGTATCGCTGTTGGTAAGGAGAATCAAAATTTACCTCTTCTTTCATCTGTCTGATAATCTAGGTTAGCCATCATTTTCATGACACATTAAAAACATTATCTCCAGCATAAGTAAAAAAATTAGGTTTGTTTATCATTAAGAAGTAATTGTAGTAGAGAAAGACTCTAAAAAATAATGGTGTTGAGAAAGGCTACCAAAAGAGACAATTCACAGATGTATCACTGAGGCATAACCTTTATCTCCATTGCGAAGAGAAAACAACGCACAATAATTTGTCTTATCTCACCTACTATACTGCATAGCGAAAGCAGAAATAATAACACAAGATTTAAAGCGCACTCCATATCTTCGATTTTTTCCCACCTATTGTTGAGAAAAAGAAGAAAACGATTAAAGCAATTTAAAAAACTTAACAAACAGCACACCAGATTGGTCAGCCATGTTCTGCGGACAGCAATTAGTACAGTCTCTATCTTTCCGATTGCCAACTCTCCCCAGTCTCTTCCTTCGTCTCGTTGATTTAGCACATAGCTGGCTACAAGGCCGGTAAAACCTCTGTTTCTTGTTAAACTGTATTAACAATATTATTTCCACCTAGTAAGTGTGAGTTGGAAAGAGAATTTCTCCACGGTTAATTTCAAAAGGACCCAATAGATGCCATTCAAATTATCCTCAACATAGTGATCCCATCTTATTTTCAATCATGCCTTTCTTTCTAGAAAATGTACAACTGTCCCTAAATGCGACCGATGATTTGTAGTTGTAGACTGAGTCATCACATTGAAAAACGAAATGAACTTATAATTTCTTTCAGTACATCAACCCATTTTAGACATTCCATCGCGAAAATTCCGACTTTCGTGCGGTGATGAGAGGTACGCTGTCTTTCTGACGGTTTGCACATTGGTGTTCGGATCAGTAGGGCCCCTACTGAAACATCGTTTTATGTTCCACATGGGCACTATTCCTAACTTCACAGTCCTTTAGATAGGTACCAGTAAACTTCCAGGAAACCTTGAAAGTTGTGGGAAGGAAGGAGGGTGGTACCTAGGGTGACCTACTGTTATGGCCACGACGAGTAAGAATCCTCTCAGCAGTTCCACGCCACACTTGCGAAACCGGGTACAGTTCATGATCAGGGAGTGATGGGTAACTGGGTTCCTGAATCTTCTTTTCTTAAGAAAAATAATTTTCTTGAACAAGAAAAGGAGGAACGCCAGGATCTCCACGGTTGCAATGCGTAAAACCTTTAATCTTGCCTAGGAGTGAAACGACTTCTTTGTGTACGTCAAAGATGACAACACCGGCCACGGAAAGAATTTAGTACGGGATCACATTTGAGTCTCATTTCACGCCGACTTAAACAGGTCAATAAACTCTGTTTTGAGATTCCCTGAGGGATGTTTGTGATCAGCATTCCGGAACAGATATACATGTCATCTATTCTACAGATTTTAAAGTCTTTTAATTAACGAAGCAGTTAAAAATTTAGATGTCTCATAGTTGTTATCTGAGTAAGGCTTTTAAAACATCAAGAGACTTAAAGCGATCGAAGAGCACCGACTTCAACATCCATAAACGGCGTGTAGTTGTACAACAAACCGTGAATATGGCACCAGAACAACATCTGAAATGATCTTGTCTATGTCAAAACTATTTCCATTTCAGAGGTTGTGGTATATCAATACATTTTTCGATCTGTTTCTCTTTTCTTTGTCAAAGGATACATGGTATATCTTAAATATCGTATGATAAGGTTTGGAATTCCTTTCGGACAATCCAGCACTAAAATGCCACTCAAAATAAACTACTTGCCTATGTTGACAAAAATTGTCATACTTCCACATTAAGTTTTGCACGAATTCAAGAGCAGTGCTTTACAATTAGTAAAATTGTACAAAAAAAACCCAAGCCTTACCGGCATTTACTTACCGAAAAAGACCGCAGTTTCTGGAGTGTTAGTCGAAGATGAAGTCACTCTTCTCCCTAGAGACCATTACTTATGAATCGAAGCTAACACATGCGTAGTAAGGGGGGCTTAATAGTACCTGTCAGTGACGACGGGTATGTTATGACAGTAACATTGTTCTATGGGTGACATGTTGCAGTAATCGTGTATGCAATATCGCCTTTTGTAGATAGAGCAATTAGTGTCTTGGGTGAACTCATTCGATGATAAGGAAAGTCGCTACGTATGCAGTAAGTCAGATTCATTCAGGCATACTGTCTGATTAAACACCAGGCTCTGTAGACCTTTATCAAGCCAAGGACTGATGTAGGGAATGTTGCAAAGTAACACTTCTGATCTCTATGGCAACAGGTGTTTGAAAACATGTGTGTATATTCAACGAGTTAGCACTCTTTTATGCTTGTCTTGGCTGTTTTGGTCATCTTTGGTCATCTAATTTTTTCCCTCGGTTTTGACTCCGATCCGATCCACGCTCTGTAAAAGGGTTGAACCCTGGTTTCAACCTCTACTGTGGGAGTAATCCCGAGGAATGCGAGTGGCCAGGTCGTCAATCGGTGTCGCCTTTCGCACTTATTGGTTGAGGAGCTTGGGGGGGTCCAGTTTGTTGAGAAGATTGACTAAGCCATGATGAAAAGAATTATTTCAACAAGATCTTAATTTGGCTCACATACCTGTATAATATTTAATGTGATTACCCTGTGTACATCCGTCCTTCCTACTCAAAGGGAGGGGGACGTGTCTGCGCAGGCTACAAGTTATAGGTACAACACCAGCTTGATCCTTTAGCTGGGTCCTCTAAGGAGCAGTTTATATTCATCTCCGGAGGGGGGGTTCAAGGGATTTTTTTCAAGGGGGGGTTACACCGTTTTTAGTAGGAACGGAGGGGGATCAGTCGTCGCTAACAGAGTATGAAGGGGTGACTATAGAAAATTGACTGCCAATAAGAGGATGGGGCAGGGGGGGGGACGGGAAGGGCATTAGAATACTGCACAGCCTTGGAGGATCAGGTACATTTTATTGCGACACATCGAGACCAGAGACAATGTGTTCCAAAAAAAACTCAGGAATAGACTATTTTTCTTTCGATGTTTACTTCTCCGTTCATTTATAAACGTAAATATCGCATAACTACAAATATACAATGCTGAATTGTTCTTTGTCTTGAGGTTTTTGCGATCATTAAGCACAAAGTTCTGCAGTTTCATTTCAATTTGATCTGCAACGTCTTATTTCTCTTAATATAAAGTTTAGCTCATTATAAACGAAACAGCGTAACGGTTCACATTTGCGCCGCTACTTTACTTCAATTATTAAATGTATATTGAATTATATTAATGTAATATATAAATTTTCGATCAAACCATCACCTATTTATAACATGAAGATATCTGAAACAAAATAAGAACACCTCCAAGCTTGAGCATTTTAAAATCATTTTGACACAATGGACAAACCATGTCATCTGTGACTTTGACTGATTCGTGAATTTCAAATTAAACGAAAAATCGATGCAGTTATACAGCCATTCATACAAATACAATAAAGAATCGATACTGAAATTTAAAGCATAGTATTATTACCGACTTTGAGGCGGGTTTCTTCAATTTTCGACAACTTCACCACCTCATCAAGACCATATTTATATTTTTTTTTTAACTTAAGGACACAAGAAAGCTTTATTCAAAGCAGAATAATAAACTATTAATTTAAAGTTCAAGCCCTTTTGAGGTAAGAATCGCCCCGACACCAGTGAATGATACATTATTTCCATTAAATCGTATTAATTCTCCGCTACATTCCATCTAATGAATCATTCGAATGATAACTTGTCTTCCATGACTAATCACAACAGGTCATCAGGGGAGTCACGTGTAGCCGCGTCCTTTTTGGCGCGAAGATATCGCACGACATAAACCACAGTCGCTAAGCAAATCCAGCCGCCTGCCACTGCACAGCCAACGCCGACGGCTAAGACTGAGCGGTAACGACCGCGCTCGGCCCTCCTGTTATGACGGCTGTGAGCCTCACGGCTGCGGTGATGTCGCGGGATTTCGGACTGGGAACAAATAAATGAGGCGAAAATGTTATTCATGAATTAGGACGCTGCCTCTGGTTTGAGGGTTGGCTTTAGCTAAAGGTTTAATGAACGGACAGATTTACATAACTATTGCTGTGCGATGCACTGTGCGATGCGCTGTACAATTGAGGCCTTTTCCTGTTGAAAATTTGTTATTTTTTTCCGTCATAGGTTATGAACGAACAGAGTTAGCGGGACAAAACCTTTCTATTTCACCTGCGTTTCTAGTAAATACGATGACACCAAAAGCAAATTCTCACCCTTTGAGACTCCTTCTCCTCTTCGCCATCGGGCAAATCTTTTTCTTGAATGGCACCCGATTTGCCTGAGGATGAAAGAAAATTAATCCTCTTTTAAAATTTGAAATGAAATGAAAGCAGACAGCAGACCAAAAATCAAAAGTTGTAACGTACCGTCCCCATATTGTACTGCAAGAAACAAAAGAAGAACAACGGTAGCCAAGCACCAAATCGACAAGTGCATTGTGGGATCGAGAACCTACATCGCTGTGAAAAGAATAACAGTAGCACATCAATCACGTGGTCTGGACTTCTGTTAAAAAAGGAGGAGTGCTTCACACCCCTTTGCCGACAAGGTTCCTTTTTCGCACTGTTGCTTTCACCAGAAGGTCATCTGTTCCCTCAACCACTTACGAATCGATACACATTATGAAATCCTTTGATGAGGATTGGATTTCGACACCCATTCGATAAGCTCTCGAAAGAATTAGCAATTCATTTTTACCTCACCACGAGATTCCCATTAGTAGCACTCAGGGGTTGTATTTAGTTTAAAGAAATCACTGATTGTAATCAAATGTAAAGCCGATAAATAACAAAGGATATTAGATTCAGTCCAATTGGTAGAGCAGGCGCCTGATTTATTTTAAATATGGAATGAACGATTTGAAAATAAGAGAAAAAGCTACCGCAGTGAAAATTATTATGTTTCCATAGGGTGAGAGCTGGCTGACCAGATTGTTCAGCCATAACTCTGTCCTTTATAAGAACTGACCGGCCAGATTAGCCAATTCCAAATTGTATTTCCAATTCAGATGAACTTTTACTGAAATGGGGGTAAACTACCGAAAGCGATTCCGATTTTGGATCACTTACAGCCAATGGAAAGCGCCCTTAGTTCGTGATTCTGCGCATTGTGTTGGAAACCATCAACATTATTAAAGTGGTTTATTTTGATTATATGCACGCACTCACCGTTCTCAAACTACCTAGTAAAGAACGAGGTACATTTTTATTGTACCTTTATATTTTTAAATGCACCTCAGACTTACATCTCTCGTGCCCTCTAGTCGTGTTCCGCACAATTAGATCAAACTAACGATAGTAGGTAAATGTATTATTAAAATAATACTTAGAACACCCCTGAAAGATAAAACTTTTCAATCGTGCCATGAGCTACGGTTAATTGTGGACCAAAGCATTACAGTTTCTCGAGGGAAATTTGCCAAGTTTTCTCGTCGTCAGTTAGATCATCTTTAAATTGGCTTTTTTTCCTCTCCGTTAGACAAAAGGTTTTGTATTTTCAAATCAACAACCATCTCACTTACAATTTGCTTTGATTTCCCTTTTTTTCAATCTCCTTGCCACCACTGATCTCTCTTCTTAGATTCTTCCTTTGAAGGAAATGTTCTAACACTTCTCCCTATCACGTTTTAATTTCTTCCTCTTTCCTTTTTGCATTGATTCCCAAGTAAAGCCAGTTTCTTTGTTCGAGCCCGCGAAATTGTTTTCTTACAACCCTTCTGTGATGTTTTTGAGTTACGTGCTCTTTCTTAAAATGTTTTTCTGAAAACCTGCAATTAAAAACGAAGAAAATCTCCGCCATTGTAAATATTTGGTAGAGTCACCCGTGCATTCAAAGGACATCTTGGAAAACAATTGCGTCGGTAATTAGTCCTATATTTAGACATTAGTTTTGTAAATAACACGTGTTCTCCTTAGCACGTGCATTTATCCATCTATAAGTTTTTCTGATATACAACAGACACTTTTCGTCTAACATACTTGTGGATTCAAAGGTTGTCTTTCGAGCCATTCCCCAATATTGTCAAAGCATTCCAGCCACTAAGTACCCGGGAGTCCATTCGGCCTTGTGTAGCTCAACATATTCAATCATTTCTACTCACAATTTTCGATTGACGATTCGTACTTCTGGTTCAGCGCTACGGATCGAAAGGCTCAGGTCGAAGCTGTCTTCTTAAATTTGGATAAAAACGTGATGTAGTGCTAGTTGATTTGTGCTGCCAAAAGCATTGCAGCTCTGAGAGCGAGAACTGCCGTTCTTACGTGTAGTCAGAGGCAAGATGAGGTTCTCCGAATCGCATATATTTCGATGAACCAACATAAAGTAATGTGTGAATTGCCTTCGAGGGTAGCTTCCAAAATATCGGTCTCTCCGACCATACAATAGAGATTGACCTTGAGCGTCTTCTCAGCTTTTACCATCAACCCCACAGACACACTTAAGAAACCATTTAATTCTTGTGTCAAATTTGCCTCCTAGTCTGATAATCTGGTGATACAATGTAGCTGAAATTTGGATGCCCGCCGATTGAGGTTTTCGCGCATGCTGTTTTCCATCCCATAAACACTGTGAGACTTGCATACACAACAAAGTTTGACAGCAAACGACCGTCAAAATGTTTTTAGTCTTTATTTAACACAATAATGAAAGTAGAGAAGTCTATATTACACAAGGAGCTCGGGGCCTTGATCTTCAACAGAGTAGACTTGAGTCTTAACCTTATCACACCACTCCGATAACCGATCTCTCATGTGAGCAATCTGTAACGAAATAAAACAGCTTAAATAAGTATGCAGCTTTCCCGCTTCGCGACATATTAAGGCACATAATATAGCTACACGAGTCCAGGACAGAAGTTAAATGGGATTGGGAATACCGACCTCACTTTGCCGACGAATCGAAACTGACCAATCACAATTGACGATTGCTATTTGAGTAGCAGCAGATATCAAGTAACACAAGCTTTCACAAACCAATATCTCTACAACATTCGACTAAAAAAAGCTTTACTTGATTCTGTTGATGACTCCCACCCAGATTTAAGATACAATGCCTTTTAATTGTACATAAAATGTAAGTTGACGTTTCCTCGAAACAAGATTTTCGAAAACTTCGAGGTTCGAGGCTCGAAGCGAGTTTCGAGACGAAAAAAAACAATTTGGGATTAATTTACTACACGACAAGAAGCTTCCAGCCTGTTGTCTATTTTACAGGAAAGAAATTCTTACAGCCTCACCTCTTTCGGGTTACATGTGTACTCGTCAGAATGATTACACTACACGATCGTCTCTACTTCAAACGTATTACTATGAAAAATTTTCTATTCGTTTCCAGCAAAGCAATTACTGGTCAACCGTGTCATGTTATCTTTTTCGCATAAGCTAATGAAAGTTGCTAAACTAAGGAGGTTCCCCTCAGCGTCGGAAAAATACCAGCACTAAAGGATTATTTTATTCACCTGAGCTAGGTCCAGTACCCTTGGTTGCACCCAAGTCATGTGGACCATCTGTTCAACCTCATCAATCGAGCCTGGTGACGAATGACAGATCGTTTGTCAAAAAAAGGAAATGGGACTAGCTTACCGTAAAGTACAATAATGGGTAACTGGCCTTGTTGTGTTGTCTGTCAAAAGCCAATATAATTCCCCCTAACAGGTCACTAAATCTTAAGAAGGTTTGATGCTTACTCTCAGTTGGTCAAAGGGGCAAACAAGTATCAATGTGAGAAACTTAAGAACAAATAATCCCTCACACACAAGGGGAAGCAATCCATGTGTACGTCCAATGAAGTTAAGTAAAGCAAGAAACAACAGCCTAACGATGAGATTCATTACAAATGTAAAACTTCTCCCCAAATGCAAGGCTGACAGGGACAAAAACCAAAGAAACTGATAAAAACTATATTTTTTTAAAATTTCCCTTTGCTTTTTTTCTAAGTTGAATTCAAATACATCACAAGAACTCTCCTACATGGACTATAAGTAGAAAAGTTGTCAAAGACTCTAAGCACAGTCATATTCTATACCCCTCACCTTTAACTAAGCCAAGAGATAATGCTTTCATAACAAGAAGTTCAACCTGTTATAGACAAAGTGAACAGGATTTAAGTCAATGCCCTTGAATGTCAACAAAGTATGTAAGTTCATAGCATTCAATCTCCTCACTCACAGAGATAACAAAGGGCTGACTTGGGGAAACAGGAAAAAGAGAAGAGAGAATCTTTGGAACTAAGGCACAAACTTAATTTTAAATTTACCCTGGTTCTATACATGTGTTAACTTTTTGACATTCATTTTTCTCTCTAAAAAATCACTTTACACCCTTCACAGAGAAGTGGTAGAAGTTTCAAAGCAGTCTTGACTGTAGCAGCTTAAGATAGGCTTCCTAAGGCATTGTTTGGAAATCAAGCAGGAAGACACTGTATGAATTGTTATCAACATCCTTAAACTTTGTAGGCTAAAAGGAAGAAAGGAAACTGAACACAACTATAGAATCATGCATTTGGAAATTAGTCTTAAATATTTCACCCAAGGGAACAAATAGGATAAACTGATACAGGAGGAAAGCAAAATGAAAAGGCTTGAGGCAAAAACATTTTTTCAACATTGCACTCATTCTTCAGAGAGGTCCAAAGTAATTTAAAGTCTACCTGTACTGTTCATGTACCCTTTGCTCTTAAAAAAAACATGGTAATGTCATAAACTTTTAAACAGTTTCCCATTTTCAATTAGATGAAACAAACCAAATTTCACGTGTAGTTGATAACTTGTGACAAAACGATTGTTACAGGTGAACAGGGGACCAGCTGGAATAAATTTCAAAGCCAAGTTTGTCTACTTATCAAAAGTCCCTTGCTAAAAGTCAGAAACTTTGGAGCACTTTCAAAAATGACCAAAGTGCCAAGGGTAGATTTACACTATCAGCCTTTCAGTCGCACTACTGTTCATTTACTCACCTCTTCAAGTGGTAGCTGTGCTTCTTTTGATATCATTTCAAATGAGAGGTTTCTGTCATTGGAGGGCCTTTTGAACGTAAGCTGTTATAATAAAAGATGACTGTCACTACAATATATGTGTACAGTACTGCCACATGTGCTTTTGTGCTAGTAAAGAGGATGCTAAAATCCATCAGTAACTGACAAACATTGTTTCGTGAAGTGAATTAAGAACTGACCTCCATCAAACAGAGCAGGCTGATCTTCTGTCGCAGGCTTTTGTAACTGGCATTCAAATCAGCCTGTTTAGAAAAACGAAGACAGTAATTGACTTTAGATTATTGATCAACATGTAAAGCTACCCTACATAGTTGCTGAAGTATTTTTAAATAAAAAACCTTATGAGAAACAAATCTGTTGCAGGCAACAGCATACAATGTACCGGTAACCTTTTAATATAAGTTCTCTGTTCCTGGCAAGATAAAGTATATTGCAAGCTACAGGTGTACATGTGTGTTGAATATCAGTAGTTGTAATAAAATACAATCAGATCAAACTACAATACATCTGCAAAGAACAATTTTTTCACATTTTGGCCGTACCTGTTTTTGCCAGTGACGTTTCAGGAGTTCAAACTGTGTTATGTCTCCTACAAAAAGATAAAATTTACTGGTCATGATGAGATAAATATGATATCATCTCCACTTGAATTGCAAAGAAAAAATTGTTAAGAAGTCATCCACTAAATTTTCATTTGGGGGCTTATCCATTACTTAACTTGTTTCCTGAAATAATACAGAACTGTAATTCATCCATACTCTTTACCCCTTACACCATAACATCAGTTTGCACATTCTTCACATTGTTTCTCCATACACTTCCTAAGGTCCTTCATTCTTGTAACCCTAATGTTTGATTCAGGGATGACATTGTTTGGGGAAATTGGATGCTACATGTATGTACATGTAGTCATTGTTAGGGACTAAAGTGTAAACTGGTTTTACTCGCTCATCTTTGACAGTAATATGATAGTACATGAATAGTACAATAAAATTCTTATTTAGCCCCACCTGACAACTGCACTGTTTATTTTTATCCCCTACATTGACGTAATTCAGTACCACATGCATTGTAATTAAAGTAATACACTACATGCAGATGTATACTTGTGTTAAATTTTACATAACATAGCTTTACTCACCACTATTAAAAGCAAAGAGAAGCTCTATTAGCCAACCATGCTCTGTTCCATGGAGAGACTGTAATACTGGATGTGCCAGCTGAAAATTGTTTATAAAATATTATTCATATTAAAAATGTTCAGCCAGTGTTCCAAGCTGTTACCTTTTTGGTGTTCATGATGAGTAAAAGGAACAAAAAAGTTTGGTAACTATTGGTGCAGTGACTGTCACATGTTCAGTGACCACAATTTGTGATCAAGTTCCAAGTTACAGAGTTTTTATTACAGAGTGTTTACTGTTTCTCTCAAGTTTAAATGCAATACTTCCTTAGTGAATATAATTTGTTGCTTTTACCAGTAGCCACAAGATGTTGCCTGAGTATCAAACCAAACAGTGTGGCATTCACCACCAAACCAAATGACAATAGTTTGGCAATTAATTTAAATCAACAAGTGTTGTCAGCAGCACAATCTGTTGTGCAGCATTTCTCAGAGTGTCTTTTCCTATTACATGTATTTTGTCATCTAAAACCATTTTCTTGCTTTACTGGTAAGCTGCCCACAGAAAAAGAATTGAATTTGGAGCACTGAACACCATTAAAACATTGTGTACTTATTTTGCATTGTGCATTTAACTTACTAACTCTCCAAAGTTGTAAATATCATTTCCCAATAGGGCAGCAAGAGACAAGTGTAAAGCTCTATCAATTTGGTCTCCAACTAGCAACAGAAAAAGATACAATATTAGTTAACTTCAGTTGGTAAGATTAATCCATCACTTACATATACACTTATTAACCCTTTCACTCCTAAGAACTCAATTTCAGTAATCCAGTAAGTGTCTGCTGAACACTTCTCCCATAATAATTTTAAGAATTTGGTGTTGGATCAAAATTAATGATATCCCATACTTAGTACTGCATGCACACATGACACATACTCTGTAAGGGTGTCAAGAAGCACAAACTGATTCTACCCTATTGCATCACCACCAACAAATACATGTAATAGTGACAACAACAACAACAACATATTTTATTTAAACATGGTGGGTTTTAAAGCTAATATAGATTATGGGGCCATGTAAAAATGTTAATCAAATAATAAAAATAAAAATAACTATCTAACTACTACTAAGTGACTATCTCATGAGACAAGAGTTTATGTTCCTATAAACAGAAACACATCATTTGTACAAAATCATTACACTGTATCAGATTCTACAAAAGATGTACTTTGCACACATCTGAGAAATTTAAAACATACTTTTCATGGCACTAACTTCCACACATCCCAAGAAGCGCAGTGCATCTCTGTAGTAGTCATTATATGAACCAGTAATCTAAGTAAATAGTTCAAACATCATAAGTAAGTGCCACTCAAGTAAAAAAAAATGTAGTAGACTGTTTGAACTAATGTCAAACTTCCTGGAAAGGCCCCAGAGGTGTTCATGAGGGATGACAAGAGAGAGATGATTGAGAAATGTCCATACCAAAATGTACAATGGTGATATTTTTGCTTCATTTGAAGCATTATTATCAAATCATTACAAAAAGCACAGTAAAATGGTTCTTATTCAACTTTCATACCCCTAACTTTTCAAATAATAATAATAATAATAATAATACCATTAAAAAACTGGAGATAAACAGAATTAAGTTCAATCTTTAACTGTGGTAAGCCATAAATGCCATTATCACAGCCCCTGTGCAGCTAAAGGAGTAAGGATTCAATGTTACCTAGCAATTGATTTTAACTCATCTCACTCACTTTGTGGTAGTTGCTGCAGAGTTCATAAAATCTGCCATGGACTGTAGTAACACCATCAATAGTTTCAAGCATCCCTCTGGCTTGTTCAATTAAGGCCTTGAAAAATAAACACATGTTAACAGCTGTCTTTGAAATCTTAGGGACTAGGTTATGATGATATGTACACTGTTATTATTAATGAAGAATTTATATGAAGTACCTTTGTTTCTTCCATTTTGTTCTGTTGAAGCTTAATGTTTCCAATTGCTGTCATACAAAGAACCTCTGCCTCTACATCATTTTTTATCTGAAAATCAAAAACAAAATTAACCTTTCCTCTAAAATGTATTCACTTTTACAATGGTGCAAAGGTGACTAACAACTGCATTTTATGTATTTATATATTATCTTGTACATGGAAAACAACTAAGCACAAAATACAATACAAGAAAAAGGGATTGAAGACATCCTTTTTTTTACAAATTGGTTGAAATTCAACTAAAATTTGACTGTATCAAGCACTTTGGCAAATAAAAACCAAAGAAGAAGCACAAAAGTACATGCACACAAACCTTTTCTTTTTCCCTCTCTAGAAACTCTATAGCAGTTTCTGGTTCTGCCAAAAAAAAGATACCCTCTACATGAAAATAGAATTATGTGTGTATTGTGGCCTCTTCACTCTCAAACTTGTGAATTTGACAGAAGGAGACAGAGGTACAACTGCTTTACAACCTTATTGTGGCCTCTTCACTCTCAAACTTATGAATTTGACAGAAGGAGACAGAGGTACAACTGCTTTACAACCTACCTTTTATTTCCTTTATCACATATAGCACAATTTCCATGAGTGAAAGCATGTTTATTCTGTAATCAAAAACATAGACGCTGTAAGGTTTAGACTTATCACATTATAATCAAGTGTTCACTTGTCAGAACTGGACCACATAAGACAACAATTTTCAAAGTCTGGTCTATGTAGTAGCAATGATGACTACACTGAACAAGAATCATTACATTAATTCTTCTGCTTTTTTTTCAATCTAATGTTGGAGTTATTTGGGATCTGTCCTGAAAGCATCATAGACAAAATCATTTTCATATTACAGGGTGGTAGAAGCCTTTAAAATGTATTGTTTAGTGACAGCTGTTTTTTAATGCATAGTTCTATTACACATACTGTATGTCATACCTGTGTTCAAAGTCTGCTAGGAAATTTTCATACAGCTAGAAAAGAGAACCTAAGGTCAATACACAGTGACTAACTCATGGTATTAGCCCTTAAACTCCCAAAATCTTATTGTTAATTCTCCCCTCTGGCTGCTACACATTTCCTTGTAACTAAGTCACAAGAATTTGATGTTAGATCAAGATACAACTTCCACCTGATAAGTTTTGAGTACTCTTATTACCTGTTTGCTGGACAGTGTATGAATATTATATGGAGAAGTTAAAAAATGTTTATCACTTCTGGAAGTTAAATGGTTAACAGGTACCAATTTTTCAATATCAAAATTAACTGACATAATTTTAGTTCTTTGTTTTTTTAACAACTATAATAAATGAATAAATCCAAATTAATGCATCTACATGCATACTTTGTTCTTGTTAGGTAAATGGGTCTGAAAGCATTTTACATTGTATATGTATATCACCAATCTTCAGCATTTCAGCTGCACCCAACTGTGAAGACACTGAGCTATTATAGTGCTTTACCTCTACAAGCCCTCCATATTTGTTAAAGTAGTCACTCTTGACAAACTCAGTAAGTCTCAAAGTCAGTTGATGCCATAACCTAAAGAGTCATAAAATAAATCACGTTAAGTCCTATAATTCGTTATTTACAGTTTATGATAAATATTCTATAAAGACTTTTCCCATCACCAAAAAAAATAAAGCGTATTAATAAAGAAAACACAACACTTATCGTTTTCAACTATATTCATGGAGGTATGATTATCAATAATAAAGTATAATTTCAGTATTTTAAGCATTGGGTTTGACGCTGTTGTTGTACCTTAAAAACAATCAGATCACATGTCAATTAACATGTGCACAGTACAGGGACATTTCTGTCATTTGGAAAAAGACGAATTAGTATCTCTAGAGCAAAGAAATCCAAAAGCCAGCATTAGTACCCATGAATCACTGAAAATTTCTGTAGAACTGGGATAAATTCTTCTATACCATAACCAAGAACAACTTTACACTAAGCTTGAGTCTAAAAGACTGAAACTCGATCAATGACTAAGCACTTCCTCTTATACAGCTCAGAAGCGACCAAACTTACTTCTTCTCGTACAATTCACCAAGATGGGCCCAATCTGGTGCCATGGCTCCCCCTTCGCTTTGTTTTCTGCTTATGTATCCCTTAACATCCCTCATCTTAGACGAAATATTGAGTACAACTCAAGACTAATCCCGTAAAATTTTTTCAAAATGGCGTACTCATGGAACAACCTGAGCCATCGGTAGGCTGACCAGCGGCTGGTTGTTTTAATTTAAAAGTGGGAAGAAAATGACTTTTGATCATGGGAAAGATTGTGCGGCCAGCGTCAGTATTTCGCGCCAAAATCTCGCTGCAGTATCAACAAAAAAGTTATTGCTTGAATACGTAAAATTTTAACAGTTGAATAAGTGGAAGCGAAGCATTTTAACAGCAGGTAGGAATTTGAAAAATATCACTGACGGCTTTTTAACTTACTTTAATTCACAATACCAATACGTTAAATCACAAATGAAAGCCAGTCGCACCGTCTGAGCAAATCTTACTTTAGGTATTAGTTTTTAAATTAGAGTTAATTCTTTTTGTACTTCATAAATAGGTCCTAAATGTTACCGTTCTTCCCTTTTGATACCAGCATAATATTTTCCAACAAGCGCTCATGAATAAAACTACGGAAAAGCAAGGAAATCGGACGGCATTCATACGACAACCAGGTAAAAAAAAAAGACAACTTTATAAAGGCTGTCCTGAGGTGAAGTCTGGCAAATTTGGCCGGTGTAAAAAACGAGTGCAAAATCAGTGCAAAACAAAAGCATGCATATCTTATCATGGCCGTTACACAGCTTCATTCATTACAGGAAGAGGAGTCAGAGGACGGGGAAAAGTTTAGTAATCATTTAAACCAGAAATGAGAAAGTTGAGAAAACTGTATTGAAGATTTCACCTTCTCTTCTTGCGTAACTCTGTCGTCATTTTTTATCTACATAGCATACAAAAAGTACTTTTTTTCTTTGAAATATATCTTTTTCCAGCTCGAGTGTTACTGGTCGACTATAGTCCTCCATTTGACGCAGATACATGTGAATACCTTCATGATACTTTGGTGAATTTCTTTTCACTTGTGACGCACCTCAGCGGGCCTTGTAGAACACCATTCTTTGGTTTGATTGCTCTCACAAGCCCTATTGAGGTATGGTATGATTAAGTTTGCTTTTGTATAAAAATACAATTTAAGAGAACTCGCACAGAGCAGAAAGAAGACATTAAATTTACACTAACATTAGACTAGAGGTTATAGCTTACAGGCCTGTTTGTTTATGTAGTGCTGGAGCTCATTGTAGTTTCCGAAGTGTAGCAGAAAATGACTAGTCTTTCGCATATCTTCAAGTCTCTCCAACGAAGTTGGACCCTGGCGGAGAAAAAACCTTGTCTCCTCACTGCTTAAACCGGGAACTCTACCAGGATTAGAGTGTCATTTCGGACCCGCCTTTTTTGCAGCAAACTTGGAAGGGAAATAGGGAGTGATACAGTTAAATTGGAGAACTTATAGGATTTTAGGAAACATTGGGAGGTCATTGTAGACTCATGGTACTATCCGTAAGTGGTGCTGCCTCACGAATCATTCGAGGAAAACAACCATGAAAAAAAGGTTTTCTGTTCAACACGGCGAGTTGTTTCGCATAATTTTATTGAACTCATGAGAAAACTGTAGAGAGTCATTGTGTGATACATTTTCAGAACCTTTTTAACTTACAACATGTCCGAGGAAACTTTCCAAAGCTTCACACTGCCTTTAAAGAACTTAATAACATCGCAAGGGATGTTTCATCTAGGGTCTCTTCAGGTAAATAAGCTTTTTTTTTTCACTTTTGTTTCTCTTTCATGCCGAACTCAACTTCAACACAATATCCTTATGAAATAGGTAGGACCAACATAATCACATGTGACGGGAAATATTTTTAAATGTCTGTCTTCTCATTTCAGACGTTATCATACAAGGGCTTAAGGAAGCTATAACACAGTTCAAACGCCAGTCGCAAAGTCTGAGACAGGTTAGAAACAACTGTCGTCAAGATTTGTGAGGCTATTAAATATTAAGAAAATTCCCTCCTATCTGCACGGTCCTGCATTTTTTCAGAACATCGATTGTGGCTCGTAACTTCGGTGAAAAGCCGAATATTCAAGCCTTCTTAGACAATACGGTTGAAAAAGAAATAAGCACGAAAAACCTGAGGCAAAAAATTTGTCCTAGACGAGGGAAGGGATGCAAGGTTATCTGGGGATCTTCGAGAAACCATGGACTCAAGAATTCGGGAATTGATGGTACACTTAGATATGGCACCGTTCCCTTCTCCCACTGGTATATACCCGAAAAGTAGAATTATAGAAGTTGCCTCGAGCTCTTATCGAGCTCAATGGAAATCATTGCTATCAATTGAGAGTACTGGTCACGACATAGTTATCATGTAGGCCTCTCCAATTACATATACTTAGTAGGCTTGAAAGGCTCCAATAAGTTCGTTTTTTCTGGGGCGTTTCATCTGCTTGTCGCGAATCATACTACTTGGCTAGCTACTAAAACTAATGAATTCCACTTCGTTAATCTTGTTAGCCACATTTTTATTTTTTCCACTTTCTTTATTGGTAACAGCTTAGTTTATTTTCTCTCTGCCTAGATGAGTACATCTAACTGCCAGCTAGAGATTACATTCCTCACCTGCAGAGCGGCCACGTCAGTTGTGAGACACATCGAGGCGTTCTTCAAAGATATTGAGCTTGAAAACATAAAGGTTTAATAGCAACGAAAATGAAATACCCCCACCTCTCCACTCTTGTCGCTTTAGGGCACATTCTATGAATGCGACAAGCCATTTTTACTTTTCATTTTTATCATCACAGTCACATCCCACTTTTGCGCAATATCTGCACCTGTTTAAATCTTCAAATGTTTACAAATGAATCCACGAGCCATCTTGTGAGCTGTGCCGTGCTGATGAAATCAAATAAGGCGGAAACAATTTTCATCGCTGAAAATTTGACGGTCCCTTTTGTATTAATGAAGACTCCCTAAGTTACTACCTTTATAGCGTTAGTGCACATATTGTGACGGAAAAATTTAATATTCATCAGATTTTTTAACTTTAGGGAGAAAAGGAGTGCTTTGAATAAACTTCCACCTTGTTTCATTAGTGCGTTGAATTTTTTTTTTCAAAAAAGAAACAAACGAAAACAAAAACGCCAGGTTACAAAATAGACTGCTCAAGCACTGATATCGCGAAACCATATCATATTGTTTTCCTTTTTAAAGAAAATCCAGGTTGTCATTGTGCAAAGTTCAGAAGAACTAAATAGAAAAGAAGGTGGCACTCCATCTGGTAAGAAGCTAATTGTTATAAAAGAATATGATATCACTGAGGGAATCGAAAAATCACAAAATTCTAAGATTATCTCCCTATTAAACATGGAAAATCTAGGCTTAGAGAATATTAGGAAAATATCGTTGTGTAGACAAGCACAATAGCTGATCTCTTAAAGTCGTTGTCTGGTGAAGTCATGTTCTAATGCTGATGAGTGTCTATTTTTAAAGAAAGTAGCAGTTCACCAGATGGTGACGAAAGCGAGTTATCGGATGGTGGACTTGTAGATGTCGTTTCCCTCGGGAAAGGTAAATAGTGACAATTCTTGTTTTAAAAGAGTAAAGAGAGCAAAGTGCAGAGAAACTGCAAGTTGTAAAGCGAAGATGAGAACGCACCGACACGATTGATCAGAGATATGAGTGGCTTAACGATTGAAATGAAATGTCTATACTCAAAATATATCGGGTGAAATTTTCTCCATTTTTGCATGCGCAATTATCTCTCATAATTTTCGATCCAGTTTCACAGACAAACTTACGCAGACTTATAACCAACTCCCATCTCTTTCACTTTAAAGATGTCCTCAGTTTTGAAAACTTTTTCAAGATTTGGCTTCTGGATAACAGCACAGACCAAGAACATTTACGGATAATTCTGCCGAGTGCGTTTACACAAGACAGTGAAGGTCAGCTATAAAGATACACCTATCGGCAATTTCGTACCGTTTTGGATTCAAGCCACACTAAGAATTTACACTGCAATGTTTTGCTTGTTTTTACGAATCCTTTCAGGGGATCATAGTCAAGATAATGTCACCGAGACAAGTCTTACTCTGAAGTGTGATCTCCACGAATGCCTACTGGACCCTTTTCATCTGCCTTACCAATCACACCTGGTTAGTGCTTCTCTGTCTTGAAATCATTGCTTCCTTTATCGAGGTATAATTTTTTTCGATGGCACGCCTTCTGAGATGAAAACCTGTGGAGGAGTCATCATACGCATTCAAGTAATGGCTTCCTGTGATTGAATCCACAGACTGTGTGCGCAGAATCGGCTAACGTCACCAGCAAAGGTGTAGCAATAACAAAACCACGTGTACTAAACTATCCAGTTCACAATTTAACTGCAATGAAACTCGTTAATACAGAGGCTGTTTGCGAGTCAGTGGTAAGTTTATTTGGTGCCTTATCATTAAGGACTACAACTAGAATGACCATTACATGCAATTTGAATATTCTATTCGTCTTTTTGGGAAAATTGTATGTCACTTTTTAACTCTTTTTTTTTTCTCTTAATTTTCGGACACCTTACACTACCCTTAACAGCTCTTTGGAATGGTAAGCATTATATTCTATGTTCTACTCTCCTTTTTTAAGTGCCAGTAATTTGGTTTTATTATTTTTCGATGGTATCACTATCATCATGTTAATCCTCCCACTGTAATCTTTGTTCAACCATAAATTTGCAAAATATAGCTAATCAAGGGAGAGGGTTCTTAATTACTAGTCAGGAAAGGGCTCTGTATCATAACTCGGCGAGAACACAAAACACTATGTGTCTATCCAAATAACCAAGAGAAAAGCCATAGCCACTAGAGCAGGCAAAAGTTGCAATGACGAAGGGTATGACAGCTTTGCATGTAACTGTGGGGCAAGGTACTGAAAAGAACTGGCTCGAAGTTTCATCACAAATTTTAATTATCAGTCAGCATATTTTGTATGTTTACAGCCATACATTGTTCGACCAACAGTTTGTTGGAAACTAGACTGGGAAGAACTGGAGAGCAATCGGCAGCAATTTTATGCTTTGTGCTCAGTACTGAAAGAACGGGTCAGTAACTTTTACGCTTTGTATATACTATCTACCCAAAACAGTAAGGTAAAGGTTCGATGCGTTTTTATCGAGCTCAACATTTTTTACATCTTTAATTTAGGGCCTGTCCCTTTTAGCCAAGACCACCGGTCCCACTGTGGCTTTACGGCGTCATCAAATGGCGATTACATCCTCCTCTCCTCAAGGACATTTCCTTTTCCTCCCTTTTGACAATTCACTACTGTTGAAGTCTATCGCAGTCAAGGAGTTGATGCTACCTAGTATTGTTCAATCATCAGCGGAGAAACCTTGTGATAATGCGCTATCAGTTGTGGCCTCGTGTCTAGACCAGGTAACTTATGTACTTGAACTTGCGGAGGTAACGCTTTTTTTTCACAGTGTTCTTCCATGATCAGAGTACATTGCATAATAAATATTGGATTTTTTTAAGTTAAGAGAGAACTCTCTAACTGCTCCCGTTCGGATCTTGATGATTGAAGGAAACGCAACACCATTCTTCGTTTCGCCGAAACCAGGAAATGATAATTCTAATGCTTCATTTTTCTCCACAGATTGAGGTCTGCGATTCATACAATCCTCTCCTTGTTCAATCAAATCTGTACAAGTGTCTCATAGCTCAGTCCATCAAGAGTAATTCTGTTTCAAAATCGGTGAAAAAGAGATTTCAGGCTCCTCAGGTTGGTAGAATTCAGTTATCAACACACTCTACATGAGCCAATTAAGATGATAACAGTTGTAGGTATAATACGAAAATATTTTATCATAATAGTTGGGTTTGTTTTGGGAAATTTCAGAAATCTCAGGCTTCCAAGCAAGAGGGAAGGAGTAATCAATCGGTGGCAAATCAACAATCAAAGAGGACAACATCTCGAGCGCAAATGCAACAAGTGGTTTTCACAGCACCTAACGAAACCGTTTCTAACACTTCACAAAACGAGTTTAGATCTGCAGCCGCCGTATTTTCCTCTTCCAAACGCTTCAGATCAAATTCTGCGGCAAACCTATATAACAGCAACCCACCAGCATTTCCTGACGACTTGTAGTTGAATATATTCTTAGAGATCACCTATTATTTATGATACTCCTTATCGTAACGCGCTTCATAACATCAGAAATTCCATCTGTCACTTCTCTAATCTGTTGCAGTCATTCAATTGTAAGCTTTCACATTCATTCTCAACTTTTAACAAAACATCTCATCGCAGGAAACCTTACGAATTGCCTCGTTATGGTAAAATCTATTGACCATTTTCTAACAACAAAGAAACTTTGTCTCACAGCCTGTGATCGTAACTTGTTCCCTTTTTTAGTAAATAATGTCGTCGATGGTCAGGCCTCGTTTATCATCATTCTTTTTTCCCTTTTTTACCTGCAATTAAATTCATCACCGTTAACATAGAATTTATCAATGTCTATAAAGTAACGCTATTCCAGTAATCTAATTGGCTTAAACGTGAAACATTTTAAGCTAGTACCATCCACTGTGTAACGTCATAGCAGTGCTGTGAAGTATCAACCTCTTTGACAAGTTTTCCCACAATCTTGTTCGTTTGCGATAATTGAGTTGAAACCAAAAATATTAAAACAAGTGAAAACCAGAAAGTAACAAGAGGATTCAATTGTTTTAGCAGTGCTGCAGACACAAGCAGAATGAAGCTCTCACAAAAGGTTAAGAGAACACAGAAGTTGGTTTTCTTTGTGATAAAGAAGGACCTTCTCTGGCTGCGCAGGATATTTTGATCAACGAGAATAACCCCGCTTCCAAGAAAAGGATGAAAAAATAGAGAAAAACTGACTGCTTTTCTTTTTATTATTGAGATCGAGGACGTCGTTGGTGAATTCCATCCGAAACTGCGCGAACGTGCCACCTGAAAACCTACTCTGGTACCTGTTGATGTCTAGTCATTAAATGAACCGGCGGCAGAAGATATTGGCTTTGGTAATGGAAAATATGCCTTTTAATGGAAAGGCGGGGAAAGAATCCTTAAAGCGTAACATTTGCATAGAAGAACACCAAAGAACAATTAAATACTGACTATTTTGGCTAATTTACAAGAAAACCTGCTTGTTTTTATGGTTAGGTTGTTTTCCAACCTTCTATTTTGGAGGGAAACCTACATGTTGATTTATTCTCTTTAATAACTTAGCTGAATTTTTTCTAAGGCGAGCCACACTACGCGTCATCAACAGCTACTTAGGGAGAGAGTTCAATTAAGATTAAATGCGCAATCATCTGTCCCGTTGACAGATTTTTCTTTTAGCTTTTGACATGTTCTTACCTTTTTCATTTTTAACCGTGCAAAGAGCATCTATGATTTAACGGCGCTAAAGGTTTTGTAACATTTTCTTCATCAAAATCTCAAAATGAAGGACGGTTAGTAACATGGGTCGCTCACTTAGCAAGGCTCCTCACACAAAAGGATTGAAATTAGTAATTTCAATTGTTTTCATTTTCCTTACAGTTTGCTCTCGGTGCCGTACACCGGCATGGCTCGATTATTTCCTATTTGACCATATAGGGTTATTCTTACAAAAAAGAAATAAAAACATGATCTCTATCCCGCTATTATGTAGGCTTGTGGGTATTACGGCGTTTTCTCTTCCTTTGAAATTTTTTTTTCCAATTCCCATTACACCAAAAACCATTCAGCTTAAACTTTTATGTGCTTGCTATTAATCCTATAAATTGTACTGTAGGAATCAAAAATCTCTATCGCGATTTAGATTTTCATTTGGTTTAGCAAACAAGGAAAGGTTTAAATAACCAGTCAAACCTGTCTGTTTTGCACGCTACGGTAGAATCTACTGACGCCTTATTTAGTTCTAAATTCTACCAAGCGGTATCCAGCGGCTTACCAGACAGGTCAGTAAATGGATCTGATATGTCTTTAGATTCACTTTCTTGCTAAACGAAATACCATTTTCCCTTCCTAGAAGGCAAATCAAAGTTATACTACCAAAACTACTATTAACCAAATATTTTTCTCTAGTAAACGCCCTTTGTTGTTTTTCTTGAAGTGGAAAAAGCACGCTTGAGTTCAATGCTCGCGATGTAAGTGCCAAAGCGGTTACATCAACTTTAGTTTTTGTATGGTTTCCCTTAGTTTAAGAGCTCTTTTATTGTGCGTGTGTGTGTGTTGGTAAAAAATTGACTGCCACGAAATTCATCGAAACTTTAGCAGTGCCATGAAACCCTCAGACCTAATTTACTTAAAAAGATTGGAAAAACAAGAACCTTCAATTTAATATGTTGACATTATTTTGTTTGCCGCTGTTTAAAGACCTGCTTGACTTTGTCAATGCAGCACCAAGGATGTATTAGACCATGCCATACCCACAGAAATCACATTCGTTCATAATTAACAATATCGGTATCCACCGCTCTCGTTTGAACCATCCTTTCTCTAGTTCCAATGTGTGTTTTGTCTATTTGATAAGATTGTTCAGTGAACCTATATCACGACTGAAAGATCTGAGGTATCAACATTGACGGCAAACTACCAAATCCCTTTGAAGAGGTAAGAAGAGAAATTCGAAAACTGAACCCCTTGTTGAAGGTGCTAAGTGTCTACCTGGTTGTATATATTCAGCGATGCTATTGCTATTATTATTGGGTCACTTTTGGCTGTTTATGCTCCTTATTTTCAAGGACTTCATTCTTCCCTTCTATGTTTCCTCGTATCTTTTGTTTGAGAGATCTTTTACCATTGTAAGCTTAAGGTTAAAAAACTCCAAAATAACTTCGTTGTTTTACTCTCTGTTAACTCAGCCTTGAATTAAAATATGTGTTTACGGTAACTATGGTTATGGTTCGCTAGTTCAAGAGTGTATCCCTGAACCAAACTATATACTCTAATTATAGATAGTTATCGCCCACTTTTAACAATGACTTCGCTAAAGGATAATTTAATTCACTAAGTCTCACTACAAATTAAAAGCAATATCGTGGCTGAGCAAGTAAATTCGAGTAAATTTTTCAATACAATTTAGATAAAATTCCATTCAATTCTTTCAACTACTGATATTCTAGTTCAGTCTAATATATAGATTTAGCCGAGCCTAAAAGCGGAGCTCGCACTTTTTTTTTCCGCACGTCTCAAGGGCACAACGCCTTGCCCCGGCCAGGACTAGAACCCGGGTCGTCCGACTCGGAGCCCAGTGCACTGACCACTGGACTACTGGACAAAGCCGTGGCGTTGGCGTGCCCGCGGTAGAGTTGACCACGCATGTTAAAAGTTCAAGTTTGTTCAAGTCCAAATTTTTTCGGCTTGATGGGTTACTACTACCATTTTTTATAATTATGGGGCTACGCTCTGCGAGCTCCGCTATAAAACGACCGAGTTTTTTAAGGGCTCAACATAATTAGACAGGATCAGTATTCCGCATTAACACCATTAAGGCGTATTGCCCTTCCCCAGTTTATTAAATTGTTATTTATCTGTCGATGACAAATGACAGCGCATGTTACTTCACCGATGAAAAGAGATAAACTGATATTCTCCAGTGCTCAACTTACCTTATTCAGTCATACATATTTCCAAAGATAATTCTAATGAGGATCTCTGTTTACACCGTGCAGAGTTCGTTCTGCCATAAAATGTTAAAAAATTGGCAAATATAACTCTTTGACAAACGTTTTCTTTTCATTCTTAGTTAATTTTCTCCTCTGGACGACCTGCCGGCGCCATGAAGCGCTTTTCTGAGGGACATGAGTATATATTTCATGGTTTGCTCCCTACTACTATACAGCAACTTGTCTATTCTGGGAGGTATGGTTCCTAGTTAACAACTTTGTAGTAGCGGAGGGAGGAGGCTTTCAATTCGAGAATAACGAGACTTGAGACTTTCGTCGGATGATAAATACGATAGTGAAAACTTCCAAATTTTTCAGCATCTTTGTAACGATCTGATGCCTTTATTTCCAAAACTGCTGTTAAACAAAAAAAATAGTGTCAATCAATAGCAAAGCTTTCCATTCAGAACAATCGAACATAATTATGCATGTATATCTTTTTCCATCATGATCTCTTTTACATGCAGGTAAAATGTACTTCGGATCGTTGACATTCAAACAAAAATGGAAAGATCTTCGAGCATCGCCCAGAAGCTCTCAGTACCACGTGATGGTTAACAACATAGAGCATTCGGTAAGTGGTGGACAAAAAAATTACCTTTTCTATTTGAAACTACTTAAGAAAGTTAACCTTGCAACCCTGAAATAGTTTAAGGATCATGTTTTGCAATACGGCTAACGCTCAAAGATTTTAACTTTGCCTTTTGAACTATAGAAGGGCACTTTTGTTGGTTGCGACAACGACGACTTTTAACGCTTTTTTCTTCCTTACCAAGATAAGAGAAGCTTTCAAAAATGATTCTAACTTTGAAAACATCAGAGTGACTCAGTTAAGGTGAGTCAGTTCTTTTTCCTGAGTTCGATTTTATTTTCTGTAACAAAGCTTAGTAACTTTCTTTGTCGCCAAACGTAGACGTTTTGTTTCCCGTTGTTTCAAGTGTGTTGGAGAAATTCTTTGACTTTTTTTTTTAACACACCTAGGGAACATGAAGCAAACAAGAAGTCCACGATACGAGGAAACCTTGCAGCAGATTTTGAGCTGTCGTTTAACGACCAATCAAAAGCTAGAGGCAGTGTTTACAATCTGTTCAACATGGTGCAGAGTGGTGACCTTGATGGATTACCAGTTCAAGAAGATTCTTTATCCATACAAGGCTTGACAAACAGAACTTGGCCTAAACTGAAACGAAGAACAAACCAACTTCTGCATCATGGTTAGTTTTTCTTTTCGCTATGTTGTTTCTTCTTTCCCTCGCAAGGTTTCATTTTTAAGTTTTGAACAAGACGCTTTCAATCAATTCAGCTCTTTAGAAGTGGTTCAAAGATGTGATAAGAATTCCGCGAGTGCATGGTTAATACTTCGGTGTACATACTTTATGTATACCAACAAAGGTAGTTGTTTGACCTGTAATAAACGCAAGCTAACCTTATCATGGAAGGGTCCGAAGTTGAACTTGGAAACACATGAAATGGTAACCCAATTTAGTCAAAGGGCCTTTCAATTTTTTTGCGAAGCCTGTTCCAGGCGTTCAGTTAGTTAAACAAAGCGCGATAGTAAACAGCGCTGTAGTTGCGGAGGAGTGAAAAAAAACAAAAAAAAAAAAAAAAAAAAAAAAAAAACGAGGGAAGTCTGGGTGGAGTCTAAACTTTGATTTCAGCTGCAAACTTAACTTTACATCTGAATCATGCAACTCTTTCATCCTGCTTTAGGTCAAACTCTTATGTATCCCAATATCTCATTAGCTGGCTTGTAGCTTTCTATCTGAATAAATACTCAACTCCCGAGGTAATTGATTTGAATTGAAGTTGAAAGAACAGCATTAGAATTGCATTATGCATTACGAAACACTGAGAGATTATAATTATCTCTTGGAAACACTTAATCTACGCGTCGTGCATGCATGCCTTATATAAATAAGAATTTACACCATCACATTTCTGTTTAAGTTTTCCAATGAAATGCCGGTATATCATCACCTAAGCATAAGTTTTTTTTTCTTACTAGTCGCCTTGGTAATGCGAAACACTTGGCCATCAGGGAGCTACGGTCTTCCTAAACCGAAGTCAGGCTGCCCAAGTAAAGAGTGGCTGGAAGGTTTCAGATATCAAGACTCAGAAAATGTCGAAAATACGAACACAAAAACAAATGGAAGTCATTTTTCGGGAAGAGTGACACCACATGGGATACGACAGGAATTCTGTATTCACAAGGGCACACCAGGAAAACGAATTCCCTGGCCAAGTGGAAAATATTGCATTTATAGAAAAGGAAATTCGTGTCCAACCGGCTTACGAGAAGGTGACAGTCATATGAAGGGCCATCATCCGACATAAGAGGAATGAAATAAACTCAGCTTACAGCATATTTTCACTGGTTAATGATTTGTGTTCGGCATCGGCATCTACAGTACAATGCGAGCGTGACATAAAAAAGTGCTGAAAGGGCCCGAGATCTTTTGATCTGAAGTTGTTATAACCAAGAATGACTTTAACAGTACTGAATCTTCAGACAAAAAGAATACATTTCCAAAAGGATGCTGAAACTATACTTTTTTTAATCTAACATGGTATCGGGGGTCCCTTGAAAAGATTGCCGTTTCAGTAAACAAGCAGATGTACCTCTTTTTCACACTTATTTTAATCATGATCTAGCGAACAAGGCTTTATAGAATTTTGTCCATTTCAGGACGTAAATCTTTCCAAAACTGAGTTCTTCAGGCCCGATATTTTAGGACCCTATAAAGCCGTCAAGTGTCTTAACTTTTCCTCTCTTGATTTTAGGTTGGATTCGATGGGACGATGAAAACACAGAGATCGATTTTCCAAATTCACTGGGAGGAGAACTCCCAGATGGGATATATGGAGAAAACACTGCAATCTATTTTTGCTGTAGCACTTCAGGCAAAAAATCCACACCAATTTCTCTGCCATATGGATCTCCATTTTACCTTATTGCTTATGGCTCACACAGGTGTCAAAAAGTGAGATACTACGAGGCAAGTTTCCATCAATGATAGCACATTTTTTCCCTATAAAGACGTTTTTCTTGCAACAGTTCTTCACTGATCTTAGACTGATTAGTTAATCATTGTTAAGTTTTTTTTAAGATCCTTGTCAATTACAAAAATTCAATGACTTATTCATTCTGCAACTCGTGAGGTTAAAGGAAACATGATTCACTGGAGATTAAATGATGTCGAAAGAAATCTGGGATTAATATTGTTTCAGTTTTGTTTTACTTCAGTTTGTGATTGGTCTAAAAACCCATGCAATGTACGCGAAAATAAAACCAATTGCGGGTTTTTCAACCACGTTTTCGTGCCTATAAAGTTTGCTTGTTTTTGCTTAGTGTTCTGATGGGCTCCAGTTGGGTTCATTTTGGTTTGGATTTACGACACTCAATCGAAAAGCGGTTGAACAAAAGGCTCCTGAAATAATGTTTGAAACTTGGGCTATAGGTGGAGTTCAGTCTCTGCGCGTCAACCTCTCTAAAGTAACAATAAATAACTCAAATAGTAATAAAAGTAACTGATTATTTATAATTGATCTCGTGAAGGTGTCTTCAGAATATCTCCAATTTGACGACGAAGATCAGGATAATGCTAATGCCCATAGCCTCATTTCACCGTACGGACCATCAGAGGATCTGTTTAACAATAGAATATACTATTGCTACTACCAACCAAGTAAGATACTGTAGATGAAGTATATGTGCATTACATTGAACAGCTGCAAAAAGCTATTTTGGGGAGGAAATTAAATTGTCTCAATGCACATAAAATTAGGAGAAGCGCCCGAGATTGGAAATCTTACAACAATTCTGCTGATGAGAATTTAGACCACAAATTGCATCAGTTAGATATTTCAGGAAGGCATAAGCAAACGAACAGCTCAAAGATATACGTACTGGTCTCGGTTAAGAATCCTTTAAGGAGTCTAAGATACTTTCTTTCTTCAACACTCATTACATATGATAAAGGTTGTTCTCTAAGAATAAGTGAATTAGTAAACTTTTTTCACCCCAAGTTATCGAATAGTCTTACTTCTCTGATGCGAAATGATAACAGAGAGTACAACTTAGAAATTAATCACCTTTAAAGCATAATTTGAATGTAAAAAATGCTTTCAGTTCCCTGTGATATTTCATCTGACATTGCCTGTCCCAGTCGGTCTCCTCCCGTGAAGGAAATGCAGCTTAAAGTTAGTTCGGTACGTATTAATAAACATATACTGTAGGCCACACAGAATTATTTCCCTTCCGTTTTAATAATGTTACAAATATGAAAATCACTTCTAATTTGTTCAATTGAATCTGGCATACCCTTGTAATGTTTTTTTCTGTTTTTGTAATTCTTGGATGAATGACATTTCCACCTGGTCCGTTTTAGGATGAAACCATAGCTAAGGATGAGAAAATAATTGAGGACGTAAAAGAGGTATGTTTGGCTATAGGGAGTGATTATATCAAATAAACAGAACGATTCTAGGGGAAAGACATAAAAGAACCATTAGTAGTGCATCAAAAATTTCATCAATTTCAATTCGCATTTGTTTACTGTATTGTACTCGGAAGTTGTATACACAAGTTTAATGATAAACATGACAAACATCAAGTCCTGATAGATATGATAGCTGGCTAAAAAATATTTTTGTCTTCCAGATTGCGACAGAGAAAGCTACCAGAGGATCCAAGTTTGTCACAGGGGGTGGGGTTGGGATGATGTTAATGGGATCAGCAACAGTTGCTGTCTTTGCACGAAGATTTCTAACACGAGCACGAGCGAGTTACTAACGGATCAACTACAAGAAATTTAAAGAACTACTGCTTGAAATTTCAGGAGGAGCACGAATAAAATGAACAGTGTCTGCATCCCAAGTAAGGGATTTGAACCCATGACCTCTACGATACCGGTATCGCAGAGGTCATGGGTTCAAATCCTGTACAGGTCTGAATTTTTTTCAGGCCTTATTTTCACTACTGTTTAGGTAGTGTTCATTACCACGAAGATCGCTTTCGTGCTTATTTCTTAATCTGAAGTTCACATATAAGACTTTCATATATTTACAGTCAGAACCACACTACTGTAACCCTCGGTTCTTTAGATTTATATTATCCATAATTAAAGTTATTTAAAATTTTAATCTAGCTTTTTTAATATACTGTAACGCTATAAAAATTAATATCTAAGCACAAATAAGTTACGTTATCTAATGCCGTGTCCTCAAAAGACAACAATTACTCCTCTTTTCTTATTTTTAGTACGACTGTGTTTTGTAATTCAAATTTCCCAACGATACACTTTGTTCATTGTCATAGTTAACATTTCTGAACTTTGTGCTGGCCTTATGTATCAGTTTGGTGCCTTGACACTATGATAGTTCAAGGCTCATTAAGTGATCTGCAACTCTTAGCCGTGATCGTTCCAACGCCTGCGTCGAGTCATTCTGAGGATGGATTGAAAACTCTTGACATCCAATTGATGGCTTTCAAAGTCAACTCGTATCCCCAGAATAAAGCAGCGCTCTCAGGTGCAGCCCTCAACAGCACAGGAACAATTCCTTTATACAAAGCAGAGGCACCCTCATTACGAAGTAACTCCCGCAAGGCATCTCGGACTCCCCGTGGGTACTTCCCCTCAGGTGCAGTCCAAATACGGCTGGCTAAAACATCACCAGGAAGGGCCACTAACCACCATATTGTGCCAGCAATGCCCCCAGCCAAGAGCACAGGAAGGGACCCTACGTCATCACGTGAGGTGTCTGGGGGAATAAGTGTTCTTACCAAGTGTTCGTAAGACACAAAATAGCATCCTGATGCTGGTGCAGTTAAGAGATTAGCGGAGAGACCTTTATACAACCCTTGAACACCTTTCGTTTTTAAAATATGAAAAGCTAAAGAGAATGGACCCCGGTATTTCATGCTTTCACTGGAAATTTGCTGGACTTGAAGCTTACATTTGACATGGAAAAAAGGTACAAATACTGCAGCTACACATGAACCTGAAAACAAGCCAGCATTGAAAAAAAAATGGGATAATACACACATATATTAAGAAATAAGATCATGGAGGAAAGATTCATAGAAAGGTGAATGCAGGTGAATGCATTCTTTCCCTGAAATTCTGGAGGTGTGATACTATTTTCTTTTGGCAGTGTTTTTCTATTCAATTTTTCTTACAATTCCCTGTAAACAGTAGACTTAGCTAAGTATTACAAATAAAATCTTCTTTAATTTCTGCTCCGGCAGCTCTTTTCCCTTGTGCCATGTCATTTTAAGACTATTACCCAAAAATTTTCATTTCAAACAAATTTATTTTACCAGGTATATCAATGTTCTCAACTTTAATAGGTAGATAATTGCTGAAAAGGAATTTTTTGGGGGGTTCAAAATTTTCAAGTGAAATCTAATCTGAGTGTCAAGCATTCATAATTGTTCAGTGACAATTATGCATAGTTAACAGTCACAGCTCAGATCAATAATAAAGGTTACAAATGTAGGTTGAAAAGTTGCTTGTGGGGTTATCTAGGTACTTATCTTGGGGCATTCCTGGCCATGCCCTAACCCAATTTCACTTATTGATTCAGTGATGAAGGGGTGCTTGGATTGAAGGTCTAGGGCTAGGTTATAGGAATTTTCCAGCGATGAGGATGAATTTGATCTGGGGGCTAGCTATACATGGTGAACACCCCAGGATGCTAGACCCCTTCAGGCCTCTCACCAGCTTATTTTGCTGAAGATATCAAACTTACTCACAGGTCACAGGTGAAGAAACACTTGTGTCATTGAGGTCTTGCAGGCTAACTAATATGTTTCTGTTTCCTTAGGGTGTATTGATAGCTTACTGCTAGAGGGCCTTACATGCTTATTTTATTTGCAATCACACATGTGTGGATTTTCCAATAAATATTCTCCATGTACATGAGGTTTCCAACCATGTGTACTTCTCACAAACATTGCACCAATGAGTACAGTAAAGTGACAATACTATAGAATCCAATCTAACTATGCCTTGGTATTTGAGATGACAGTTAAATAATAACACTTAAAAGGATATTTGGAAGGAAAGATTACATAACTTTCAAAGAAAGTCTCAACTTGAACACTCTAAATGCAGACTCTCCTCTATAGTTACCATTAATACTACAGAAGTTGAAAAATGATACTCTTATGGTGATGTGACATAATTATATCAAAGAAAACAGCATAGCAGAATTTACCGATTGGCCAAGTACTTTGGTAAGCTAATCCAAAAATTTAAGGAAAAAAAGAAATCGCGAAAGATCCATTGGTGCAAGGGAAAATATAATTTTTAAACCATGATGCCAAATGTATTACGTGCAATGTTATGTGTAACACTTAATCTTTCGTCACTCTAGCATGGCTTGTAAAACAGTGAACGATCATATTATGTTGTGTACATTTGGTTTACAGCCTCACTGTTACATTATTCTCTAATACATATAACTAACTTCTGCAGACAAAGGAATAACTTATTTACATTATGAAAGGCCTTTGAGTCCAACAGGAATCTTTCATATAGACATTGCGTAAGTACTGTCTACCGATGAAGTATGGGTTATACGAAAGTTTTGACCACATTTGCATCTCACATTAGACAAAATTGTAAAAAATTAATTCTTACCTCTTAACACCAAATAACTTATCTTCAGACCTATGCAATTTGTACCCTTGTTGCACAATCGTGGTATCACCAGCTCACATAGTCCGCCATGATAACCGTGGGAGACTAGAGAAGAGTTAAGGTAGTCGTTTCCAGGAATGAAGTTTTCCCACTCCGCCCTGATCCTTACTCAGGCTTGAGGACTGGTTTGTTCTGTTTTGTTTTCCTACTGATGCTTGTTGTTTGTTTGTTTCTGGTTTTAAAACATTTAAAATCGCTAGAGTCAGTTTGGCAGGTTTCATTGAAGGGTTTTATAACAAAGGAAAGCGTACTTTACTGATGTCTCAGCAATATCTGTATCAGGGTATCTGATCTTGGATTGGACTCGTTCCGCACACTTGAATCCTCCTAAAATGTTCACCCAAGTTGTCTTTTTCTATTTTGGTTTGAATTTCTGTCGAACTGTGGTTGGAAAGGTCGTAGTTTGGCCGTGTGTTATTTAGATCTGCCTGTCTGTCAATCTGTCTGTCTAACTCAACATCACAACATATATAGTCATCTGCTATACTGCTCAGGCCCCAGAACCTATCCACCAGATAGCTGTAGCCCACATCACTGACTTAGAGCTCTTGTTAACTGACCGACATTGTTTAAGTTCTACACACGTTTTTATTTCCATTTCGTCTTAAAGTTCTGTACCAGCATTACAATCAAAACATCAGTGGTTCGTCCAGATAACAGCTAGTCGGTTATATTCTGCATAAGTTATTCAAAATTCATCGGGGTTTAGACTAGGTTGACATCGATGGACCTTTTATGTCCGTTAACAGATATGGAAACAAAGGGTCTTCCACGAGATGACTTAGAGTTAAAACACTGACTTCTCTACAAGAAACTAGTTACAACCATCCCATTGGCACCCTTGTATCTACATAATTATGTAATTGATTTTGATTAAACGACCCTTGCAAGTTGGCTTCACAAGTAATACACATACACTCTCCTTTATAGCGATATAGTCAGCGGTAACTCGGTGTTAGTACTTGCAGTGGGAATGTAAGCATCATAATATTTCGCCATCAATGACGTCACCACGTTCTTTATAAGCGGTATGAATGGGAAAGGCCCATCACTCGTACTTCCCTGGCAGACTCTGATAAGCTGCAAATTGGGTTGGTCGTCAAAATTTTTTTCATTGATAACATATTGTTTGAAATGAAAATAGAGTTTGTAATAATCAGTTTGCTGAAATGTGGTATATCCAGATATGGGAATACCATCCAAGGCACATATCTGAGAAGTGACTTCGTTTAAATCGGGTTTTAGAGATATTGGCTGAAGACATGTAAGCTCCCTATCCATCTCATGCTGTTTACTTTTGGTTGTTACTAAAACCGAAGACGATTTTATCGGAATTTTTCGGCCTCTTGAAGCCGATTTTTCAGCAAATTTTGAGTTGGTAGCCTCCTCTTTGTGACCCCCAGTAGTGCTATTTTTCCCATGGGTGGAACTGTTTCCTCTCTTTCCATAGTTTTCATCACCAGTAGAACTTCCCTCTATCATATTTTCCTGCTTAGTTGCGCCTTTCTCCTTGTCATCTGGCTTAGGCATTTTTATGACGATTACGTTTGGTTGTTCATTATCTCCGCCAGAACTAGAAATAAATAGAAGGTTGTGTTTGGCATTTGAAGATCATTTAAGGCATTTCTCACGATTAATATTAGTAATATGCTCCTCGACCCTACAGCAGCTCCTGCCTCTGACGCTACTTTTGACTACCTTTCATGTGAAATTTGCTTTCCTTTCTCTCTAATTGTTTGCATTTCTATCAACCTTTTCAAGGGCTTATTTGTGAAACACATGATCTTCAATTTTTTTAACCCGCACGCAAGCCAACGACAACTACAAGCGGAGTTTGAGCTAAATCTTATAAAAACAGGAGTATAATGTCCAAATCAAGCCCTTGCACTCACCCAGAATCAGAGAAACATCTTCTGTAGATCCCCACAACTACTAGCAATGAAAATATGGCAACGAAGATCAAAAAGAGTTTCTGCCAGTTTCTCTTTAGCCATTTGAAGACGGAACTCGCCTGTTTTGCTTTGTCTTTCAAAGTGTTAAGCTCTTCACCTTAAGAAAAATTATAGATGAATAACTGAATAAAACGGATCAACAAACTACCAAAAATAACAACATCAAGATGATTACGTTTTGTGGTGACTAGAATTACCACTGCAGTCCATTTTTAATAAACCAGGTAAACCTGAGTTGTATTTGCAGAGGACCCTATTTTTATATGGTTTTTGTTTTGGTAGACTCTCAATTACTTTTAAAAATACGTTTTTTCAATAGTGTTACAAGGTACACCAATGTGACACTTGAGTGGCTTTAGAATTTCATGTTCCTTACCGGAAAGGGAATTTAACTACTGTACAAAAATCAATATTCATCTCAATCTATCAAAGACTTTCTATCAAAGAATATCCTATATTTAAGATTCTTACTTGTTACAAAATTCTCCAAGAGATCAGTCATTTCTAGTTGTTCATTTGTACACTGATTTACTTGAAACTTGTTTATGTTCGTATGTGCTTGAACACGATAAATGTCCTTTTTTCTTCTGCCGTTTTAAAGGTCCTTATAAAGCATGGCCGACCACGTAGCGCGATTAGCATTTGCTATTTCAAAGTGGCTGTGCTTTCTGTTTTCTGTATTTTCATTTACTTAATTAATGATCAGTTTACAAATTTCTTGCTATTTTTTTCTTTTACTATAATTTGATTCAGTTTTTATCATTATCAGATCTAAGGAGCAAAAACAAAAAGGATTATTTTGTTTTTTGTGACAGTTCAGAAGTCACAACCAAAGTGGTACTTATAGCAATTGCGCATTATTGCACTTATATCCGGAAAGACTGAATCTTTATCAAGAACAAAATCAAGCCATGCTTGTCAATTACCCCATATACTCAGAATATTAAAATAACTTTCCTTATTGTGGCTGTCAAATAGTTATATTTAATCAAAGGAACTCAGTCCACTGACCTACAGTGATACCACGTATTACGCTGCATAATTTAAATGCATCTTAGAAGAATAACCCCAAGACAACCAATACTCACCAATTCCTCGTCTAAACTGCCTTTTAGTTATAAACTCTTTCTCCCGGTCCTTGTTTTCTTTCCTCGTGACTATGCCTGTGAAAATTATTTGTTTTTCAATAATAATGACACTCCTAAAGAGCGGTCTATAACATAACATGCCTTTTAGTAACAAACTCTTTCTCACGGTCCTTGTTTTCTATCCTCGTGACTATGCCTGTAAAAATCATTTGTTTTTCAATAATAATGACATTCCTAAAGAGCATTCTATAACATAACATGCTGTAACAAGTGTAACAAAAGACTCAGAGCTTTATTAGTTGACCAACCTGTGTCAGAACTATAAGAAATATTCGATCCTGCGATAAAAAATATCACCACTGGTAAAACACAGGCAGTTCTCTGCCACATGCTGTCAACTTAAGACCATGTATTGGACTGAAATATATCCAATTTAATTAACAAGCCATGGAATGCTGTAGAGGAATGGACGTGGAAACTGAAAGGTGCATGCGCAAACGAACATACAGAGAATGATTTGATTATTTCATTATTGATCTTTATGATTCTGACGTGGATAACGAATTGAAGCAAGTAACTCGCTGCCAAGTCGTCTAGGTCGTCCGCAAAATGAACAAATTCTATTTTTCTAGAATCATGATATGTTAATTTTTCGTTTTAATCCTTTAAATGATATGAATCGATGGTGACTCAACTGTACGACTCTAGTACGATTAAACGTCTTTAGTATATACCATCCAGGTTAATAGTGCTTTTAGCACAAGCTGGTGGGCTATCTTAGAAGTAATTAGAAAGTATTATTTACCCCTACTTCAGGGAATAATTGTTAAATAAATCGGGTTTTGGTCAGCAAATGTTGAAAATCGGTCGACTTACTTTTATCAAGCTTAATGGCCGTGGAGGCCATAGAGATAGAAATCTGGTACATGTTTTTAAACAAACAATTGTTGCGGAGGTGACTATTTTAGTTACGTTTGCAATAATTACTTTTTAACAAGAAAATCCACCGTTTTAGCACATTTTATCAGAAACAACAGGTGAGAATAGTACGAGTCCCGTACGAGTCCCGTACGAGTCCCGTACGAGTCCCGTACGAGTCCCGTACGAGTCCCGTACGAGTGGGGTAAAGTACGAGCAATGAGTATAATGGTCACTTGTATTATATGCAAAACAATCGCATAGCACGCTTATTATTCCGCTGTTAATTAGTCTTTTAGCGTTTTGGTTTTTAGTCTTCGAATACATTCTGTAGCCTTACCTGAGCATCGTATCGATCATATGAGGTTTGCGGGAAAGACGAAAACATCATGAAATCATTTGAGTATATTTATGTGAACACAATCATAGGCTTCTACTCGAAAAAAGAGGCTAGAGTCCAAACTACGCAGAAAATACTTGTTAAACTTGTTAAATGAACCACAAAATTTGGATAAAATAAAATTCTGAAACTTCTGCAAATTCCAAAGAAAGGGGTAACAAGTTTACGCAAACGAAAGCTCAAACTGAAGCTCAACCCCGCGAAAACAAACTTAAAATAAGCGAAAAATGTCCACGTCAGTTTGCCAATGTCAAGGTTAGAGTCCTTGATGAGATTGGCTAAATTATTAAATCACGCGCTTCGTGTGAATACAAAAAAGATTAAAAAGTGGAAAGAGGAAGAGAAAAATTGTTACTTGAAACACAAATTTGTTACCCTTTTTTGGAAATTTAAGAAGTTTCGGAATTTTTACTCAACCCAATGTTGTGGTTAATTTAACAAGTTCAATAGATATTTTTCTTCGGAGTTTGGGCTCTACCCTCTTTTTTTGTGAGTGGATTTTTACAGCATCTAACAACGCATGGAAACCTTTTAGCGCGCTTTCCTCATCCCTCCCAACCCGACTGGGTCAGTCCCGAATGCAAATAAAAAAAAAATTTTTAAGTCTTGATCAAAAAACATCTCTTGGAAATTTACCCTTGTTCCGGTCCCCTCACTTTCAAGTGTAGCTCTACAAAAATTCCTTTAGGCACATATGCAAAGGACAAAAGGACGTAAAAAAAGATTTTCACAAAATTTAATGTCTTCAGGCACTTCTCACACTTATTCGGTGTGGCTTGTGATTCAAGGACTTCAAGGAAGGTGTTTTGCTCCTTCAAATAGAGAAGAATATCGTTTTGATGTTTATGTTTAAACTATGTAGCCATTTCAGCATTAACCTGGCTTATTTTTTTTAACTCGTGTAGCCAGCTATAATTGTTTGAAAAAAAATTACGTTCGGCAGTTAGTTTTTTGAATTTCTAGTTTTTTTTTGTGGTCCTCTCTCTTAGCCCCTCCACCTTGGAAATAAAAGAGGTTAAAATGCATAAAATTCTGGAGAAGATTTATTCAGCCCTTTTTGGTGTCGTGTATACTTTTCTTCTCAATATATTTACCATCAGACGCCTATAACAGAAAAGTGATTCTACATTATAAAGCAGTAGCAAAACAATATTGCAGTTTATTAAGGATAATAGACTTAGGTTTTTAAAACTAACAAAGTTGTCTACTAGTTGGTAAAAGTTGGCCAAAAACATCGTATTTTGCAGGGTGCCAACTGCTTTGACGAGTTTCACCTTCACAATCGCGATAGCTTTTATTACTGAGATTTGCTTTAATCAAACGCTATTCAATGCACGTTGTTTCTAAAATATTGCTATACTGTTCCTTGATGCATATAAATGTGGATGAAACGATTTAGCTATTTAATCCACAGATTGAGTGAGTAGCTGCTGCGGTCGTTGCAGTTGTCACCGAAGTCTAAATCGCAGCCTCCTTGGCTGCTGTCAAACTTGGCAGCATTTTCCTCTGTGATAGCAATCCCATGATCTGCCCTATTGCAATAATCTCCTCCTCCGCCGATCATCATCACAGCTCCATCACCAGAATCCCAGTCACACCAGAATCCTAAGTAACGACTACTTTGAAGATTGCTGCTGCAGTGCATTTGACTGAAGCCCACTGTAGAAGAATAGCTGCCACCGTAATTGGAGATATAACAGCTTTTGCGACAGGCATTGCTGTTCCAGACAGCACCATATCTGAAGTTACCGTACCTTGTTATGAAACTTCTGAAGGTCCTCCCTCCAATGCAGCTGCTGGTTTGTAACAAGGCTGTGTTGGAGCTGTCATCACTTCGGGTTATTTTGATGTAATTGCCTTTAACTAGCCAGAATGCGGGTGATATCATGTCGTAGTTGCTTGAAGTGCTGGTGACGCTGCCATAAGAATATGTACGGTCATACCACCAGTCCGCGCTGTATTGCATCCAGTTTTTGCTATCAGCATTAGAGAAACGTGAGATGAGCGTCCAACCGCCACTGTTGGACATGTCACAATGTACCTATAAGAATTAACGTAAAATGTGCTCAGCATTTCCATTAGGGTAGAAGCTATAGTTCATGCTACGTTACTTTAAATTACAGAGAAGGAATAAAATAACTAGAGACTTAATTGTAAACTGATGATCTATTTGATGTGATCAACAGTTTATTCTATACATATGGATAGTGCTTCTCGTTTGCTAATTAGCTACTACGTTTACTTTCGAGCAGGACGGTGACTTTGGGGGTGGATTTGATCGAAAATGTCAAGTTTTGCAATACTTGAACGTAAACTCTTCTTTATTGTGTCGTAAAGCTAAATTTTAATTTTCCAAAAGCTATCCAATTTTATTTTACTTTATTCTATTTGATTTTTGTAATTTCCATAAACTTCTCAAACTTCCGACAAACTTCTTTGTTTCACACCAAAACAAGCAATTCTCATGCATGAAAATCGGCCTGCATTTATTACCTCTAAGTCGGTGAGTTTATTGTTCATCAAAATGAATTCGAGCTAAATTCTCCTTACTTTTTTGTTTTAATGTAAATATTCTTCAGAGACGCTCAAAAGAGGCAGTTGCGCCTTTTGCATAGTTTGTGGTACTATAAACTGCGATGTATGTTACAAATTTAATGTAGGTTAGGAAGAGCGATAGCACGGGTAGCTCCGCAGAAGGGAATAATTGATTGAGTCAGTATCCTGCTTGAACCCCGGCGGACAGATGGGCCAATCTTCATCGCTCGAAATTGTCCACAACTATGCAGCAAAATGCTTCTTTAGATTTGGAGTCTCCCAGAGTTACAGAACCTCTTTCGGTTGAAACGCAGTAACTCCTGAGAAGGGATATTTGCAGACCCGATCATGTTAGGAGGCCGAGGGAATACCACGAAGCGTGTCCTTTTTTAGATAGATTTCTGCTGCTTTTTCGCTCGTTTGTACACCTCTAAATCCTTCAACTAATTTGATATCTAGCGTATCGAAAGAGCACGAGTGATCATTTCATTTTTATTTGCAAAGAACAACTGAAGCCTGCATTCCTCTTCAGAAGTTGTTACCTATGCTAATTTAACCGATTCTATTTATTCTGATGCCGTTTGAAAAAGTTAATCAACCAAATCAACCGAAAACGGGTTTTCCCAATAGAGTACGAAAAAATGCAACCAAAAAAGAGTACACGAGCATTGTTCCAGTCGAGTCGTATTGAGAAAGTTCGAGTGGGAGACGTCATTTACCATCGAGTTCAACTTTACCATGTACGATCAAAGCTTATTTCGTATATAGCGCAGGGTAAACTTGTTACTTAACGACGTCACATTCTTTCTTAATACAACTCGTCAGGAACGTAATCTGGTAACGAAGGACAGTTGAAACAATAAATACCGTAAGTAAAAATAACTTAGACAGAGAGACAATTTATAGTTCCCTGAAATTCACATGCATCTATAGCCCTTACGCCTAGTCCGGATGGTATGTCAAACAATATGTTGAGGTAACCGCAAAAGATGAGGAGAAGTTCTTTTGAAATAAGGAATGTAAACGAAAATAAGGGGGGAAATTTTGCTATATTTAGAGGTGACTGTCTGACATGAAACAAAGAAAATAATTTGCTTATAATTCCAACCGACAGAGTTAATACCATAATTATTTTACCTTAAAAGTATAGCTATTAACTTTCAACGAGTATGATCCACTTAAGGTAAGACCAGCAGCCCGAAGATCTTTGCATGATGTTCCTGTGACTGTTTTGAAAAGAAAGGACAGATAAAGGTTAATATGTAGCATTCCTGTAGCAAATTTTCGCGCTTGAAAATTGACGTATCGGTGAGAGGCATCCAACTATATGATCAGTATTCCTAAGGTAATAATTTGATTTGCAGTTATTTAATTTGTGCTAGCATTCGGCATGAACATTGGAAAAGTTATCGATGCAATATCTTTGAAGTAAAGATGCCCTTGTACTGATCCTGAGAAGCCTACTGTAACTTCCACTTTCAATTCCCTTTAGATGGTTTATGCAATCGATCATAAAATTCAACACTGCTGAAATATTAGGGACCTTAAGACACCAGGACGGGAAGCTAGGACAGGGACGGCAATGGAAGAGTAAGACTGGGACGAGTCCCGTCGTGCCCATCAAAAACAAAATACTAGTTAAGCGGGTAGTATTTTCGTGTACGACGGCGAAGCCGATATTTTTCGCTTTACAACAGTAATGACATCCTACAAAGACGCTAGGAATAATCTCTTCGAAAGCTATAACGATGTATGATCGATGATGATGAATTTGTTTTGTTGTATGAAGGAAACTTTTCGAAGAATCCAGAATTTCCATACGAAGAGTACGAAGTGTTCTACTTGTATACTATGGATGATATGGAATGCAGAGCTGAATTTCGCTTCAGAAAAAATGAAATTCCCCGACTAGCAGAAGCACTGGATATTCCTGAAAAATTTTTTTTGCCACCAAGGCACAACAACTCCTGGAATAGAAGGACTTTGTGTGCTTTTAAGGCGACTGACTTACCCTTGTTTCTACTCTGATTTAATACCTCGTTTCGGGCGACTAATACCAGAGCTGAGCATGATTTACAACATTGTTTTGGATCACATTTACAACACACGCGGTCACAGAATAAGCCAGTGGAACAATCCAATCTTAGATCCTGTAAGTCTGGAGAGGTATGCGGAAGCTATCCATGACAAAGGTGCAGCACTGGATAACTGTATAGGGTTCATAGATGGAACTGTGAGATCCATCTGTCGTCCCGGGGAATTACAAAGAGTCGTCTACAAAGGTCACAAGCGAGTTTAAGCACTAAAAATTTCAATCATTCACCTTGCCTAATGGTATGATTGCAAACATGTGCGGGCCTGTAGGTAAGACTGTGGTTCAGAACAGACCTCAAATAAAATTGTTGCTAAGTTTTCAAAACCCGGTATGTTAGCAGATTCTGGACTGTATTACTTTAGTTAATACACATATTCAGCATATTTGATATTCCTGTTTATGACCTAAAAACCCCGAAATCACACATAGTACTGCACCTTCACATCGCCTTCCATTGAACGCGCTTGGACAAACACAAGTAAAGTTATAAACTCCATCCACACATGTTCCACCGTTGAGACATGGATTGGACTTACATTCATCCGTTTCTGAAAAAAAGCGGGTTATAGAGTTTGTCCTTCATTATTTTGTGCAGAACATGAGCATGAGATGGACTCCTATGCCCATTTATATCCTTTCCTGGAAAATCTTTATTTGTATCAATTATTCTGTCTATAAAGACTTATTGGAGACATGAATCGATGGTTTTGCTACGGGAATTTATGAAATAATTCAGTTATTATTAATTAAGAAAAGGAAACATCCTTCTCTTTTCATACTTGCCTGAATTTCAATCGGTGAAATTGCCTATTTACTCGTTTATTCGGGTGAAATGTGGACGAAGAGAGTAAAGAAAGGAGTATGTAGCGTTGGAAGAGAAACTCTCTTAGGAAAAAAAATCAGTTTAAGATTGAGCTCGTTTTCCGTCAACATTTTAGCCCACATCCTTAGTCCTGTACTTTTACGCAATGTTTAAAAATGTGTGTACTTATGCATATGTCAGTAAATGTCATGCATACCCTGACATCGACGTCCAAAAAACGGAGAAGGACAGGAACACGTGTAATTGTTAATCCCGTCAGTGCAGGTTCCATCGTTTAGACAGGGACTACTGGAACATTCGTCAAACTCTTCAAAGCAAGAAAATATCATTTAAGAATGAGGAACATGCAGATCAATCCAAGGCGAATTTAGCCGTTTATTTCCACAATCTAGAACAACATTATGAAAGAACATTCTCCAATTATGGCTTTTCCCAAAACTATCCTTTCCAACAGGGAAAATTTTTGCAAGGTTATTGAACTTTAACTTGGAAATCTTGTTGTGGCCCTGATTTCGTAAGTAAGACAAATCACGTCACAGGATTTTCAAAGATTTGTATTTTCCATTTATTAACAGTTAATTCTCAGCTTTCCAGACTCCTATTCCATCCTCCCATATTCCAAAGAATATCTTCCTTATGCTATAGGCTCTGTTCAAAATACCAGACTTAATTTGGTTATTCAAGACACCATGAAAGTTATTTCATTTTTTTCCACCTATTCTTACTAATTCTACTGCATATCTTTACATTACCATCACATGATCTTCCTTTGTGAGTGCGAGGGCAGATACAGGTAAAATTTCTCTTCTTGTTAACGCAAGTTGCACCATTCAAACATGGCGAGCTACTGCATTCATCATAATCTGCCAATATCATATTAATTTCAAATGCATTTGTCAACGAGAAAAGAAAAAGTAGCATTAGAGTGTTACTCATGACGATCACCGAACTTATTAAGAATTACGAGAAGCTAAACTAAACGGTTTTTAGGCTTATTATAAGTGTCGCTATGATAACCCCAAATGTTAACAAATAATCATAAATTGTAAAGAGTTGATTGGGTGTTCTGTTTAAAACACCATTTCCAAAGAAACAAATGAAAAATTTGAGTAGTATGGATCCATTGAAGAATGGGCCTTTTAAAATGTGAAAACCATCGAGGTTATTGTTGCATAGGGCAAACAGAAAAATAAAATGGGAGTCAATAATTTCCTCGTTCATCCTCATTGCAGTTTTATAAGGCTAGGGAAGTGTGCTGCTAAAACATGCACGTAATAACTTATCTTCCAACCTTTTTTACATGTATATTGGTGACAAGTCGAGCACTCCACGTCATTCCACATGTATCCATGACTAGGACCAAGAGTGTGTACGCAGTCCTCCCCCTGAAAGTCATTAGGTTGACTCTCCGCCCAGTAACGGAACTTATCTGGACACCCATCCACCCAAGTGAACAATCCCTCTGTAGCAATGTCATTCAAACCGATCCAGGCCTTGTCGCCATTGTGTCTGTGTTGAATATAGACATTCTCCTCCTGACTTTCGATAGCGGGCAAGTTAGCACCCATGCCTCTACAGATTGCATTGGCTTTGGACCATGTCTTACAAGTATCACTAGTGTAATAACATGAACCATTGTAGAAACTCCAACCTGGCTCACACACATCTGAGTTAGGTAGAGAAACAACGAAAGTTCCGTTTGAACTTGAAAATTGTAACAACTAGTAAACTTGAACTTTGTTCAAAAATATTATCGTATGAAAGAGTGTTTGTTGTTCATTGTGGTTATAAAATTATTGGGTAATTGTTTGTTCGTTCGTTACATCATGATGTCACTCTCGATAGTAGGCGTTTCATCAACATATTGATGGTGACATTTTGAGACAAGCCATCAAACGTCCATTTATTGGTTTATTATATTCATACATCAGATTACACCTTCCTTTCTTTTGAGTAACAAGTTATGTTTAGGCGAAGTCTAAATCAAATTAATCAAAAAAAGATTTGTTGTATACAATCATAGCAGCTTGCTTTGTATGAAACGTGATATACCTAACCTGGCATAACTGCATACGAAACTGATAGAGGATCATGCTGGTTCACAAATAACTCCTTCACGCATGCTCTGAAGCCAGTCTTGTTGATATACTAAAAAGGCAAAGAGGAATGCAACGGCTGAGAAGATCACAGTTAGATAGCAATAGAAAGCAAGACGTTATATAGAAAAAAAAAGCGAATTGTTGAGAGAGTACAGTTGATAAAGTCAACTTCCAAAATTTATATCCTTTTACACTCACGTAACAGTAAAGATATGTTCATTTTGAGCACTACTTCAGCAAAGATCAGACATCACTTGCCTCAACCCAGGCTGATACGGAGTTATACAATGGATTAAGGTTTCCTCCATTTGTTGAGTGATTAGCAGATACCAGAATGGCTGGGGAGTCGTTGTAGGGCTTCTTAAATGCAACGTCCTGATCAAAACGATAAAATAAAAGAAAACTATAACAAAATCTATATAACACAAAATGGCTAAGAATACACCCTACAATACCTTTATGTTTATGAAAGATTCTTTTCTTAATTTAGAAGAAGAGATGAATAATCGCGGGAAATCACATGAAAACTGTAATTTAAAGTCTGTCCTGCGGCATTTATTCTGTATATCGGGTGGATGGCTTTCATGAACTCCAGAGGGAATAAAAAACCCAAGTGTACCATGTGGGTTGGTGGGTGTGTTTCATGTATGTATGTGTGTAAGTGGCAAATGAATAGCGGTTGACTGAGGGACTGAGTGACTGAGCGACTAAGCGACTGAGCGACTGAGCAACTGAGCGACCAAATGACTGAGTGACCGAGTGACTGAGTGACTGAGTGACTGAGTGACTGAGTGACTGAGTGACTGAGTGACTGAGTGACTGAGTGACTGAGTGACTGAGTGACTGAGTGACTGAGTGACTGAGTGACTGAGTGACTGAGTGACTGAGTGACTGAGTGACTGAGTGACTGAGTGACTGAGTGACTGAGTGACTGGGTGACTGAGTGACTGGGTGACTGAGTGACCGAGTGACTGAGTGACCGAGTGACTGAGTGACCGAGTGACTGAGTGACCGAGTGACTGAGTGACCGAGTGACTGAATGACTGAGTGACTGAGCGACTGAGCGACTGAGTGACTGAGCGACTGAGCGACTGAGCGACTGAGCGACTGAGCGACTGAGCGACTGAGTGACTGAGCGACTGAGTGACTGAGCGACTGAGGGACTGAGCGACTGAGTGATTGAGCGACCGAGTGACTGAGCGACCGAGTGAATGAGTGACTGAGTTACTGAGCGACTGAGCGACTGAGTGACCAAATGACTGAGCGACTGAGCGACTGAGCGACTGAGCGACTGAGCGACTGAGCGACTGAGCGACTGAGTGACTGAGTGACTGAGTGACTGAGTGACTGAGTGACTGAGTGACTGAGTGACTGAGTGACTGAGTGACTGAGTGACTGAGTGACTGAGTGACTGAGTGACTGAGTGACTGAGTGACTGAGCGACTGAGCGACTGAGTGACTGAGAGACTGAGAGACTGAGTGACTGAGTTCAAGTAAACGCGTGAGTGATTGAGTGATCGAGTGAATGATTCAGCAAGCTAGGTGAGTTCACAATTGTGTGAGTGGGTGTGTGCATCGTGTATGAGTGCGTTATACTGTTGAGAGAGTACAATTGAAAAAGTGTCAATACACGTCATATGAACCAAACATACCTCACAAAAAGCATAGTTAAATTCTTTGGATGGTTGTTTCCCGTTTGCAAAGTATAATGAGCCATGCTCCATAAACAAGGGCTGGTGAAGCTCTTCAAATGCCATCCAGTCCTTTTACAAAAACAAAGGCAAGATAGGATGAAAAATGAACAAATTCATCTTTGATTTAGGAATAAATACAATGAAGAGAAAAAAAAAGCAGAAAATGAGCTCGCCATCGTGGTTAAAGAAATTTTCAACAAACTTCAAAGAGGAAAATAGCTGAAAGAAAGGCTTTCTTAAAATTATGAAAGATTATGCAACTTTGTGAAAAGCTTAAAACTGCTTACTACATGGATGCTTTGGTGAGCTCCATCAAAGTTCTGTAACTCCCTGACACAGATCTTAAAGGAAGTTGTCGTCAAATCTTCTACCCAAACAGAAGACGCATCATGCTTCACTCCCCGCCTTTCATGCTGAGCCGACACAAAGACGGTGGGAACTGACTGAAACTTTTTCTGCAGAAACATTGACTCAGGATTAACACGTATAAAGGTACATACAAAGGAACCAACGGCCCTAAGGCTAAGAATTTCTTTGGCTCTTTTAGTTGTCTCGCGGTGATTATAAATTTTACCAACTAAAACTTTATGTTTTAAGGCAATGTCTTGCTATTTGTGCATCATATTTGATCGACATTCAATTCTACAGGGCAGACGCCCACACATATGCTCATTTAGTCGCAGTAACTGACAGACTGCTTTTTTATGTGATATCTTCACAACACAAATTTGTCTGATTGTTTGTTTTTCTTTCGTATTTTATCAGCGCACATCACTATGGGTTCCTCTAATGAAGCGGATAGAGCATTTAATTCAGAAGTTAGTTTCAAATTTGACAGAATATAGGCCAGTTAATATTTTTTTTGGATACAGTCTCAGATTCTACAACTAGATCGTTGTTAACAATGCGATTCTGAATGGTCAAGGAAAAGGCGACAATAGACAGTTGAGAGAAAACACATTATTGCAAGAAGTAGCCAACGAACCGGAGGCAACGAAACTGTGCGACAGCTCGTTCCAGTCCACCATGTCGGCATGTCCATTTCACCTGACACTCCCCCGTCAGGGGCCCCCTGGTATGCTAACCAATCAACCATAGCGAATGTTTTTCCATTTTTCTTCTCATTCCTCCCAGCTTGAGTGACACAAACTGTAAAATTGTTTTCCCTTAAATCCTCGACCCAGGCCACAACAGCCTCGTGGACATAGGAGGGATCCGAGAAGTTGACGTGATTAACAGATACTTGTACGTGAACAGGTTTGTCAGGATAGAAGACATAAGGAACCAGTGGAACCTGTTCACAAACTGCCTCAGCCCAGTTTGGGTGGTGATGAAGACGATGACGACCTTTCTGTGAAGGGAATCCTGTGGCCGGGAAAGAAATTACGATAATTTTCAACATCTTGCCGTATTCAAGGACATAAAAAAAGAGCCGAGAGAATAAAAAGTTGGTTAGCTTGAGGATAGAATCTTGAGAATGTTTTTGCCTACGATATTTGACTACCAAAATATTTGTTAACTGTTTTGAAACCTTCAGTTTTATTAACTGCTGTCAATTTTTTTACTTTTGCTATTAGTATGCGCTCTAATGTTTCTCTCAGTTTTGTCGCTTTAAAATCTGCTTTCAAATGGACACTTTGTCTTCGCTTCAACCCGAATTACCTGTACAATCACCCGGGTGATAAAGGGTAAAATTAGCCTTCAAGTGGCACATTTCTCTCTGAAAGATACACTCGTTGTCGTAGGTGGTTCCGTTGGATGAACACACAGGTTCGTCGTACGATGGACAATTATCCACGCATATGCACCTGGCGTCTTTGGGTCCAAATGCCTTGCAGACAGCAAAATAATTACAGGAAACATTGATGCAAGGATCAAAATCTACAAAATACAAACATCAACAAGATTTGAACTTTATGAGTACTAGAGGCCCCAGGTAAGCGGATCCCACAGCTGTGTTGTTCTTGCAAACACTGGACATAATGCAGGCCTTTTCTTGTCGTTGGTGTACATTTTGAAAATTACCTGCAAGAACTGACATCAATGCTCACCTAAGACGACGTAAAGAACTACCGATTTTGTAAAAGTAGAAAAATCTGATTTCGTTCAGTTGTTACTTCCTTTATTTGACTAAGCACTGTTGTGTTAGTCGTGTTAAGCACTGTACCATAACTAAAAGAAGCGCACGGGGTTAAAATGGAATTTCGCAAGTAGCAAAGTCTGGTAAGCGGAGAACAAGCTGTATTGTAAGTACCCTACGTTAAGTGTTATGACTATTCATTGAGTTAAATTAAAAATAAGCAGTTATAGTTCCTTTTAAAACATTAAAAAAAGAAACCGCTTAGCCGAAATATTTATCGGCTTTTCTCTCCTACCTACGCACAAGTTATTAAAGTAAAATAAATGTCAATGCTGTTGGTAATACCTTAGCATTGCCTGAATGACTTATCTTTACCTCCAATAACGGCGTAATCAACGGTAGCAGGATCGTGTTGGCTTTCCATTCCTGCCAAGTCTTTTACACACACACGGAACGATGAGATCGTTATTTCCTGTTGTAAAGAAACAGCAATCAGATTAATTAAACTGTATCAGTGGAAGACATAAGAAATTGAAGTAAACAAGGTTTAGTTGAGTCAATAGAAAATATTAGGTTCTTTGTTAAACGAGGTACCAATGACAAGCACTTGATATATTGTGATTTTTTAGCATTTAAATAGTGGTCCGTTTCAGGTGTGTATCTCAGGTAAGCTCCGAGGTTCAAACTTTGAGTGTCAAAGATTTCTCCCATTAAAATGATCCAAAAAGAAGTTCCATTCATAGAGGCATAGGTTATAACACTTAATTTACCTCAATCCAAGTATTAAGAACATTGTTCTCTGGCTTGATGGAATATACATTCTTGCTAACGTACAGATGATTTACTGTTACTATGACTACAGGGGGTGCATAAAATTCATCGGTGAAGTTGTGTACCTGTAAAGTTAAAAGTTGACATCAATAGAATTGAGTATTACAGAACAGAGCGAATATCAAAAACTGATGTTACCTAGTTTAAAATGTTTTCTCCGGGTCACTTAAAAGGTGTTCTTGTGTTACTCTAGAGGAAATCGAGCCTTCGACTTACCTTACAAAAGGCGAAATTGTCTTGTTCTCGAGGAGCTCCGCCATTTTCAAGCAACAATTTTCCTTCAAATGTAAGTTGAACACCTCTTTGTGTAAATGCCAGCCAATCCTAACAATTGAATGGCATTTTTTTTAAACAATTCGGCTGAAAACAACCGGTCAAAAGTGAAAAGTGCTCTTATTCAGAGTAACAAAAGTTTGAAGACCCTGACACACTTATCTCATAATCCGGCTAAAACTTCCTGAATCCTTTTACTTCAGAATTTGTCGAGGGAAAACCGTGCAATTAACAAAACCAAAGTATTTCTACATATGTTTCTATGAACTATAACTATTCTAGTCAAACTTGCCACTTTTAAATTCTGATGCTTTCCATCGAAAGTTTTCACTTCCCTAAGGCACACTCTGAAATAATCCGCCTTGAGTTCTTCAACCCAGACATTCATAGCGTCCTGTGACTTGTTGCTGACAGAATGACGTACTGTAGCCAGCACTTTTGGGATAGATGCAAATCGCTGCAAAGAGGATAGAGGAGAAATAATTGTCTTGAACTCGGACTTGCATGATACAAATCACGTTTATATTTGACCTTACGAACTGTCAGCAATCTATTAAGTTAAGCACTCTCAACTTGTTGCAAACCTTTGAGTGCTAAGAAAACAAACTTATGAAATTAAATGACACGGATTTACATTAAAGTTCCGCGAGTATAAAGAAGACATTAACAGATACCAGACCACTTACTTTTAAAAGCAGGTTACGCCCCTCCCTTCAGTTTCATATCAATTAAAACGTCTATCTTCCGCTTATTTTCCGCGAATCTCCTCTTTGTCTCAAGTAATAATACTCTTTTCTAGGAAATTCTCTTTTAAAACATTTGAACAATGACAATGGTATAATTGATTAAAACGAGATACAATTCATGAAGCAGTTGACTACACGTTACACGAAGAAATATTTGTAGTTTTGGTGGTTCTGCTCTTGTTTTTGTTGTTGCGAAGAAGATTAAAGGGAAAATTGCCATCGAGTTTTTGTATATATCATAAAAGCTAAATAGGTCACGCGCGTACCTGAACAAAGGTAACTCTTTCACATTTTGTTCCACTGGTAAATGCACTGAAGGAGGCGGTGCCATCCAACATTCCAGAAGGGGCACTTCGAAATGCAATCCAGTTCACGACGGCGGATCCATTTGTGCCAAGTCCCGACTCCAACGCACATACGCGAAAACTGCTCTGTGTTACGTCTGACGTCCACACAACAGCCGAGTCGTGTACGCTGCGAGTATTGGACTCATACCCGATGGACGCTATCACCCTTACATTTCTCGAGCTGGAGAATGCACGAGGGAACTGCACGTTCGTGCAGTAAAGCAAGTCAGGATATGACGCAGTGAAGTTGATCTTTCCGTCTTGGACCAGAGTTTGTCCTAAATAATAAATGAAACGATAGAATTTAAAGCGAATTTAGAGAATAACGGGGATCTCTTCGCATATGCAAAGGTATCTCATCTAATTCTCAGCGCTTGCATGTCAATCTGATCTTCACTTTCGATCCAATCCGTCGATCGCTCATCCCGCTAGAAAATAATTGCACAATTTAATAACTTTAAAAGCAGTTCCTCTTACCTTCAACCATTAAGGTAATTTTGCATACAACCAAAAGCACCGCCAATAAGTGAGTTCCTGGAAACACCCTCATTTTGCGGATAAACAACAGACCATGAAAGGAGCAGCGTTTAAGCTCGTGCACTTCACGAACCCTTTGTGCTTCTAACAAATATTTCACATTACCTTTATATTCAATCTACCATCTGTCGTGGTAACAATTTCTCCATACTTCTTTCCGCGTAAAAGTTTGGGAGAGAATAATTTTTAATCGAAGGAATAAGTAAGGAAAAAAGAGGATCAGCACACTTTGAATTTTTGTGCTACCCCTGAGAGTCTTTATTTTGATCAGTAAAGGTAGAGAAAGTGGCGTGTTTAATTTCTGAGAATAATGAAGTATCAGGTATATCTCCCAAGAGGATTAACCCTATGAAAGCCTTGGTAGAACCTTGAAGGTTATCCGAAAAAATTTCCAAGTCAGCAGGTGACGTATCGCACGTGTTTGGCCTGATTAGGAATTTTCTATGGTGGATTTTTGCCAGCATTTAGCAAGGACTCGAGGTGATGATCATCTTACATTCAACTTCATGTTCCGCTTTCTCACTTTCAACATATAAAGTAACAGTAATGTGTGTACGATTGTTTTATTCTACCATAGGTGTAAGTAAATAATATCAAATCGTAAAGGAGCTCAGACTAATATCTTCCAAAACTGTACTGCTTCACCTCATTGAATTCTGTCACCTTCAGAATTTCGGGTCCAATTTGTGTTTTTTAAATTGATTGACGTAACCCTAAATCTCTGATATGATTTCCTTCTAGTAAGTGCTTTCTTTGAGCTGGAATAATTAATTTTGCTTCTAAATCGTGCTCATATTTCCCAGTTTGTTTTGGAGGACAACAAACAGAAGTCAAAAGTTCATTCAATTTTTTAAATCCATCGCCTCGACTTGAAAAGGCCCACTTTGAACACACAACAAAGAAACAAAATCATGTATTCGCAATTTACCAGCTCAAACAATGTAGGACCATCACTAGTCTGATAGACTGCGTGTAGTCGGAAAAGCCACTTTCTTGTTTAAGCTCTTAATCAAGTTCAGCCACTCGCTCTTCGTTCTGAAATGTCCCATCTTACTCATCGCCATGATATGAATGCCACGAAAATCCAGATGTAAACCAGTTTTGTTAACATTATGCTCCGTATCTCTCGCTTCAGGGTTGCAACTGTTAACAATAATAAATTTGCCATGTGCAGCAAGAACTTGACGACAGTTTTCCAAAACTTTTACCATCCCATCTTCTGTAAAAATTAAAAGGAAATTTTTCGCAATGATTGTATCTACCTCTTTGCTCTTCGGAATTCCATCCAGGATGTTTCCTTTTAGCAATGTCACTCTGTGATCTGGTACATTTTCTTTGGCTAGGAACAATTTGGCGCGCATCGACATCGGGAAAGTCGAGTAATACTCCTTTAATATGTTCACAGCCCCTTGGATAAAAACTTACCCTCTCCTCTCCCGATGTCCATGATTCGATCGCACTTGACCCAGGGGTACACTGTAAACTGCGGGGGTACACTGCTAAGTTGGCTACGCGTTGTCCAAATCCATCTGGGACAACATGCTCATTGCACGATCGTAACTGATTGCGAATTCTGATCTGTTTCGTACCCATGTCAGAGGCCATATCTCCTGATCTCGCGGGAGCAGAATACTCCATTTACTCAGCTCTGTACATGTAGTTATACAGATTCATTCCATGAGCACGTTCAAACGCTGTATCGCCGCTATCTTTGACTGCCTCTGGAAAAGCCAACATGGCGGCCCAAACTTCATCGCTCGCGTACCATATGGCCAAGACTCGGTCCTTTGTATCACCTCAGCAACTCCATAACTCTTAAAGTCTTTCTCGCTTAATTCCTCCCCAATTCCCCACCGAGCCATGGTTCTCAAACCTTGTAAACCTTTTCGTCTGTGTGGCAGCCAGTTCGCTCAGCGATCTCTTGAATACTGACAGGAGTGACTGAGTTACACAGCAATTCTGGGACACCTAATGATACCAGAACACTAAGTAGCAGCTTTTCCATATTCCTAAGAACATGGATGAAATAAGTTTCTCTTCTCTGAAAGTTCCTTCGGCCATATTCTTTACGTCGGAGTCCTATATTTAGAGCACCGTCCAGCGGATTTCGATTTGAGCTCGTCACGCAACACTCACTGGGAGAGGGTTCCAAGGGAACGTGTTGTGTGACGTTCACACTATGAATTTGATCAGTATGTTTCATATTCCCAAACTGAAATGAGAGCGGGGCATACATGTTCAACTAACGGAAAAAAATAACAAATTTCCAGGTTTGCACGCAGAATCCAAATGGATCTGAAAATTTCCTCAACAAAAGGGCATATTATGATTCAAGCAACTTTGGATTCCGTGGTGTGTTGCGCACAATTTTTTTCCTTCAAATTGTAAAAAACAAACAAACAAAAACAACAAAGAACAACAACCACAAGAGTCGAGAGATACACAAGTGGTGACATAGATGGTTTCCCGGCGTTTTTGTGTCAATTATCCCACGGTCCATTTCATTCGATTTCTGTCCCCGGTTTCCCGTTAAATAAAAACTGGTTAGCAAACACGTGTAAGAACTGAACTGAACTGAAACCTAATGAACTTGATATATGAAACGATTAAAAGTGTCAATTACATTGTTTGTGATCGTTATCAATCATTAATAATATTTTGTCACCGTAACATATTCATATCAGAGTATCCATTACCGATCCCTTTAAAATTCTTACATATCTGCTATAGTACTTGGTCTCGCAAAAATAATGCGCTTCTCTTTGTAAGGTTAAGTCTATGATCATAAACCACACTTATTAAAGTACCTTAGCAGTTTTTTGGTAGTTTTTTTTTTATTTGTCTTAATGTTTGACTGAACATCATTTCATCAATATATCATTCACAGCACATAAATATTTAAACTGAAGAAATATAGCCAAAGGGTTCTCTGACTCTTTCTTATGAGTAAAAGAAATAGGCAGTGAGCCAGAGGGAAGTGGAGTTAAGAGGTAAATGAGGCCAGGTGTTTTCAAATAGAGAAGAATACCATTCAATGTGGAAATCAAAGAGCACAGCCGGCCGGAAGGAAAAAACAGAGGGAAGACACATGAAAATCAATTCATGGGTAGTGTCAAGGGAACCCTTGTGAAACTTTTTTAAAATTTTCCCTCGAGTCCTGATGTTCGAGGGAAAACAAAACTAACTAGTCTTTGAGGGACCATACATTAAGTGCTTTGTTATATATTTAGACTTTCTCTGAAGTAATCACATGGCAAAAACGTACTGATGCATTCGGTGCGCGGGCAACAACTGCGCAATTGTATTCTGGTCGGGATACATTTGAATTTGATCAGGGGCACGTGACCAAGAATCAACCAATCACAGTGCTCGTTTTGTTGAGTGAAAGTCTAAGTAAATAACAATAGGCTTTGTTAAATAATTAAAAATGACCGTATATGGTCAATTTGGAACAATGGCGGAAACAGTTTTAAAATACACGCGGAATTTTTAAAAATTTCCGTCTATCATACGAGCTGCAAATTTAAACCTTCTGCAAAACTGACGGAAAGACAAATCCTCCCCGTGGGGGGTGATACTGGTGGAAGTTTTTAGGATGCAAATAGTCGTGGGGTGCGTGGATGGTGGGGCGACTGTCTTGAAGACACTATATGCAATAAAACAAACAAGGAACTTGCGTTTAACTGAAAAGGGATGATCAAATTTAATTAAGCTACGGCAATTTTAAGTAAAATAAACGTTTTTGCTTAAAATAATTACAAAATATGGCTCTGACTGGGTAAAATCTGCTTTACCTTGCTTCTGTTTCGTAGCCACGAGTTAATAATTAGTCCTGGATTTTAACGTAGATAAAAAATCAAAGCAGGTAACCAGCGTTGCTACATCGTCCGGGAACCGAACCTCTTAATTGTTGCATAGTTAATCATTTTTGTTAGTCTAAAATCAGAAGATCTAACTTTCCATTGTGTAATTATCCAGATAAAAAAAGTCTACCTCAAATCACCTACAATACTGTTACAACTCAAATGTTCGTTTATATTCAGGCACGACAGAGGGTTTCGGTTACTCAGGTATCCAAAGTCTTTTACTTAGGTATATTGCGTTTTCGTATCGCAATACAAGTGTAAATTCTCTTGTTTTTCATGTACTTTTGGTATATGATATATAGGCATGAGTAATCAACTTTAGGCAACTTTTAAGTATTTATATGCGTCTTACAATTTTAAGGTAGAATAGAATTCCATTGGAAAAACAGAGTATGTCTGCTTTAGTAAATGAGGTCTTGGTGTGTAACGATAATATCTCGAGAAAAATCACATCAAAACACGTTTTTCCTCCCCTTCCCATTCACATACCAACCGTTGCATGGGCTCAGATGCAAAAGCGGCCCCAACCCCATGGCATTGAGTGGAAAACTTGGGTAGAAAATTTAAAAAAAACAAATAATTCCATTCACGCATGTTGGATATGAGATTAATTATAACCAGCTCGGCGCTACGCGCATCCCCAGCTATTTACCATACGCGCGCTCATGGAGTAATTGTTAGAAAATCAGGGAGGAATGAGCCTTGTTAATATGCGGCTAAGGTTCCCGTTCTATTTTAACAAGCTAAAAATGGCCTTAGAAGAAACAGCCTGTTGCCTGTTTTTTTTTTTTTTCGTCTAGAGATGGATTAAATCAGCAATGAATGTTCCTCTTCTAACGAATCCATAAATTCAAGGCGTAAGAAGTAGTGGGAGAGATGTGGGCTTCATTTCCAAAATCAAGCTCCCCACTACCACTCCATTCTTCAAATCCTCCGTAGTCATTCTCAGTGATCCCAATACCATGATCCGCTCGGTTGCATCCACTTCCTCCTCCTCCAAACATCATAACTGAACCATCGCCTGCATCCCACTGACACCAGAATCCAATGCGGTAGCTTCCTTGAATATTGCCACTGCAGTGCGCTTGACTAAAGCCAACAGTGGTCTGGTACAATCCACCAAAGTACACTGGGCAGCTACCAAGACACTGATTATTGGACCAAACGTTACGGTAACTAAACTTCCCATAAGCGGACATGAATCCTCTGTATGTTTTTCCACCAAAGCAGTTATTATATGTACGAAGAAGAGCAGAGTTTGAACTATCGTCACTGCGTGTGATTTTAATCTCGCTTCCCTGCACCTTCCAGAATGCTTCTGATATCATGTCAGAGTTAGTGGATGTACTTGTAGGGGACCCCTGCGAAGACTGGATATCGTACCACCAGTAAGCGTCATCTCTCATCCAATTTTTCCCATCAGCGTTTGAAAACCGCGCAATGAGTGTCCATCCACCTGAGTTTCCCGACATGTCGCAATAAACCTGGAAGTAAGCGGAAGGATATAACTTCAGGATGTGGATTATTAGGATGTCTTCTTCTTCGAAAGTCGTATAATTTATTAATCATATATAAGGATATATTCAGCTACCAGCTTATGGCCCTACAGATATTTGATTTTCAACATATGATGGGAAACAGAAGAGCTGAAAATCATTAAAATACTGTTTTTCAGGAAATATGTTTGATATGCGATAAAATGACAACTGCAAATTGTTGTGGGTAACTTTACCCAGTTCTAATTACAAGGATCGCTTTAGGATATAGTTTTATGGTTAGGAATTTCTTTTGGAATTTGTGCGTGAATCAATGCTCTAAACCATTTAAAGGCATACTTGTAAAACCTAAACAAAACAAAGCCAAAAAAGCCCAAAAAAAAAAGACATTAATCGCAAACGCAACTGAAACCTCTTCTACGATGCTAAAACAATGAATATATCACCTACTCGGTATATCATAATTTGAAAGCAATCGAAAGAGAGTGAAAATGAAAGTTTTACTGGGAAAGAAGGAATCCAAAAACTCTTGGAATGTAGAGCGGCTTATGGTAGTGTCGTGCACAAGAAAGAGAGGACTCAAAAACTCTAGAGCGTCCTACCCGACCTCATATTGGCCAAAACGTTTGCCTTATATTTCTATTCTCAATCCTACTATCTATCGCTATGACAAAAATGTGTTTTGGTAGATAGATAGCCTTAGGCGACCAAAATATACCAATTCTAATAAAACACCGTGCCATACAAAGCAGTCGACGAAAGGAACCAGAGGAACTGAACATCTTCACTTAACAAGGGGAAGCTGAGTGTTCGAAAACATGTGTCTCGAACATCACGCAACTTTAGATGTAGCGCATGAATTATCCGGAAACACTCTCGGCACAACGCAGGTCAGAATAATAGACCTCATGTCCGTTTTGCCATTTCATCTTAAATTTGCGTTCGGTGATAGTAACTGCTTGTAGAAAGACAGACTTCTTAGCATCTCAAAATGTTTGCTGCGTTTACCATAAACTATTCCCCATTGATGTAGACAAAAAAACACATTTCTTCTGTTTTGATGACACTTCCAGCAAAATGTAAGTTCAAAAATAAGTCAAACGATTTGAACTTCAAATGTAAGCTTTATAAAAGTCGCCGCTGATCTATCGCTGACGATCGTGTTCGTGAAGTGTCGAAAGATTTTTGTCAAACTCTTCCGTTTACAGTTCTTACTTGAGGGATATGATGATCTTAACCCATTTAAGCCTGTGCTGATACTAGTCACGCTCGTTATTTCATCGGTTCACGCCAAACATTTTGCACGTGATACTTGGAAGCAAACTCAGGGTTTTTAAAGTAACGCTTGAACGCTTGAAAATGCACTTCATTGGGTAGAAAGTCTCGAGCACATGGAAAAATGAAATATATAACCTTGGGAAAATCACCCAGTTTTAAACTATTCAGACTCTGAACGTTCTTCGTAAATTTCCTTTTAAGGTCATAATTTCAATCCTCGGAGAACGGATCTCGCTATCATTTTTAGCTAAATCTTTTTTTTTCTTCCGGTGATTATTATATTTTTAATTTTTGTATTTTCAAGGGAATAACTTATAATACCACAATTATGCGAAAAAAATGTAGGTCACTGTGCTCATTCAAGAGCAATTTAAGACCACTGCATCAGTTAACCTCGTCTATCGGCCAAAAAGAAAAACAATTCACCATGTTCTCGGAAATCGGGGATATCTACTTTCTATTGTTCTTTAATACGAAAAGTTATAAACAAAAAACATTTCCCAGGTGATTACTACGGGGGGAGGAGTTAGCGGTTACTGCAAGGTTTAAGTTGACGTTCCTTTTAATGGAAAAGTTGTAAAGAAACTGCAGACCTTAGGGGAAAACAAGAATGTTGTAATAGATAGGATAAAGAGTTACCTGGAAAGTGTACCCTGATACACTTAAGTAATAAGTTCCACTTGAGGTCCTTCCCGCTGCATAGTGACTCTTGCAGGATGTGTCGGTTGCAACTTAATAAGATTCCATCATCAATTGTAAAACGCATGTAGGAAAAATAAAGAAAACATACAGGTGTATTGATTTTTTTACGTTACGTACAGCAGTTAGGTTCATTGAAACTTGAGTTTTTCGCTCGACTATTATTTAAATTCATAACTTACGCCATTTATCTGCCCTTTTTGTACTCATCCCTTTTTCTTTTTATCCCAAAAGTTTTCAAAAAGGAATTGACATTCCAACGTCCTAATTAAAGCCATATGAAAGTTGCCTAAGAAAAAACACCAATTAGCATACCTTCACATCGTGATCCTGAATGATAGCTGGAACACACACAAGTAAAGTTATATACGCCATCTATGCAAGTTCCACCGTTTTGGCAGGGATTGGACTGGCATTCATCCGTTTCTAAGTGAAAAAATAAATGACACTTTATACATTTTATACACCAAGATCTATTAAACATAAGTCTTTATATATTCATGCATTGTTCCTGAGATGTTAGAGGAATCTAGCTCTAAATGAAACATTTTAAAGTCAAAAATTCTGATTCAGTCTACTCTTTCCGTGATGTGGAAAGTAGTTTTATAGGTTTTTCAGTCAGGAGGTCGTGTTAAATCCTGACCGTGATTTGCATCGAGTAACCCAGCTTCACCTTGACGTTGTCCTCTGCTAAAATACTCTTAAGCCACCAATCTTGTTAAAGATTTCACGATGTGTTAATTTACCATATGCAACGTCCTTTATCTATAATGTTGGACAGTTAGAGTTAACTAACTTGAGCAACTCGCGCAAAGTATGGGAGTCTGCTCAGGAACTTTGTTTCACTCTCTGAGACTCAGAACCTCTTCTAATAATTCAGCTCCTAAGTACACACTCTTCAATACCCCATCGGTAGGCATATTTGGGCCTACGAGATAACTGACCTTGGCAAAATAAACATATTTTTAGAGCGCCAACCAGAACAATCTCACAAGACAGTCGATATGAACAGCAAAGAACTTAACAATAACCAATCTTCGAGAACTAAAAAGCTAAACAAAACTCCCCGTTGAGGACTCTAAGCAAGGCCAAAGACAAACCTAAATACGACTAATGATGACAATTATCGTACGAGAATTAAGTCCTACTACAACGGTCAAGGACACATCACTAAAAAGGTAAGAATAAATCAAGCCTCACAAGATTGGCATGAGGATTTCAAGATAATCTAACAGGCCTAAGAAATTCCCAAACACTTAGTCACAGGGTTTTTGTGTATTCGGTATTCGTTTTAAAAACGGTATATTGCAGCTTAAATATGGGTATTCAGTATATCACTTTCTTTGAATACAGAGTTAACCTTGTTCTACTGCGGACAGCAAGGACGGACCCTATACTGAAAGAGATTCTTCTGCCGCATTTATCCCTAGCTACATGCCGAAATAGAGATCGCACGGATGTAGACACAGTAGTCGAAATTTGTTCCCCAGAAGTAAGAAAGGGAAAGAGACAACCAAATAAGTGTTTGTTTCGCTAACTTCTAATTTCGGGTATAAAGTATTCAAAGCTTCGATTATTTTTGGGTATATTTGGAGGAATTTGGGGTATTTTGGGGTATTTTGTCGATTTTTTTTCGGGTATACTGGTATTCCACTACCCCCCCTGGCCGACCCTGCTTAGTCAAAACATTCCTTATTTTAGAAGTTCCCTAACACTTTAATTTTAGTAGTTCATAACAATAAAATTCTATTTTAGGTATCATATCACCTTGACATCTATGTCCAAAATACGGCGATGAACAGGAACATGTAAAATTGTTGACTCCATCAGTACAAGTACCACCATTTAAACAGGGGCTGCTGGAGCACTCATCAATCTCTGTGTAAGAATAAAAATATATAACTAAAGAGTTAAAAACCAGAAACGAGGTTCAAGCAAAATCGTGTCACCTGTGAGGTAGTACTCACTTTTAACTTCGAGTACCGTGGAAGGGAATCGAAAATGCTTAAAGAAGTATCACGCTCCAAACAGTTATGATAAACCTAAGCAATTATGAATTTTTGTCTTTGTGACTTCATAATGATCAAAAAGAAATTACAGATATGATGCTCGCCTTCACATAGGTCTCCCTTGTGTGTTGCAGGACAAATACACCTAAACTTTCTTTTACCATTGACACATGTACCTCCGTTTAAACATGGGTTGCTAGTACATTCATCATAATCTGTTGATAGGTATTTGAGTATTGAAATTGTTAATACACAACATCAAACATCACCGATGTTGAAGGAATGGTGGACGAAATAACTATGTATGTAACTATGAAAGCAAAGTGATAACCGCAACGACGCTAATTCATTTACAACATACTGAGAAATTGGTGGTAAGTCTCCTTTTAACAAATAGTTCAAGTAAATAAGGCTCCAAAACATCTCGAGTTCCAAAGACGGACACCGCTGTCCGGCGACTAAATCAAAATATGAGTCATCAAAAATACATAAATAAATAAACAATCATTTCACACCCTTTTTGCATGTATATTGATGACAAGCAGTACAATCCACATCATTCCACATGTAACCATGCCCGGGACCAAGAGTGTGTACGCAGTCCTCCCCCCGAAAGTCATTTGGTTGACTCTCTGCCCAGTAGCGGAATTTATCAGGACATCCATCCACCCAGGTGAATAATCCTTCGATAGCAATGTCATTCAAACCGATCCAGGCCTTTTCACCATTGTGTCTGTGTTGAATGTAGACATTCTCTTCCTGACTTTCAATAGCGGGTAAGTTCGCCCCCATTCTTCTGCAGATTGTACTAGCTTTGGACCATGTCTCACAGGTATCACTCGTGTAGAAACAGGAGCCATTGTAGAAACTCCAACCTAGCTCACACACATCTGAGTTAGGTAAAGAAACAACATAAGTCTCATAAAACTTGAATCTGTTACTGAATCGCAAAACCTTGTTTAAAATTATTATCATATTAAACAGTGCTTGTCTTTCATTATGGGGTAATTATTAGTTTGTTCGTTACATTCACGATAATGTCACAATCAACAGCACTTGTTTCATTCAAAAAATTGATGGTGACATTTTGAAACAAGCTATCAAGCGTTTATTTATCATTATTTAACAACAAAAGAAGTCTCGACTTTGCTTTGTCCTTTTGTAAAGCACGCAGAAAGTGGCTAGAGCACTGAAGAAGTCCGGAAAATGGCTGAAATTGGACAAAATGGCAGATGGCATGACAGCTTTAGCTCCATGTTTTATACTCTTATAAAACACGCTCTTTCTACTCATCAGAGCGCATGTTATATCCGAACTTTATTATGATTCATTTCACACATCAGTTTACACCTTCCTTTCTTTCGAGTAACAGCTCACTTTTTTAGTCCATACCTAAGTCAAGATGATTGGCAAAATATTTCTGAACAATCATCATTCTCTCTATGTACCAAATGTGATTTATCTAACCTGGCATAACTGCATATGAAACTGAGAGAGGATCATGCTGGTTCACAAATAACTCCTTCACGCATGCTCTGAAGCCAGTCTTGTTGATATACTATAAAGGCAAAGAGAAATTCAACCTAACGGCTGAGAGGATCACTGTTAGGTATCAGTAAAGAGCTAAAGGCCTTATGAATAGCGAATTGGTGACAAAAAGCAGTTGATTAAAGTCAACCTCCAAAATCGGTATCCTATTACACCTACATTACACCAATGGTATGTTTACTTTGGCGGTAGACCTCGTAGGGGACCCAGAGTCCTATTCTTTATTCGCCTAGTACGTTGTACGTTGTACTATGCTGAATACTTACATCATCGTCATCGTCATCGTCATCGTCATCGTCATCGTCATCGTCATCGTCATCGTCATCGTCATCGTCATCGTCATCATCATCATCATCATCATCATCATCATCATCATCATCATCATCATCATTATTATTATTATTATTATTATTATTATTATTATTATTATTATGATTGCAAAAGCACTACTTCAGCACAGATACCAGATATTACTAACCTCAGCCCAGGCTGATACGGAGTTATATAGTGGATTAAGGTTTCCTCCGTTTGTTGAATGGTTAGCAGATACCAGAATAGCTGGGGAGTCGTTGTAGGGTTTTTTGAAAACAACATCCTATTGATATAAATGAAAAAAAAACAAATCCGTGAAACACAAAGTAGCTGAGAATGCATCTAGCAATATCTCTAAGATTCCAAAACATCCTTTTCACTTCTTTGAAAGAAGAGATGAATTATCCCGTGAGAATACACATGAAAAGTAGAGCGAGGAAATCCACTGGGTTACTCTATAAATCAATGGACTGCGGCTCTTATTTTCATATCGGGTGGATGGCTTACATAAACTTAAGACAGAAAAAAGTCTAAGTGATAGAGTCAATATGTAATAACGCGGGTTGATGAGTAAGTTTCATGTGAATTTCGGGTCAATATCAGTATCTAGGCAACTGTCCACCTACCCCTCCCCTAACCCAACATTAACCCTAACTTGTTATCAATTGACTGTTGTTGAGTTAGGGGAGGGGTAGGTGGGCAGTTGCCCAGATACTGATATTGATCCTGAATTTCAGTAAACAAGCTCATGGAAAGGCGGTAACAGCTTAATGAGTGAGTGATTCATCGAGTGACTGAGTGAGTCAGCGAAAATTCAATGAGTTATCAAGAAAATGCGAGTGTGATTTAGTAAGTGGGTGATTCAGTGATTCACTGGGAGCATGTGTGCATCGCGAGTGGGTGAGTGAGTGAATCAAAAATCTTCAATACACGTACTGTGAACCAAACATACCTCGCAAAAAGCATAGTTAAATTCTTTGGATGGTTGTTTCCCGTTGACAAAGTATAAGGAGCCATGTTCTCTAAACAAGGGTTGGTGAAGTTCTTCGAATGCCATCCAATCCTTTTATAAAAACAAAGGTTAAGAAAAGGAGTAAGAAAAAGGTGGGAAACGAGCTTCTCATCGTCGTTAAAACTTTACAGAGAATAAGACTTTCCCTAAATTATGAAACATTACTTAACCTTGTGAAAAACTAAAACCTTAAAAACTGCTTACCACATGGATGCTTTGGTGAGCCCCATCAAAGTTCTGCAGTTCTCTGATACAGATCTTGAAAGAAGTTGTCGTCAAATCTTCCACCCAGACAGAAGACGCATCATGCTTCACTCCCCGCCTTTCATGCTCGGCCGATACGAGGACAGTAGGAAGTGATTTGAACTTTTTCTGCAGCAGCATTAACTCAGAATTAACAGACAGGCACCAACAGCTCTACGGCTAAGAACGGCTGCTCATTAAGTCTTGGGAATGTAGTCCAACCTCTACGTTGATATAATATCTCCACAACATAAATAGTCTTATTCTTCTACATTTTATCACCATACATACATACATACATACATACATACATACATACATACATACATATATATATATATATATATAGGAAGTCTGCAAGTCGATTTTCGCGTGGAACAGTGCTCAATACGTTGAAGCAGAGCAGAATAAATATTATGAGAGGAAAAAAGGACGCAACTACATTTCCCGACAAGCCTGTTTTGTGAATCGCTTCACTCTTCAGGGGTGGCGATTCACGAAACAGGCTTGTCGGGAAATGTAGTTGCGTCCTTTTTTCCTCTCATAATATTTATCTGTATATATATATATATATATATATATATATATATATAAAACAATGAATTTAGAGGATAAATAGCGTGATTATAAATAACTAATGGAATGGCGACTATATGTATATATATATATATATACATACATATGTGTAAGTTAAAGAATTAAAGAAGACGCATCGATTCTCTGTGACTCTGAATTTCGCTCCTAAGCGCTCGTCAGACAGAACTTTTAGCTTAGGCGCGAAACTCAGAGTCACAGAGAATCGATGCGTCCTCTTTAATTCTTTAACTTATGTATACTTAGCTCTGCCACCACAGCATTGAGCACTTTATGCCAAGCTAGACTCTACCCCCACATTTATTTATATATATATATACATTATTGCAGGGTGTGGCCAACTAACCGGAGGAAGCGAAACTGTACGGCAGTTCGTTCCAGTCCACCATGTCGGCATGTCCATTTCACCTGACACTCCCCCATCAGGGGCCCCCTGGTATGCTAACCAATCAACCGTAGCGAATGTTTTTCCATTTTTCTTTTCATTCCTCCCAGCTTGAGTGACACAAACTGTAAAGTTGTTTTCCCTTAAATCCTCGACCCAGGCCACAACAGCCTCGTGGACATAGGAGGGATCCGAGAAGTTGACGTGATTAACAGATACTTGTACGTGAACAGGTTTGTCAGGATAGAAGACATAAGGAACCAGTGGAACCTGTTCACAAACTGCTTCAGCCCAGTTTGGGTGGTGATGAAGACGATGACGACCTTTCTGTGAAGGGAATCCTGCAGAAAAAGAACGCAAAAATCTCTACCTGTTTCTAATATTCAAGGACGAGCACGATATGCAAGCAACTAGCATGGACGAAGCTAGACTCTTTGAACCCTGTCCAAAATGCGTCTGCATTAAAACATTCTAAGATTTGCCGTCCCAACTTTTCGTAGCATTAGGAACCATGACATCGTTTTTCGTTTCTAACATGTGTAGATTAGCACTCTTTATTCTGCCATTTCCACCTTATAATCTGCATCAAACTAAAAACTTTCTTTGCACCACTAAGTTTTCTTCGGTAAACTCGGAATCTAATAAAGTTTCAAAATGAAGCTTCAAAAGGAAGATACTCTCGCTCGTAGTTTCCTTTCATAGATTGTATCAAGAAAAATATTTCTAAGATCTCTGTAACCATTCGAACTCTGATTCAAGTTACCTGTACAATCACCCGGGTGATACAGAGTAAAATTGGCCTTCAAGTGGCACATTTCTCTCTGGAAGATGCACTCGTTGTCGTATGTGGTTCCATTTGATGAACACACAGGCTCGTCGTACGATGGACAATTGTCTACGCATATGCACCTGGCATCTTTGGGTCCAAATGCCTTGCAGACGGCAAAATAATTACAAGAAACATTGATGCAAGGATCACGATCTGCGAATTTTAAATATCAACAAGAATAGAATCCTTACAAAAACTGAGTACTACAAGGTAATCTTCTCTTATCAGTTGTGTTACACTTAAAAATTTCTCAAACATAGTTAAAAGTCACAACACTCACCTAGGATGACTTTAGTAACTCTTTATTTTCTATATGGAAGGACTTTGAGCTGGTCTTTGAGAATTGTTTTTTAAGTGGTAGTATCGTTAGTTTTTTTTAATAATTACTTCCTTTGATAGCTTTTATCAGCCAAAAGCTAGGTGGAACATCACTTGAAAGGACCCAGAGAGAACTGCCACAACTAGAGTCATGTTCATGGTTGGTGTCCTGCGCCTCCCAACAGGAGCGAAGATGGCTTAATCTAATCTTAGCTTTGTTTGATAAAGTAGTGTTCTGCTAAACGCGTTTAGTATTGTGACATAACTGCAAGAACTGCACTAGGTTTAAGTAGAATTTTCCGAATAAAAAAATTCTTTAGAGCGGTGAAAAAATTTCTTGGAAGTATTTTTACGTTAAGCGTTGTAATTGTGCATTGTGTCATAGGCAGTTATAGTTCTACTTGAAACATTAAAAAATGATTCTAATGAAATATGTAAAAAAAAAACTGCTTGGTCGAGATATTTTAATGCCTTTCTCTCCCATCTACGCGATAAACCCATTCCACCGACTAATAAAAGCAAACGAACGGCAAATGCTGTTGGTAATACCCTAGCATACGCTACAAGACCTGACCAATCTATCTACCTCCAATAACAACGTAATCCAAAGTAACAGGATCGTGTTGACTTTCCATTCCTGCCAAGTCTTTTACACACACACGGAACGATGAGATCGTTATTTCCTGTTGAAAAAAAAACCAGCAATCGGATTAGTTTAATTGTGATAATGCAAAGTATTTTAATATCTGTGATTCTCTGAGATATCAAAAACTGAAGTAAAGAAGTTTTCCTGAGTTCATCGATAGTAAGAGCCTGAGGAAAAGTATTTTCTATTAATAGGCTTGTGGAGATGTGCCGCTGGGTGGGACCGCATTTTCACGACTGGATTGACTGTAATGGAGGTTGCATTTCCAGGATTTTGTGGGGAAGTAAATTCTGGTAAGTAGTGTTTTTAAAATGGGAGAATTCGCCGTCAAATGAGTCAATTCATTTTAGGATGACTTTCTTAAAGGCTTTATAAGGTAGATACATGAACTGAAAGTGACTAAATTGGGATTGTGGAAATGATATTCGCCCAAAAGTGACTAACTTAAGATGGGGTGTAAATGAAATATAATAAGGTAAAGGTATCGACTCAAGAACACCTCCCCCCTTCACCCCCACCACCGGGAATAAAAGGTTCTTTTTTTTTAAAGAGGTGACAATGGTAGGCTCTTAATATATTTTCGAGCATTTAAAAGTGATATTTATTTTTTGAAAGGCTTGAATCCCAGGTAAGGTGTGGGTTTAAATTCTGAGCCACAAAGGTTTCTATGGAGAAAAAAACGTTATTAGTGATCCAGAAGGAAGTTATATTTACAGAGGCACGAGTTATAACACTTTACCTCAATCCAAGTATTAAGAACATTGTTCTCTGGCTTGATGGAATATACATTCTTGCTAACGTACAGATGATTTACTGTTACTATGACTACAGGGGGTGCATAAAATTCATCGGTAAAATTGTGTACCTATAAAGAATAAGTTGACATCAGTAGAATTGAGTATTACAGAAGAGAGTAAATATTAACTACACACTTATATTATTACTTGGCTTAAATCACTTTTTCCGGGTCACTTAAAAGGTGTTCTTGTGTTACTCTAAAGGAAATCGAGCCTTCGACTTACCTTGCAAAAGGCAAAATTGTCTTGTTCCCGAGGAGCTCCGCCATTTTCAAACAACAATTTTCCATGAAATGTAAGTTGAATACCTCCGTGAGTTAATGCCAGCCAATCCTAAGGGTTAAATGGCATTTTTTTTTAACAATTCGGCCAAAAACAACCCGTCAAAGGTGAAAAGAGCTCTTAATCAGAGTAATATAACTGTGAAGACCTTGACACACTTATCTCATAATCCGGAATCATTTTACTTCAGTATTTGTTCAGAGAAAACCATTCAATGAACAAAATCAAAATATTTCTACATATGCTTCTATGAATTAGAATTATACTAGTCAAACTTGCCACTTTTAAATTCTGATGCTTTCCATCAAATGTTTTCACTTCCCTCAGGCACACTCTGAAATAATCCGCCTTGAGTTCTTCAACCCAGACATTCATAGCGTCTTGCGGCATGTTACTGACAGAATGACGTACTGTAGCCAGCACTTTTGGAATAGATGCAAATCGCTGCAAAGAGGATAAAGGAGAAATAATTGTCTTGAACTCGGACTTGCATGATACAAATCACGTTTAGGTTTGACCTTACGAGCTGTCAGAAATCTATTAAGGTAAGCACTCTCAACTCGTTGCAAGCCTTTGGGTGCTAAGAAAACAAACATATGAAATTAAATGACACGGATTTACATTAAAGTTCCGCGAGTATAATGAAGACAGTAACAGATACCAGACCACTTACTTTTCAAACCAGGTTACGCCCCTCCCTTCAGTTTCATATCAGTTTAATACGTCTATGTTCCGCTCATTTTCCGCAAATCTTCTCTTTGTTTCAAGTAATGATACTCTTTTCTAGGAAACTCTCTTTTAAAACATTTGAACCGTGACAATAGTATAATTGATTAAAAACAAGATACAATTCATAAAGCAGTTGACTACACGTTACACGAAGAAATATTTGTAGTTTTGGTGGTTCTGCTCGTTTTCGTTGTTGCGAAGAAGACTAAAGGGAAAATTGCCATCGAGTTTTTGTCTATATCATAAAAGCTAAATAGGTTATACGCGTACCTGAACAAAGGTAACTCTTTCACATTTTGTTCCACTGGTAAATGCACTGAAGGAGGCGGTGCCATCCAACATTCCAGAAGGGGCGCCTCGAAATGCAATCCAGTTCACGACGGCGGATCCATTTGTTCCAAGTCCCGACTCCAACGCACATACGCGAAAACTGTTCTGTGTTACGTCCGACGTCCACACAACAGCCGAGTCGTGTACGCTGCGAGTATTGGACTCATACCCGATGGACGCTATCACCCTTACATTTCTCGAGCTGGAGAATGCACGAGGGAACTGCACGTTCGTGCAGTAAAGCAAGTCAGGATATGACACAGTGAAGTTGATCTTTCCATCTTGGACCAGAGTTTGTCCTAAATAATAAATGAAACAATAGAATTTAAAGTGAATTTAGTGAATAGCGGGAATCTCTTCGCAAATGCAAAGGCATCTCATCTAATTCTCACCGCTTGCATGTCAATCTGATCTTCACTTTCGATCCAATCCGTCGATCGCTCATCCCACTAGAAAATAATTGCAGAATCTAATAACTTTAAAAGCAGTTCCTCTTACCTTCAACCATTAAGGCAATTTTGCATACAACGAAAAGCACCGCCAATAAGTAAGTTCCTGGAAATACCCTCATATTGCGGATAAACAACAGACCATGAAAGGAGCAGCGTTCAAGCTCGTGCGCTTCACGAACCTTTTGTGCTTCTAGAAAATGTTTCACATTACATTTATGTTCATTCTATCGCCTGTTGTGCTGACAATTTCTCCATACTTGTTTCTACGTAAATGTTTGGGAGAGAATAATTTTTAATCGAAGGAATAATTAAGGAAAAAAGAAGGTCAGTACACTTCGAATTTTTGTGCTTCACCTGAGAGTCTCTATTTTGATCAGCAAAGGTTAGAGAAGGTGGCGTGTTTAATTTCTGAGAATTATGAAGTATCAGGTTTATCTTCCAAGAAGATTAACCCTATAAAAGCCTTGTAGAACCTTGAAGGTTATCCGCAAAAATGTCTAAGTCAGCAGGTCACGTATCGCACGTATTTGAACTGATTAGAAATTTTCTATGGTGGATTCTTGCCAGCATTTAGCATGGACTCGAGGTAATGAACATCTTACACTCAACTTCATGTTCCGCTTTCTCATTTGCAACATATACAGTTACAGTAATGTGTACAACTGTTTTATTCTACCATAGGTGTAAAGAAATAATATTAAATCGTAAAGGAGTTCAGACCAATATCTTCCAAAATTGTACTGCTTCACCTCATTGAATTCTGTCACCTTGAGAAGTTCGGGTTCAATCTGTGTTTTTTAAATTGATTGACATAACCTTAATCTCTAAGATGATTTCCCTTTAGTAATTGCTTTCTTTGAGCTGGAATTATTAATTTTGCTTCTAAATCGTGCTCATATTTCTCAGCTTGTGTTGAAGGACAGCAAACAGAAGTCAAAAGTTCATTCAATTTTTTAAATCCATCGCCTCCAAATGAAAAGGCCCACTTTGAACCCACAAGAAAGAAAAAACCATCTATTCGCAAGTTAGCAGCTCAAACAATGTAGGACCATCACCAGTCTCATAGACTGCGTTTAGTCGAAAAGCTACTTTCTTGCATAACCTGTCAATCAAGTTCAGCCACTCACTCTTCGTTCTGAAATGTCCCATCTTACTCATCGCCATGATGTGAATGCCACGAAAACCCAGATGTAAACCAGTTTTGGTAACATTATGCTCCGTATCTCTCGCTTCAGGGTTGCAACTGTTAACAATAATAAATTTGCCATGTGCAGCAAGAACTTGACGACAGTTTTCCAAAACTTTTACCATCTCATCTTCTGTAAAAATTACAAATAAATTTTTCACAATGATTGTATCTACCTCTTTGCACTTCGGAATTCCATCCAGGATGTCTCCTTTCAGCAATGTCACTCTGTGATCTGGTACATTTTCTTTGGCTAGGAACAATTTAGCACGCTCGACTACATCGGGAAAGTCAAATAATACTCCTTTAATATGTTCACAGCCTGGCAGTTTAAGAATCTGCGATAAAAACTGACCCTCCCCTCCCCCGATGTCCATGATTCGTTCGCACTTGACCCAGGGGTATACTGTAAACAAAGTTGGCTGCGCGCTGTCCAATTCCATCTGGGACAACATGCTCATTGCGCGATCGTAATTGTGTGCGAATTCCGATCTCCTCTGTTTCGTACCCATGTCAGAAGCTATATCTTCTGACTTCGTGGGAGGAGAATACTCCAGTTCCTCAGCTCTGTACATGTAGTCATACAGATTCATCGCATGAGCAAGTTCAAACGCTGTATCGCCGCCATCCTTGACTGCCTGTGGAAAAGCCAACATGGCGGCCCAAACTTCATCGCTTGCGTAGTATCCAACCATATGGCCAAGACTCGGTCCTTTGTCTCTCCTCAGCAACTCCATGGCTCGATTGGCCTTAAAGTGTTTCTCGATTAATTCCTCCCCAATTCCCCACTGAGCCATGGTTCTCAAAACCTTGTAGATCTTTTCACCTGTGTGGCAGCCAGTTCGCTCAGCGATCTCTTGAATACTGACAGGAGTGACCGAGTTACACAGCAATTCTGGGACACCTAATGACACCAGAACACTCAAGCAGCGGCTCTTCCATATTCCTGAGAACATGGATGAAATAAGTTTCTCTTCTGGGAAAGTTCCTTCGGCCATGTTCTTTACGTCGGAATCCTGTATTTAGATCACCGTCCAGCGGATGTCGATTTAGGCTCGTCACGCAACACTCACCAGGAGAGGGTTCCAAGGTAACGTGTTGTGTGACATGTCCACACAATGAATTCGCACGGTATATTTCATAATCCCAAACTGAAATGAGAGCGGGGCATACCTGTACGATTAACGGAAAAAATTGCCAGTTTTGCACGCAGAATTTAAATCGATCTGAAACTTTCCTCAACAAAGAGGCATATTATGATTCAAGCAACTTCACGAATCTGACGGTATGACGTGCACAATTTTTTCACTTTCAAATTGGTAAAAAAAAAACAACAACAACTACAAGAGTCGAGAGATACACAAGTCGTGACATAGTTCATTTCAGAGAATTCAATTACCGATCCCCTAAAATTTTTACATATCTGTTAAAATACCTAGTCCCGCGAAAATAACGCACTTCTCTTTGTGAGGTTAAGTGTATGAACCACACTTGTTACGGCACCTTAGTAGTTTTTATTTGTCTTGATTTTCGACTGAAAATCATTTCACTAACACATCAATTACTGCACAGAAATATAGCCAAAGTATTCATCGACTCTTTCTCGTGAGTAAAAAAAAAAAGGGGGGGGGAACATTGAGCCAGAGGGAAGTGGAGGTAAAAGGTAAATAGAACCAGGTGTTTTCAAATCGAGAAGACTCCCATTCACTGTATTAATCAAAGGGCACAGCAGGCCTGAAGGAAAAACAGAGGGAAGACACATGAAAATCAATTCATGGGTAATGTCAAGGGAACCCTCTTTGTTAAACTTCTAAAATTTGTATTCTCCCAAACATAATCTCCAGACAGATAATCTAGTCAGCGGGCAAATAGGCAATTAATAGCAAGAGAAAATCAGTTGATATTCTCATGGTAAGAGGGAAACGTTCCATCGGTGTTGAGCGAGAAAATCTAATTTCTCCCATAACTGGACGAATTGTAGAGTGGAGATCTACAAATAATTGAATGTACACAGAAAAAAGACACAAAATGCATAACTTGTGGCGTTAGGACTTTATTTGGCCTTGATAACAGCTTTTCCTGTTGCAACAAAGCGATCATCTCATATGAGTCATAGGCATAACCACTTGCACAACTGTTCCTGTCGTATGTTAACATCTACGTCAACAACGGTGGAAAAAAAATTGGCCGCCAATAGCCGTCATTTCGACCATCACGCCTTTCCTTTCCGCGAAGAGTTCTTTCACTTGGTCAAGTTCAAATCACCTTATCTTTGCCTGATAACGTACATCGCAGAACCAGTCACAGACCGACTTACTCTAAAAGCCTAGTGAATCACACGATTCTGTTGGACTTCTCTCCGGTTGGTTTGAATCTTGTGTTTGATATGCAACAGCAATGGATGGGTAAGATTCCATCTGACAAATACAGCGGAATCAAGAATCAAATTTTTCTCTGCAGATGTTCTTTCCGTGTTCATCATACTCGGCTTTGGTCACGCACATCTTGCCAACAAACACGTCCGTCTTTGACAGAGCTGCTCCACCCTCCCAAGCATGTGTCACAGGCCTGAAAGAAACGAAAGGCAAACGGTTCAAAAAACACCATAACGCAGATGTACTTGGAATTCTACATCAGCCGCGAAGCACCTCGTAGAGTGCATAACGAATAATGGCGTGTAAGAAAAAGCAAAAACAATCTTACCAAGTACAACGAGAGGTCGAAGAAATTACACTCGTGTGAAAAACTTCTAGCACAGAGATTCAAAACGATTGATTTCAGTTTCAGTTTGCATGTGATTGGTTGACAAAATAGAATTTTCTGGCCCAAACATAGAGCGTGGCGAGGCAAAGCTAATGCAAAACCGGGCAACCTTCAAACCTTAGTTTGGCATTGCATTGTTTTTAACTACTTCTTTTCAAATAATGAGAGGGACGTAGCCGGCTGTTTTAATTTCTCTTCTCGCTTCCATAATAATTTTTAAATAAATATCTGTAGATTTCACAGTTGCCGTAAGAAAATGTAACAAAATTGCAGGATTTTAACATACACTGTGCAAAGCCTTACCTTGATGGGCAATGAACCGCAACGTCTACATCATAAGGAGCAAGTGATCGAACCTCAGAGAAGCTATAACAAAAATAAAGAAATTCGAACTTCATTATCACATAGTAGCTCGACATCTGTCTAACAATCTTGATTCTGATCTTAACTGTAAGTTAACTTGATCAATATTTTACAATTTTAGATAGCGTCACATATAATTGGTGTGAAACTGCTAGGTCCATAGACAACTGAATACATTTTTCATTTTAAATTCACTAACATTTTTTACAAAACCATAGAGAGCTGGTCATGACAAACACGAATTGCTGAGAAGCACACACACAAAAAAGATCATTTGGCCACAACTGCACATTTTCAAGTCAAACCAAAATTTCTATATTACACTCTTTCTTTCATTCCTGGGAACAGTGAACATCCTCCAGTCAAAAGTATGTTCATATAACAGTGAGGCTGCATTTCTGAAAGTAATTCAGAGAACAAAAAAGAAACTTGATTATATCTCGCAGAGATGTGATTTACAAGCCATTCTGTAAGCAAACTAACAGACATCAAAGCCTGTGGTGTAACAGATGTGATTTGACTAAAATGTCCACGCAACAATATCTTCAGGGAGCTAAATTTTATACCAACAAGCTAAGAGTACATTTAAACAGGGCAAAAAATTAAAAACAAAAAACAGTGGTTTAGATCAGTAAAGATTTTTAACCATGTAGGCAAACTTCCATGTAATGATTAGTCAGGCTCACATGACTGCTCCTGGGGGGGGGGGGGCATTGTCTTTAAAATATATCAAAATTATTGTTGAGTAAAGGTTGAGTTCCTTTCTTTGACTTGTACATAATTATAATTTGGATCTGTAGCTGAGTG